TCATATTGCTGACAACCGACCTTGATGCAGTTATACCAAGGAACTATCTCGTGATTACTGTCGCCCACTGACAAAGACACTCAAGTAGCGTAGAGCGCGCCCACCATATTCGACGCGCACATACATGTTGCGTGATTATCGTATATTAACATCATGGCGTCAGTATCTCGTCAGCTCGCGGGACATCGACAGCATGTTCAACACAGAACTAACTAGCTATCAAGAGCAGCGCTAGCCATCATATACAAGCCGTGATATAGTGCCTACCTGAGGCCGCTCACTCGCTGCTTAGGTAGACAGCGTGACTAGTCTATATTAATTGCACACCGTTCGTTTGGCCTCCTGATAGCGAAAGGAGAATGCGCTGGTTCTGTCTAGGCTTACTTATGTATGACAATGGTGTGTGCCTGAAGTGGACTTCCTCCATAACCTTAGAAGTTCAAAGCGAGCTTACCAACATCGCAGGCCAGAAGAAGCAGGAGTACCGTGTAGTCAAGCTGTATACTGCCGGCCCTTCAAAACTAGAATTAATATATTGCGTATGACGTTCCAACGTTAGAAGCCCAAAGGCTGCTACGTCGGTCAGTGCACCGCGTACATACTACCTAGTGTAGGCTCTTATCGCCATCATTACTCCTTTTGGCCAGAAAAGTAATAAGAACAAGGTGATATAGGTAATAAGACTGGTGCTGTTATTTTCGCAAGTCGACAGACAAGCACACCATCCATCAAAATGTTGAAGAGCTAAGCTATGTTTCTGAAGATGGTGAACAGGCATGTCTCTTTCATGTGAAGGCGTCAAATGACCCTGCTCCTGCTTAGGTCGGTCTGGATGAACACCTGATTTTAGCCTCCTGGATAGCTGCAAACCCTCCGAATAGCTGTTGTGGGGTAGCACAGGTCCTGTCGACATGACATTGTAACCTCCAGCATCGGCATCTACAACAGCTCGAGATGCTACTACGTAGTAGGTACCACATATTGTAGATATCTATATACGTAGCCACCCGCGTACATACATACATACATACGCTTTGTACAGTAGCCGGATATCGTGCGACATGGTCCAATCTCTAAAAGTAGGCATCTCTCTTGTTGCACGGTTGTTCGTTCTATGGCATAGTAACATGATGAGTAACACTCTTTTCAGTTATAGTGTGCCTGCTGTATATTGCAGAGTGCAAATACCAAGTAGGTGGGTATTCCGTTGTCAAGTTGAGGTGGGCTGTCAACAGTAAGCATCACCATCGCCCTTCGACCTGTGTCCAAGCTAAACGGGTTATCTCGCGAGTGGGCGTGCCAAGACATGGGAGCCCATCGACGCTAGAAAACACACTCGTAGCGCGTCAAAACTGCGTGTTCACGGAACAGCCTCTTGCTGACCACTGGGTAGGTAGGTAAGTGGAAGGAAACAATACCATTGATCCTCGAACTGGCACGATGTTCTGTTCATTGTGTGCTGAGCATCGTCGTGTTACCCAGTTGCTTGCTGTAAGTAAAGTTACTGATACCAGTCACCAGCCTAGACCGTCTCTGAGACAGGACCCCCGAAGATCACTAACACCCGCTATCTCACCACAGATACTGCACGGGGAATGGTGTGCCGCTTAACCGACAGCTTAACCGATGAGGCTTTGGGATCTTCGCTGCAAGGCGGTGGTTGTGACAGCTCAGAATCGAACGTTGCAGATAGCTACACCCATACCTAGCGCTGTACCGTAGACACGATCCAATGCGACTTAATAGATATGTAAAGTTATAGTGTAGGTACACAGCTTGCTGCTACTGCTTGTGGAGGCTGATAGAATGGTGGTGGCAGTGGTGGATGGATGGGCATGTCTCTATCCACACGCGCGGAATAAGGCCACCGCTCGACAGACAGAACACATGCCATCCATCATACACTATCTTTATCCCACCTACCATGATGACACTGCGTCGTCAAATCCCGATCAGTGCATTGTCACGAAGGGCACTCACTCATCGAGGATAGTTGAAACAAACCGTGCAAATAATAGCAGTGTAGGCTTCAGGGTTGGACTACAAGATAGACCCCTTCTCCAGTTCCAATTACGTCGGTCGAGAATGCGACGATCTCGGATGCTTAATCTAGGTGTAGTGTAGGCTGCCAGGGATGCCCTAAGCTCGCTGTGGCCACTGCACCTGATTGTGAATCCTATCGCGCAAAGCCGCTTCTAATGTTAGCTCAACGGGGGTTCGAACAGCACGGCGACACCGCCACGATTCTCCCTCTTCTCCGATCTCTGCTGTCCCGACATGTTGAAAATACTACTTACAGTACGATTGTAGTTACTAAGTAAGGACCGCCCCGCTCCCCAGCGCCCACACCGACTTGCCAGGAAGAATAAAGATGCTGGTGATGTTTCACCTCTCGTACGAATGGCGTAAATGTAGAATCCTAGGGGGGCGACTGAGGATTTTGTCTGGCCATTGATGAGGCTGTGCGATATGATCTCAGAAGCAAAAAAGCAAACAGCCGAGGCATTGACGAATCTCCGGCGTGAGGCCGAGTCAATTTGGCAAGACTCGAAGGAATCTCTTTTTGCAAGCAGTACCCGGTGGGATCGAGAGAATGCATTTCTCTACTACAGTATGTACTTATGATCGATCCATCATCGTGTTCGCTATATCCCGCCCGGTGGCGCTTCAGTTTTGGGCATTCTTCACCCAGCCAGAGTCAGGGGTAAGGCGGGCCATAGCCAGCATAAGGCGGAAGCAAAACATCAATTATCCAAGATGCGCACTAGGGTTGGTCCGCACAGATCACTCTGCGATACAGAAAATAGAAATAAAACACCGATTGGAAACAGCCTGGCCATTCCAAATATGCTGGGGCCGTAAATTTAGATGACTCCGTTACGAAGTATACAGCAGCCCTCTCTGATAGAGAAGCCTGTCATGTGAGTCTGTAAGTAGGTATCTACAGTACGGCAGCGCAGCAACACCAACCACCACCGTAGAGCGACGCACCGCATGTAGTCAAAGATATAGTGACGCACACCATGATATGTTAGTCAGGTAGATTATCGCGGATCTGTTTGCACCCTGCAAGTATATTTTGAACATGGACAGCGGCAAGATATATCTCCACCACGGTACCTGTGTGTCACCCTTAGCACAATGGATTCGTGTAGTCCGTCGAATCGAGGTGGGCAGAAGGAACAAGACGAAAGGCAACCGTGACAATTCCTACCAATACGCTCAATACCGACTGTCCCTGTCTGCTAGCAGCAGTCGTGTCATCAGCCACACCTCGGCACCCTCCTGCTTGCTCTGGTGTGCCTATTCCTCCCGTCCCCTGACCATCCCCCCAACACCACCAAAGGCGCTTCTCCGGTTTATCTCCCAGGCCCAGCGCCAGCATTGGACAAGGCACCAAGTGCCAAGCGCCAGTGAGAACAGGATCTCAGCATTGCAGTACCGACGTCCGGCTAGTAGGCACCGAAATCATGAATACGGCACTTCAGTCAAGTTCTGTACTACTGTACTGTATAGCAAGTACGTAGCTGTGAATGTTGATGCATACCTCACAGAAGTTTCTTGGTTGGTTTTGTCCCGTGGCATTACCTAGGTATCATCACTATGGGCCTCAACCTCTAACACCTGGGTACATACTCGTGCCTCTGCCGCCACCTCTGCATACCAAGTACATCGTGTCTGTCTGTCTGTCTGTCTGTCTGTCTGTATGTAAGTAAGCAGGCAGACAGGCAAGCAAGCAGGTACGCCACCACAAATACTTTATACTATGTACTATGTACTCTAGGTATGTAGGTAGAGGTGGAGAAGTGGGAGGAGCGTGCCTAGCGCGGAGTGACCAAGCACCATGGTACTTACCTAGTAGTATGTAGGTACCTGCGATCAAGTCTCTGCAGCCAACCCCCCGGCTCTGCATCGTACGCTACCTAGGTACCTACTTAGCTTCCCTAGCACAGCGCTAGTCCGCTAAGGTAGACCTGCAGGCCCCCCCGGTCGCCGTTCTCTTTGACAAGTACCCAGGTACCGATGCCGCTGCCCACCTGGACGCCGCTCTTCTGAGTCGCCTCTGATTCGCTCCCCTCGCCTGGGTTAGACGTGCGTCCCCCCCCCGAAGCCCTCCCCTCCCAAATCTTGATCTCACGAGTCTACCGACTGAGATACTTGCTGGATGGCGGCCCTGCCGCAGGTTCGCCATCTCATCTACCCAGCCTACATATCATACTTCGTACAGGACCTAGACACCTACCCTGCCATATCTGACTTGCCCATCGCGTCCTGTTTCCGCGAGCCACTGATCGGGCTCCGCTGTCCAGACACAAGGGACACAGAAGGCACAAGACCAGGCTCCCCCTTGTTCTCGTCTCCTGCACCAGTGGGCCCCTGTCGACCCTGGCAATTCATCCTGGCTCCTCTGGAGAGGGTTGGTGGGCTCTCGATGGGCCAGAGGGCGACGCTACAGTAGCCCACCTACGTTAGTGGGCAAGGACTGGCCTCGGAGCAAGAGTGCGAGGGTCTTGCATGTGTACCTGGGTACCTTTTCTCTCAGTGCCTCCTCTCCTAGTGCTCCTAGTGCTCCTCCTCCTCCTCCTCCTCCTCCTCTTCTTCTCTGCCGTTACCTCGCGCGCGCTAGACGAGAGACGGGTGGGGCGTTGGCTGTTGATGGAGGCGTTGCTTGTTTCCTACACTACACCACACTATCTGCGCTAGTGGTGTTGTGAGCAGACAGGTACAACGGCATGGATGGCCCTTGGCCCATTCCACCCTTGTCGGCCATGTAGCCATGTACTGGTAGCCATGTCCATGTTCATTCATGTTCATGGGGCATCGAGCATGGGGCATGGGGGGTTAAAGCGACGAGGGCGAGGGAGAGCACGCATCTCGACTTATATCTGAAGCCCAGCGCTCACGTCCCATCTCCGAGTTCCCCTTCTCGTGCAGTGGTTATATGACCTCCTCCTCCCGAGTCTTGTCATTCTGATTTTTCCATATTAAACGCCATTTACCCACACCAGTCAACTTGCTTGCTGTTAATGGCCCAGATCCCTTAGTCCTTGCTTGAGCCAAAGACTACACTACATCTTCGAATTTACCCACACGGCGTGCTTGCTCGAAAGCACGTTACATCTCTCCGATTTTAACACTATACTACTTTGACACTCTGCAAACATGACTGTTTCCGGCCCTCCACAGTCGAACTCGACCAAGGACGCACAGGCGGCCCGTAAGCGCAGGAGACGGGCCCCCGCCGGGGGAGCTGCAGATGACTGCTTTACATGCATCAAGAGGAACACAAAATGCGACCGCCGGAGACCATACTGCTCGCAATGTCTAGAAATAGGAAATGAGTGCTCCGGTTACAAGACTCAGCTAACTTGGGGAGTTGGAGTGGCGAGTCGGGGCAAGCTTCGAGGTCTCTCGTTGCCTATTGCCAAGGCGCCCCCTGTTGCGCCTGTATCTAAGAAGTCGGTTACGCGGGCGAGAGCAAGCTCTGCTGTAACCCCGAACCAATGGAGGGATACGGAGGAGGCTGCGCGGAGACAACACCAACGAGATGGAGTCGAGATTGGCGTACATCATGTCACCTCCGTCCCTACCACTCCCTACGGAACATACCCAGACTATCCTAGATTTTCACAGGCTGAGCCTCCTGTGACGGTAGCGCACACGACATGGGGCAGTCTTCCAGCCTACGCCGGGCACATGAGCCCCCATGAGCACTCAAGATACCATAAGCTTAACACCACCCTGAACCACTATCCCATCATGAGTGAGCCACTGTCTTCGTCAGTTGACTCCCTCAGCGATGTGGACTACACCTTGTCCCCGATGGCACATACGTTCCCACGGGAAGAAGTGCCATTCATGCACAGTCCAACCCTCATCTACGAGAATTATACCAGCCAGAGCTCCCCTGTACCGCATAGCCCCGCTTCTGCCATCGTGATTGATCAACGGGCGCCAACGTCCTGCCCGAGCCTCGTATACGCGCCGTCAGAGCACAGCTCTAGTCTTGGCTCGCACCCCGACTCTTTCGAGCCTCATATGGGCTCAAGGCTGATGTCCGACAGCGACGCGTTGAGTAAGAGCTACTTCTAAAACCCGTGTTGCTGGAGCCGCGGTGACTGACGGTTGCTTAGGCGTCCCGGAGATGGATTCGTATAGCACCAGCCCGCACTCGACAGGGACGCCATTCTGGGCTCCTTCGAACTCTCGAGATGACGATACGAGCTCTCATTACGGATTGGAAACCTCGAGTCTTCCACATCCCTCCTATGAGAACCACACGCTACAGGTTAGCCCTGATCTCATTAATAAAGTGCCATTCTTTATGGACTACTACGAAAACATCATGTGCCCATCATTAGTGCTCATTGATGGGCCTAATAACCCCTATCGAGATCATATCCTACGGCTAGCGTCGAGTAGTCGAAGCCTCCAACATGCCATCTGTGCCCTATCCGCCTGTAATCTGAGGATGAAGAGAAGGCTAAGTCTCGGTCAACACACCAGGAACTCCCCGTTGGCGGCGACAGAAAATGGTGGCACTGAGCATGTCTCCGATCCCGACGATCGCTCCCTATCAGAAGAACACGACCACCGCAACCTCGCCGTTTATCTGTTAAATGTGCAACTCAACGACCCAGCTAAAGCGTGCCATGATTCGGTGTTGGCCACTATTTTGCTGCTCTGTCACTACCGAATGGTTGAGTCTGGGGTGGCTAAATTCCAGACTCAATTCGCTGGGGTGAAGAAGATTCTGTCCATGCGAAACTCGGTTGGCTTGCAAGGTTCCCGCCAGTCTGCGTGGATGGAAGCCATCTTTACCTATTTTGACTCGATTTCCGCGAGCATCAATAACCGAGAAGCCCAATTGACCACCACCTTCTTCGGGATGTCTGCAGAAGCCAAACTATTGCCACCCGGTGCCGAAAACATAGTTGGCTGCGATCGTGAGCTTTTCCAGACGATCCATAAACTAGGACGCCTCAATCTGTTGTCCCAAAACCGACCAATTCAGAGCGCGGTCGGCACACCCAGCGACCGGGGTGAAACCCCAACTACTTTTTCTCCTCTAGGCTCACCTTCGGCACATAATCTGAAGCAGGAGCCCGGAAGTTTCTTTGGTACAACACATCGCTACGACGGTAATGGATTTGCGACCAAGTTTGACGACGAGGAAATATTCTCCGCTGGTCTTGGCTCACCAACCTCTGATGACCACCGCTCCTATTTTTGGCGAGAGTGGAAGGAAGCCCATACAGCCCTCCAAGCTTGGGAATTCGATACCCAACGCCTAGTCGCTACTCTTCCCAGCTCGGCGTCTCAGAACCAGATCCGTGATCTCAACTTTCTATCAGAAGCATTCCGCTATGCTGCCTTGTTATATATCGAACGTTTAGCATCACCGAATATCCCCTCCAACCACAATAACTTCCGCAACCTCGTGAGCCAGGTGATCTACTATGCCACCTCGCTCGACGCCGGGAGTGGCGCCGAAAAGTTTTTGCTTTGGCCACTTTTTGTCGCAGGCAGCGAATGTGTCAATGAACTACAGCAGAACATTGTGCGCAACAAGTGCCGCGACATAATGGCTCGCAGTGGCTATATGAATAACATGGCAGCCATGGACGTGTTGGAGCGCGTTTGGCGCACCAACGATGTTGCAAAGCCCGGTAGCAAGCTGGGCATTCGGGCAGGACCATTTAACTGGACACCATATATAGGCGGTCCTGGTATCGAGACCGAATGGATGATGTTTTAGGAAACATCTTCGTTATTCGTTTATCTATTTTTTTTAAACCTCTGTTGCAGCATTATCTGCAAGGCGAGGCTATCTCACAATGTTTGACTAACAGGCGATCATGGGCATGGAGTTTTGTTTGGTCTTTTGGTATTCCCGCTGTGAATTATTTGATGTTGAGCATTTTCCATTTCTATTTTCAATTCTGTTCTCTCGTTGATATTATAAGTTTTTCTTGTCACGACTTTGTACAATATCAATCACGCATGGGTTATCATAGGGATGGGTTCTTGAGACGGGCGGATTCACAACGGCTTTGGAAAACGGGTTACATGATGCGGATTCTGTATTTATGTATGTATGTGTGTATGCTACGAGGATTTGGAAGAAGGGTTGTGACGAAGATGACAACGAGACTTGGAGCATATACTACCTCAGCTGACAATGAAGATATCGTCACGATCTTACGCATGCAAAACCTGACCATTCTATGATTTCTGCTTGCCTTTGTGAGTTGAGGTGGTTGCGCTCTCTGTATGTGAAAAAATGCTCTCTTTATTTTCAAAGTAGACATGGGCACATGAACAACCATCCCGTCCTCTGGGATCTGCGATCCTTTGACCTTAGACGTCATGCTGTCGGGCTATCAAATAAGCGAACCACTCGACTTCTAGGTTCATATCTACGTAGTTGACCAACAGAGTACATCTCACAATAACAGGTTTCCTAGTTTTCAGACATGCACGCAACCATATCTTGAAAATGGGCACGATCCTGAAGTATATTTGTCTAGATATACAGATGGATAGGACCGGGAAAACTTCCCTTCCCACGATCTGCGTGGTGTCTTGATATGATATATACAATAGCATATTAAAGATTGCACTCCGCCATGCTGTCTGCCTAAGTAATGGAGGAGTGGTCCAGTGTGAGTATATGGACAGACATGTCCCTGAGCCAAGGGGGGGTGTGGGAGCCGCTACGTAGAATCGAATAACATGACGGCTTTCACCCTTTGATACCAAAAGTTCATTATTCATTTTGTTTGTTAAGAGGAGGAGATAGGTATCTGATTGTGAGATAGAGGTAGTACATACATACATACGATACGCATACCTAGAGGGACAGACAAGGAATGTCTTTTCCCCCACACCCACACCAACGCCCAATGCAGCAAGCGCCAGATTCATGGGTTTAGGTCGTAAAAGGATTCCCGTGCCGCACGACTTGCCTACCTACATACGCTTGTTTGCCTCTTCTCGCTCGTATCGCAGCTGCAGTACACCAATAGGTGTGGTAGGTGTACTTACAGGAGATATGGGGAGGGGGGAGGTGTGGGTAGTGTGTTGTACCGGCAGACAGGCACATGTAGATCCGCTTCGCCCGATGATCAAGTAGAAATTCTGTCGATCTACAGTAGGTAGGCTACGGTACCTGTCGCCTGTGTACATCCCAAGCCACAGGGCGGAAATAAAGCGTCACGGCCACTCATGTCTTTGCTGGTGCCGAGGTACAAGGGGCCATGGACTGCCTGTGATACCGATGTTTGAGTAACCTCTTCCTACCTTTTACAACCATTTGCAGTGCTGTATATCTTAGATGCGTAGTCTTATACGTCTGACTACATCGACAGCAGCATGTTGAGGCTGCTCAAGGATATGTACACTGCAATGTGCTATGCAGCGCCGTCAGTCGAGCCAACAACCATGTTTCAAAGAGGCACGCCGCGGAAAGCGGAAAGACCAGGAAGGATTCGTACAATGGTGAAGTGGTGTGAACAACAAAGTTCTGACCTGCTTAGATGGATCTCGAGACCTAATACTGCATGTACGGTCCCGGTTGTAGAGTCAGGTAACCCCGCCCTTGCGGCACGGCACGGCGCGTTATGTGAGGCCTATCAATAAGTCCTTCTTTGCCACAGCATCCCTCCTTCGTAGGTATGGAGTGCCTACCTAACCTATCTAGATGCCACACAAGACATATCCGTACAGCGAGTACTCTATGGGTACGACTTTACGGTAATATCCATACGAATGAATTATATTCATCTCACCTCACCTCACCGAGATAGTGTTGGTTGGCTGTTGCTGTTTGTTGCGTGGGATGAGTGCTGGCTCACGTCAGCAGCCTTGTTGGCTTTGCCCTCTTTCAAGCTCTGCGTTGCTGAGATTTGAATGCGGTGCGGTGATGGATGCCTATTTGGCCTAACCTAGGTTGTATGTATGTATTTATCCCCTTTTGTCAAAAGGCTCTTTTTTTCATGCGAAAGCGCGCATACCGCCCACTTACTTCATACCTACCTATATAGTATGCTATGGTATAGTTGGTATTGCAATACCAGGATATATATATATATATAAATATATATGTAGATAAAACATATCGGTGTAGTCCGGGAGAGAGGCGCATACTCAAATGCGATTGGTCGATCGTGGTCTGTTGGGGCGGCTCACCTTGATGCAAGAACGGGTTCACCGTCCCGTCTCCGATAGGTAAGGGTCGTGAGGTACCGTAGGTGAGGTAGGTGAGCTGGTTTCATGTATTGGGCACATTGGGATACTAAGCCATGTATCTGTTTATGATTCGAGCTGGCTCGTCCCATGGCACCATACAATGCTAGCTGGCGCCAGCATGAAGATAGGACTAACTGACTGACCGAGGAATAAACGAGCACTTGCTTGGTCCGTCGGGTGGCTGGTTCGTTTGGAGGTGTATATACTTATCATGGCGGCGTTTCAAGTCAGTTATTTACTCCAACACCTCGCCTAGATTCCCTTGGTAAATGCCCTAACGCTTGGCCGAGACGCTCAAGTCAAAAACACTTGGGTTTGACTGAGGGAGTATCTGGACGGGAGGTTGGTGATGAGTACGTGGGTGTTCCCAAAGGTACCTGGTTTATATTCTGTTTGTACAGCCCGCCAGGGCAGGATGGACTCAGCAACAGCTCCGGAGTGTGATGGCTACCGTGGCAGCTTTTCCCCGCCGACGTCAGACCTTTCAGAGCCACCAGGACCGTTAGGCTGCCTGTATGAGGCGAGGCAGATACCCAGGGGCGTACAATGAGAGCTGTGCAGTAGGTACACGTACTCAGTTCTCGGTAAGCCTAAACTGAGGGGAGAGCAATTACTGGAGGCGGGGTTAGGAGAGCGAAGCGCGGGCTGCTGTGCAGTAGAAGATCCAAGGCTAATTAAGCCGCCGTGATCACAGAGAGGTGGGCGGCGGAGAAGGAGGATTGGCGGTGTGGACCTTGATGATTCCCATGCTACATGCACAGACATACCAAGTGGAATGGCAAAAGTGCGCGCTTCAACTACACACCTACAAGCCATGTCTAACGCGTAGTACTTGAGTATTGGATATCTATCAAGCCAGGCAAGGTAGCCTATTATACGGGCGATATAAAAAAGAAAGACGTGGGGTTGTACTCTTTTGTAGTGTAGGTATCTACGGTTGAAGTTGTATTACAAGCAGCATGCGTTCATTGGATGGGAAGGCTGGCTCTCCTACGTGATTTGATCATACAAGGGTCTGAAATGGTAGCATCCTCGCTTCTCCGATTATGCTATTGGCGGGTGTCTGCTAGGCATCTAGCTATATTCTCCGACAAGGTTAATGCGAGGATCATAAGACATGCTTGTTGCAGAGCTCTTTCGGAAGGATTTCGCTTCCATTATACCCAGGATGTGCAATAACATGAGTAGATAGGAGGATTACCTAGGTAGTCGCATCGTGATAGTATAGTATGTAGTGTAGGTAGAACAGAGTGACAAGATAGAATCAAAAGACAGAAGGTTCTAGAAAGGCGAGCAGGGAAAATTCTTTGCATCTCATAACTCAAGCAGTGTCGTTCGCAATGGAGGCTTGTCAGTTCTCCCAAGGTGTCATCAAGCTCTGTTTGTCTGCGGGAAAAGCAACACGCCGGCCACCTACCCTCTACATCGTGTCGTCAAGTTCTACGGCTTATCACATTGATCATCGACTGAGAATTCTAGCTATGTAAAAGGGCCTAGAGGTGGGAGATCGGCAAGTTGGTAGCTGCTGAATGTATGACTCTATCCCAATCCCCGATGCATCATTTCCCCCTTGAAGCGGTTGACATTGGGCGCCTGTGGCAGCGAGCCAACGGCAGGCCGGCCAACACCCAGGCACGCCGGAGGAGGTGGAAGAATCGGGATCTAATCTTCGGTCACTGCTACATGGGCTCAGCTCCGACCCCTGCAAAGCTGCATGACATGTTCTGTACATGTAGTCCAGCGGGTACAGCAGAGTTAAAGGAGGCCTAATGCAGGTCTTGCTGTGTGCCCTCTCCTCCCCTGTTACGGTGTAACGCCGTGGTGTTGTGAGGTACACAGCTGCCGATTGGGTTGTTCAACCCCCTCGAGCGCCCCTCTCTCGACGGACGCCTGTACGACTTGTAACGATATCGAACCGGGACCTGTCCACGAAGCTGCACGACCGAACATGGGGTAGAATGGGGGTCAAAACCCATGACAGTAACCTTGCCTAACCATTGAGGGAACATCAGAAGCGAACTAGGTAATCCATTGGTGGATTGTTGTAGAACAAGCATTCTCTCCATGGACCTCAGTAGGCGACGTGCAGATTCCACACCCATCATTCTCGCAGATATGAAATCGCTCAAACCAGATCAGCTGTGTAATTACTAGCGTAGTGATGGGGTTTGCTTGAACACAATCCTAGCCTAGGTATTTCACTTGGATAGTATAATGGCACCGTCACTCTAAAGACATCCTGACACAGGGCTCCAACTATCTTGATGAGGTGTGAAAAGCCGGGTTCTACCGGTGCTTGCTCCAATAGACTGGGCTAGAAGGTGCCCAAAGACGTTACACGGTCCTCTTATCAGTGACGTATCTGGGACTTCTGAGGATGAATGCTTAGTAGCAAAAAAAAGTAAATGTCGCTTTTGTTCTACCAGCGTCTGCTTGAGATACGATGATGGGTGTAGGTAAATGTGACACAACCTAAATGTAAACGACAATTGATTTTGAGTGTGCTACCGTAATCTTGATACGTCGATAAGTTGACATCAATGAATCTCAAAGATATGGTACAATCGTATGGGCACAATCTGGTGTGCGGTTGCTATTGCGCCATGCCCGAATGACTCCCTCGATATGGAATATTCTCACTTTTAATGATGCTAAGGACGCTTCAAAGCAAAATATCCGTGGCTTGGACTAGGCGGCAAGTAACTGGTATCGTTTCTGCCTTGCCTCCTGCTGACGTGCACTGAGAATGGACAGAATGATCGTCGAGGTCTAGGCCGGCCCCCTGACTGTCTTACACCTAAATTTCCTATCTAACGCATCTGATCTGCACGCAGCTGGTTAGGGAGCCCCGTGGAATATTCGTCGTTCCGAGCATCCCACTACAACATTGTTAACAGTCGACGTGTGAGCCTCGTGGCGGGTTGGTGTATCAAGAGTAGGATCGTCGATACATATCATATTGAAACGTAGCCTGATGAAGACAAGAGGTAGTATATCGACAGACGGCAGAAATAACGGCACGTTGCCTATGTCGACTGCCAAACTGTAAAGCTGGGGGTGGCACTGGCGCGTTAAAACACTTGCGGGATGGTTACTTAAGTAGACGGCGAAGGAAGTAACGTAGCTAGAATCTGAATCGGATCTCTGTAGACAACCTATGTCTTGAAGTGCACTGAGATCGGTCGGCTCCGTCTCGGCGAGATAATCCATAACAGGTTTGGGTCGAAGCTCCCAGTGCATACTTCCCTTGAATGAAAGGCATGTCTGCCATGTGCATCGAGCACTTAAATCACCATCGAGAATCGTTAAGCGCAAAATGTGCTGAACAGCGGTTCTGTTCGCAGGGGAGATCAATAGTATATAGCGTGTCGATTCCATACAGTAAGATCTAAGGGATACGCTTCGCGTAAAGCTAAACCGGTAATAATCTTGGGAACAGCGATAGCATTCCAGGAGATCTTGCACAGACCTGTGTAGGTCCTTGCGTGCAAAGCCAAAAGCCTACCACAATCTCAACTCGTACCTATGTAAGGCCGTAGTTGGTAGCACATGCCTTTCCCACGTCTTGAATCCTGCCAGTTGAGTGACGACTGCGGCGTAAAGAGACCCAGGAAGTCAGAGTAACATGTCGCCCTGACTGTGAGAATTTTCCATCGTTAGCATTACAGTTTAGCCTATGAACTGGAACTTGACGAAGCTTCTGTGATCATTAGTTCGACTGGAACTCTGTAATGAATGAATGCACCAGTTGCAAGAAAGCAGGTTGGCAATCTTTCACCGCACAGCAGCGAGAATTCTGCCCCTTCGATGGGTGGCTGATGCATATAACTTTGATAAATTGTCGACAAGCATCATATCATGGAATTAACTGACTTTAGGCCTGGACGGTGTAATGAAGCTAGGAATCTCGTGCCATTTAATCGGGTTGAGAGTAGAGACTTGAGAACCTAAGCTACATAATGTAGGTACTTAAGTACTAGGTACTATATTCTCAGCAACACTAGGCGATAAGATAAGGTCGTTATCTTAATCTTTCCCAAAATTTTGGGTATGTATCTGCTACGATAATAGCTCGAGAGTCAAGCAGAGAATAAATACTTGGACACAAAGCGGCAATCGAATTATTAATAATTTTTGACGCCCGCGGCTAATCTAATAATATAAATTCCCTATTTTGAAGAAAGAGGAGCCGCACAGATTCCTCCACGATGGGCCGCGAACTTCAGAAGCGCAAGAGGCGCTCGTCCCGCCCCGCCACCCGACAACCCTCCTCGACAAGACCCAAGCTGATGAACCCGCTGGGGAACAGCATCATAGCCCGAAACTGGTACGCCCATTCTACCTGCCATTCATATACAGTAGACCGACGATTCAAGAGCTTTATAACGATCTACTCGAGTCACATGCCCACAAACTGGAGAGAAAACCAACTAACACGTACTCCCAAACCTCCAGGAACAAAAAAGAAACAACAACACAGAACTATCGCCGATTGGGCCTCGTGTCCCGTCTGCGCGCACCTACAGGCGGCATAGAGCCAAAACATCGATCCAGCACCAGCAGCACATCCACATCGAAGACCACGACACCCACAAACCCCTTCGCGATTAACGGCGCAACATCAGCGGCAGCAGAAGTAGAAGTAGAGCGGGATGCCGACGGGAAGATCATCCGCGTGATCAGCAAAGAGCGCAAGCGGGCCAACCCACTAAACGACCCCCTGGTAGAACTAGACACGGATTCCGAGGCCGGGTCTGACGACGGAGAGGACGCCGAGGAGTGGGGCGGGTTCGAGGGCGAGCAGAACGAGATCGTCCGACAGCTCGAGGAGGAGGCCAACCGACCGGTGGAGAAGAAGCCGCGGACGGTGAGTGCGCGCGAGGCCGAGTGGTTGCAGGCGCTCGTAGACCGTCACGGTGACGACACGACGGCTATGGCGCGCGATCAGAAGTTGAATTCTATGCAGCAGACTGCGGCGGACATAGCGAAAAGGATCCGGAAATGGAAAGGGAACTCGAAGTAATTTAAACCAGTCTACGCGCACTAGTAAAGGGGCATCATTCGAGTTTAACGCATTGGGTGGGCGTCGGGGCGTTCAAAGAGGCTTCTTTTTTTCAAATTCAAACAATCCAAGTTCAGCGAGCCACAGATACTATTCTACATCTTATTGGTCGTATTTGTGCTCTTCGCACACACGATGTGACTGACTTCATTCAGTCTCTAATATCCTTGTGCGCACTGACCGGGTCCCACAAGTCGTGATTCATAAAGTGTCTGAGTCGATATACCCCGTGGTGCAAATGCCGATCTTCCCATATAAAGGGGACGAGACTCCTCTGGTATCTTCCGAGTCATAAGGAGCAACACATCCGGAACACCAGCCGATACCGATGACAATCAATACACAAAATTAGACACCCAATAGCTATCCTCGCCTATCCCGACTCATCAAACACCAAGCATGTATATGCATACAGTTGGACCAGCCGCCCGTGTTTTAGTCAAAAGCGCTAAACATCCTCGATCAAATCAAGAGCTTAATGCAAAGTTCTGTCGTAGTTTGCCGTAGGGAATTGGACAGGACGTCCATCATCGTAGTCGTCAGCGGCGGGAGGAGCGTATATTTGGGGTCCGGTATGGGTGGCATAGGCGTTAGAGAACGGGTCAGGATGCGGTGAGACTGAGCCGTGAGTTCGGTAGCTATTATCAAATGGATTCTCATGTGGTGCTGGAGATGAGGTGTGGTGCGGCGTATACGACGTTTCGGTCTCATAGTTGGGACGTGAGCCAAGGGAGCCGAACGCATCAGGATCGTAGGGCCGGCTGGAATGATCATCGTGGTCGTCATGATGGTCATCCATGTTGATTGGCGCGTATGCCTCCTCGTCGTGTGGTGCCATGGAAAACGCAGCTTTGTCCGGATCAATATTCTGATGACTACCCATCTTTTCATAACCGGGTAGATCGCCGTTCTGTTGGTAATACCGCAATGTGTACGTGCTGACCAGGGTAGATAAAATCCAGGCGAAACTGCGCAAGATGTTAGTCTCAGAGTGTTCTCGTGACCTCTTTGCTAAAGTGATGTGCTCACGTCTCGAAAAAGGCGATACCAACTACGGCCTTGCTAACCTTGCAAGCTTTCCCACATGAGTTGGCGGTGTTGTATGCAGCTTGGCTGGCAAATGCTGACAGCCAGAAGATAGTAAAAATCGCGTCTACCACAAGCATGACATTCGCGTTTGCTGCTCTTCGTGTCCGTTCATACCTGGGCGCCAACGCTAGATATACCCATGCGGGAATGGACAGAAAACACTATGAGATTCAACCTTTCCGTTAGCGACGAAACATTGCAAGCATGCATCAAGGATCGTCATAGCCCTACTCACCAGTCCAAATGGCCACCCGTTGTTACCATTGAGCTTCGAGTCTTCAGCCCTAAAGACGATGATCTCGAGGATGAATATTACTAAAGCCAGCACGACTTGGGCGGCATGGAGGCCCAACTTGATGTTGGGGACATTGTCTGGATTGAGGTTCAGCCTTTCAGATAATGCCATGGTGCCGGACGCTAAGCTATGCGGTTGACTAGAGCCGTATTCGGTGCGTCTCGACTTTTGACAGATGCGCCAGAGATGGCGAGCTGAGAAATAGGCGCGGTCGCAGTATGCGCGGTTGACGTCTGGCGGTAACTTTCCAAAGGCAGATAGATTTCGTTTATTTCATGTATCGCAACCTGCGCCTCGGGTGTTATATGGAGAGAGAGATATGTATTTATCGTCGTTCGTCGCCGTAAAGTGAGGACGTTAAAAAGAAGCGAGAGAAAACGTCGACGCGATAGGAACAGACTCTGAAGTTGGCAATGGCAAAAGCTGAAACAGAGACCGAGGAAGAGTCGATGAGGTGTTCAAGACGAAGATGACTGACTGGTCTGTTATTTGATAGCCTGAAAATGGGGGACCAAGGCTTGGGAGCGGATAGCGGTTGGCTTAGCTGGGCTGAACACGCGTACACTAACGGTCGCACGGTTGCTGGTTCAAAAGCCTGTCATTTTAGCGACGCGCTTACTGCGGCGAGTTTGCCTGGCGCCGTCTTCAGCCTCGTTGTGTTATTTCGACGGTGGCCTGCCGAGCGATTCTTCGGACACAGCCATCACAAAACACCGCTAATCAGCACTAAGCCACGGTAATCTGGGCCACTATCAAGAGGTACCAACCAATACTGTCTTACTAGTGACCTCAAGCTGAACTGGCTGAACAGCTATGTACTTTAGATAGGTCTTAGTCTATAAATATACACAGCCTGCAATATCACTCAGCGTACCTAGGTAGAAGGGAAAATATGTTAATAATAAGCAACGTCTTCTCTGACTTGGGTATTCTGTGTCCCGAGTTAAATCGCGTCTTTGCTTAAGCTGCTCGACCCTCTCGACTAGGCAGAAATGGTATCTTGCAATACCTACAGTAGGTAGGTACTTACAGTAGGTACTTACCTAGCCACTAAAAACCACCCCACTCGTATATATCCCCTTGCCAACGGTGCCTTAGTGACGTACCTATATAATGGTCGACCTGCTGTGTAATGACGCAAGGCGCTGTGGCTTGCCAATTCCCACTGATTACATAGGTAGTACTCCTCTCTAGCCACATCCGATACTTTGCAGACGAGAGAGATCTACTGTACCTACAAGCAGATACCTACGATTGAGAGAATCCAAAGTGGATGAGACTAGGTAACCTTGGGTTCTGCTTGGGTTGGTCATCATTCTTGCAGCACCCCAAGTTAGACTCAAGTGTAGACTACTATACAGTAGAATATGGCATGTAGGTGCATTGTCAAACAAAGCCCACAGATCGCCGGCTGTTGTCATGACAGTTGTCGTGGCGGCAGCCCATGAGACTCATTTATGCTGCAAAGAGGCACACGGCTACCTGCAGCAACACCATTCCTCATTCTATCTATCCAGGTATCTCCTCTTTCAGCCGATAATCTCCCGACCTCTAGCGTTGTGCAAATCCAAAGCTGTTTGTCTGCTGTTATCTACATAGTAAGCTCGCCGTGACATGCCGTAGATCGCTCAAACGCCTGACTGCCGAGCTGAATGACTCACGCCTCACCACGCCTCCTATAGGGGTCTACGGTTGGAAAACCTAGGTGAGCTATCGCCGATCAACAGATTATCCTCACCGCGTTCCCGTCGCTACTAGTTCCAAACCCCATACGATCAATTGTCATATTTCTGAAGACATGGCAGACAATTCTCAGAACGGGCTGTCTGCCGCTAATGAGCGGACGCCGTTGCTGTCTAGTGATGGTTCGGACCAGAACAGCCCTCCGGTCGACAGCGAGCAGCAACCCGGCGATTCCGGCAATGACGGAGAGCAGACTATCATTGCGGAAGAAGTCAAGGGTCTTAAACTGTGGACTATCCTCGCCACTTGTTGGTTTGGGGTGTTTTTTGGAGCCATCGACGCCAGCATCATCGCCACACTCTCTGCTCCCATTTCCAGCGAGTTTCAGTCTCTGAGTCTCCTGCCGTGGCTGGCAACCGCCTACCTCATCTCCAATGCTGCCTGCCAGCCCATCTCCGGCCGGCTGACGGACATCTTCGGCCGGGGTCCGGGCTTGGTGTTCAGCAATATATTCTTTGCTGCCGGAAACCTCATCTGCGGCCTCGCCCCGAATGCTAACATCATGATACTCGGCCGTGTCGTGGCGGGTATAGGTGGCGGTGGATTGATGACGATCAGCACATTTGTCGGCACCGATCTCGTACCCCTGAGGAATCGTGGGATCATCCAAGGAATCGGAAACATCTGCTATGGCGCGGGGGCAATGTTGGGGGGTGTCTTTGGTGGTCTCATCAACGATAACTCGCGCTGGGGCTGGCGTCTCGCGTTTCTCATCCAGGTCCCTCCAGTCATTGTCTCTGCTGGGTTGGTGGGTTACCTCCTTCGAATTCCTCCAAAGGTTTCCGGGAAGTCATACCTCGCTCGTATTGATTTTACTGGGGCACTATCTCTCGTGACCTTTTTGGTCCTTCTCCTATTGGGACTAAACGCCGGCGGGAATCTCGTTCCATGGCTTCATCCCCTCCCTCTTACGACCTTGCCTCTGTCTTTAGCAGCACTGGTATTTTTCGTCATCTGGGAATATCGCGCCGCACAACCGATCATCCCCATTCGCCTCCTATTCGACAGAACGGTGTTCGCAGCATGTATAACCAATTTGTTATGCTGCATGGTCCAATTTCAATCTCTATTCTACATCCCGCTCTATCTGCAAACTCACGGTGTCAGTGCAGCCCGTGCTGGACTGGTTCTTCTATTTTCACCGCTCGGCATATGTATATCTTCAGTTAGCGCAGGATTTATCATGAAGAAAACTGGACGGTATATCGCTTTGGGCATATTCGCAGTTTCCTTGCAACTTATTGCTGCTATCATCTTGACTACCCTTCGCCAAGATTCCCCCATCTGGCCTTTGAGGATTGTCTTCTTTCTGCTTGGTGCTGGACAAGGAGGCATGGTTAGTTCCCTGGAGTCTCTTATTCCCCCCTTAACCGTTTCGGGTCTCATCACTCCTGCGTCCTCCCGAAACATGCGCTGGACCCTTTTCCTGTCTAGCAATTACTAACTCCCGCGTGTGTAATAGTTGACAGTGACGCTGCTCGCGTGCCTTGCGGCTATTGATCATTCTAATCAGGCGACGATAACGTCGGCGACGTACGCTTTCCGATCCGTTGGTAGTACCGTTGGTGTAACGATCGGTTCAGCTATCTACCAGAATGTGCTCAAGGAGAAGTTATGGGAACGTTTTGGGGATCTACCCGGCGCGGCGGAAGAGATTAAGCGCATCAGGGATGATATAGATGAGCTGAAGCATCTCCCTGAGGGCTGGCACGATGGCGTCGCCGCTTCACTCCAAGAAGCCTTCCAGAGCGTGTGGTTTACACTTGTTGGATTGGCTGCGATAGCGGTGGTTACTGTGTCTCTCATGAAGCAGCATAAGCTACATTCAACCCTGGCAAGGAAGTAAGCTGAAAAAAATTTCTTTAACACAGAATTTTAATGACGAGGCGCGAGCTTGTTACGCTCTTGATGATATTGTAAAGCACACAACTTCTATGTGGTGGGGCTAGCTACTTCAGTAAGTACACACTATATCATATCATCAGACGCGTAATTAACTTTATATTGCCTTTTACTTGTGCTTTAGTAGTAGCGAATTTAGCTCTCCAGAATAAACCGAAGTGATGTCCATCAATCAAGCAAGGAATGAAAAGGGACAGCTACTTTCAATAGTCAAATAACGAATGCATAATTAAGATAAACCCTACCTAGTAGACTGTTCGAGTGTTACATTGTTGGCCACCCCACGTTTTATATAAGTGTTGGGCACTTCGAACGCAACACCCCGCGAATTGTCGTGTGATAAGACTCGATTTAACGTGTAGCCGTGATAAATAGATGGAACTAACGGACACACATACGCTAATACCACCAGCTAGAAGGTGTTAGGTGCTTTACATTTTGCCCTGGTAGGTATGTCCAAGTGAAATGGTACTTATATATTGACAAAAGCAGACGCCTCCCAAGTGCTTCAGTCCTTGCTTGGTGGCACGCATTTCGTAGTTACATCTCGTTCGCTTCATCAGACTACTATTCTATCTTGACTAGACGACGTAGTTACGTGTATAGAATAAACAGCCTACTATGTCTCCTAATCGCCCCATCCTGAGTCGCTCGCCATTATCACCACCACTAGATTCTGCTTTGATAGTGCTTGCAGGCTCTCTTCCTCTTACTTGGCCCTGCCCTGCAGTAAGTGGTCCAATACACATGGTAGTAGACATATAGTACTGTAGTGTCAAAGAGGAAATCTACGCGCACGTTAAAGATAGCATACCACATGCACGGGCGCCAATTTCCACAGCCCGATTAAACGGCACATCGACTCACTGCTTTTTACCTTGGCCTTGCACTTAGTAGAGGTACAGTTAGAATCTGCCGTACTCATTGCCATTCATCCAAGGAAATAGCTGTGTTATCGGCGGAGTTGGAGATAGACAGCAGCCTTGTCCCACACACTAATGTCACCATTGGGCAACTCAGTTGTAAGAGTTTTGACTCCTGCGTGGAGAGCGTTGAAGAAATCGCAGGCAATATCTAAATCTTCGTAGAAGTTCGTTGCATAAGGCACAAATTTGCCTGGGAAGTCTGCCTTCTTCGCAGCTTTCTGTTCTGCGGACTCGTTTGGATGGACGTCGTCCAGAAACGTCTTCACAGCGATTCCGAGCGCGACGTCTGTATCCGTCAAGAATGGCAGGCTAAAGACAATCACATTAGTACCAAAACATAATGGAATATCGCAATTTCATCTGAGGATAGACTCACCTCTGTCCAATTTGAAGATAGTCCTCTCGCTCACGCTCGGCCTGCGCATGTAGGAACAATGATGCCACAATCGCTTCAAATAGGTCGCGACACGACTCACGAACGGACGAGCTGAGAGAACGGAAGCACAGAAAGTTTTTACTCAGAGGACCGGTGTAGCCATTGGCCTGATGGCGTAGTTTCAACAGAATTGTACAGCGACTGATAAGCAGAAGGCTTGCTTTATCATCATCGCTACCAGTCATCGGTAATCCATTCAGTTCTGGGTGTTGATTACGTGTGTTCAACAGATCAAGCCGAAGTAATTCATATGCAAGGAGAACCGCTTCAAACAGGCCAGGAACAGTGGAATGCTTCGAAACTGTTGGCTTCAGCGCCTCAAGTGACTTGGCCAGTGCTTCGCCCCAAGATGTGAGTTGATGGTTCTCGTTAACGTAGCCCCGCAGGTGCAAGTACCTCCAGAGTGTGTTGGATAAGATCAGTTCACGAGAGGCGATGTTTTTGATCTTCGCTTTGGTGATTGTGGACTTGGCGAAATCAGGATTCTTCAAAGCCAGCACCTCAAACAGAACGCTTCCATGCTTGGCGTTAGGGAAATGTTGCTTCACAGTAGTTTCCTTGACATCCCAAGTATGTACTTGTTGAATAGCCTTTACAGCCTGAGGATCCTGCGGGCGGTATTCAATCTTGTGGGAGTACTTCTCATCATACCAAAGTCTGATATTGATGGGTTTAAATTGGATACCCCTATTCATACGTGACAACACAAGGAAAATGGCAAGCAGCCTGAGGTTCATCAGCTGATCAGTTACCAAGTGTCGATATTCCACTGGACTGACTCCGTCAAGAGTCGGGAAAACGACTATCTGACCATGGGAAATCCAGCTCGGGAGACGCGCTCCAATAAGACCACGGTCAAGATAATGATAAAGCTCTTCTGGTAGCCGATACCCCAAGTATTCCCAGTTGTCGTGGGTCAGAGTCTCATAATTATAAACTTTGATCTCGCCGGTCTCGTCGATAAAGACGAAGTGGTCGACACTCATTCTAGCTCTTCGGTACTTCTGTAGCCAATTCGGATCTCTTTTGCTCAGTATATCATTGAAGGAATTGCAAGCATTTGTGACAGATTTCTCTGCAGTTCTTAAGAGATTGACTGCGTCTTGCACAGTCGAAGGCTGGCGAGGGGTGATGCTTGGTTCTTTGAGAGGAGGGAAGCTAGGTAAAAAAGACGTTCCTGTCATGAGAACCGCGTCTATGAACATTGGTTCAGTCACACCCAAATTCTTAATGATGGCCTTCTTCTGAATCCCAGTAAAAGTTCGGTTTTCCCAGTCAATGTAACGGATTACGAGGTCTTGAATGGGATATAATAGAAGCTCTTGAGAACCCATGATAGCAGAGCATTGATCAGAGTCAATCATGTTAAGAAAGGCAATCTTGAGACGGTCAGTAGCTACATGGTTTGAAGGGGTGAACTCTTACTTGTGCAGCTGCGTTGACAGGTGCTACTTTGAAATATAGCCCACGACGGTGTAATATACCCTGGAGAAGGGGATACAAGTTCTGCACATGATATGCTCCTAAGCTATGTCAGCTTAAGTTTCACTTTGATGGTACGTCTGGTGAGTGGCTTGCCCTTATTGGCGCCGAATGCCGATACGGCCTCGTTGGCCTGACTCTGAAAGTACAAGCTCCAGGCTTCATCTGTTCCTGCAATGGCCCTAATACCTCGTTGGATCGCAATTTCGTCGGATCCCACGACAGATTGCCCGTTGAATATGAAGAAAGGAGTGGCTTTGTGCGCTTTCCAGCTGTCTAGATCACTCTCAATATGGGACTGGATGCCAGTCAAGCCGCCTAGCGCTGGCAGCAGTGGCTCTTGGTAGGGCGCATTGGCAAGGAAAAGTTGCAGATAGTAAGATGCATCGACAGCAATGGTGGTATCCTCAAGCTCAGAGACGGGGGCGGTCCTAGCACAATCAGTATTCTACTGGTAGATGAAGTGTTGCCATTATAAATACCCTACTTGATCATTGATCCAATGATCTTCGAAAGAAGCTAGGAGATTTCATTAGCGCAACTATCCTTCACAGTACACTTGAATTTTGTGCAGCTGAGCGAGTAGTCGATATGATATTGCGGCGAGCATGGGTTGCCAAGTGGTCATGTGGCTCCAGATAGCATGCCAGCAAGCGACTCGCTCCGTTGCCTTGCGCTTCGATGAAAACGTTCGGGTCTCCAAATCCAAACGTTGAATTGGCTTGCGATCCTTACGAAGCCCAACTTTTTTGGTGTCTTTTTGCTTTCTCGAGTGCCTTTCAAGACGGGTTCGTAGTTTGTTTTGGCCAGCATATTACTCGCAGCAAATAGGCATCCCATTTACTTGTACAGAGTTGCGGATATTGTAGCGAGGACGATATGGTAGCTGTCGTGAGGCGGGAAGGGACGGATGCGGTCTTGCTCGTTTACTCGACATTTGGGCCAGGTCATATCTTAAGGAAACCTGGCGTGGCAACTGTGGTATGCGCGCGTGTATTGTGGACACGAAATTTGGACCAGCTATTGTATGGACATACCATTATACCATTGGGTGTGTGGTAAGGAAAATGCATTTGGAAGAGAGAACGCCCTGAGACTTACTCGGCATTGTTTAGATTCCGGGAGGCCGACCGAAGCTGTAGAAGCTTCAGTCAAAAGGAGGAACGAGCTCGAGTGTCTCACGCTGGCCGACAGAGACAGAGTATTTATCGCAGCCCCGTCTAGGAACGTTCGTGCAACGAAATCAAAACGAAGGGCTTGAGCGATCGCTACCGCTGCAATTGGAGGACGCTGGACGTTTTGGAAGGGTGGTAATAGGCTGTGAAAGAATGACAAGAAAAAGAGGACGCAAAGGGGGGGAAAGTGAGGAGGATGCCTTGTTCAAATAGGGCAAACAGAAGGTATCACGCGGTTGGGCGGATTCAGAGCGTTGGGGGTGGACAGATGTTGAGCCTCGTAACTGATTATTGTGTGTTTCCTTGCGGCAGCCCATTGGAAAATGATCTAGATGCAAGGCACCTACATACCTACCTTGTAGGTAGGTATTGCCTCCTAAGGAGGTACACAGAAGGTACCTGGCAGGTACCTACCTCAGCTGCCTAGTCTACCTACCCTACATACATTATGTAGGTAGGTAGGTACATAGTGGAGGTGTTTCTACTGTACACAGATCCATTACAGTACCTACCGTAACAGCGACCATGCCTGGTCCTGTCCCCTAGTGGGAAGTGCAAGGGATAAATACCTATACCTGGAGGACTATACCTACCTTGTGTACCACCAACAACATCAAAATAGCAACATGTTGGAACAAGCTGTTCTCAAAAGTAATCATAGTTCTTTGGTCTGTAGGCGTAGCTGGATACATATGATTACCGAGATGCTGCAGTATCTATTGAGAATACCTATAAACTAACTAGGTACATTCAGTGGTTTGTCTACTCACTTATACCTAAAGTGATGGGTGGCTGTCTGTTACCTAACTGATTCACTTCCAGCAGGCGTGAAGCTACCTAGCCCGGTAGGTAGGTAAGAATGGGTACCTCACTAACAGCTAAAATATAGAAGGCTTCAGCAATAGAACACTACCTAGGTAGGCAAGAGGTAGGTACCTTACTCACCTAAAGCTTCATCTAGCTAATCAACTATCATACTAATGTGCTGTGTAAAAATGAACGCTTATAATTCTTGGTCCTTATGCTTGATTTTCAAACATAGGGAAGGGAAGTGAAAATCACCATGTAGTTACCTTTGCAGAAGTATTTACCTATTACTCCTTTGTTGCTAGGAAGAACAGAGGAGAAAACCAAGAATTCGAAGAATACCTACTGCATCGACACATGTAGGTACTACTTAAGGCTCCCTACCTACCAGACCCCAATGCTCGGTAAACTAAACTCATCCTTATTCGTAGAGACGAGCACGCCTCATCTTGCTCTGCTTGATGTGGATGCGCTTTCGGTCACACGAGCCTTATTCGGAGACCATATCGACTAAAAATATACAGACTGTTGAATTAGACGAGATATAGTACATACAGTCATGGCGAGCGCCGCCTCTATTCCCATCATCGACATTTCCGGAGGCGGGCTGCAAGGAGACTCTACTCACGTAGCCAAACAGCTTGTTGACGCAGCAGCCGAGCATGGTTTCGTATATGTTAGGAATACAGGCCATGACATTTCCTTTGCTCAGATTCAGCGAGCATTCGACATTGTATGTGGAAATGGCTGCCTCTGTCCATGCAAGCCTTTCTCCCCTTTGGCGACTTTCTACGACCAATTATCCTGCTTCATTAACTAATGGCTTCCTGATACAACATCTAGTCGAAAACCCTCTTCCAATCACCGCTGGAGGACAAACAACGATGCACAATAGAGAAAAACAACCAGGGCTGGTCAGGAATGCACACTGAGACGTTAGACCCTAAGACCCAGCCGGTATGTTCCTTTAGTATGCAATGTTATCTTGAATTTCTAATGACCGCTTCTGACGCAACACAGGTAGGAGATTACAAAGAGTGAATCTACCCCCAGAGTCCTGAATGTTGGCTGTCTATCATAAATGCTAACGTCAGCTCTAGAGGTTTCAATTTTGGGGCCTTTGCTGACAGCAAAGCCACCCAACCCATACCGCGAAGCATTGAACCGTATCAAACTGATCTTGCCATTTTCCGAGATTCATGCCACACTCTTTGCCGCAAATTGTTGCTATTATTTGGGATTGGGCTCGGAGTTGACCCGCCAGAGTTCTTTACTGCGGTACATACTCCAGACGAGCCATCAGGGTCCATCTTACGATTCCTCTACTATCCACCCCCAAATGCGACGCCATCAGCACAAGAAGCCGACGTGAGAGCAGGCGCACACTCTGACTATGGCTCGGTGACGCTACTATTTCGACTTAGGGGTCAAGCCGGGTTAGAAATCCTTACACGTACAGGTGGCTGGGCAGCGGTCCCTGTTTGCCCACCCGGAACAGAGGATGATCCCTCACCTCCCATCTTGGTCAACATCGGGGACTTGCTCTCATATTGGACAAACGGACTACTGCGCAGTACTGTTCATAGGGTAACCTTTGCAGGTTCTAAAGCGGAAAATGGTACTAATGCCGTCGAACTCGTGGATGGCGAGTCGACGACAGATCCACGTTACTCTATTGCCTACTTCTGCCATCCCGCCAATGATACACCGCTTGCCGCCATACCAAGCGAGCGTGTGCGCAATTTTCAGAATGGGCTAGCCACTGCCAATGCAGGAAACCCATATGCTGAACGCAAAGTCTTAACCGCAGAAGAGCATTTGAAGATGCGGCTTCGTGAAACGTATCTGCAAATGTATGGCAGCGAAAAACAGAACCAAGAAGCTTAGGCTTAGTTAAAGATGATCTTTAGTTTAAGAAGTTTCTAGTTTATAGTTTGACTACCATCTCTACTCCTCACATTTTGCATTGGTAAGAACACAAAATCACGGCTTCAAAGTAGGTCAATGTCTAACTTCTCAGCACATTCCTCTCGCGGACTCCGAAATTTTTGGTATAGTTTCATCTATCTCGCGCGGATTTCACTTCAACCTTCAATACTATATACGTTTGAAACGAGACTCATGGGTGGTGATCATGTAAGGAAATGGAATGTTTAGGTGCTGAGGCCTGATCAGTCCTTAATATTGCTTCCCCCGTCGATATACACCAAACAATCCCAAGGATCTTGATGCATAAGGCTCCTTGTACATTCTTATGCTAAACAGCCATGGCAGTCATAGGAGAATGCATCTTTGACGAGGCAGCATTTCAACAAGTCACCAATATTTTACTATGGAAGTTTTTTATTCAACAACTATCAATAATCTATCTATTCTTACGATCAAAAATGCACTAGACACATTTCCTCAGAGTTTACTTTTGCTAAGGATTCTCGGGCATCTTGACACTTACATCCCTATGTTGATAGCCGAGCAGTCTGTGGCTACACGTTGTAAGAGAACTACGTACCTTAGGTAGGTAAGTATGGAGGGGTGACTTGGGATCTACATAGCATCTTACCTTTGGTTAGTGCCTTGGTGGGGAAGCGGGGAGCTCCTGTGGGGTATCGAATATCTCGATAAGATAAGGGGCTTGGGTAAAAAAAAAGTGGCAGACATGCTCAAGATAGCAGGAGCTCTAGGTAACAGTATTCTCTTTTCGACGCATTGTAACCGGGAAATTCAGCAATAGCTCCCTAAGACTTACTGTTCTTTGTGACAAAAACTCACATTAATTTGAAGCCCAAAGTTCGTCTTGCCTGATAGTCTCATATCAACAAAATGGCAAAGGAGCGGGCAGCAAAGAAGGAGCGCAAGCGGGACAAGAAGGTATCCGATGACAAGGTCACAAAGTCCGGAAAGCAGAAGAGGCGTGCAGAGCCACTTAGCGACACATCAGATGAAGACTCTGATGGGGGTGCGTCGGTGGATGTCAAATCTGTAGGTGTTTTATTCTCTTTACTCGATGCGCTAGTATGGGCCCTAACGTATGCGAAGTCAAAAGAGACGTCGGTGGTAGAATCTCCAGACTCAGAAATCACAAAACCCAAAGGTGATAAGAAAACAAAGAAATCCAAGAAATCCAAGAAAGAGGCGCAGGTTGAAGCGGAAGCCGAGGATGATACCACCGATGGTGGTGGAGCTATGCTTTTCTCCGTGGATACAAACCCTACGCCTGTTGATCTAGCCACCGTGAAGACAGCGGCACCCCCAAAAGGATCGAGCAATGGGGATAATGAACAGACAGGGCTTAAGAAAATAGCAGCCCCAAGTGGAATGAACCGTCAGGCACGGAGACGAATCAAGATGATAGAGCAACAGAGAGACATCATCAAGAAGAAGAAGGGTATCCCCGAGGGATCTCGGGAAAGAGAAGACGAGGTACAGAAGGACCTCGACAGGTGGACCGAGACCTTAGACAGGAAAACTGCTGTTCGATGTACGTGGACGTCCCTAGATGTTTTCTGCTCTCTACGACACGGCTACGACTCCGAAACTCTGCTATTTGTGCTGTATCTGCCGCTAAATAACCTCTACCCTCCCTAAACTTGGTTGTAACACGCTTGAAGGAAGCTTTGCTAACGAACACTCGTAACAGTGGAAAAGAAGAGAGCACGCAAGTCGAAGGAGCAGGCGCGGCTAAGGTCGAGGCGTGGCAAGCTCCTAACAGGACGGAAGCTAAAGGAGCGCGAGAAAGAAATCAAAAAGGCCGAGAAGAAGGCATCGAAGAAGACCGGCATATCCTAAGTCAATACATAATCATCAGAACACGCTCGATTGACTCCTGCCATATACAGGCATTAATTATCCTTCGCATGGCCTCGGGATCTGTTCGCCGTGTCCTGGTGTTGGGTGCGACTTACGAAAGGGTCTCCTTTGATTTTCTAGGGCTCCATGGCTGGCGTTAGGCAAATTGCTACTGGCTCGATCGTGGCTAGCATAATGTACACCAAGAGATCAACGGTACTAGCTAGCTTTACGGTAATAAGGCGGTCTGATACTTGATGGTATTTGAAGAAGCGAGTTTTCGTGATAATATGCTGTGTCATAATAAACCTCATGTGGCCCGCAACGCCAGCTCTATATGCTCTGTGATGCAATTCATACATATAATACAGTCGCGTATATGATAATACCCTCGCGCGCACAAAGCCCAAATCATTTACGATTTTTTCACGTCTTCATCGGTCTTCTTCTTCGAGTCATCTCCCTCATCCGCCTTCTTACCCCTCCACACCTCAGCAATCTGATCCGTTATAAGACCAAGATACCCACCGCCTCCTTCCTGCAACGCTTCTTGCTCTCTCCGATCGCGCGCCTCCTTCCAATCAGGCGGCGCATCGCCCATCCATATCTTCTCCAGAATGCCCTTATCCCCTTCTTTCTCTCGGCCGACGGGATTCCTCTCTTCCCTCCGTTCTCTCTCGTAAGCCTCCAGCAAAGCCCTCTTATGCGCATCGGTCCACGTCTCCAGAGCCGCCGGCGCAACCCCCGACTTGATCATCTCGTCCCGCAGTACCCGCAACTTCTGGCTGCGCTCTTTCTCCTCACGTAGCCGCGCCTGCGTCGCCTTAGCCTTCTCGGGCAGTTCCGTTCCTGACAGCGCCGCCATGCGCGACGAAAAGCGCTGCGCGAACGACTTGCCGCTGTAGTCGTGCACGAGCTGGTTCGTGCCCCAGATCGCGACGCCGCCGAGCATGGTTGCGCGCAGGTCGAGACGGCGGGGCGGGAGGCAGAGCGCTAGGAGCGCGAGGGGCGTCACTCCGAGGGCGACATTGTGGACAAAAGGGTTTGTATTGTTATATTGGTCCACAGACTTCGTCTGTAATTCGGATTGCGCCGGGGAGGAGGGGTTAGATGTTGACGACGCCATTCTTGCTTTTTGTGTAGGATTTAGATATTAGAATGCTATCATCCTCAAGCAGATTCACGGATGATCTCTGGCGGCGCTTGGGCTGCCGTTGGAATGGAAAGGGCCGGGCCAGCGTTCGATGGGCTTGACGTTGAACTACACCTTGGGAACTTTTTTTTGCAGGGACTACCTAGGTACTTACACAAGTAGCATCTGATAAGCGATAAGGCTACACCCCTATGACCTACCTAATCCACCCACCCACCCTGCGATGGGGTATCTAGCTCTAGGTATAGTCTACCTGAGTTGGTAAATATGGTAAATACTTCAGTGCCGTGTAAATGGCCTTCATCCCTATGTAGGCAGCCGTTTGCCGTATGTGCCCAGCACGTCGAGGTTACTGGGTGAGAGTATGTGTGTACTGGTATCGAATTGCGACATTCGTGAAAGCTGTCTTCCTTCTCGAACCAACGGCCCCTTGCATCACACCAAGCCCGCCATGATAATGACGTGTGCAAAAAGCAAACAAACCAATGTGTGCGCCGGTCAGTTGATCAAATGATCCGATCTCCCGGGGCACGCGGCGGGGTTTGCTTTCGGTAGGCTGCGCCCCGCCGCCTCGGTGTCGATATCCGCGCCCGGCAACACTCAACTCATAGTAGGGAGGCTGTGCTTCTCATGGGACATGTAGCTGGGTACATACCTAGTGTAGGTACTTCGTAGGAATACACACTTAACGGTCCTGCATTTGTCGTTGGGTATTATACAGTCGTAGAAAGAGATGGGCGCGTCGGCTACATCAATCACCCCGCCGTGGCTATTTTGCGTTCGTACAACAACATTCCGCATGATTCATCAAGATCCAATGTGTGACCTTCCTGGAGTTACATCCAGTACGGATACGCTAGGTACCACGATATCAGCCCCCACCCCCTCTATCATCTTGGCCCCCATGTTTTAACATCCGATCGCTAGTTTACCTTGCCATCAATCTAATGCCCCGGACTTATAGACAAGCTATACTCTGGCGGCCGGCACCTAGTCTGACGATATACATCTCCCAGATGCGTGGCGCAGTTACTGGGTAAATTTACGTGCGTGTTGCTCTGTCATCTGCGGTACCTATGAAAACCACCGAAGTGCAGCTTGAGGATAAATAATGTGTCACGTTGATCGGCGTCGCATCGACTCATCGTCGATGGTATACGCTGTAACATCGGAAGCTTGTCAAATTGAAGTCTCGGTCGTCAATGCACCTAGAATGGGTATATATTGCGAGGGAAAGCAGGACACCGAACGCCTCGAATCAGGCACCACCATTCCTAGAAGATGTGAGTTGCTTTTTAGGGCGTCCTGCCTTTAAGATGCGTGGACCTCGGTCTTGCATTTGAGGCTTCATGTTCTGTGCCACCATCTCTCGGTATTCGACTACCTACAATGGCAGTTTTCGAAGAGCTGCCTGGTAGCAGGCAACAACTTTCAACAGCCAGGTGCGTCGAGCGTAGCAATGGAGAAATATGTATGCTTGTAGGCAACTGTATATACTCACAATTCTTTCGAGCCTCAACTACACACCGAATATGCAATACCCTGGCAGTGCCCTTGCCTGAGGCTGCGGGGGCGGGATCGAAGTTTTCTGATAGTTTTTTTATGTTATGAGATGTATTACCGATCCAATTGCGCAAGTATAACGTACCCTTAGAATCATAGTTCACATGATTGGTCGCCCAGTTCATACTATAATAGGTAGCCAGTGAAATGCACCGCTGGGCCCTTGTGAGATATATCCCGAAGAATAGCTGCGCAATGCCGTCTTTTGAAATGGTTTGTCCGTATAAACAACAGAGGTTGGTGTCTTTGCCTTCGCTTATGATTGATATGCGAAAGACTTGCTCATAAAAAAACAAGTGTCATTACCTATTGAAAACATTATCACGCCTAACCAAAGGCGGTCATAGAGCAAGAAGATTTCATAGGAACGGCCCTCCGTTTAGCATCCAATTGAGGTATCACTATATTTTGATATACTGATCTGGCACCGTTTTCCTAGCGTCAGGGCATTTCAACGTGGTCGTTCAGGTCCATTGCATCAAGATGCTCTAGGCTCATTCATGGCGCTAATCGCGGGCCAAAGGGTGTTTGGGAGACCAAAAGCATTACCGGTACGCATATCCCATGTTCTTCATTGTATATTAACCGCCTTTACTATAATTTGGTAGGTGCTATTGACTCTATCACGAAGCGTTATAGGGTTCTAGGGAAACCCTGATGGCCACGATCAGTAGTGATATAGCTCTACCTAAATCACCAGATTGATATGAGGTCGGCGACGCCGAACATACATAGTAGGAGCACCCTGGAACATGAAGTGGATGAGGGTTGTAGTCACCATGCTACCCTTCATCGGGGATGGGTGGTGGGGTGGAAAGCACGTAGCCTACATACCCGGTACGTATCTGAGTCAGATTTTGAGCGCCTCTGATAGCATCGCCAAGCTCACAAGTTTAGGAAGAGCATACTGCCTTTTAATTGGCAAAGAGGTTAGAAAGTGCGGTGTGCTAAGAGGTGATGAGACGATGAATACGCACGCACATCACGTAGCTATGGTTATTTTGGTGAGGCGGGGAAAAGGTCACGATAAGATATTGAAGTTTCGGGTTACTGCACGGTGGTGTACTAGGGTTTATGATTCGGTAACTACGCAGGCTTGCCGCTTAATCTTAAGCGAACATAGTCAAGCGTCCCGCGTACAGTTAATACCTTCTAATGTAGTATCGTTTCTTACGTTTCTTACGAAGTAGCGGGGAGTATTTACAGCAGTACAACAGCAGATATATATGTAGTGTAAACGCACATGTACCTACTACATGTTTGATCGGTTGTGATGGTGACACAAGGAAATAACACTTATGCTCGGAACTTCTCCATCGCCGTGCAACCTCACTTTCCACCATAACGATGGGACTTGATAAAGCAGGTCTTTGCGCACCCTGTGAGAGCCAAGCACACCGCCTAGATGGTTAACTACGATCCTTCAATGTCCAATAGGTAGACTGGCTGACTGATGGGCAATGAATCAAAAATCCATCGATACGCAAGTAAAGCCGGCATATTAGGCTATCTGCTAATACGACCAGCAAAAGAATTCAGCTAATGGGTCCGGATGGTGAGAATTGACGTCGCTAGATGACAGTGTCGCAGCCACACTACCTACAAAGTAGGATGCGGAATATAATCGGCGTGACGACTGTTGCGACGCCATGTTTCTCGTCGAACAACGGCCACTGACCGGCGATTCAAACCTGCGCCGGTGGCGATGAGGCCGCCGACCGTACCCCGTTTTCCACCGCCAGCGTCGCATTTAGCCCCAAGGTTTGCGATCTGCGGGGACTGGTGCCAAGTAAGTTTAGAGGGGCCATAGGGCTGACCTCGAGGCGATTTTCTGGCTGCTAAGCGGTCCGTCGTTAGCGGCAGCATAGCGGCGCAGTGTCTGCACACATATACTCGACATAAATCATGTATGTAGACTAGACTACTTACTGTACATATACACATAATGTGTGGTGGTATGGAGTAGGATAATTATTACCTACCACTGTAAGTATAGGCTAGGTATCAATAGGAAACTCCTTCCGCTTCTGTTTCTGACGAGAAAGTGGATGATATCGGACGTGAAAATTTATTGGGCGGTCCACTAGCGGTCCTTCGGGGAAAGGTCTGTAGGGCTGAAATGGTGGGTGTCATCACGACGAGAACTCGTGTTCATGATCCATGACGGGCCGAATCGGCGCAGGATAATATTTGGCCCATGCAGAAAGTGATGCTGTTGGGTGAAGTGAAGACTATGCCCATTGCGTTAGTATCATTGACGAATCGCTACTGAACAGACTAAGAGTCTCATCTTAATCTGGCGGTCTACACCTAACCCCAGCAATCACCGAACGGACACAGGCTGTAAGATGTGTGTCCCGTAACGACTCAGCGACGTAGAGGTAAGGTAAGGTAAGGTGCCTAGGTAACATCATGATATATAAATATGCTGTTGGGTTGGCAAATTCGTCGAGGTGGCGGGCTGATTTGCCGAGTTGGGCAAATCCGCTGCACGCCACCGTTGGCAGATACCAAGAAAGTTAATTAGTCGCTAGGTACTGCGTGCTACTGCGGTATATGTCAAATACCACTGCAAACTTGGTGAGCTGAAGGACCTGCCAACCTGCATCATGGAGCTCTTCGCTCTTTGACCCCGTCTCCCCTCGCCGCCCCAAACAGCCATTGTTCCCTGCAAGAGAGTGTATATATGAGTGTTATTATGAGTGTACTTGAAGCATGCAAGTATAAAGATTTTTGCACAGCAACAACATGCATTTAAGTCAGCGTGCTCCCGATATATTTAGGTACCCAAGAAGAGGTTCGTAGCTGTACAAGTAGGCTATACTTATGAACTATGAGGGTAGCATTCCTCTCTACCCTAGCATCCTCTGCCCTAAATCCTGTCGGGTGTTCTGCAGATTTTGCCCTAGTTGCATCATGCATGTAGTGCAGAACCAACTACCATAAAAAAATAAAAATAAAAAAAGGCCAGGAAAAATGGCTGTAAAGCGCCGCTGGATAGGCAGCCATCAAGTCATGCTGTGAAGAGAACGTAACATATTAGAATAAACAACTAATCCAAGTTATTCGTCTTCGTATATATATTATATATATATTCTAGACATACTTAGTAAACCTGCTCACGACGAAAAACAAAATAAAAAAAAAACAATAACCATCTGTGCAAAAGAGACCACCGACTCTAGCCTTAGTGTACTGTACCTACCTAGGCATCGTCGAAGGTGGATACATGGCTGCACTAATGCCTAGCTGCGCTAAGGCTATGTAGGTACATTTCGGGGCATGTGAAGCTGAGGCGGTATAGATACCTTCCGTACATTGGCTATTCACATCGTTGTTAGCATTCAAGATCAAAAGTGACGGCCATCGCGGCGGTGCTTGTATCATTCGTAGTCTCATCTAGCTTTATTTATATTATATCCATAAGGTTCTGTGTGGGCAATTACATCGGAAGGCTCGATGGCTACCTATACAGCAATAGGCAGATGGGAGGGGTCCGAAGCGCCAAGTGATGCGCCGGAGTTTAACAGCTCTCTCGCGTAATGTACGGATTCACTCGACGCCTCCTTTTCGCCTCCTTTTCGCCCATTCGCAATCCGTCCCGCCCTACCACTGCAGACCCTGCCCTACTTTGCATTGATGCTACTCCGCTCTAGATACTGCGTCCCTACATCTTGGATGTAGACTAAAGGTGCTACGAATACATGTACATACGATAGGTATCGTAGGCAGGGATGGTCTCGATGGCAGTAGCGCACATTAGGTAGTATATATACATACATATGTAGGTCTGCATGTACATACATATACCTACATACGTACCTACCTACTTGTGCTTAGTACGAAGGAATGACTTGAGTTAGTGTACCGATCTATCGTCATCATATAAGGTACGGACGGGACGGGACTGTCCTTTTGGCAGCAACTTAACTTACTTTTAAGCTACCTACTCGCCTACCTACCGCCCACAAAATATGTTAGTACAGATAGGTAGTACAGATACCTATCTATACAATTGCCCGGGCCACATACATGCATCAAGATCTACACTGCTCCCACGAGGTGCCATCATCTCCCCAAGTCTGCCACAGTAGGTACTGCACAGGGTTCGCGATCGGGACTTTCAACCGCCTACTTCCCTCTTCTTTCTTCAAGGTTACGGATACACCGGGCCCACCTTGGTTGTACAATCACACGATCTAGGTTGACAGATATCCACCTCGCTATCTACTGTACCTACCGAGCCGTAGTAGTCAGTACTTAGCACCTCCCTAAGGTAGCTACTGATAGTGGCTGCGCAAGCCTGATCCCCGACTCGGACCCCTTGAACTGGTACACTCTACCACCCATAAAGACGGCGATATCCCCATACATACAGAGCCCTTCACAGCACCAACATCTGGCCCATCGCACCGCCGCTACCTGGTCGCGACCAGGATTTAAGAAGCAGCTGGGACATCACCTCTTCCCCACACTGCTGTTTCCGATCATAGAACCCGAACCCAGACCAGTCTACCTCTATAACGTCCCAATCTCCGCCGCCGACGAAACCGAGTCAACTTTGCCAACCTGGAGCGGAGAACGTGACAGCTGTAAACACCACAATTGATACTTGTCTTCAGCGCGGTTGGTTGGTGTGTAGAGTTGGTCGCATACCTTGACCCTACCAAGGCATCAACCCGAATCTAGCCGTGGCTGTAAGCTTTCCTGAAGACAAAACATTGTCATGGTCGCGTTTGCGATCACCAGTGAGAGCACGTCTTCGGTCTGACACCGCGCTGGCAGACATGCTCAAGAGAAGCATCATGTGTGCGTCGCCCTTGGACAGCAGGTCCGGTGGTGGTGGCGGCGCTCATGGTGATCCTCAGAAGCCGAAGAAGGTTCGGGCCAGCAAACCCAAAGTCAAGACTGGTTGTAACAATTGCAAGTGAGTATCATTCTTCCCTAGAAGCTAGCTAGAGGCAGGGGTCAACCTAACTATACGAACCAAACATGTTGAGCTGCTGACTTGGAACCACAGACAACGTCGTATCAAGTGTGACGAAAAGCGACCAGCATGCACTCAATGTGTGCGCTCCAAGAAACAGTGCACCGGTTATCCCCCACCTCCCCGAGCTAAGATCTACCAAGAGCAGGTAATTGCGCCCCGGCCACCACAGCAAGCCGTCGTGCAGTCTACTCTGCCGGTACTACCCATTACAGTGAACCATCAGGCCTTAGTTCCTCAGCCTGCCACCATCGTCAAAGCGATTTCGCACAATAGATCTCTCACCCCCCCAGAAAGCCCCAGGTATTCATTGATGTTGCGCGAGCCATCGACGATTCCCTTCGATGCCCAACAAGGTCAATATTTCCAATTATTTAGGGATTATACCGCTAGTGAGCTGTCCGGGTTCTTCGATTCCTCGTTCTGGACGAGGCGTGTATTGCAAGAATGTCATTTGGAAGACTCTATAAGACATGCTGTCGTTGCCCTAGGCGCTCTCTATAAGACGCTTGAGAAAATGTCAGAATCGCCACCAAGTTCTCCCTCTGATATCGACCAGCTGGACAATGCCAATCGGCATTGGGAGGTTGCTTTCAAGCATTATTCCCTTGCCATCAGGGCGGTGGTCAGCTCGGCTTCTCATGACCAGGCTAAAAAACGGATGAGTTTGATGGCATCCGTTCTGCTAGCCTGTTTCGACTCATTCATCGGCGATCATAAGCAGGCCATTCGGCAGATACAAGGTGGACTTGCCCTGCTGGAGACACTTCGTGCTGAACGTCGCCAAGCTAGTCTTCCACAGCCTGAAGAGCCAGTCGAACAGGATCTCATTCAGATGTTTACTCGATTAGCTATTCAAGCTAAATCGTACGACCTAGCTTTCCACTTCCCTCAGCCCTATGTTATCCGCCTGACCCCCAAGGTTGGAGTCACTACACCGTCAGCCTCTGACGGAGGGCCTCCCGTTTCAACAAGCGCAACCCAAATCCCAGTGGTATTCGCATCCTTGCACGACGGGAGGTTAGCATGGGATACCCTTTGTGAGAGGATCATGAGGTTTACAGAACAGATGTCTGCATATGTAAAAATGAGTCCCATGAACATACTCCCCATAGAGCTTAAGCGTTACGGAATGGGGTTCGACGAACAAATGGAAGCTTGGTCAAGAGCCTTTGACCCAATCCTCGCCTCTCGCATGGCACCGGCGAAGAGTACACAAGAGAAGACGGCAATTGCAGTTTTGAAGATGAATCAGATTATGGGCCGTATTCTCTTCAACATGACGTTCTGTGATAGCGAGTCAGACTTCGATCAATTCTTAAAGTTCTTCCGTGACATCGTCAACTTAGCCATGGAGGTGATTGGAGACGAAGAGCGGCGGGCTGCCGCAAAGAGGTGTCCTAATCCAGACTACTGCCAGCACCAGCCAGTACATGCCGATATATTTGGCGAATACACAGCCCGGCACATCAAACCAAGTTTCAGTGCTGATCTGGGTATTGTACCACCACTCTTCGTCGTCGCCACAAAATGCCGTGACCCTCTTACCCGCCAGCAGGCCATCCAATTATTGCGAACCAGTTCACGACGTGAAGGGATGTGGGATAGCGAGCTTTGTGCTCGCATAGGCAGCTGGATAGCGGCGATTGAGGAAGAAGATGACGGGATCGTCGATTTGCCACGCCCTCTTTCAAGCTCAACTGATACTAGCAGATTATCAATTGGCAGTCCTAGCTCCATGTCCAATGGTTCTCCAGCCTTTGGGGAAGATATACCCCTTGGCCCCGGTGGCAATGCCCGTTGGGGGAGTAGAAAAGAAAGCTCGCCAATGTCACCTCAGACGAGGGTTGAGACGAATATGATTCCCGAGAGAAAGCGTGTTATGGTTCGAGCTGTCGAATTCGATTTACAGAAACGAGTTGCCGTACTTCAGTGCGGCACCAGGGGGCTAATTCCTGGCATGCCCGATTTACGGACGCGTGCTACTAGGATTGTGTGGTGATCTTTCACCCGCCGCTCGGTCCCTCCTCCCCGAGTTCCGTTATGATCCGTTATTATCCTTAGGTTTGTGCTTGTTTGCTGATGCCAAGGTGAAAGTTCTCGCGCGCATTTCGCGCCTATCTCCGATTATTACTAATTGGCTGGTCCATTTCTTCTAATACCATACACTTCCATTACACGTTAGGGAAGGTTATCCTCACAAGAGACTGGAGTTGTGTTAGGTCATTTCAATGATGGATGTGTGCCATATATGTTCAAGTCTATGATTGTCGGTGGCCCACGAGACGATTTGTACCACGACATTATGTAGAAAACCTATGGCATATGATTTGTATCGGCGCTTTTGGGGGCTTTTAGCATGGAAGGAGTAAAGGACCGGTGCTGGCCTATACTTACTTACACAAGTCTCGAGCATTTACATCGTTTAGAGGGGCTTCGATTCATTGCTCAGGCAGGTTAATTCTGACATTTTGAATCAGGCAAACAGACTTTTTGCATTTACGTACACGGGCTCGCTAGGTTTCACGCAGTACTTGTGATTTGTCGGTGGTAGGTAAAACTGTATCTTCGGCGACGTTTATGATTTCCCCCCTCTCTCATATTAGGACAACGAAAGCTACACGTATCATTATATAATCGGGTTATAAGTGTGGGTGACCTGCAGTAACAAGATGTGCCAAGTCAGAAAACAACAGGGATATCTATCAAGATGTTGAGTGATTGTCCTTATATGTCACTGGATCAAATTAGATGACTATCGGAGTTTTATTCTAATTCTTTCTTCGTTCCTTCGGCGCCATCATCTCTGTCTTCGTCATCATCATCTTCTACTACTTATGTTTCTCTACCAGGTACGCAGTCTTATACTGTATTTATTACACTAGAGCCGCCTGTTTTTCTGCTTATTCAAACTCTACATTTTTTAACAAACGGCGGGTTGTAGAGGGAGACTAACGGTACATACTTACAGGGAGAGAGTGTGAGACAGGTAAAAAATGGGCCACATCTCTATTTTGGGAACGTAGAACGCATTGATTACAAACCCCATGCCCTATGAGTGCCTAGCCCGTAAAGGACCAGTGCATTGGTCTCGTTCGAACCAGACTTGAGAATTACTAGCTTCGAACAATCAATCCTACGTGGGTAGATAGTTGTCAACTTCAGAGTCTTACGTACAAGTGCTGGAACAAAGAAAAGGAAACAGGACGTGCCTTGAGGTAAGCACTTGCATAGGTACTTTATCGTTATCTTATTAACACCATGGTCTTAACTCCGATATATCTGCTACGTGGATACGTTAGTAGGCAACTGAGTTGAAACTCACTGCAGTTTTACCCTTTACATCTTTGCCAAGTTATATTCGGTTTCATGGTTTAGAGGCCATGGAGGTTGTATACTGGTAATTCATCTCCTAGGAATTAAGACTCGTATGTAGCACTACGCAAATAGGCCCTCCTTCTCTCGAAGACCATCTTGGAATTCTATGCTGATCTACCCAACTTCCACTTTCCGCGCCACGTCGGGTCCAGGGCGATTCCCCAAGGGTAAGTGTCCCTAATGGGTTGGGGTAGGAGAGGAAACGGGCTAAATCAGCGAATGTGCTCTTGGCTAACGTCGGTGGGCCATTTAAGTTACGTAGGCGTCAAAGCCGCAATCCGCACTCTCTCGTCTCACCACCTGCATTCGTATGCAGAGACATCTTTAGATAGGTCAAGCGCAACATCAAGGGGGTCAAAATCCGAGAATCCGAGAACAAGTCGTCTTATTCTTATTTAAATAAAGATAACCTCGGTATTGAATCTCGATCTCAGCACACTGCGGCTTTATTCATCATCTTTTGATTTTTATTCCAGAGTCCGATCCGAAAGCCCGGACAACGTCTCTTCCCCCCGTATATCCGAACAACAAGCCTGCAGTATGGCAAGTACCGACAGCAACCGGCGGAGTAGTAGTCCTCGTAGAGTTGACACTTCTGGCGATCAATCACCCGAGACATCGGCACCCGCCAAGCGTACACGCGTTTTGCTGTCATGTCACCCTTGCCGTGCCTCAAAGCTCAAATGCAACCGCCTCACGCCCTGTGGCCAGTGCTTGAAGCGAGGCAAGGTAGATGCATGTGTCTATGCTCCTCGGGTGGAGAAGACCAAACCCGCAAGGACAATGGCTGCAAGGTTAAAACGCCTTGAGGGTATGGTGCGCGGAATGGTCGAGGCAGATGGCGGCGTCGCCGGCGATGATAAAACTCAGGGCGAACCGACTCAAAGTGAACAGGGCGGCTCTGTTGTCTACAATGAGCGGGGCACGAATTACGTAGGCGGCACACACTTCATGGCCATCTTAGAAGACGTGAGTAGCTCGAGTACTGTTGAGGCAGAGTAGGAAGCTAATACAGACAAATCAACAGCTCGAGGATCTCAAAACATATTTCGAGGATCCCGAAGACTCAGATCTCGATGGTAAGTGATACCAGGTATTAATATCCTGTTCCCTACGTGACAACTCAAGAAAATCCAGCTTGAGGTGTGACTATGGGAGTCCGCCCCCCCTTCAAGTACATTGATAGATCGCCCTTAGGGATGTGATGACTAACTCCGATCGAACTTTGTTGGGACTTTGTAGAAGAAGATCCGTACGAGAGCGTAGGTCCTAGCGAACTGCTCATGCTGTCGAGGGGGGCTCCTCGCAACAAAGAAGATTTGATAGCCTTGCTACCGAGCAAAGGTGTTATGGACAGGCTGATGAATCGTTACTTCAATGCAAACAGTCCATGTCAGCGTACGTGGATTCCCAGTAGCCTCGCTACTAAGTTGACGAAACACCGATGCACTAATGTACAGATAGATATCATCCACATTCCTACTTTCACAAAGCAATACGGTACGTATCATAACCTACCGTGCCGGTTCCAGGACCGAGACTTGATAGAATGATCTATTGTCTTCCCGCGCTAACTGTTGCCGCAGTATGTGAATTTTTGATACTGAAACGTGATCACTATTATCTGCGTAATTCTAGAAAGTATGGAACAAGAAGCTGGACTAATACTTTTTTATATGGCAGAACGAGTTCCTCAAAGACAGATACGCAGCGGACATCCACTGGATAGCCATTTTATTCATGATCCTAGCGCTTGGCATCTATTTTTCTTCCTTCCATTCGCCACAGGAGCTAGAATTGGATAGCTCTATGCCAGCCAGTAGGCATTTCTGTTTCTTCCGGCCTATTATTATGCCTTTTAGCAGACGCCTCTCTCACATGCTGTGTGTTCATCTACGGAGAATGATCATTATCTAACTTCTAGTTCTTCACAGTGGACCGGTTCCGGCAGTACCGAGGCGCGTGTGGTTGTGCGTTGATGTACGGGAAGTACTCACATCCTGGTCCCTTCACCCTCCAGGCGATGTGTCTTTACCTGGAGGGCGACTTTCTTGCCAATCGCGTCTCGCAAGTGAACTGTTATCTTTTGTGCTCGACCATCATGCGCTTGATGATGAAGATGGGCCTACATAGGGACCCCGACAAATTGCCGCGTATCTCACCGTTTGAAGGCGAGATGCGGCGGCGAATGTGGAATTTCGCTGTCCAGATCGACTTGATGGTCTCGTTTCACTTGGGATTACCCTGCATGATCCATGGCATTGAGAGTGACACAGCCCTGCCTCGCAACCTTCTCGACTCAGATTTTGACGAAGACAGCACGGAACTCCCACCATCGCGCCCCAATAATGACTATACACCAATCTCGTAAGTTATTCATATTGACTCTTTATGTATGTTGGTAATGTACAAAGTAATGAAGCCTTTGTCTGGAGCCGTCAGTCGCAAAGTTGTGATGACTGACTGAGGAATGTAGCTATCCGATCAGTAAGTCGAAAGTAGCGCGAGGATTTGGCCTTGTTGCACGTTTGTCTCACTCCTTGACTTTACCGACGTACGCCGAGATTATGCGCGTCGATGCCCGCGTCCAAGATGCATGGTCGAGCGTACCATCATTCTTTCGGGTCAAACCTCTTTCTGAAAGTGTCACCGATCCGCCGATGATCGTTATCCAACGATTCGGCCTTGCTTCTTTATACCAGAAGGGTAGATGCGGTAAGGGAACGCCATTTCAGCCCTTGTCCTAATAGCCCCTTGGCAGTTCCAACAGAGGCGCAAGTTGCTCTTCGGAATTCAGCGACTAATCTCGAGTGTTGCAGTATTGCATCGCCGATACCTCGTCGATCCTCGACGACTCAAAGAGCACGACTACTCCCGCCGAACGTGTCTCGAGGCTGCTGTGGCGCTTTTAAGCTACCAGAGCATCTTGGCTGATGCGACCAAACCGGGAGCCCTCCTTGCGGCAAATCGGTGGTTTATTGCTTCTTTGGCGATCAACGACTTCTTGTTGGCCGACATGGTGGTTGCCCTTGCAGTGCAGCAGGAGAACGAAAATGAGGACGGCACCGACTGGATGGCCACGTGTACGCCGCCTTTGGACAAGGATTCGTTGATTCAGATGCTCGAGCGTTCTTTCACTGTCTGGGAAGAATGTAAGTTGTTCGTTCATACTTGCTTGGTCTTTGCCTAGCCCTACGCAATTGTGACTCTCCCAGCTGACCTAAATTCACCAGTGGCTGTCACAGTAGCGGATTGTCGCAAGGCAGTGAGCGTCGTGCGAACGATGCTCGAGAAGATATACGCACAACAGCGGAGGAATTCTGACTTTCCGAGTGAGAGCATCCCGACCGGGTCGACCAGCAGCTATGACGAGCAGACCTCATCCATGGCCGATATGAGTCTGGGAAGTACCTGGACCAATCATTCCTCTGACGGGTATGGCGGCATCGATCACAGCAATGGCATGAAGCCCTCAGCGTCTGACGTTGAAAACTTCGGCATGATGGACCCGAATCTCGTCCCAGCAGGGGGCCACGATGATAGCGGAGATGCTCAGTCGCATATGAGCACGACAGACCCATGGGGTGTTCCACAGATGCAGAGCGGATACGACTGGGTGAGACGATTCAATTATTTCCTTGTCTCTATTGAGATACTTATGAGTTCTTTTCGCCGACTATTACTGACCAGTCTTGCTCAGAATCAATTTGATGCCCTGACCCGGGGTCCTACAGATCACATAGCGCAAGTTCCACAGCTGTCGCAGATGCCGCCGACTCCTCATAATGTAAGCGCCGTACATACCTAATCATTTTCTTTCGTGCACATGAGTCTTCATTTTTATCTGTACCTACATTCGCACATTCATGTGTAGAGGGATTGACTGACGTAGAATGCCATGTCTAGTGGATCGACCAAAATACGTACAATGATTTCGGGGACTTCCTGGCTACTAACTCGTGGAATTCAACATTCCCTGGTATGTAGAGACTAGGTAGCTGGTCTATCTATCCACGGTATTACTTACAATGGAGATTCTTGTCGTTGAAGGGTTGGTTATGCGTAAATCATTTTGTTTTGATAAAGTGGTAAAACAAAAAGGCAGAGGCGGAGAGGACCTGTCTAACCTACAGTATGACAGATGACGTCCCGTCCTCACTCACATTCAATTATGATGCCACCATTACATGGGCCGATGGGCAGATGGATGGCTGTATAGATAAAGCTCCGAGCGGAAGGACAAGGCTGAAAAGGGAAGATGTGTACGAAGATGTGTGAGGTTCGATAGGCCCAGCTGCCGATGAAAGAGGCGATTGAGGAGGGGTTTGGGTTGGTGGAGTTGGGGCGGCCGCGGGGTACATACATCCAACCTACTCTAGGCACATATTTTAAGTACGAAGTAGGTATAGGGAGGTACATCAGATACGAAGACGATCGTATCATGAACAGGAATACCCCGCAATCGATCATGTTGTATTCCGACTTCGCCTATTTCCTGCTGATGTAACCTATCGCTCAAATATCACGCGCATGTTTTGTATCTCGAATGCACGGCCCTGAGGTTTTTCGATGAACAGGTACGGTAGGTAACTGTATTTCGATAATAAGCCGAAAGTAAGCGAGGAAAAAGAAAAGATTCATGATCAAGTATGGCAGTGGGAACAAAGCAGGATGCTCGGCTGTAAGTCCATATTGCTGCTTCTGTCTCGGTGTGTTTCGACGGGCATCCGTACATGAAAAGGTGTCTGTCTACATACAGTAAAAGCAAAATGACACCAAGAGACAGACAGAGTAGGAAAGAAGGCCCGCGGAGTTGTCCAGAGAAGCCAAGAAAATTCAACCATGACGTCGTTCCTCGATAGCTCTTTGACCGAGGTTTACGTACAGGAAAGATTTTTTTAAAGAAAAATAAATTTTAGTAGGAGAAGGGAAAATCACGTTTGTCAAAAAGCTTATTCTAGTTGGCGAACTTGTACGTAATAGGGACGGACCTACGCAGCTAGGCAATAATCAAGTAGGTACATACCTAGTAAGTGATCTTACACCCCAACCTCCCGGTCAAGGACTTATCGCGGACCGGTTGACCCCCCTGTGTCCACCTAGATGCCGATGGAATCGTCATGATGGAATCTCACCGTGTGATATAAATTCAATAATGGCCTTAGGATGGGCTCTTCTTCCGCCGATGCCAAGCCGATATGGGCTACTCCATTTACTCCTCTTCATGTAACTCGAGCGGGCGCTTAAAAGTATACCTGTTTCTTGGTATGTATGATCGGTCTGGAGCTACACGTAGGCAGAAATTGAAGCCGGTCTACTACGTACTTTCACGATACTACTTACTGCACCTATCAGATGCGGTCAACAGGTAGGTGTGTAGGTGTACTATGTAATTTCCAGGTTGAGTGGGTATGGCGAGTTGCAGGTCGTCAGTTTTCTCTCCGACGTTGGTTCTTTCGTGGCTTCTATCACATGCATCGAACCCCGCGAACCAATTAATCAAGGGGCGTGGCTGGCCGCATATCCTGATCAGTACCTACTTAGCTGTACGTGTATGTACATAGAGAGAGAGTAGATAGGTTACCTAAGTAGGTAGGTTGCTGATTATTGCTATTTCTGTTGATCACATCGAGCATCGAGCTCCTTTCTTCCGATTTAGCGTAAACGTCACTCACTACCTGCAGTATCTGGCATGAAGTTCCAACCGCTTCCGATACCGAACCGCCCGCTGCACAGCAACTGTTATATTATTACATATAGGAGCTACCTACTCATGCATCAACACGGACAGTATGTGTCTGTACTATGAGATTCCGTTTTTGCACGACAGCGAGGAGCTGACCTGCCGACTCTCCCCGCACTAGCCAAGTGTCTACATCCTTTTTTTGTTTTTTCTTCCAAATAGTCTCCTTCTCTCACCCCTCACTGCCTAGGTACGTAGCGTGTATATGAGGCAACTTATTAGCTAATTATAGACCAATTCTTTGCAAAGAAAAAAAAATTGTTAGCGAACAACTTGTCCGAGACCAAAAAAATGTGGATTCTTTGGAATCGTTCAAACTATTTTCTAGCGGTTGATCCTCAACCGTTGGCTTCATCAATGGGCCATCAACTCTACTTACTTACTTAGTATTCAGACTACCACTCGAGCCACTTACTGTACATGCTGTGTGGTGGTGCACGGTAGTCCCAGGCTAGACAGCCCTAAGGGCATACCTACTGTACCCCGTACGCTACCACACGTCACGGTATCTAAGTATAATAAAATCCCTAGTAATTTTCAGCCCAGGTGTCTTCATACCGCTAAAATGATCTGGCCGGGCTGGAGCCCTAGGTGTGAATACCTATATGTGAATATATGTAGAGGTAGGTAGTAGGTCAGGATTACTTGGTGTAGGTGTGGATATTATATTCATTTTACTTACAGTACCGGTAGGTCTTTATTTATACGACGGCCACAATGACAACCCCGGGAATCACGCCGTAGGTAGTGCAGACACGCAAGATCGGCCGGCATTTCCATTTCTGCAAAACAGCCTGCAGCTAGGCCGTAAAGAAAACCGGGTACCGAAAACGATAAGAGGGCTTCTAAAATCGTCGTCCTTATTGGCTTGTCTGGAGACACCCCAGCCGAGCCAACCGCAGCTGTTGGTTTTACCTAATCCCATGCTAGGGAGTTATGAAGGGACAGTCACTGACCTGACAGATTAAATGTACATATAACTGATGGTAACCAGCTTCGTAGGACATGGTATCTATAAGTATGGTGCCTAGGTAGTGTGCTCTAGTGCAAGCCGGAGCAATAGCAGTATTTGATCATGTGAACATTTGCTCAATTTTATTCCCACATCCATTTTATATGGATGTAGGTACATACATAGTAGTTGGGTGAAGTCCGTACGCGTACGCGACTACTACCTAGTACACAGTAGTGTGCTGCACTAAGTCATTTCTACTATGTAACAAGACGATATATCTCTTCACAAGATGCCTACCAAATAACACCATCTACCACGTGCCCAAGAGCAGTCGGTCCATCCCTGTAAATGTACTTATGTGCAAATATGCATACCTACATACTTCTTCTTCTGTATGTACATGTAAATACATCTTACGTGTTAGGCGCGTACTTGTAAGTATACATGTAGCACGTGGTATTGCTGGTCTTTGCTGCTCTTCCGATGTCGAGCCGGTCTGGTCTGGTCACTGACGATGGGGCCTCCCTTGAATCTCAACCTGACTTACTATGTACTTACAATCTCTCGGCCCCATGTTGGTGGACTGGTCTTCAACCTTAGATCTGTTTGCTGCAAGTCCTTGACCTACCTAGCAAATAAACAGCACGGCTGTTGTCTCCCTGCATGGCTGGTCGATCGATGACAAGGGGTAGAGCTATGTACATACTTACCGTTCATGGCTAACCTAGTTCTCATCGATACTATCTCTCCACACACTTTATAGCAGAGCCAACCATTTAGATGCATGTACCATGGTAGGATGAAACCGTTTGATAGTGGAAACTTGCCCTGCCTGCCTTCAGTACTTAGGAGGTATAAGGCATGTTTGTTGTATTCTTAGATTAATTCTCCCCATTGCCAAAATTACCCATCAGGCAGTTGCTAAGTGTAGTTTAGTGATGTTTGCTTGTGCGGGCCATCAGAGAATTCAAATGAGCCGAGAATCACCTAGCCCAAACGTGCAAAGTTCTATACACGGGCGGATTACATAGTTACGTACTCTAGATACTGTACAATTCTATTCCAAGAGGTCTCTCCGACCTGCTGTGCCCCGTCATGGAATGCAAAGAAAACAGTCACAATTAGGTAACAGTGGTACCAGCAGACCCAGTTATCGGCATTCCTACTGCGACTGTACTGGATATGTACAAGCGGTGGTGTGTGCGTGCTGGCACAGCCGCCGGTGACAAAGATCCATCCTCAGCCATCCCAGACCAGACTCCCAGACCAGACCAAGGCGCCAGGTCCCAGCTCGATCCGCGCGAACGACATCGGAGCCGCTCGTCCCATCCGGGTCCCTCATTCCTCACTGCTACTCGTAGACGTCGCACGCTGATTGATACCATCCACCCATGCACCAGCGTTTCTGGCAATATGCCAACGGGTTACCGTCTTGTACGCTACTCTATCTAAGTACGTACATGTATAGTATGCCAAGTACCTAGGGAGACATGGCGATAGGGAGGTAGGCATATTGACTAGCATACGCACTATCAAAGCATCTGGAGATGAAGCCCGCACACGGGCCTGAATACGTGATTCCGGCTACTTAGTACTTACAGGTACGCTAGGTAGTCTTGAAATATATGCCATACCTACCACCTACATATGTAATCTACATAGGCAGACCTAGGTAATCTGCTGTAATCTGCTCATATCCTGGACCTGGGTAGACAGAACGGACAGAACCCGGTCGTGCTTGATTAGGCTCTGGTATTGCACTACACGCACACACCCCTTGGCATCTCTCTATCACTCCCTACCTACCTACTTACTTCTTACCTGCTATGCTCACTCCTCACTTATCAGGCCACCGACTCAGATAACGTTTCTGATGAGGCAGGCTCCCGCCCTTAGTCCGAATAGTGAATCCGCGATAAGGGTCGAGGGGGAGCCAGGAAAGGAGTCGCTCTCCCGTCTAACGACACACACCCGCCCACCTATGAGGTGCTCTCGTCACTTGCCTCCCTGCCTACTTACATAGTACTCCCTCAAGTACTTTTCCTAACCACCGACTCTCCACTAATTGCTTGCTGTCTCCATACTGTTGCGTTGTCACTTGATCTGATAAATTTGACTTTCGACATTTGGCTCGCTAGTAAGGTCCGGTCCATCAAACCCTATCGTCCGAGAGCCGCCCCGCGGCCTATTATCTCGCCAACTGAACGAACGACATACAGTAGGTAGGTAGGTATTATCAATATCAAATACCTACCACTTGCTATAGCTCCTCGTCTTCCGCGTATCTCTTCCTTTAAACCCTTCGCCTGTCCCTATTGGGTCGTCACAAACTTTTACCCCAGACGTGGAGTACCAGACTGCTGGCCTCGCCTCAGCCTCTTTCCCCGACCTATCGCCTTCCTATCCATCCGTCTATCTACTCTAGGCTAGCCATAGAGGAGAAGCTACAAAAGCCAAACGGAGCTTTACCCGGGGTACTTGATCCCCGTATCTGCAAGGAGAGCGGCCCCTTTGCGTTCACGGGCCCTCTGTGGCGCTGAAATATTGGCTGAGAGTTGTCTCGAGTTCTAGCAGTTCACATCTGTCTGGGGCCGCCTCACCTGCGCTTTTGTCGGTGTCAACTTTTATTACCTAACCCACCTATCTTCACACCGGACCTAGTGACAGCCTGGGTCCTTCGTTTCATCAATCATTGCATCCGGACTACAGACAACTTCGATTTTAGGAAGGGTCTGCTGCCCCAGACAATTCATCTGATCCTACCCCACGGTTTTGCGTTAGCTCCGTGTAATAAACCATCCTACTCCCTCGCCTCCGAGGCGTGCCAGCTCACTGAAAAGTTTCTAGCTTTCCATGCTAGAGCATATTACATTCTGGATACCGGAAAATCCACCGCCTTAGTCAAATATAACTCGCCTATCACGCACATCTACACTGGACACGATACATTATTTCATCATTAACCCAAGGCCAGCCACCACACATAGTCATCATTGTCGGCACCTGAAGTATTCTTGCTGGTTTGTAAGTGGTGATTCAAGGAGCGATTAGACCTATTCCTTTGTTCTCAACCAGGCCAGCAGCTTTCCTATCTATGCTAATTGCTTCCAAATTCATAGCAGCGGTAGGTTGAGAACCCTGGATATCGGCTGGGACTTTCGTTCTATTCATCGCTCGTCGCTAGGTTTTTCTGCTTTTGCCCAGCAATATAAAACAGCCATGCCATCATCAAATCCTATTCCAATCCAGACTAATCTGGTGTTCCGCCCAGCACCGGGCGATCAACAAATTGGATCACCAAAAGCTGTACAGTATTCAAAGCATAAGCACTCACGATCTTCATACTCGGAATCTTCACCACTTACCGCTGTATCGAGGAACAACTCGTTGAGCTTCCGTCCTTTAAAGCGCTCCACACCGTCGCCTAACAAAACGATCGCTGTTATAAATGCAAGTGGCCGCCAGGCTGCTTCACTGATCCGGATAGCGACGGCTGTTGGTTTCAAAGTCCGTGCTCAACTCCGGAACCTTGAAGGTGTCATAGCTACGGAGGTAGCCACAAACCCGAATGTGACCGTCTTTGTTGGAGAACTATACATCCGCAAGAAGCCAGATGATAAACAGGACGTCACTGCTCATGGTGACCTCCCGGGTATACTAGTAAACCACAGCTTAATCACTGAGCTCTTCAACGGTGCTCAATTGGCTTTCATTAACACAACCTTTTACGGAAACGAACTCCAAATAGGACGGGCGATTGCAGACGCAGCGAAGAGGGTTGGTGTGCAGCACTATGTTTATTCATCCATGCCAGATCACTCTAAATACAATTCCTCGTGGCCGTCTCTCCCTCTTTGGGCAGCAAAACACGAGGTGGAGGAGTATGTTCGAAAAATTGGGCTACCTGCTACCTTCGTCTATACCGGCATTTATAACAATAATTTCACCTCACTTCTTTTCCCATTATTTTGTATGGAGCTGAAGCCTGACAATTCTTTTGAATGGCAAGCCCCTTTCCACCCAGATGCTAAATTGCCGTGGTTAGACGCAGAGCATGATGTTGGGCCAGCTATTATTCAGCTATTCAAAGACGGGCCTGCTAAATGGAATGGGAAACGCATTGCACTTGCTTATGAGTATTTAACTCCTTTAGAAGCATGTCATGCTTTTGAGAAGGGGGTTGGAAGGCCGGTGAGGTACAAGAGAGGACCAATCGAAGTCAAAGTAAAAATACCCGAGGGATATCGGGAGCAGCTCGAAGGTTTAGAGAAGTTGTTCTCACCGTCCAACAAAGACGCCGATAAACAACCGCCTTACTTTGGTGACCAGAAGCTTGATGATAGGTGCCCTGATGATGCACTGGCATTGTGGGAAGGACCACGAGGCCTTGAAGAATACGCACGCGAAATTTTCCCCATGGAAGAAGAGGCCAATGGCATGACATGGATGTTCGATGACGAGGACGGTGCCACGTATGAACAACCGGACGCGACCGTTGATATTTCCAACATCAACGAAAAGGGACAGGATGGCAACGAAGGAGACGGAGACGATGACTCTTTCGATGAAGGCCTTGTGATGAGAGGCTTGAAGAGGGACGAAGAAGACTGGCTAGCATAGCCCCTCCCGTTCTGAATCATTCTTGAAGCTTGCGACTACTTCCATATTCGATCATGCAACCCACAAGGATACCAGAACGGCTGCAATGAAGTTCTCGTTAGGGACTCCGTCTGTCTGGGGAGTGTGCAACTTCGATCACGCCTAAATGTCCCCGAGCGAATTAAACCTAGGGCTACACTACTGGACTAGCACTCGATCAGAGATCGTCCCCTCTAGCTTTCTATCAGTTTCAGACTATTCCAAAAAGGCACCTTATCCATCAGTGTTCAACTTGTTGGATGCGTGAACAGAGGAAAATAGAATCTTTCATGTGTTGTATGACAAGATGATACGCACCATTAGCTCGGCGTTTCAGGTTTTTAAAAGAAAAGGTTATCGGTTTGCAATCAGAACGGCGTTATAGTCGGAAACATTGGTTGCTCTTGCTTCTGCAGAGAAAAGGCATATTTGGATAGCATACGAAAATTTTAAAAAGGTTGCGGTATGGATAATGATATCGAATGAATTAGAGAAGAAGGAAGAAGAAAAGACAGAAGTGCTCCAGAAACATGAACTTGGTATCTCTTAGTCGGGCCTCTTCTTTACTTGAATCAAGGCTACGACGTTGGGGAAGTACTTGAGCTTCTTCTCAGAACCACTACATTTCCGCGGAGATAGAGATCAGTATATAATATGATTGGCTGAGCAAGTTTGCGGCTATTAAATTCATCCTTTGATTCGTCGAAACAGCACAACGCTATCTGAAGTTCATACTTATGGTCTGAAACACAGGCGTAGCTAAAGTATCGTGGGCACTGCTAAGTTGGCCTCGACTCTTGTGCTCGATTTGAGAAATTGACCGCGCCGGAGATATCTAATTCTAGTCGTAAATCACCTATCTCCCTGATAACGCCGACCCCCGCATTGATAAATGTGTATGAAAGCGATAACACTACCCGGTGTCTAGATTCGCGCTTGTATGCCACCCGTGTGCTTATGGATGAGTATTCCGGGACTACTGTTGACCATTCGCGATGCCCCACGACGTTACGGCGCTTCTATCGGTGCCGGTATTGCTGGTTTCTGATATGGAAACGAATACTTACCCCTGGCTCTTCTAAGCGGGATATTTCAATCATCTTATCGAGTTACATGTGTTTGATTAGGCATTGATGCTCTTGTTTTTGGAACCCTTCCTTCTTCCTGCTCTATTGTATGTATGTTCGACATTTCATCAGATAACATATGGTCATTTTACCGCTATGTCAAATGTATATGTATATTTCAACCCCGGCCTCGGCAATGAGTGGCTTTCACACGTCGGGAGATGAGGTTGTAAGTTTCTTACAAACATTCGGTGTTTTGGGGGTTTACCAATAGCGGGAACTCGATTTAGAAGAAGAAAAGGTTAATGGTGAAGAAAGGTTGTAGGAAAGTAGGGCTGCTGTCGTGAAGCGAAATGCTGAAGTCTAAGAAACTATTCTTGCTCAGCCTTCGCGTGCTTCAATCCTCCTCCACATGCCTACGGTATTGTGAATTGATCTCATATCAACTTCAAATCCCTGATCCCTTCTTAAGCTTGAGTGTCTTCCTCCAAAGCAAGTGGAGTCACTGTTCGACTGATTGTCCGCAAGCCTTGCCCAGCATCCAAGGTCTTTTCTACTTATTTCCGTCGAACTGCCTACGAGTACAAAATGAAGTGGAAGTGAAGATCGCCCGATCAACTCGAAGACCAACTGCAATATATAAAATAGGGTAGTCACTGATGCATCCATCCTTACACTGCTACTAGGTAGTGCTGTTTCCCTACCTCTTTCATCTACTGCACAAAAAACGGCAGGCACAACCATAAACCTTCTTGCCCACCATTTCTGCCGGGAGTTGCTACTTGATGCCAACAATCGAGCAATCAGCCTCCACGCCACAAAACATCATAACTACCACAACTTTTCTTCTTCTTCGACAGCACGAGTCTCTACTTGGCATGTTCCCCATTCGTGGCTGTTCTGCCTGGTTAGTTTGTCATACCACTAACCTATGAGAATCATCGCGTGCGGTTTCCCAACGCCATCTGAAGATACTGCCAATCTCTAAGGCCTCAAAAGCGAGAAGTCGAGGACAGCCCAGGGCAATCTGCTTACCTTCAGTGCATGTCAGTAATTCATAACTCATACTCACTGAACACGGCATCCTCTGGCTTCAGTGCCCCGAATGCTCTTGCTCTTATTTTATGCTTCACTAGCAGCATTACATTTGCGATATCTATATCAGCATATCTCTATACCTCTCACATATTCCATCAATGACCATTGTGCTTGTCTAGTTTGAATTCAGAACAGTCAACTTGTTGACCGTCTAGATACTGGCGAGATCAAACACACGGCTTTGCTTCATTTCGCATATCGCATCTCTCCACTAGTAGCAGACTTTCTAGCTGGTGATATCAGACTACCCGAAAAAGAACTTCACAGGCACAAACTACATTCTCATTCATCTTATTCACACCACGCTGCCTCACCTACCACTAACAAAAAAAAAATGAGGACAAGCAACTTGTCGAGACCTCGTGCAGGAAGGTCTGGTGGACTCGAGGGCGCAGAGCCTTCGTCGGAGAAGATGGCAGTTGAACAAAAAGTGAAGGCTCTTCGGAAGGCTGCTAGGCGGCAAGCACGCTATCTTGAGCAACCTTCTTATCTTCCTGGTCTTTTTGGCCTCTTACTCACTCGGAAGCGATCTGCTTACCCGGCCCACGACGACGGCCCTGAACGCAAGCGAAAAAGAATTACTCATAGGCCGATGATAGAGATATCAAGACGCCGTCCACGACGGGCAAGGGAGCCAAGGTCGAGCAAACCGCGACTCCACCCGCCCTCTCCCTCGCCTTCCTCTTCCCAATCATCGGCTTCATCTTCCTCCTCATCCCCATCACTACCCCCAGCTCCATCTTCACCCCCCTCTTCACCCTTATCTTCTGGCCCATCCTCCTGCCCCCCTGCCCCCCTACCCGTGTCTCTGCCGACTGAAGAGTCTTCTGCTGAACGACACCCTGCCTTCAAGCAGTTTATGGACCTACCCGCCGAGATCCACGACGAGATTCTTCGTTATATACTCAGATGGCCGCATGACATTACTGTTTTTAATGGCTGGTCACTAGTGTATCCACGCTCACGTCCTCGCCTACAACTATCCATCTTATACACATGCCGTATGCTGAAAGATCTAGGCCTTCGGATTCTTTTCGGGGAGAATACATTCGCCTATGACTTGCGGGATCCAAAAGTAGCATCCAGCCATACCGGCACGGTGATAGACGAGGTTTTCGATGGATGTGTAGTGCCGATCAATAAGTATGGGCATCTAATCCGCTATGTCAGGATCAAGTTCCATCGTAACCGGCTTTGTCTTAACGAGCATCGTCAGGCTTTCACAAAAGCTATTCTCAAGTTCCGTCCTGGTAGCGATCTCGCTCACCCCGCTAACTTGCACACACTCACACTAGAAGTTCCCGCCCTCTGCAACGCAGACTTGGATCCCGACTACGAGATGCTTGAGCCTAAAACAGTTCCGATTTGCCAATATCTAAAAGAAGAAGCAGGTTCCTACAATGGATACAATGCGCTATTTGAGATTCGAACCCAATGGGTGCGTGTCCTAGCCTGGGATAAATACAATGAATGCTGGGAGACTAATATCGATATGCGCTACTATTTCAACGATGAGAACAAGGCTTGGAGAGAAGGCAACAAACACGGCACAGAGGACGCTGCTAACGATCAAAACGTGAAAAGAGACGCCGATACCACTGTCATTTATAGGACCAGGGATGTTGAAGCTATGGAGATGCTCCGGGCTAAAAAGGCGGAAAGTGCTTTGGCAGGCTTGCGTAACTTGGCTACGCGTATTGAACATCTAGCCAACAGTCCAGACCTAGTAGTTAACAAATTCAAAGTATGGCGACCTGCAACCAACCCTAGTAACGGTCGTGGCCCGAAAGGGTCTGGTGAAGATGAGTTTGTGTCTTTGCCCCCGGGTTTTCGCGAGCCACCATTACGAGGCCGAACCCGTTCGACAACAAGGGCGAAACCAAATCCAAAGCTCCCAACCAAACCTAACTCCAAGTCTAACATGAAATCCACTACAGAGCCGGAGGATAAGTCTAGCACCAAGGCTGGGACCAAGAATAAAAAAAGCCCTGTCAACTTGAGTATCTTCCACGCACGAAACGAAGTGAATGAACAGAAGCTTCTGAAGGCCCAGAAAGGAACACAGAAGAAAGAAAATGGGCGTTGTGGATGCGGCACGCTTACGGAGGAAGTACTTGAAGATGAGGACGACGCCGACGACGATAGAGTGACGGTGTATTGGGATAAGGTTGAGGGAAACACCGCGGAGGAGTTTTAACAGCACTGCGTGCACAGCGAGTTTAGCGTAGCGCGCTGTGATCGAGGATCCATGATTCATGCGCTGCGAAGAGGAGTACGATTGAGACACGGATGGCGATCTGATCAATGCGTTCTATTATCTTTTCATTTCCCTCCATCCCCTGGATGAGTCATATTACATACACCATGCGTAGGTAGATTTATACTTAGTTTCCCGCTGCCCTTATTTAGACGCTAGACATACTAGACTCTAGATTTAGCAATGAAGATTATGCGTTGTTTTCCCAACGTCTCTGCCATCGTAGATGTACTTGTACATGGACAGGTTTAAGGTGTAGGATAGGTCTGGAGGGATATCATCTCGTAGATTTCTCCCACTCTAACTGGGTATCGCTAGTTGACTATGGAAAAGCCCAAGCTTCTTGAGCCACCTGCTGCTCTTCATTTGAGAGATTTCATTGTGAATGTTGATGCATTGATTTTTCCTTGACGATGCACTAAGTATCAGCTAGCCCCGCAGTGATCTTGACTCTCGACACATGAAGCGTCTCAGAGTCCACCAGCACGATCTCCCCTGTGGCAGAGAACCACGGGACCGCGATCAACCGTACCGCCTGGCCGTCCTCGCCGTGGATTACTTTGGTGCCGAACTCGGGCTGGCAGCCTACTATGTAAAGGTGCGGACAGGTGTACATAACGAATGGGTCGTCGTCTTGGAAGGGGTAACTCCCTATTAAGCTGATGTTAGTACCGTTAAGGCTCATCTATGCCTTCGCGCGCGGATGAGGGGGTGAATAAAACGAAAGGAATGCGAAGCTCGAGATCTGAGATTTGGGTGATTATTCAAGGAGTTGGTGGACCTACATAACGTATCAGGCGCCGTCGGCGCGCAACACCGCCACCTGCACATGGCCTCCATCATGCCCAGACGGTCGTCGCTGCCGACATACTTGAATATGTCGTCGACGTTCTGCCCGCCGGTGCCGAGAACCCTCCACCCTTCGATCTCGCCTTCCCAGGGATTCGTCACTGTGTCGAGCCAACCGCTCTCCGTCGAACCCGGCACCGCCGTATAGGCGCGCGACTCTGGAAACATGGCTGGGTGGATGGGCTGTTGGGGATAGCTTGTGTTTGCGGGGTCTTGGGCTCCGGGGAGCAGGGTTATGGGGATGGAGGGGAGCAGCGCGGAAAGGAAATCATCGAGGAGTTGTGAGGGTTGGGCGTTGTATGTGCTGCTGTCGTAACCATATTTTTTATGATCTATCTTTTTCTCAAGAGAGTCCTCATCGATGGGCTGGCGCTCTTCGAGCGATATGGAGTTACCCGCGATGATGAGACGGCTGATATGTGACAATTCGCGCTGTGCGGTAGGGTCTAGTGCCTCGCCTAGGAGGTACTCGAGGAGCAAGTTGAGCTCGATGGCGTGGCCCGCGTCCTGGGCTGAGAAACCCAGTCCAGATACGATGGCAATTTTCCCGCCGCTACCCCTCCTGGGTTGAGCGTCTTTCATTTCCTCGTCCTCGTCCTTGGGTTTCTTGGAATCGCCGTCCCCGTTCGTCGAAGAGGGCTCTGAGACAGCCCACCGTTCTGGTTGCGGAGGTAAGTCGGGGAACTTGAGATCAATGACTTCTAGCTCGCCATTTACGTTCTCAGTGCCCATGACAGCGACGATGCATCCCGTGACTAGAATTACATCCTTGAGAAAATCGCCTACTAGGCGAATGCGGCCAGACTCATCTTCCAGAGTCACGGCATCTGAACCGTCGTCGGCGTAGTACTTGTTATTCGTCATAGGCGCTGAGAGCCATCTCTAAAAACAAAAATTAGCCCTGTGCGTAGTGGCATCGCATGAGCCCTCATTTGAGTTGGTTGCGTCACTCACGTCCTTGGAGACGTCGTCAAGGATATTAGGCTTCAGTGCCATTTCCATATAAACAGTACCGGCGACCCAACACAGTTCGCCTTGTCGAATGTCCAAGACTCGCTCAACTTTCTTGGCGGGTTCATTGCCGATTACCGTGTCACGCCAAGCTTCTGAAGCTATTTGTTCCACGGTAGGTTTGAGCTTGGTCAGCCGAAGGAAGTACATATCGGCAAACTGCTGCTGGTATGACTTCTCCTTCTCTAATTTGAAAGAGTGCAACGGTCTGTAGTCAGATGTAGTCCGCTCAAACTCATCCTCCACCTTGCCCCTGATTGCAAGAGTTAGCTCCCTTTTCCACCAGGTCTATGGAGTCGGAATGCACATTCCCATGGAACTCACGTAGGCTCGTGGAGCAAACTGCCCTGTACACCATCGATCTGTGACATTATGGCTGTATTTTAGTATAACTCATTCCTGTACAGGACGTCGTATCGCCATAGGTGGATGCCTCCTGTGTCAAGAAGACAGACACAGTCGGCGATAACTGATAAGCGGGCAAACGCGTCAAGGGAGAGGAGACGCGTTTTCGCGTAAATTGAAAAATTGGGGCACTAGCTTCACTGTGGCTGGGGCTCCTACACAGTACCTCCCTAGGTAGTTCAACTACCCCTCCAAGCCCTCTGTTATTGGTTCATATCCCTGTCATCGCGGGGTAAGGCTGAGCGAGGCTGCAGTGGGCTTGAGAACCCCTGCAAAAAAAAAAAGTTCCTGAACTGCATCAAGCAACTCCACAAAAGTAGATTCTCGGTACTGTCGACCACTGGATTTTCGTTTAGCTTGACCTTTGAACCTCTGGATTCTTTACCATTTTAATCAAGAGACGAACACCACCTAGCGAACCCTCTGGAAAAGTGTATATTAATATCGACTAGCTGGCAATTGCAATTTTCAGCCCATCATCCGTCACACTACTCCCAAAGACCTGCGGCAGTCGATTGCACGTCCTTGAGATGGACACCCCAATGGGACAGCCGGCGATGGCTGCACCCCAAGAAGTTCGCGTAAACTTCACAACAAGCTCTCCCGAACTAAAATTGCCAGAGGACAGCAGCAGCTTAATAGTAGTTCCGACGGGTAAGCCATGTCTATACCCTTGATGGCCTGGTGCATTGCTAATGAGATCGTAGATCTAAAGCGCTATGGCCTATCGCGAATTCTTAACTCATCTTCCATGCTCAACACTTCCTCACCGATACCATTTGACTTCCTAATAAATGGGGAGTTTCTTCGGACATCATTGCAGGAATACCTCGAGGCCCACGGCCAGAACGCCGAAGAGACATTAACAGTTCAGTACGTGCGCAGTTTGCTCCCGCCGGTGCACCAGGCGAGCTTTGAACACAGTGACTGGATCAGTGACGTCGACGTGCTCTCGGCCACCTCGCGCGCAGGCATCTGGTCTGGCGACAAGCTAGCACCGAACCAGGACCGTATCGTGTCAGCATCGTATGACGGATTCTTGGAAATCTGGGACCCCTCAGGGAAATCTCTGGTCAAGTCTTCAGTTGGTAGTCACACCGCGAGTGCCAAAGCCGCCAAGTTTATCTCCTCGACACAAATCGCATCCTCGGGCCTCGATAGGACAGTGCGCATATGGAAATACGCCGAGTCAGACGGTGGGCTGACGTGCTCGTTGAAGCCGAGCCTGGAGTTATACGGACACAGCGCAAGCGTCGAAGCACTTGACGTCCACGGGCCTACCAGCCGCGTGCTCAGTGCCTCAGCCGATGGCGCCATCGGGCTCTGGACGACATCAAAGTCTTCTGCGCCCGCAGCACCCGCCAACCTCCTTCCCGGCGCCGGCGCATCGGAGTCTAAGAAGCGGAAACTGGCCGGTGCGTCCGCAGCATCGCAGCGCGGGCCACTGAGCCTGATGTCCATCCATAACTCGACGGCCACAGCTGTATGTTTCGATCCGACGGACGCGAGTGTTGCATACTCAGCTTCGCAAGACCACACGATCCGCACGATCGACCTGACGACCTCCAAGGTCGAGAATGTCATCACCACATCGCACCCTTTGCTCGCATTGACGCCGCTGCATCGGAATCCGGGCACGGCGTCATCCTCAGTGCTTCTTGCGGCAGCGACGGCAGCGCGCCATATAACACTTGTGGACCCGCGCGTGTCGGCTAGCGCAACGTCGGTGCTGACGCTCCGTGGTCACAAGAACATGGTGTCGAGTCTCGCTGCAGGCCCCGATAACGACTATAGCCTTGTGTCCGGGTCCTACGACGGCACCTGTCGCATCTGGGACCTGCGGAGCGCGCGGGCCGCGACGAAAGCCGAGGGCGGCGGCAGCGTGTCCGAGTCCGTGTACGTCATCGAGCGCGAGAGCCTAAAAGGCTCCAAGCAGCGGAGGATGGCGGGCGAGGTTCCGGGACGCGGCGTCAAGGTCTTCGGTATTGCGTGGGACAAGACATTCGGCATCGTCAGTGGCGGCGAGGATAAGTTGGTGCAGATCAATCGGGGGCAAGATCTATTAGCCTCCAGCTAGGCTCGTCGCAACACTACCGTGTGTATGACGAGGCAAACAAAATTTGTAAATAAACACATTACTTGACGTTATACATAAGGCAAAGATTCTCTTGAGATGATCAAGCATTGATCCCACCCCTGCAACAACATGGCATTCGAAACGTTGATCTGAATCCCGTTTGACTTGAGGAATCAGGACTAGTCATTCCATTTTTTGCACCTTTAGAGCAATTGTGTAATTGGTATGCCGCTAGATAGATAGATTACTAAAAGGGAACACGAAGAACATGTGGGGAGATTCAATTGTTATATATACTAATTGTACTGTTTAGGGTATACATCGCGATCGTGTTTGGATTCATACACAGCCTGTAGAAGCCCTCTACTATACAACGCCACAAGTTTAAGCCGCTTCTTCCAGGTGATTCTATCGGACATTGGGTCGTAATTCTATAGACATGTTTCCCCAACAGATCTAGAAGACTGGAATCTACCAGAACGTGTGAGTGTGATGCATCAGGCCTCGGTGGGGGCCACCATGCCCGCAACCACAGGGAATCTACCCCAGAGCGTATTCTGGGGGAGGAAGCTTGCGACTTCGCGCAATCGATCGCGATCGACAGGGAGTTTCTCCGCCTGCACTACGAAGATGATATACTGGACCACAGAGAGGGTCTTCAGAGGCGGATCGCGAAGTAGCTGCGCGATAGTGGAAGGCGGTAAATCGTAGCAATGCCACAGAAAATACGCTCGGAGCTGCGCAAATGATGAGCGAGTCTTGGGGTGTGATGTTCGGTAGGAAGCCGCCCGGTCTTCAGCCACCTCAACGCGCGAATCTTTAGGGGGCTCAGGCAGTTTTGGCGTTGGCGAGATCGATGCAGACTTTTCCTTAGAGGCAATGCTTGTTCTGGTCTTGCGCAGAGTCGTCAGAGACACCGTCTCTATATTCTCGGCACCAACAGTCTCTACAACAGTCGTCTCCTCAGGCAGTCCAGCGACGCAATCATTAGACGTCACTTCGTCAATTTCCAATGTCTCGGTTGATCGAGCTGCTTTAATGCCGTCTGCGAGTCGAATCGCAAGATTTAGTTCTGCACGATGCGGAGAGGGCGGACAAGGATCCAGTTGTTTCCTGTGATGATCTAAGGTTAAGCTATATCATGCTAAGTCAGTACCTGCCCATCCTGTGCGTGAATTGGGGGTTTCAGGACGTGAGGAGTCTCTAGGGTTTGCCATCAACCTGAAAAGGATGCTGTACTTTGCGGATAGCTAGGACAAGAAACATGATACTCAAAAAACTACTTACTACAATTGCAATCCAGCGTAGGCATCAGAAGCCGAATCTAACATGCATAAGCGATTCGAAATGAGCAAGGTGTAGACGAATACGAAGACTTACATAGTACTTGGTCCCAGTCCAAGGGTTTTGACCAGTTACTTGCCCTGACATCTTGGCCCTTGAACAGCGGAAGATGTAGATACTCTTCGACCTGTTTTGCTAGTGGCACAAGCCTCTTGTTGATGTTGTGATGCTGCCCATTTCTAGAGTACGTCACAAGCTTGTACAAGTGGCTTAGTTCCATCAATCCCTGTGAATCTATGTCAAGGTATCTCCGCAGCCTTGTTGTATCACCCTTTATAGAAACGCCAACCTTGAAGACATTAGGATCTTCCATGAGACTTCTAAAAGACGGCCCAACCATTTCTTCGGTGTCTGTAAACAAAGAAACGTGAAATAGTGCAATGCGGCTAGGACTCGCTAATTGAATCAGCGAAACGTTCTTCTTCACACCGTCTCGCCGAGTCGAGTCTGCCATCCATTCTAAATCAAAACCAAGGACTTTTTCATCCATGAAATACTGCTTGCAGACTCGTTCCATGGTATGTTTGGTGCGACAATAGTGCACCGTAACTTTCTGTAAGGATCCATCGTCTGCCGTACGCCGATACTGCTTGTAGGACCAAAAAGATGCAGGTGAGCCCAAGGGAGCCTGTTTAGCAGCGTAGAATAAATCATCTTCCATCTTATATTCAAGGACGGCAGGTGGAGGATCATCAGTTGCTGTCTTATCCAGCTCATTTGCCTCAACATCTGCCTCTATATCTGCCAAAACCTGTACTGAAGCGCATAAACCAGCAGTCTCCGCCGGTGTCTGCAGGCCCGGATCCAGGAGTATTGATTGAGCTCTTGGAGTCGGTGCTTCGTGGGTGATGGCGATTGCGTCACCGTCGGGTGTACCATTCGGCTGCAATGAAGCGAGGTTTTGGCTAGCCCCAGCCGGACTGTCTGCCATAGAGCGCGCGTTCGGAGCGCCAGATGCAGGCGACGCGGGGCCCGGCGCGAAAGAGATGCCCCGAGTAGGGTGCCATAATCGGTGGTCTCGAGACGACGTCGCAGCCATCCTCAGAGTGCGGTTTACGATATAAGTACTAAAGTGAAATCTCGAGTCAGTATACATCAAATCATTTCTCTCCAGACACAAATCGGACTAAATGAGTAGATCGGCAAAGAGCAAAGGCTTGAAATTGTACGAACCGCGGCGTAAGAGAAGATGCGCGCAGAACGCTATAGGAACGTCTCACCGCATTTCCGCCTGGATCAGCACCTCCGAAGAAGATCATTTGTAAAAGTCTTTAGGAGTCGCGCAACTCAGCTCCATGGTTGGAATCCCATGGAGTTGCGCTGCTGTTCGGTGATGGTGGCGACGAAGATGGCTTCATCCCTTGCTAGTAACCTGCACGTTGACGCGCTCTCCTTTAAGCGTCTAGGCAGACGCACGTAGTTACAGTACCTAGGTACTTAACTTAGGCATTTTAGGCGGGCCTGGGGGATCACTGTTTTCGCTGCGTTGCAGGTACCTACCTAGGTACTTACTACCTATTGTAGACACAATTGCCCTGCTTAGTCATCGAGGTCTTAGCTACCTACCACCTACCACATACCAGCGACTAGGTACGTTGGGCAAATTACACTGTGGCTGACCCTTCGTTCAAGACCTATCACCAGCAGAGCCAACTGACGTCAAGACCATTTCACGACAGAATCTCCAAGTAGCCGTAATACTCGAGTACTTAAAGGCCGAGTCTTTCGGGTCCCCAGTCGCGAACGTCGCATCTCAAGAAGCTGCCAAGATGGCATCCCAACTACTTCCACTGGGTACGTGCCTCCACACCCCGTACTCAGTTATTGAGAAAGACAGAGAGTTACTGACAGGTCTGCTAGAGCTGATTGATAAGTGTGTCGGCTCTCGGATATGGGTTGTCATGAAGGGCGACAAGGGTATGAAGCGCTCCAGCATTAGTTCCCCTTTATGATCGAATATAAGCTGATTGATATCAATCCACCCCTACAGAATTCAGTGGCACCCTGATGGGCTTCGACGACTATGTCAGTAAGTATGATCTTACAGGTTATGATCCTTATGTGTATGGTATGACGAATACTGATCGAGTTCATCATAGATATGGTTCTTGAAGACGTAACAGAATTGTAGGGAGTCCTGGTATGTTTCTTGTATTAACGACGGTTGCTAACGGAAAATAGCGATTATTCGGGCAACCACACAAAACTTCCTAAAATTCTCTTGAACGGTAACAATATCTGCATGGTATGCATCAAATTCCTTTTTGAATGCAAACGAAATGCTGACTTGACGCCACACCAGTTGATACCAGGTGGAGAGGGCCCTGTCGCTACATGATATTCTTTAAGGCATGATGAATCGCATAGGTATCGTGAGTATGGATATAAATCCAGGCTACAAGTGGCTAAAGAAAACAAGCCATTTTACGACTGTCACGATCGGGAAGGAGGGGTTGTTGCTGGTAAAATGTGACCCTCGCGGTCCATTCTAGTTAGCGTACCTGGTAGCTCTATGCTTATAAAACAGGTCTGAGATGCAGTATCAACATCATACATCCGCTTGAAAGGTACCGTCAACAGAAAACGCCATTCCCTAGCCTGCCCAATCTGTGCCGATTCCGTAGTCGTAAAAAAAAATAGAAATTATGAGTGGAGATGAGATTCTCTCTCAGGGCTTGCCGCCATTCTCTTGCTCGCCAGCTGCTACCATACGACGAAGCTCGTACTCGCGAGTAAATTCACGACCAAGCTGACCGTACGCAGCGATGAGTTGTTTGCACGTGTCGATCAGGACCTCACGGGGAGTGACGGTGCCATCGGTCTGCAAGCGAATCAAGACCTCGGGGACGTTGGGGTGACCAACTGTTTCGTGTTAAATACCCATTCCAAGGAGAATAGAAGATGGGTTCGTGGTGGCAAGTACCTTTATATCCAGCCATCAAGACATGAGGTGCTTGTTTGAGGTGCTCACTGAGAAGGTTTCCCAGCGTGTGATCTTCCTTCAGTAAAATGAAGTCCGAGGTGTTGGAAGTGCCTTGGCAGTGTTAGCAAAAACGCAACAGTTAGACGAGTGCCAGTCATAGAAGCTCGACTAACCAGCAAAGGGCTTTTCGGTGATTTTCTTCTCGCCTTCGGCCTCGTTGACGAGGAAGAGCTCGAATCTGGAACAGTTGTTAATACGGCCCGAGCTAGAAAATGCAGGAGCTAGGCGAACACCAAGTCGATTTCATTGTAATGTTTTTGATTGGCCATCTTGGCAGAGGTAGAAAGGTTGCTCTGGAACTAATCCAGTATAGGAGAGAAGGGGGACGGTGGCTATAGTCAAGTTGTTGGGATGGACAGGTGTTTCTCATTAGAGGTAGAGGGTATGGTAGAGTCCAGGCAGGGACGGGCAAATGGTAACATGGTGGGTAGTAGAAGTTGGCTGGATGGAAAGGGCAAGCATGATGGGAGAATCGGAAGGCGCTGGCTCGAGTTGGAGTTTTGCCAGACATTAAAGACTTCGAAGACGAGTCTATCTGGCAGCATCTAACTCGCATCTAACTCTATGCCACCTTGGGTAAATCTAGGTAGTTGAAGTAGAGATTCAAGTGGCACTTCGCAAGCCAGATTCTAGAGGTCCCAAGAAACCTTTTCAAGCCGTAAAAGCTGCTATTTGAGCCCCAAGGCATCGCTCATTGCGTATGGCTGAGGCTGCAGGCCGAGCCTCCCATCGTAGAATATAATGTGCCCACTTGTGGTTGCGTATTGTGACTAGTCTTGGGCACGGGGGAAGAGCGCTGGAGGATAACTCGAAGGAACACCAACCTGTCCGGGGCGTTCATCTTCCCACACTAAAGTAACCTGTGCCGCCCCCTTCGCTCGTCGCAAGGATATCGAGCAAGATATCCAATATCCAAATACTGCTCTCCAAGTATTGATGCCGCAACAAAGCGCCGTTATAGAGGTAGATACAAATGCACGGCAACGTTTAGGTCAGCGCCAAGAGAACCCAAAATGTGTAGAAAGCTAAAGAATCAAAGCAAGTAGCGTGCCGTAAGGGTTCCTCGCCGTAGAAAAGTGAGGTACCTAATGATTTATGACTGAGCCAGTGTCGAATGTTGAATGTCGAATAAAGCAGAGGCTAGGTATGTATGTATCAGTTGCTTGGTAAATGTTTTGAGTTGCCTTCACGGTCGGTACGTACCTTTGTCCACTTTCACCTTTCCCAATCGGGAGCCGCAACTCCTACGGTATAATTAACACTGTATTCCACCTGTTATCTACCTACAGCCTCGTGGGTAAGTACCTACATGTAGGTAGTTCGTAGACAGGTACCTAACCCAGTACCTTCTAGTAATTAGTAATTACCACGGGACACAATTACCAAGTATTTATGGGACAATTGGATTAGAAACATGTTGATTAATTGTAGTAGTTGACATTCTAGAATTATCCTTCAATCCATCTCTGCGTCATGAATACTCTATGATCTAATGCTGCAATGCGGGATCAAGCCAATTCCTCCATATGCGAGTGTCACGTATCCATCTAGCTACCTGGACAGGTACTGGGTAAATCCAAACAAACCGCTATGCAAATAGTATACAGCATGAAGGGAACAGGTTGCTAATAGCCTGTTGGCTGCTGACTGGCTTAGAGGTGTCGGGTATCGCAGTATCCTGGAGGCTTCGACGATGGGCCGCTCGCCCACGAGATCACCGTGAGACTTGTTGCATAGCCCATAGCAACAAAGCCGAAAATACAAAGGGCAATATCAGAAGCCTTCCGGAATCTCGTCGTAGCTACAGCCTTATAGTGGAGAAGAGGCTGTCAAAATAGTCAGTGAGGGCTCTTGTCAGGGATTCTTCACTCTTCTAGGCAGCCAAGCTATGAGAAGGTCAACACTTACTGGGTAAATGAAAGTTAAAGGAATGCAAGCGAAATTTCCAACCAATGCCACAAACTTATCCAGGTTATCTGAGCCTCCCCAGGCGATGAGCACACATAGGAACACCATGAAAAACCGAAACATATTCTTCTGCCATTTGATATACGGGTTGTACTTTCCACTTTTTGTAAAAAGTGCGTTTTCTGTAATCTTGATTGCTGGGAAAATTTGCAACGGGGTCGATAATAGAATAGCGAGCGAATAGAGAAGTTGAACCCCATTGACGAACTTGTTGTCTTGTGGTAGATTAAGAAGGACAACAGTCTCTGTCTTGGAACCATAAGCTGCGTAGGATACCGCACCCATTGTAATGAAAATGACCGACATAATGATCATAGAGTTGAACATGACTTTGGGGAACTTGGCGGGATGTTTCATCGACTCTTGAATAGGGATAATGAGGCCGATACCTTCAAACGTGAAGATCGCCGTGCCAATGAATAGTGTCCAATCCTTCTTATTGAACAAGATGATATCAGCCAAGCCCTGGGTGCTCAAAGTGAGAACGTCGTAGTAGAATAAGTAAGCGAGTCCGATGATGATGAAAGCATCAGCGATCAGGGCGGTGAAACCAAGCTTTCCGATGTCGCGGAATAGCGAAAAAGGTAGGAATATGACCATCTGCATCAAAATGAACCAAGTAATCTTCACATAAGTCCCGCAGTTGGTCACGGCGAGAACGAAGGCCTGTAAATTCTCTGCCGTGAAGACGGTATACGCTGCAACGAATCCGATCTGGCTGAGCACGATAGAACCAAGGATCAGCTTCCGCATCCATTCGCCATAGATGATTCCACCAATGTCGCCAAAAGACCCTTCAACCTTGAGCCGCGTGGTGATGAGTAAAATGAAGCAATAGTAGCTAAGTGCCGCAAGGCCAACGAGGATAACGTTACTAAATACCATGCCACCGTTTAAGTAGGCACGGGGAAGAAACAGGACTCCTGTGCCAACAAAGGACTTCAGAAGCAGTAGCGCCGCGTTGAAAGGGCTATTCGTGCCGCTGCCACCTCGGACCTTGCGTCGTCGTCTACGCTTTGAAGGTGTGAGAAGTGTGCTGTCTTCCATTGGCTCCCTCTCATCTTCGCTATCGTAGAAGTCTGAATCCTCTCCAGAGGAGAAGTATTCTCCAGGTCGGAGTACTTCATCGTCTTCCTCGAGTTCTTCTCCAGCGAAATGTCCATAAATGGTTAGGAACTCTAGAAAACTACTGGTGAATATCTGCGGTTCGTTTCCATTCCTGGGCGATGCGTGGCCAGCCTCGAGACCTCGCGGGGTAGCGACAGGACTCTGTGCTGCTCGCCGAAGATAGTCCCTCCTGAAACCGCCAGGGACATTGATGGTATTTATATCGAGGACTTCATTTTCAGGTTCCTCTCGCGCATGACTGAAGCTCTTGCTTCGCTGCGTACGACGCCGACTATCCGCTTCTTCCGACCATCTGTAGATCTGCCTTGTAATATCACCACCTTGCAGCCTGAGACTGTAGAACTCATCCTCCTCTTGCGCTGATTCAGAGGGCTCGCCAACCTGTTTTCCCTTGGTCTTATCCAGGTTTGTATCCGAACCAGAATCGAGGGCATCAGATGGTTGTACGAGATGACGTTTTACAATCTCAGGATCCTCATAAGCTCCAGTACCACTGTCTTGCGCGAACCTCGATTTTGCGTCGAATGAGCCGACGTTCGGAGGAGTGTGGAGTAGCCCGGTAGCTGATGGCGATAAGGGTCGCGCAGGTGGTGTTCCAAACCTAGGAGGCGACTGGCCGGCCGAATTCGACAAAGCTGCAGCCAGAGCAGATCTTCCAGGGCCTATAGCTCCCCCGGCTGCTGAGCTACCGGCGAGAGGTACAGCACTCTCTGAAGTGATGGCGGCTGGATCACCTCGACTTGGTGACAATGATCGACGCGAGGGCGATGTCCCAAAGGCTTGAGACGGGATGGGTGATGCTAGCCTAGCTGTATAATCGGCTCTGGGAACTGATGTGCCATAATTTCGACCTCTAAACGAGCCAGGCGAGGACGAGAGCAGTGGTCGTTGAGCGCCGGTGCCTGGTTGGGGCGTTCGGCTACCGTCGCGAGTTGGAGTCGTCATTCTTTGGCATCCGCAGGTTCCAACTAGGATTGTTATTGGTCCATTTAACGAAATCAACCGATCATTAGAAGTGTAATCGATGGGACAATTGGCACTATCTAGGTTTGGTCACAAGAAGGAGTTAGCTGACTAGTCATTCTATCGTAACGCCAAAGAAACAATGAGGTTTGAGGTAGTGAGGTGCTGAGATACCGCGATGAATTACATACAGTCTCAGCCCAGCACCGAGAGGATAACACAGACGAGGTTTCCGGTAGGCGGTTTGCGTCTTGAAAGGATGCCTACAGGCGAAAGAATGTGAGGCAGTTCAGGGCGTGTCATGTGTGTAGAAGAAGAGACAGCCATATGCTCCGACTACCTGATTACCTATCGTGGGTACTTGTTAGTAGGGCACGGTGCACGTGGCTGGGGCACTTGAGCAGGTACCTACCCTACTGTAGCCCGCAGCTGATAGCGCCTTAGTCTGGGCGTGGGGCGTGACGAAGTACCTACCTACCTAGGTAGGTACCTATCTAGGTAAGTACCCTATCTGTAAGCTAGGTAATGATGCTGTAACCTGCCAGCACTCGCAAGTGCTTACCTATTACCTACGTACTTATACCTACCTACCTAGGTATCTAGGTAGGCAAGATTACTAGAACTTAGATTGCTTACTTTAGAGAGATAATTCATTCTTAGTTAGGTAGGTACCAGGTAGGTTATGACGGATAGTTTGGGCATAAACGAAGCGTGGGGGGTCTTCAAGGTCGTTCACGATACCGAGCCTGAGTCAAGTCTACGAATCAAAGAGGCCCATCCCCAACGGCAATCGTCTTTAAGTATATTAAGTATGTAATGTGTCACTCTTGACTTGCCTAGACTAAACAGTATGAAAGGTGAAAGGGAGGCTGGCGAAGGCTGGGCCTTAGCCGGTAGATTAAACGGGATGATATGATTGGTAACTGTCCATCTACTTCCTGCTGTGTCGACAAGCTCGAGTATCACAACATCATCGCAAGACTATGCCAGTGAGGCACAACCGTACAACAGACAGTGCACACTACTGTCTGAGATGATTAGGATTTCAATGCACGTTTTCCTGTCTGTCCCGCTGCAGTAATATAGAGAAAGAGAGAGAGGGAGAGAGAAAAGGTATAGTTAGGGTGCCATGACCAGAGGGGGCATATAGTCAGGTTAGGTTCGATTCCTTTCAGCGCTATATGGTTATTTCGCTTTTGGCTCATTTGGTATAGGGTATGTGTGTAGATGTTTAAGCATAACCATCCAGGATGGCTTCTCAGTGATCCCGACGCCGGCTTGGAGAAACTTAATTAACTAACATGTGACAAACCACCCCCCCTCCCCCCAACGCCGTGTTAACAGCACCTAAAAGAAAGGGAAAAAAGCCACTCATTGGGGAAACGCAATCAATCAAATTTGAATCCATCAGTTCTGGTAATCCAGGTATGCCAGATAATCCTCAAAGGTTCCCCAGTCTCGTGCCGATAAACCCTGGTTATAAGGCAAGTCGGCGACGACCATCTTGCTAAGAGGTTCCTCAATGTCCGGGCGATCCGTAGCTGTAGCAGTGGTGTCGTCAGTCGTCGCAGTCGGTTCATAGTCGTCATGGCCTGTGGTCTGCAAGCCGATGATCATCGCTTGATGCTTTTTCCAATCAATTGATGATGACTGCGACTCCTTTGAGGTTACTCTTCGGCGCACGCCGCTGACCCCAAGATCCTCGACCTATTTATGGATTATAGGCAGTTAGCAATTGCCGCTTGTGGTAAAGCAGAATGGTCCCGGAAGCTTGGGCCGCAACACTACAAGGATCGAGCATCCCTGAATAGGTAGTGTAGTGTACTTAGGCACTCTTCTCTGGTGATAGGACAGCTCAGTACTAACCTGACGTAGTTGCAAGACTTCAATCTCTTTCTTGGGTAAGAGTCTCGTGGACCAGCCTTGAGATTCATTCCTCCCTGGCCCGTTAGTGAACTCGACGGCTAGTTCCATGAACTGCGCACACCAGACGCGCTCCCCAGACTGTCCATATAAGTTCTCCATTTGGACGTTCTCCCTCCTCGAACCACGGACATCGGCTGCCGATCTACCAGTTGGCGTTCCGCCCGCTAATGTTCCAGGGTCTACGTTTGCGCCTCCTTGCACATTGAGGCCCACGTTCCAACCCGAGTGAACACAGCCGTTCGAGATGAGGTGTACGCCGGTCACCAACCATATCGATGGCGCTTTCCATCTAGAACCAGTTAGGAGGCTGAAGCAAGATTACATCTGGGCCTGGGTTCTACTAACGGTTCTCCTGTCTTTCGGTGATGCTTCCATCGAGCGTAAAAGGAGATGGAGAGTCGGTCGGCAATCCACTTCTTTACATCGGGTTGTGTGAGAACTTGTTGGCGAAGAAACTGTTCCGGCCTGTTCACACTCCAAGGTTAATCATAGTTCATTCATAAACTCGCTTCTCTTCATCGAGCTCACTTTTTGATCTGGTACCGCCGGGCATGAGTTCCGACAATACTGACATCTCTTGTCTTTGTCTTATCCGCTCCTACATTAGCTGCATCAATGATCTTAGCTTGAGCAGCCCACTCTGTCGTTGCCTGAAATCGGAGGATATAAGGCTCGATGTCGTCCACCTCTGGTTCCCCAGTCCAGGCCGTTATCAATTCCCAATACCTCTCCTCGCGCAGGCTGTAAAATTCACAAAGAACTTGGTTAGCGGGCTCAGTGTATGCGAGAGGATGGTGGTAGTTGTGGACATTTATTTACGTTTTTTCTTTAAACTCAAAACGATACTTCTCAAGACCCAGGTTTGGATTGTAAGGGTCCAGGTAAAGACTGCCAAGCCTCAGCTCATCGGGTAGGATACCACGAGTATAAGGTAGATATGTATTCTTTTGATTCGAATAGGGATCCTTCATCTTGCAGTGCTTGTGATAATAGTTATGACAGTGGTTATGACGACGACGTTAACTGAATGTTAATTACTATTATGGTTGCTTTGTGACGATGATCTATCCCTTCAGCCCGCGAAAAGCTCGGTATAAGAAGAGCAGCCCGGTTGCTTTTGTACACCGAAAATAGGTCCTAGACCCCGCGAAGCCACTGTGGTGGCGTGGATGTCGGAGGCCCTTCAATATGCCCTTGCGCACCACCACATTAGGCAAACAGGCAAACAAGCAAACAGGCAATCGTCGAAGGCTTGATAATGTGTATTTTCCTCGGTCACTTCTTTTCACAGCCTTCTAAACATCCAAGACTAATAGGCCACTTCGATTGGTGGCGCCAGGGTTCCAGGGTTGCAGGCACCCTGTGATCAGCATAAGCAATGCTTCGCCACCTCCAAATAGTGACTATCACATATAGTTGCCTCGGGCTGGTACAGATGACTTAATTTGGAGTGCGGCTCTGCATCCAGCCCCCAAGGGCTCTCGATTATGTCTCATACTTGTAGAAGGAAGCAGGGTTTGTTGCAAGGCTACAAAATCTCAACTGATCAATGTAATTAAATACCAAGTAGTTAGACTCAATGATTCTACGTACCCCCGCTCGGATGAGATCCTCGCTGGAACTGCCACGATGACTATCGGTGAACCCCAAAATAACCGTCTCTCAATGATGAAATGCTTACCAGAGGCAACTCTACTACCGAAATCATTAGACTCAGGGTACTATACACCGAGCTTGGATGAAGTGAAAGCTAAGCGATCACTGTTAAGTGTTGCCGGTGAAGAAGATGACCACAGTTCCGTAATAGCAGACGGGTCATTCCCTCGTTCGACAATTGATGACATTCTACCGCCAGATCACGATCCAGATAAGCATGTGTCACCACAGCTGGCTGCGTATTTATCATCGAAGTACGTTGCTGAAAGCCGTGATGCTTATGTGGACGCTTTACGACTGGGTGACACAAAGGGAGGGATGCAGGCGCTGGAGGCTGGGTTGGGCAAGCTCGAAAAGATATGCCGTTACGATGCCGGCGTCGCTGGTATAGCAGGTCGTATCGAGGTTCTTGGAAGCCTTGAACGGCCTGACGAAGCTCGAGCTTTGTTATACAGCCTTCGCGCCGCTATCAAGAATCCTTCAGTCGGAACACCCCGGCTAAATATACAACACACGCCACCCTATATCAAAGATTATTTTGAAGACTCGCAGAGGGAGAACCAGGATGCCCTATATGAAGAAGATTATAGGAATGCTCATATAATGCTAGATGCGGCAACTTGGTCAGAAGACTGGGAGTTGGCGGCGCAAGAAGCAGAAAGGCTACAGCTCGATAGAACAATATTCGAAGAGTACCGTCTGAAGAGCCCTGAACGAAGGTTTCAAAGAGCACGCGATCTCTTAAACATTGGTCTCCAGCATGAACATCGTGGATACGCCGCCACAAACGATGCCCGCTTCGAACACCTTGGAGAAGCACTGAAGATATACTCCCGAGGTTGCGAAGAGACAGAGATACACCATAGTTATATAGAACTTCCACAGGCACGACTCACATCGCATGACCATATCGACTGCTCGAACTTGTTCTTTTCCGCAAGTCGCATCTGCACCTACTTTGATCGGCACCAACTTATTATCCTACCGACGGACTTCCCTTGTATCCCAGCTCTGACGGAGCAGGATTGGGCCCGGCAAGCTTTGTATTTCCTAGAGAGAGGCAAAGCTCGAGCACTCTTGCGTAGCATTGAGCGATATAGTGAAGCTACGGTATCGGAGCAAAATAAGTTGACTCTGAAAGATGTTGCGTGGGAGGTGCGACATATGGTATCTTCTGGAGAACAGAGAAGTTCTATCGAGAGTTCGAAGTCCAGCAGTTCACGAAAATTACCGGAAAGTGCTATAATGGAGAGATTGCGCATACGACTAGCTTGGCGAAGTACAATGATGGGGGCGCAATCGTTGGCGACAGGTCGTGTATCTCGATGGTGGGAGGCCGGACTCAATGAGATACTTGAAGCAATACCTGACGACATCGCCATCATAGAGTACGGACTAGTACAGGGCAAAAGCCCTGGGCTCCTATCGTTTCTCATCACATCAGATGGAGTCAGCCCTCAGTGGAAAGCCATGCGCACGACGTGCATATTGGACAATATCAATAAACTAAAGGATCTGATTGAGTCTGCACAAAATATGCCTCTGGACAAGCGGGAAAGACGTCTCGGAACGCAGATATCTGACACAGTCAGATACCTCTCAGCGGAGCTGCTATCCCAATTTCTTCCAGAGCTTCGGGATAAGCCACGACTTTTCGTGGTGCCTTCGGGAGCTCTAGCTCATATACCATGGGCCTTGCTTTTTCAATCTCTAGAGTTGCCAACTCCAGCCCATTCTTTATCTTTGGTGCCTAGCCTTCGTATATGGTACGGACTTCACAAACTCTCCCAAAGCAAACAATCCGTAAGAGAAGAAGCGCAGCCGCCGCTAGCAACAGTCATCTGCAACTCACCCCGGCGTCCTGATGGCTCAGACCGAGACATAAAGTTTTCACGCATTGAAGCATTGTACCTCGCACGCCGTCATCACACATGGCCAATGCTGGCTGATCTGACGAGTCGAGAGACTTTCGAGCTCCAATGCCAACAGTCCAGTATCATCCATCTCAGTTCCCATGGATATTTCAACGAAGAATCGCCGATGCATTCGAATGTAGACCTATTCCAGGAGTCAATCACGCCACTTGATCTCTCCAGGCTAGCTATAACAGCGAGATTAGTTGTCTTCAGCAGTTGCCTTTCAGCATACTCTCGTGTCTTCGACTCAGGAACAGCTCTGAGTTTCGCTCACGCGCTGCTTGGCAGTGGTGCTTGCGCCTTTATCGGAACACTTTGGGTGACGGGGGATGTGGCTAGCCTCGTCTTCATGGTATTATTTTACAAGGCGATGATTGAAGGGCTCACGCCAAGCGGCGCCTTAGCTGAGGCACAATTTCGCATGCGGAACTTCACTGAGATGGATAAGAGCCGTCTTGTTGACGATATTCTGCTTCTGTTTAATCAAGAGGCTAGGAAAACGGGTGGCATCGCCACGATGGAGCAATATGTTTTGAATTATAAATACTGGATTGATCACCAGCTGAGAAGGTATGATATTGCCGATTTGCGAAGTCCCTGGTCGTGGGCTGGGTTTGTTTTAATTGGATATGGCGAATGCCATGCATACCCTTCTCATTCTTGCTGAAGGTGTCTCGTTTATATCTATACCCACCCATAAGATTGATACATTCAATTACTTGTATCTATCTCTTCTCACATCCGCCGCACTGTTACTATGAATACAGGCTTTGCAAGAAAAATACTTTGCGCTTCTGAATCACTGTAGGCAAGGTATGGTTCCATTCTGTAGCAATGTAGATATGTTCACCTCCCTTGTAAAGCACAGATGGAATAACGTAGTTATCTTTTAATTAATAATGAATGAGTTCGCCATAATGTGGCGCTCCAAGTACCATATCGAGCACCGTCTATTCCTAGGACGCAGGGCCTATGGCCAAGAAGCAGAAGGCATAGTATCGCAATGACACACGTTACACGCTCAAACCACAACTACAACAATGCACAGGCACGCCTTCAAGATAGTTTACAAAGAAAATAGAAAGAAATATCAAAGGAGAAGAAGCACGCTTGACTAAAAACTAACCATGGTCCATCTTCCGCGCCCTCGTCAAAGAGACTAAATCTATTTTAAATGACCAAAGGGTTCAATACAATGTTGCCATACCACACCGATTAATCGATTCATCCATCTCTTCAAAGACCATGTCTCTCCCTACCTATCCTATCTAGAACGTGCAAGATTAGTCCATCACCATGAGATGATAAAGCAGAGCACAGTATTTCATAACTTCCAATAAACTCCTTCTTTCACATCTTCAAAGGAATTGTAACAATATCCCAGAAAGACAAAGGACAAACGTCGGAAAAACCATGTCTTATTGTGTTATCAGCACCCTTTCTTAATATAGTTGTAATCACTCGTGATCAAGCGCATGCAATCTTTGAGTTTATTTGGCCTGTTGCTCTCATCTTATATTGATACTTGGCCAACGGCTCGGTATCGTGACAACGACTTTGCACTCTTTGCCCTTCGCTCTTTGTTCCTCTGTCATCACCGAAGGTTATATCCCCCCGCCGCTCCGCCTTATGAGCTTCTACAACTCGTTATCTTTACGTTTAACTGGAAAGTCTGCGCGTATTACCTGTAACTAACACGTCCGCCCCTTGAGAGCTATTTCCATTTCATCTACTCTATACTATATTCAACTACACTCGCACGTTCCTTCTAACCATTCTAAGAGCTAGTATACAGGTTATATAACAGCTACATATACAACTTCTACAAAAATACTTATACCGTCTTTGCCTATTCCTGAAGTGGCTATCCAGCACTAACATTTTGACTCGGATGCCGCACGGGTATAGCCAATCGACAGGGTCTAGCGCAGGCGTTGGGAAAAGCGCCGGTTGCAACGCCAGCACTGGTGGAGGAAGCGTCTTGTCTAGAGTGTTTGGTACTTTCCGACGGCATTCACATAACAGCAACACCGCGCTCAAGGACAAGGAAGACACAAGTTGGGCGAACAACTACAAAATCACGCACCGTCCAGATCGTCCACGTTACGACAAACGCGAAGGACTGAAGTCTCGCAACTCGGCATACGTATTGGGCCAGCTGCATGAAATTTGGCGGCATAATCAGAAGATGTTAGAAAGGAAGAAGAGGGAGAGAGAGGCAAGGGAGAGGGCTATTATGGTAGGAGTTGAGCGATCGATGGACCAACGCCAGAGTAATCAAGATGGCGAGTTCAAGACTGGTCAACCACAACTGCTGCCGAATCTGCGAACAGATCCGATGCCAAAATTTAACCGGAAGGCTAACTCGCCAGAATTCAGGAGGGACCAGTGGCGAGCAGAGAGTGAGGTAGGATACCAACAACCTAATACGTGTCACGCCTTCGCGTACAGGGCTGATAAGCACATCACATACCCGCCATCATCGCCGTCGATTGCATCTGACCGAATAACAATAAGAGTAGGGATGGAACTGGAGAGTGCAGAAGGTGAAGATGGCAGCTATTGGCATACAAAGGATGCACCAGAACTACCAGTTCTGCCCGCGACGACTTATAAGCCTTTCACAGCACCGTCGCAGCCAGTATCTGCTTCCACATCATCGCCAAAAACGGGTACAATACGCAAACGACAGACGCGCAGCTTATCCCAAAGTTCCCCACAGAGGCCGCCACTTAGTCATACGATTCAAGCATCAAGCACCCGGTCGAAAGCACTGCGTGAATCCATGGCACTATACGTCAACACGGATCAAGACAGTGTACCAGGTTTGAATCATAGCTGGTCTCCAGGATCAGAGCAAGACAATCTCCTGACGCCTATTCATGATACACGAGAAGTTATCCACGATAACAGGTATCTCAGCCTCAAACCCTCACCAGCGAGGCCACAGGTATGCCCGATGCCACTATGTCACAACCACCTCATAACAAGCATCGATCAAGCGCAGAATCTATGCGCGTCATGCCGAAGCGAGCACCAGCCTCGGCAAAGCATCTTCATAACAGACGTGTTAAATGCCTTCCCTGGCCCGTATTCCCCCCTAGGCGCAGAATTCAGCTCTCGCCCGCCACTGATTCCCGACGACGAGCCTTATGATTTGACCCCCGAGGCAAAAACACGAGAACCGTCACACCGAATAAATGGCGAGAGGGACATGAGCGCTTCACCAAGGGTGATGATCAACAACAGCGACGTCTTGAGTTCCCTGAACAAAGACCGAGGCGGGTTCAAACTGCAATCCGCGCCGCGGAGCCGCAGACACCGCAAACGGGAACAGTATCTCAGCAGCTCTCCCGTGAAGCTGCAGATCGCGAAGCAGGCATCAGGCTCTCTGCGTGAGGGATACCGCAACGAGAGCGGCAACGGCAATAGCCACATCGGTTTCCAGTTTGCCACGGCGACGCCGAGTCCGACAACGCCGCCGCAGCCATCATCCCGAGATGTAGCGGCAGAAGATTCGCGACCGCGACAGATGTCGGGCCCATTCCTTGAGCCCAAGACTTTCTGCCCTGCCCTTCCGCCAGCCGCGAGAAGTGACAAGAACAGCAGCCCTATCGCTCATCGACGCAGATATTCGAATCTGCGCTCTTTAGCGAAAGGTGGGCATGTCATTAACAATAGCGGCAGCGGAGCGCAAGCGTCGGCTACAGCACACGTGGGAGAGAGCACAGATTATGCACCCGCATCTCCAGTGGGACACCGCAGAAACCAGTCAGATCCTGATCGCGTCGAAAACCGGATGAGCGAACCTACGCGTGAAATTGGCAGAGATTCTACGCTCAAGGGCGAAAAGCAAAAAGCAGAAGACGAGGAGATATACCGAGAAATCGACAGCATCATCGACTGCTATCTAAGGCTCTCTGAGGCACCTGAGCCGGTCCATGAGAAACGCAAGGCGGAAGCCGTAGGGTCCTACTTCACGGTCCCTATGGAGGTGGAGATGAGCCTTAAAGGTTTCATCTAATAACGCAGCCCTGGTAAAGTTGGATAAAGAGTCAGCTAGAAACCTCGGGGCCCGGATCGAACAAAATCGGGCTTCTCGAAGACTTTGGTTCCCATCATGCGTAATCTTGAATATAAAGAGAAATGGAGCACTACATAGTAATTGTATTCACAATTAGACTAGTGTAAGACAGGCTAAGTAATCTGTTAACTTTTTACATCTCTGATGTCTCATCAGGTAAGGATATTGGTCAAAGCCAACCCCTACAGACTATAAGTACTAACCTAAGATCGAGTCCTAAGTCCTCTATCGTAAAACTGGGGTTTCCTCATGGCAAAAAAGATATTGGAGTTTCTGCAACATCCAACATCAGGATGACAACAAGATCGAGAATGTAAGCAGAAAACTATGAAAGTGAACAAGGACCGTTGATCCTTAGATGGTGCACAGCTCTTCCGGGTATCATTTGTGAAACAGTATCATAACGCCTAAACCCTCCATGGAACAACGACTTCACTCATTTTTTTTTTTTTTGGCTTTCCGGTTTTTTTTTTTGGTTTTTTTTTCTTTTAATATTTTCTCAGCCCGATATGCTCTTTCAGATCCTACCGAAAGCCCTTTGAATGGGCCAACAAGATCTTTGACGAGGAATCGTAGACTATAATTTCCAGTACTATTGGTACTATCAGTGTGGTGCCAATCGTTGTAGTATTGTCGTCACTGTCAAGGTTCAAAGCTCATCGTCTTATGCGTTGACGGCGAGTCGCATTTCTGAGCTTGCTAAGATCAATTCGTCAAGTTCAGTTGCTACTGCCCTGGGAGCCCTGAAACTTCTCTCGTGGTCTCTTGGGGTGGTCCTCAGAAGACTTCTGGCTCAAGTTTGATGATTTTCGTTTGGATGGGGGCTTGGAGGTGACAGCAGTGGAGTTCTAATCCACATCAACACCACTTCCATCGCGCCTATACATGGCGCAATCAATTAGCATAGAAAAGATTGAAATGCAGGGAGCATAGGATGGTGTAGGATGACATACGGAATCAGCACATGGCCATCCTCAATCAAGCCGTTACGGATATCTTCAGGAATAGAACCCGAAACCTTGGTAGCATAGACACCAGGGACGTAGTTGTTGATGCGCTGCCATCTCGCAATCCAGGATTTCTTAGGGTCTTTAACAGTGATCAACCCTTCAAACACCGTGGAAGTGCAGCTTTCGAGAGCATCTCCGTTACCGCGAAGTTCTAGAAACGGACAGTTTGGGCAACCTTCGGATTTGAATCGCTGTTGATAGACAGGCATCAGCATTAATGCGGCGATATAAAGACGTAGTACAAAGAAAGAAAGAAAGAAAAGCGAAAGCCATACCACTGTAGGTAGACAAGTAGGGGTAGGGTGCAGTTGTGAGGTGAGGGCAGTGGTGACTTACAGACTGATGCATGACAATAGAGCACACCATACAGGCGCGTGTATATCTCTGTTGGCCTGGTGGAATGAAGTTGTCCGCCATTGTGACCTCAGGGTCGAGGGTGAGACGTGGACGTGGACGTGGACGTGGAGATTCTTGTCCAATACTGTATAAATGTTAAGAGTTGGCACATGGGCGATTGCAAGCTGATCAGATCTGTGCTGCAGAGGATGAAGTAGGTAGAAAGAGTTGAAAGGAAGGTAGGTGGTACATACTACAGTCCTGATAGGTCTTGTTCCACGCCTTCGACCCACTGTTGGATCTTGTCTCGATTCATGGTGGGCAGGTGTGGCGTATTCACGTGTGGCGTTGCGACTGAGGTTGAGGAGGTTGAGGAGGTTGAGGACGTTGAGGCGGAGGTATGCAGCTATCCGTGAATTTGGAGGGGTTTCTGAAGTGGGAGAAGGGAAGTTTGCAGAAAAGATCGTTCTAAGCGAGGACTGACTAAGTGCATCTGTGGCGTCAGGTGATTGCCTAGAGTTCCCAACTTGGAAGTGAGTCACACTTAAAAAGCACAAAGTGGAAGGTGCTCAGATGGCTTGAGTAGCTGTATGTATCTAGGTACTTTGTGCATGTGAGTTTTGTGAGCATTTACAATGGTACACTCAGGTACCATGATACCCCCAAGCGCCCTTTGACAGCCACGAATATATGCATTAAAGCCATATAGTGGGATGAAGCTGATGCAGCAGGGGTCTTAGGTACTTGTGTACCTATATGTACTTAGGTACCTCAGCAGTCTCAATATCACATTATAAGGTACATATGTACCTACCTATATAGGTACTTACTTAAATACCCACTATGTAGTTAATTAAGTACTTTAAAGCTGTTCATTCTCATAACCTAGAATCACAACACCACACACCAACAATAAAAAGGCACCATGGCCACTGATGCCGAAAAATCCATATCAACTGCGCCAAAAGTAACCAAGTCTCATGTACTTGTCACTTCTGTTGTCAAGAGACCACCCTACTCCTATGCACATCTGGAGCTCCTTAGTGACGGGTTGTCAAAGACAGGGGACCTTGATGCTCTCCAAGTCAAATCATACTGCACCTCTGCGCTGAAACAATCCCTTGGCGTTACTGGCATGGCAATACCTTTGGATATACTCAAAGTCGAGGGACGGAGCTGCTGGTTGAGATTACCCAGAGACGACCTTGGGGCATTTGCAGCGGCCATCACAGCCTGGCAGGGCACTACACAAGATGGGGTTCACTCTACACTTCTGATCAGAGGCTGCTCTGATTGGTTAGGTGCCTTAGTGGGACAGCAGGACGAGCAGAGACTTTGGACTGGCTGAGTCTGATCTGGGAGAAACACTAAGCGTTGATCATTCAATAGACTGTTCTCCATGTTTTCTATGTAAGTAACATGTCTTTGCATGCTATGATATATGTGTCTCGCTGTCCAGTCCTTTCTCTAAAACGCCAGGCTATGTAACCACCAAACTGTCACATATGCAAGATCCCTTCCCATGCCATAAACCTGTACAGATTATTGTCCGATAAGTAAACGTCTACCATGCCATCTACATCATACTCCCGAAAGAATTATTGGCGTACGCTGCACAGGTTGTTAGCTAACAGCGAAAGGACCAGGGGATAAGGTATTACAAACCCATTGGGCGGATTGGAGGATGTTCAACGGCGTCAAATTGGTGGAAATTAAGCTTGTAATCGGGGCCAATATTGATATAAGCGCCTCTATTTTCTGTCTGGTCGCAGTATTTGGGTGCTGAGAACACTGCACGCGAAGTGGTCAGCAGGCAGATCAGGAGTGAAGATAGGGGGTTCCTACGCACCTGTGATACACTTTCCATCGTGTTCTTCCTCATAACCATCCATGCGTACTTCGTGGCTTCGGATGATGGCATCCAAACCGTTCTTGTCGCAGAATCTCTTGGTCACGTCGGGACCAAACTGCATGCCGACACCTCTCTTGCTGGGGCCTCTGCCAGGCGCAGTTTGTGGGTCTGTCCATAGCATCTCCATCATGAGCCCGGACTGACCCGGCTGTCTCTGGCTGTGTCTGTTTAGCTTGCGGATGTCATCAAGAGTTACGTTATCATCTGAAAATAGGCCTCCATGTAAAACTAGGTACTTGGAGCCAATGAGCGTAGCCAACGGCAATGCCGAGAAGCTCTCAGAGAATAATTTGAACACCCTGGTTTCAGTTAGCAAAATGCAAAAGCCTATGATACAGAGGTCTCTCATACCGGTCGTTGTATTTCGCCTTGCACTCTCCTTCGAAACCGTAAACCTTGTTCATGTCGTCCGTCTCGTGGTTGCCTCGGTTCAAGAACATGCCGTGAGGACGCAGCCACTTGTAAGCATATAGAAGAAGAGCGATCTCTGTGGACCATGATCCTCGATCTACAAAATCACCGTTAAAGAGGTAGTAGTGCTTATCAGAAGGCCGCCCGTTCAGCCTGAAGAGCTCCATCAGATCATAATATTGACCTATGCCATCAGTCAGCTTGGTTACCACGTAGAAGCAGACTGACTTACCATGTGTATCACCACAGACTGTTAGCTTGACGTCGTCGGGTATTTTCATCTCGACCATAGTCGGCTCATCATAAACAATTCTCTTGGTGGCAATTACAATCTGGTAGACGTATTTCTTGTGAATTTTCTTGCCATTTTTGAAGCGCTCAATCATGTCGTCAATGAATTCCTGTGTCATTTCGTCTCCAAGTCGCACTCCGTCGTAATCGGGTTCAATAGCGATCGAATCGAGATCGAGACCTTCGGCGGCAGATGGTTCATCTCCAACGTCAATAGCGGCATAAAAATTCATTTGTCGCACAATCTTTTGAGATTCTGCAAGCTTGATTTTGGCATCATTATTCTTTGGATCGAGCTCAACGCACTTCTTAAAGTCTTTAACTGCGTCTTTGGGTTTGGCGATGGCGGCATAACAAACGGCGCGGCGAAAGTATGCCTATATAAGCATGAAAGTCATTAAGACGTTGCCCGTATTGACAACTGCTAGAGTTGATCGTACCTTTACAAATTTAGGGTTCAGTTCGATCGCTTTGGTGGCATCCGCGATAGCGTAGCCAAATGCTTCCTGCTTGATATACGTCTAGAGTTGCCCAAAGTCAGTCACGCGACCTCCAGCAGTAACAAGGCTGGCATTGAAGAGCCGGTCACACATACTTGTGCTCTGTTTGTATAAAAGGTTGCCTCTTTGTCGTTCAGTTCAATGGCTTTGGTGTAGAGCTCAGCAGCCTTGGGCCAATTGTGCGCCTTGAAGGCTTCATTGCCTTCATTTTTCAAGGCTACGGCCTGCTCCGCCGCGGAAGTCATGATGGCGGATAATTGTACGACTTAGATGCTCGTCTATGGAAAATACGATGGAATTATGCGATATAAAGTCGGGTATAGTGTTGACAGGTTCAACAAGCAGCCGGGCACCAAGTGTAACGTCTTCTGGGCTTCCAAGATCTAAAGTAGAAATCGAAAACGCCGGCCAGGCTAGGTGAGAGAAATGGAAGGTAGGTACTACCTACTACTATGTAAGCAGATAAGCAAGTAGGTACCTAGGTAGGTACCGGGTAGGGAGATCGATGACCGGAGGCCGGAGCTACAGGAACGACAACAGGACCTCTGTATCTACATGCAGTACATGTAAGGATGTCGGCGCGATGGAGGGGCAGAGGAGCAGGTCTTAAGGCAATTTTTTGAGGGTCGGGTCAGAGTCGGGGGTACAACTTTACAAGGTGCAAAAGTATCGTGGACATGCATGGATTGTACATTCCAGGTTCTCATCCTTCTGCGGCCCTCTGCCCGCCTGAGGCCGCTAGTCTAGCGCTGGAAATACCCGCCCGCATGCAGCCTTATCGTTATCAATCAGTTCTTGGGCGCTGCCAGACACAAGTGGGGGAAAGCTTAGGTCAGCTACACGCTTTGGAACGACTTTGGAAGCTATCGGGTCTCGCAGGGCATTTCTACCCGGCACCTGGTAGATCCCAAGCTAGATAACCGAGCTTCATGCATTGGATGTATAACTATCGTTGGTATTATTGGCACGGGCATCTATAAGTAGCAGGTGTTATCATTCCCTAGGTACTATTCCCAATTGACAACACGCCCTCCTAGGTATACCGGGAGTAAGAAGGGCTTCAGGAGAGCTGTGGGAGGGCCTTGAGTACCGACTGCAAACATGTCGGATGAGCTACGAGATGAAATTGAAGCTATCAATTCCATATATGGCGAAGGATGCCTAGTACCATCGGCAACTGATAGTGCCACCTATATCCTCACACCGCCGGGCGAGTCGTCGTCTATCCGTGTTGAATTCCCATCTGACTACCCAGCAGCACCGCCAACAGTGGTTGGTACTAACAGCACTGGCCAGGGCGGGAAGAAGGGAGATGCAGCTCGGGAGCTGGCTCTATTTTGTCAGGCTCTCGGGAATGTATTCGAGCCTGGGTCCGTTTGCCTGTTTGACGCCATTGAAGAGCTTGCCAGGCTTCTGGGAGAGCAAGCACCCGAGCAAGGACAACCCAACATCGACTCCAGCGAACACGTCGAGAGTGATGCTTCCAGGAGCAATGGTCACACGGAAGAACAGATTCTGTCAAAGGAACCGCCTTGGATCGTATCCGACCCCGTGGTAGAGATGAAGTCGACATTCGTGGCACGCTGCGCAGCAGTGGCCTCCACGACAGAAGCAGAATCGTTTCTTCAACATCTCCTGGCGTCGGACAAGAAAGTCCGGGCTGCGACACACAACATCACGGCTTGGCGCATTAGAGGCCCAAACAACACGGCATTCCAAGATTGTAACGACGATGGAGAGACAGCCGCCGGGTCCCGGCTGTTACACCTGATGCAACTGATGGACTTGTGGGACGTAATGGTCGTGGTTACGCGGTGGTACGGAGGACAGAAGCTAGGCCCGCGAAGGTTCGCACTCATAAACCAGGCGGCAAGAGACTCATTTGTGCGAGCCGGCCTCGTGATGACCGATACTACAACCAATTCAAAGAAAAAGAAATAATATCAAAGACATGTCTAAGACTACAGCACACCACCCTACCGTGCGAAGCCCCTATTTATGGCCATATTACATCTTTCACACTGTGCACGGTCTATCCTTGGTGTCTTACCATAAACCCCCACCTTGAGGGATCAACCCCAGATTATTCCTGGACCGGTACCTTGGCAAAGTCGTGCCTCGGTTCCTTCTGCACCGTCCAACCTGTTGAGCTGTGTAGTTTACACTAGAAACCGACATTCTCGAAGCTGTTTACGCCTTTCGCCGTCTCTTCTTTATAGAATATGCGGCCGACATATATGTAGAGTTCGAGTCATCTTGGTCATTATCAATTCGGCGTCAGTGCCAGATATTCTAGGATGGTTGGCCCACCACCGCTCAAAGGACTGAAAGTCCTAGAGTTCGCCGGACTTGCTCCCGGTGGGAATATTCAGTCCCAAACTACATCTTTAAGATGGAAAAGCTAATATGAGTATAAGGCCCTTACGTCGGCCTACTGCTTGCAGATGGTGGTGCCAATGTCTTGCGTATAGATCGCGCAATCCCAGGGAAGACACATACGCCAGGCGTCGAGGCACCGCCAGGAACCGACTTTCTAACCCGTCACAAGTCCTCCATAGCCGTTGATTTGAAATCGGAAAGCGGCGTGGGCTTGATTAAGGAGTTAGTTAAAACTGCCGATGTGATCATTGACCCTTTCCGTCCCGGCGTTCTGGAAAGGCTTGGTCTGGGACCGGACGTCCTTTTACAGATCAGCCCCCAGCTAGTCTACGGGCGTATGACGGGGTTCAGACGAGAAGGCAAGTACTCTGCAATGGCGGGCCACGACATCAATTATCTTGCCGTATCGGGCGTATTGTCTCTCCTCGGCCGCGCTGGCGACAAACCCTACGCCCCCATCAACCTTGTCGCCGACTTCGCCGGTGGCGGCGCGACGTTGTTCCACGGGATCCTCATGGCTCTGATCGCACGTCAGCGCACAGGCAAGGGCCAAATCGTTGATGCAAACATGGTGGATGGCGCCAACTACCTCGCCACCTTCCCCCGTCTCGCGCGCAAAACGCCCGTGGGCAACGGCCCGCGCGGCGAGAACCTGCTAGACGGCGGTTGTCCGTATTATGACACGTACGAGACGCGGGACGGCAAGTACATGTCCGTCGGGGCGCTCGAGCCGCAATTCTACGCCGCGCTCGTCAAAGGCCTCGGACTAATGCACAAGGGATGGGAAAGGACGCGAGAGGATCGCGCGACGTGGCCCGAGATGCGCTCCACCTTCGAGAAAGTGTTCAAGTCCAAGACGCGAGGCGAATGGGAGGAAATTTTCAACGGCACGGACGCCTGCTGTCTGCCCGTTCTCGAGTACAGTGAGCTCCAGAACGATTCCGCCCGCGAAGGTGACCAGCGCCCGGCCGTTGCGCTGCGTGAGACGCCATGTCTCGCCGTGGACGAGAAAGCTACGGACCAGAGTCTGCAGGGCCAGGGTGCCGGTGTCCCAGGCAGCGGGTACTCACCCTCTCCACTAAGGCTGGGCGAAGGTGGCGAGGAGGCGTTGAAGATGTGGTATGGGTTCTCCAAAGGGCGGGATTTCGATGTGGAGAAGGGAGGTTTGGTATTGAAATCAAAAATGAAGTTGTAGTCCGTGATGAGCTAATGATAACGAATGATGACGACGACAGTATGGGTTGTGCTTTTGTATGGATGCGATATTATTCGCCTCGAGTAGGAGCATATTTGAGAGAGTCACTTATACACATGCTACTACAACCGGCTTTGAAACCGAAAGGATTGCATAAGATGAACATGTAACGCTAGGTATCTATCATAGGGTGAGGAATTCACAGATGTCAAGTACACGTCAGCAACGAATCTTGTAATATTAAATATGGTATTCTGAGTCTGATTGCAGCTTAAATATTGCTTGTGTTCGTCGTTATGGATAACTGTTCTCTTCCCTGTGCAAAAGTCTAAGATGGGGTGTCAGAGGCGAGAGAGTAGATATTGCCACTCTAAAGGACAACAGATTGCAGTACGCGGCGCCGTAAGTACCCCTCGGGCTTGCGCTCAGTTGGCCCTTGCCCTCTACATACAAATTCCCCTTTGTGGGCATCAATTCACCGAATCTTGTCCTCCCTCGCTTTTCCTGAAGACGATTTGGCGTTGGGCTACGTCCTCTTCCGTAACGAGTATCTATATCGTGACGAACGGGGTAGGTCGTGTTTTGAAATCAGTTCACATATTGCAACTCTACTGTACTTGACCAACAATCTCGCTGGCCTTGCCAAGTGACTCGACCATTTGTTGGCATTCTTTCCGCCGCCGAATAGTGTAGTCGCTCTCCTTCAGTAGCTCGTCGGGGTTGTCGCCTCGGTACATGCCTTCAAGTAACTCCTTTTGCATTTCATCCTTGGTATACCTGAGAGAGGTTAGTGGTAGAATTTAATTACGTAATTGACTGGTTAACGTACTGAACGAGGTTGAGCATGATGGCTTTGGGTACCATATCGATCATAGTTCTCTTGACGATGTTGAAATAGGAAGAGATCAGAAGTTCTACATGACACGTTAGCAATGCCATATGATTATATACTGCACAAACATACTGATGACTTCAACCTCGATGTTCTCCCGTTCTGAGAGAGTTCCAGATGCTTTGAGCATTGGAGGTGGTGCCTCCATCGCGGCGGCCTTCTTCTTGTTTTTGGCGGCGAAAAAGCTGCCGAAGAAACCAGTGTTGTTATCTAGGTTGCTATCCAACGAGGGACTGGCGGCCCGAGCGGGCGTAGCTGAAGCAGGCAGGGGCTTGCCTGTCTTTGGGTCAACTTGCACAGGCTTCGCGCTATTGTATCGCTCATTGACCATTGCCATCGCTCTGTGGCCATTGAGGAAGTCAGGGTGCCCAGTGTTGATATAGCAAGCTTCCATGGCAACAAGATCCCTGACAAGTTTGTTGGTAGGCTCCATAGACTTCTTGAAGAAAGTAATGACTGTACTGTGCAATTTCTCCTTCAAACCGGGGTACCTTCGATAGAGCTGTTTAGATAGCAGTTGGTTTAAGATGCGGACTAACTCGTCGTAGACGAGCGACACACACTTCAAGCTGGGGTCCTCCAGCCGCTTGATCTCCTTCTTCACAATAACTTCGAAAGCGGCTGTACCTACAAAAAGCGCAGGAGAAGAACCGGAAGAGTTGTACAATATTGTCCTTATATCGACATCCTTGTTAACATCGAAAGGATCAACCGCCTTCACTCCATTGGAGTATAATTCGTGGAACACGAAGCTGATTCGTGCACCGCCAGACAACTCAGAGCTGGACAGCTCGCCGTTATTACCATCCAGGACTGACTGCCACTCCTTGGTGAACTCGGTTATAATGTTGAGGACAACGTTTGCACTGTTCCCTAGCATCGAAGGGCCCAAACCTTCAAGCTCAGCAGAGTATTTTTGTAACGAGCTCGAGATTCTTGCCTTGATATCTGGTAAAGTCTGCTTGATGTGCATCATCAAGATCATATTTAGCTTCCTTGCTAGGTATGGAGTACCGCAGTAGGAGCTCTTATTGCGATAAGCTCTGTGGTTCTCAAAGAACGCCTTTTCAGCCTCAAGGGCCTGAGAAATGAGCTTTTTATTGTCAATATCACGTTGACCCCTGTTAACAACTGGGACATAACCTAATCGTAAAGGAATTATACGACCAGCTAGAATGTCAACAACATCAGTGCCCTCATCCATCAAGTCTACTTTTGTCAGGACACCAATCGTCCTTTGACCTTCTGGGTCTACATCTCTGGCGAGTTTGAGGCCATCAGAATTGGCAAGATCGATGTTGGCAGAGGTAACAGCGAGGATAATAGCGTTCGATTTTTGAATGTATTTAAGAATCATGTCTCTGATCTGCCGCTCGATATCGCGAGGTTGGTCTCCAACAGGCACTCTAGTCAACCCCGGCAAGTCAACCAGGGTCAGCGTCAGTACGTTTGGCGAATAAACGCGTAGGTTGATGGGAGCCGGAGATATTCCTGCATTCCGACCGACCTTGGCCTCTGTTTCTCGGCTGATCTCGTCTCTAATCTTATTAAAATCGTAGAATTTCTGACCAGGGATATGTAGAAACTCGCCCCATTCGTCGGGGTTGGCAGCTTTGTCGCTTGAATTAGCGATGTCTTCTTCAGCCCCATTCGGTTGCGATGTCGCTGGTCGGTTGATCAGCTGCAGGACAAGGGGACGCCTCGTTACGATACCAGAACCTCGCGGTAGGCTATGACGAAGTGGTGTGAGTAATGCCAGCTAGCGTGAGAGATTTTAAGGTTATTGCAACATACAAATCTCGACCAACGATATTCTCAAGCACCGAACTCTTTCCACTTGACTGGCTACCGACGACAACAATCTGTGGCAGATCGATAGGGTTGTTTACGCCAACTGTTGTGAACACATCCTGAAGCTTGTTGACAAGCCTTGAAATGCAGGTCAGTCGGGATGTTCTGGATGGAAGATTTGGACAATAAAAAGACGTACTTAATCAACGCAGGATCAGAGATGCCTCCCGAGGAGCTAGTAACATCGGCCATCTTTGATATCTTGCGCCCAAGGGTAATTTGAGAAAGAATGAGATCTTCGTTTTTCGTTCCCTCTTACGTGGCAGAACAGTGGCTCTCCTCGTAGTATAGTAGACGTCTGGCGAGGATTAACAAGGAGGGAGAGGGTTGACGGGCTCGCGTGGAAACGTCGAAAAGCGCAACGTCACACAGCTCGACTGCAACAACGGTATCTAACGTCCCTCGACAAGGGAGAAGGCGGAGTGCGGTATGTGCGACAAGGTATTAAAGAGGCGGACACAGTCCACGGATGTGTATGCGTATGTCACAGACAGCGGTGAAGAAAGACAAGAAGCAGAGCTATCTGCGGGAAACTCTGGTGTATATTATTTCTATCGCAAGCTGAGCGAGAGTCAGGAGTTCTCGAGTGTATCTGCTGGCATACCGCCTGACAACCAAGTACGTAGCGTAAATGATAGCGTGCCAAGGGACAGGGATACTTCTGTGGCTCAGTTGATGTGCCCCTTACCTACCTATCTACCTCTCCTACCTCCCGCTCTCTACACCTACCGAGACCTACTTACCTATGTACCTCTACTTACCTAGAAGGAGGTAGGTAGGTACTCACCTATGTAAGTGAGGCACATCTTGGGTACAGCTACCTATGGTAGGTACATAGGTGCCTACGAACAGTCGGTACCCACAAGCCACATTGTGTTCTCGTTTTGGTGGGCCAGCCTTTTAGGTAGCAGCAATGAGATGCGGCGGTGGCTGGTGCCACCACGCTTCAAGCTGTATCAGTGCTAGCGGGGCACACGTAATGCTCCCTAGTTAAATACAGCATGGTATGCACCTTGACGTTGGGTGCCGATACATACTATGTACATACCTACCTAGGGATGTACAACACCTCGACAGAACTCAGAGATTCAAGAACAGTAGCTACTTCAGTCAATTGATAGGAGAAAAAGCGTCAAGTTCACACTGGCGACGTCACCTAGGTGTTTATTATCGGAAGATGGGACTGACAACTCAACCCCTTTGGGCCTATGATGGATGCATGTATTAACTTTGGGTAATACCGGTAACACGGATGCCTACTGTTACAAGCTGGAGATGACGACGCCGATGACAAGTTGTCAGGCCCCTATCTAGTTGCCTAATCCACGTTAAGCAGATGAGTCCAAGCTGATGTCCAGGATGATAAGAATCCATTTGAATGCTCCGATATGTAATGTGTAAGTGCCTTATAATAATGTATGATGACGGGGGGAGACGTTCTGCACATTCCTAGGGGTAAGCCTTATGTATACAACTCCTTTAAACGCCTGATCTATCATATGAATAAAGTCCTGTACTTGCCACAGCCCATGTAACTTAGCAAAACCCGTTACCGCACGGGGTGAGCTTGTGTTCCAGCAAGCGCCTCGAAAACATGAACGCTTCAAATGAATAATAGTGATACTACCGACAACAGTGGCCAAGTTGACGCTGTTATGCAATATATGTCGTTAGATTGATGAATGATCGGCTGTTAAGTAGAGACAACAGCCTGATCAGGCAGTTGAATCCCTACTCGTTGTTGCCAGCTGCCGTTGGTTGCGCCTCCATGTATCATTAGACCAGCTATTGATTTTTCAGCAACAGAGCCTAAGACGAGAACAAAAGGATGGGGCGGAACATGGGAAACATACATTTTGATTTTGCCATCATCGCCGCACGACGCAAATAGCTGCGGGTTTGTCGGACACCAAGCAACCGAATTACACCTGGGGCTGTGGGCTGACAATCTCTGGATACATTGCGCCGTAACTTTACTCCAGATATTTATATAGCCATCTATATTGGTCAGTTAAACGAACCGCGTACTTTCCTTGCGCTTTGCGTCTACTTACCCTCACTACCAGATATCACAAACATTTCATGAGCACCCCCCAGTGAGGCCCTAATCACGAATTCGCCGCCTGTGTGACCCGTATAATGCTGTACTGGCGTTCGAAGAACCAGATCCACCAGCTGAGCGTAACCATTTGTCTGGTTGACCAAGAGGTATCTTGAATTCTCGCTGATGCTAAGAGAAGTTAACCTGGATTTTAAATCCAACTTATACTCAAACTCTCTCGTCTGGAAGTTGTAGACGTGTATATGCTTCGCGCAGTCCATTGCCACAAGCCAACGTCCGTCAGGGGATAAGGCTAATTCCTCTATGCGCTGAGGACCTTTCCAGTCGTGAATTTTTTCCCCAGCAAGATTCCATTGGACTAGACTGCTAACCTTGTCCAGTGAGCCTATAACAAAAGACTTGTTATCAGGAGCCCAGACACAACTGCTAACAGGCTCTTGGTAATGATATAATCCTCGAAGGCATTGCCCGGTCTAAGATATAATTAGTCAATATCACACCTAGGCGAACACAAGCAGCCCTTACCTTGGCATCCCACAACCGTGCATACCGATCTCGACAACATGAAACTAGCATTGAATCATCCCAACTCCATGAAATGTTGCCCACCCCGTCGCCATGATCGCTCAGACAATGGAGTATCTTGAAGGACGGCACCTCCCAAATGATAACTTGCTTATCACCGCCACAGCTAGCTAATTTAGTCCCGTCGTGGGAGAAAACAACATGCCATACTTCTCCGGCATGATCATCAAGTTCAAATACTGTCTCAGTAGGGAAGTCATGCCGATTGCAAACATGATCAGAATACAATGACGGCGCTTCGCCACGTGAATGCCAAACACAGCTTGTTATCTGTGATTCCTTAACCTGGTCTAACAGATCGGCTAGCCGATGCTCTGGAAGCATAACCGAAGGAGATATACATTCTGAAAGCCAAAGGTTAGTTCGCGCGTAGACAGCTCATTGTTATTTATATGAAGATAAAAAAACCCACTTGAGAGTTCTGAGAGTAGTGTATGCCTCGACCGCCCATTAGCCCCATCCCAGCCGGCCTTGGACCGTAGTTCTTCCTTAGTTGGACACATTAGCAAGGCCGAGAGGAAGTGAAGTTTACGAGTATCCTGATAAAGGGACGTAAGCTCACGCCTGAGCACCATCAATGCTTTATCATGTTCTTTTCGTTCCAGAAGTTCGAGATATTTCTGCTGGCGTATCCAAAATCTCATCACATTTCGATCCGCACCAGCAGCGAGCACAAGCCCGCTGTTATTGGAGCTCCCAGGTTCCCCGGACGGTGCTGTCACATCAAGAAGTTCTTCCGCCTCCACCCAATCACCCTCAAGGATAGCAGTTCTGAAGGAAGCAACTGTTGGATTTTCAAGCTCATAGCCACTGGATTCACTGACGTTTTGTGCTGCCGAGTGGTACCCCATGTCTGAAAGCGCCTGTATAAGGATCCTTGTGACTTCCTCACGATCATGATTAAAATATTTCTCAGCATTCCGCAGTTTAGATGTTCCATTTTTAGATGAACTTAGTTTATGGGTTCCATTTGTAGTACCAGCTGCCGGAGGCCGTTGGCTGGGCTTACCGTTAGTATAAGACCGTGATTTGCCAATAGCTGCTCCCGAGTCGTCTGCGTCCGCCAACATGGTAACCTCGGCCCGCCGACGTTTGGTTGGAGGAGATCCTGTCGAGGTAACCTCGGAGGCTGGCGATTCAGAGATCGGAGCGCTCAGTAAGATGTGGTTGCTATCGGCGCCGGAAGTTCGCCGCCTTCTTCCCAGAATTTGTCGTGGTGCCGAGGATGGGTTATGATATTGCTGGTCCCGTTGATGTTGGGGAGTGGCGAGGGGGCGGGCGCGAGGTTGGCTGTCGGGGCGGCTCGACGAAACGGGAGCAAAGGTTGGGGCTGAAGGGACTATGCCAGGAGGATTCCGAGGCGGCTGCGGAGTAGATAGATGGTTGGAGGCGGATGGGGTATTGGATACCGGAGATTGGGGGTTTCGGTCTGCCACTTCGACCTCGTTGTCTGCGGGCTAGTCTCGGGACTCCCGCAGAAATGTCGATGGGTAGCGGTGGAGACGTGGTGAGAAGTTGAGATGCTCAGCCGAGAAGAGTGAAGGTGCGGCGTTCGTTCGACTTAAGATGGGCAAATAACCACAGTTCACGCAGAATGTTGGCGCTGAAAGCTTCGACGGCTTAATGGGCGTGATGATGTGGAATGAGATGCTAGAGTCATGTCCTAAGGCGGGCCAAGCGTACCGGTAGTCGTCCAGCTAAACTAGAGGATATCCCGGGGCAGTCGAGGAATCGCGTTATAGAGGGCTACCTGGCAGGCGGTTTCTATTCTCCCGTTATTGTTGTTATTTTGCTCTTCTCTTTATCTCTGTTGCTGCGTATTTACGTTGGCCAGTAGGCAGATAGAAGGGGATTGCTCAAGTCGTAGCCACAGCTTCCTGGCACTTAGTAAAATGCCGGGTAGCTGAGATGTTAAGAGTATGTCTCCTAACCACCTGCATCTACTACGTATGATAACGGGTTGGTGTACACAGAGTTGGTGTATACAGAGTTGGTACGACGGATGCAGCTAAATAAGTACCTATTTAATGGAGGTAGGTAGGTACCTACTTACTCCGTAGAGGAGAGAGAGGGCAAGTACCCACTGGCGTCTACAGCGTACCACCTTGCCTTCGAGGTTTTGTATGTACCTACATACCCAGGTTAGGTACCTTAGGTACCTAACCTCAGCGCTCTAGGCGGTGGTAGGCAGTACTTATAGTACTTGATAAAACTTAAAAAGACCTACCTGTAGGTACTTTAGGTAACTACCTGGGTACAGTCCGATACCAGGGCTACCAAACCTGCATACATAGAGTATGTACTATACATATAGCACTTACTAGGTATGTAGTAGTGGATGTCTCAAAACAGTAAGGCACTGGGGTTTGCTGGAGCGTGATAGCGGTTTGCAGTGCCACTCGTCATTGATTGTTGTACCTGTCTGATTGGGTCTCGATCTTCAGCACCGCAGCGACTCCTTGAACATGTCATTGTTTCATCAAGGCTCTTTCAGCATACCTATGATCACTACCTATGTACCTAGGTAATTACTGTGTACATAGTAGGTATGGATTTCCCCGCAGGTACGCTGTCACGACAGCCACTGATCGAGCAGAGGAGGTGACGTTGGGCTACCTATCCTTATTCAGTCGAGGTCTTCAAGTCATCGAAGGAGCATGTAATTCACGCCTTGCCACGTGGACACTGCCAGGTAGTAGACACATACCTACGAAGTATGTCCTCAGGTAGGTAGGTACAGTCAGAGTAAGTATGATACTTCGTAGGTGGTGAGAGGAGACAGCTGTCTGTCTGATGACCATCACGTACCTATCTGTGGGTTCCGGTAGCGAAGAGAGCCAACCAGTCTGGTGGGTTGGCCGATTCTGGCCGATGTCAAAACTGGGGACGATGCGGGACCCTAGCTGCATACGTCTTGTCTCTGGGCAGATTCTGGGAGTCATCAGACAGGGCAAGCAGGGTGATTCTCCATCCCTGGCTGAACTTCCTATCATCGTGCGAATAGGTCAGCATAGACAAGATAGACGTCGCATCGGTATGTTCCTATTACCAAGCAAGCATTTCTCACTTACTATGCACATAGTACGGTCCTGTCGGCTTTCTCGGCAGATCATACCAGAACGAGGGTCATCATCTGAGGGCCGACTAAATAGGTATTGACAGGCGGATATTACAATTGTTCCGTCTCTTTCATTGCGCTAGCAGTGCGCTAAATGGGCGAGCCAGCTTCCCGAATATCACGTCGAGGAACAATGCGACAACAGTAGCGAATGCGAAATAGGGAACGGAGGAAAATACTGCCGTTTGGTGAATTCTTGTTGTATAAAGCTGACCTCACGAAACTGACTATAAGTTTTGTCTATGTCTATCTATACTTAATATTATACGACTATTTAGCCAGTTATGTATGTTCTAGGTTATCTTTATCTATTCTGTATCAATTTCTAGCTCTTCTACATTAAGATTTTGAAGCTACTCGCCGCTAAACAAATTACCACAGTTCACAATAACCTATAGTACTCGACTCCAATCTCTCACAGTTTTAAAAGGTCTTCGCGTCTACTGACACACAATGTCGCGATACTTCCCTCATCCTGAATACGCAGAGGACCAACCATTGGCCCGGACTATTCTCACAACCCATGTTGAAACTCGGGCCATCACCACAGGTGCAATCATCGGGGCTGGTATGGAGGCTTTCCGGCAGATGCGCAAGGCCCCCGTACCAAACACACTGGAAGCTCCCCGTTCTCAAGTGTTTTTCCGGGCGGTCGGCAAAAGCACGCTGTGGACGATAGGCATTGTCTCGGCCGGCCTCGTCGGCCGGATGTGGGGAAGAGACGAGGTCGAGTGGAAAGATCGCTCCTGGCGATTGCTCGAGAGCAAGGGCCAGCTGGAGACGGATGATTGGAGTTATGGGGGAATGCTTGCGGGACTCGCTGCAACAGCACTCCTCAAGCGCCCAGCAGGCTGGGTTGCTACTATAGGATCTGTCGGCATCGGCAGTGCCATGGGCGTGATAGGGTATATGGGTTGGAGATATGGGCTACACGGTGGGAAATTTCCAAGCTCGGAATGAAGCAGTATTTTGTTGCAGACATATTCACGTGAGCGAACCTCAACTCCTGCATAATTATGTGAGCTGGTTGATAACCACATCCCATTCACTGACATAACCGCAAAGGGCTTTCTTCAATGTATAAATAATAGAGGTGACATTAGCTGTTGTCATAGCAGGTCTAATTTGGCGATACCCAACGAATAGATTTATTTTTCTTTTCAAGTCTAACATCAGAAGAGAGAAAGCGTATGATAGAAACCCGGGAGTGGTCAATTGCTCAGCATACAGAATTCAGCAACCTGGACGGATGTTTAAGATATTCGGTTCTTCCAACACAAGAATTCTAAACGCTTCTTTCACTGAAGTCTATTCCGACCCCAATTAGTATATAGGAAAGAGAAAAACAGGCCCTAACAATTATGAGCATTCTCCCTGGCCTATCTAGCTTATGTTCGATATCTGCGCCGATATCTAAACCACCGTAAATCTTAGAGCCTCTCTTTCGGGGCGACCAGCTCTTCGACCTTGGCAAATTGGTAATAATAGTCCAAGCTTTGGGGGTTGAGCAGAGTACCGCTAGGTTTGATGATATGCCCGGAGACGATCTGCTTCACAGGGAGCTCAACCTTTTTGAGGTTAACCGTAGTCTAGAACACATTACTACTATTAGCACCGCTTTACAGTATTCTTCTACACCGCCGCTGCTCAAAGGCACTTACTGGTATTTCGGGCGTCTCGAACACATATTTGGGTACGTGTCGCTTAGTCATCTCCTTCTTGATGGCCTCTTTGATGTTCCTGACTAGCTGCTGGTTGAATTTGTGGCCCGGTCGCATCAGAAGAAACAGCATCACGCTTTCATCGTTATCTTGCGGCCGTCTCTGACCAACACAGATAGAATCCGCGACTTCGTCAGCAAAATTACGCTCGATGACCGAATAAATCTCGGCAGATCCAAATCGTACGCCACTGGGGTTGAGCACGCCGTCCGCACGGCCGAGGAATGTCAGATTCTTGGTTATTGGGTGATACACGCAAAAGTCTCCGTGGGCCCAGACGTGATCAAATCGGGCGAAGTACGCCGAGTGGAATTTCGTGCCAGGTGCGCCTGCGGGCTCCTTGTCGCCCCAGAGAAACACAGGCACATTGGGGAATGGTTGCGTTGCCACAAGTTCACCCGGTGTTCCGTCTGGAACGGACTTTCCAGGTCCTGGCGGTAATAGCGAGTCGTATAGTTCTACTCGAACACCAAGCGATGGACCTTGAGTGCCGCCGACGTAAACCGGAGTCAGGGGATTTCCTTGAGCGAAGCAACCGGCCTAGAAGATCTCATTAGCGAATTAAATAAATCAGGAATAAATTAACACTTACAATGTCAGTCCCGCCAGAAATGTTGTTCAGCTGTACGTTTTTAGGGAACCCTTTATCATAAAACCATTCAAATAACTGGTTTGAGAGCACCATTCCAGTGGAGACCACCATTCTCAGGTTTGATAGGTCCGTTATCTCCCTAGGGGAGATACCAGCTTTAGCGATTTCGTACATCCAGCGGGGGCTGATTCCCAACCGTGTTACTTTCTGATTTCCAACCAGCTTGATAAATGTCTGCGGATCTGGCTGAAAAGGCGAACCATCGTAAAGAATAACTCTGCCACCAGCTATTAGTTGGCCAACGCTCGCCAGATACATGATCCATCCCGTCGTGGTATACTGTAGCGAAACAGCATCCGCCTTTCCGTCTTCGTGGAGGCGATACTCTTTTACAAAATTCAAGAGTACGCCACCGACGGAGTGCACTATAGCCTTAGGAATGCCCGTAGTACCCGAGGAGTAGCAGACGAGGAAGGGCTCGTGAAATGGGATTTTTTGAATTGGGACGTTGATTCCCTTTCGGTTGTTGAGAAGCGCATCTAATGTCTGCGTCTTGGGAATAGCGGTGATGTCTAAGGTATCGTTGAAGCGACGTATGGACACCAAGCCACGGAAATTACTGCAGTCCTTCATTCCATCGACGATTTCTGTCATCTTTTGGCGTAGGTCCAGTCTTTTGCCATTATATAGCGTAGCATCATCCATGAATATGTACTGTCCTGGTCAGGCTGGTTTGAGATTTTCGAAGAAGAGAAAAAAGAGCCCACGTACCTTTGGATTGACCTGAACAGTCCTTTGCAGAATACCTGGAACGCCCATATCTGTAGAACTGCTGCTGAAAATAGCTCCCAGCCAGGTCGTGGCAAGAAAGATAACTAGTGTCTCAATGCTGTTTCCCGCGACAATCACGATTCGATCACCACGTCTCACACCTGCACTATAAAGCGCATCTGCGTAATCCGCAGCCAACCTCCTCAAAGTTCCCCAGGTGACATGCCTTAGCTCAGTAACGCCTTCTCTAACCTCGGTCAAGGCAATCTTATCATCTTCTTTCCCTTTCGTACCTTTATAGGTTGATTTATTCTTTGGACCTCGCGACCAGAGCAAGTTCTCAGCCCAATTGAGATGTACACCTTCAAACCAACGCGGGACACTATCAATAAGCTTGTTCTCATCGACTACTCGACTGTAGGAGCCGGAATAGATGAGGTTCGCCCGCTTGAAAACCTCATCATAGAATATGGTGTGCCGGTCCACGGAGAACTGGTACACATCTTGGAATGTCTATTGATAATCAGGTAAATTCAGGGCTGGACGTTAGGTGTTTTAATCTCACCGTTAGATTCAATTTGTATTTCTGATTGATGAATTGCATAAGATCCCATAGCTGTGTGCTTTGGGGATTGGGATGCTCCCAAAGTTTTCGCGGAATTGCGGCAGCCATCTCGTTGTATTTATAGGCTCAGAGGACCTGAAGTTGGAGGTGGAATCAATGGCGTGTCAGAAATGAATGACTGTTGAATTCATGATAAGCTTGGAGATTGTGCAGCACAAGTATTTCAATGCCTCGGCGTCTCACCGCACAACATGATCGGCCCGGGACATACAGAACGCCGATGTACCTTGCTGCTCAGGTAGTGCAATACAGGGGTTGGTCCGAGCCAGATCTTCCAGTTGTCTTTTGACACGTAACTCTTCATAATCCAGTCTAGGTGAGTATTTCTTATACTCTAGTCTTTAAGTAGAAAATTAAAGTATCTATGCCCCTTTATCGTGCCGATGATTTTCTAAGATGCTCTGAAGATCATCTCTACCTCGTAGGTTCGGAGATAGCACAGTTGGGCCGCGGAGAGTCCAAGATCCCCCGCATTTCCCCAATCACTCCGCAATTTGGATTATCCCTGGAGCGATGAGTAATCTTGCCGCCACGTGAATACAGGTGAATAGGTAGTAGTGAACATCATTATTCATAACTCATAATCTCGAACTCCCCTAGCTTCCGGGTTGCCTACTTGGGCATTTCTCCGATCTAGGTGGGCGAGCGAGCATCCAGTCTCGACAGTCTAGTCATTAGAATGAGCAGAACTCGATGTCGTATTGACCGTTGTCGTCTTCACGAGCGGCTGCGTCTCAGGGTTGATGGTCGTGTCGTTTCGGGTATTCTGACGAACCGGAATTATTCCCATGCCACCAGTATCCCGTTCCGACGAGACGCATCGGCGAGATTGGCATCTGTATGACCCTCCCAGAGTCAAGCATTGACCGGCAGCAATATGAAACGCCAAACCTTAGTTTCTCTGTATGATACTATAAGCCACTAAGTTTGGGAGGAGTCGATGGTTAATTTGGGAGGGCTTAGAGGCTGGAATGACACGGCAATAAGAAGCGAAGGGGATTATGATGACGAACATGACAGATTTGATATATTTGGACCATGAGCCGGTTTGAACATGTTGGTAATGTACTTCAACAACTATAAGGTTTGTTCCTCAGGCCCGCCTCGCTATAATGTATCCCGAAAGCCGTACAGCTAACAGAATCGGCAAATTCAACCTCCCATGATATTAGCCGCGAGCTCTCCAACACATCCCCCACTACTAGTATAACACCCCTCATTTCTATACGCAGTTTTACCTACACAAGCAATGCATTGTCGCGTGGATGAATGTGTTGGAGCCTATTAAGTTGGTTTCTTATGTCTTACTGTAGATACTTGACTACACAATTGTGTCCCTGTTATTAGTTTTCTATTGTCTTCTGGCTTCATTAGTATTCAAAAATCTAGACCACAAATCTATGATCTCGCAGTGTTAGTAGTTGGTCATTATGGGGTCTCAAAGTGGGCTTGTCCTTGGATACAATGGCGTCCACCCCTTCTCGAGAGTGAAAATTACCGATCGGGCATCCGTACAGGAGTTGCTGCGCACACTGCTTGATCCCTTGGAACCATTTTTCTCGCCTTTGAAAGCACGGGTCAGGTGTCCGGGCGCCACAGCCGTCAGATTCGACCAGACAGCGTCGGAAGTGGAAGGCATATGTCGGCCTCTTTGGGGTCTGGCTTGTCTCCTCGATGGTGGGGGCGAATACCATGGCACCAAATGGTGGATTGAGGGCATCAAGTCCGGAACCGACCCAGAAAGCCCCGAGTTCTGGGGTTACCCGCGTGATAACGACCAAAGGATGGTTGAGATGTGTCCCCTAGGTAATGGCTCTTAGGTCTTTCATGCAACAGATGAAAGGACACAGGCAGCTCATATGGTCGTAGGTTATGCACTGGCTGTGGCTCCTGAGATATGGCAATCTTTGAACGAGAAGGAACGGACAAATGTCGAGCTGTGGTTGGGTAACTCTATCAACGAGAAAAAGTAGGTTTATGATGGTTTACTGCGTTTGGTATATTTTCTAACAAAAATGTCATAGCATGCCTAATACGAATTGGCTGTGGTTTCGTGTTTTCGCTAACCTTGGTCTCAAGAAGAATGGAGGGAAGTTTTCTCAAGAGAGGCTAGACAGCGATATTGAGCATCTGAACACCTTCTACAGGGGAGATGGCTGGTCTAACGATGGACCAGAAGGAATCCATCGTGAGTGGCTCCAAAAACTTAAAAAACAAAAACAAAAAAAAACCCTATTCTAGATTCTAACGGGTCGCTTATAGAAATGGACTACTACTCCTCAAGCTTTGCAATCCATTTCTTACAACTATTATATGCGAAGCTGGCCGGTGGCGATGAGCCGAAACGTGCCGAAGAATTCAAGAAACGTGCTCAAATGGCAGCCCTTGACCTGGTTCACTACTATGATAAGGAGGGTGAGTCGTCGGTGCTTTAGTATGACACGGAACACCCTCTGATTTATTTGGACAGGACGCGCTTTACCCTTTGGCCGAAGTGTGGGCTATCGGTTCGCTATGGTCTCTTTTTGGGGAGCGCTGGCATACGCTGGAGTCGAGCTCCCTGAACCGCTGACTTGGGGCATGGTGAAGGGTATCGTGCTTCGGAACTTACGGTGGTGGCAGACACAGCCTGATATTTGGAGTTCCAGCGGTACCTTGACTATTGGGTATTCATATCCGAATATGTATGTAAGTGCATGCCTCTAGCTCCTGCACGATGTCCATTGCCTTGTTAACGAGGAGTAGATGGCAGAGAATTACAATAGCCCAGGGAGTCCGGTAAGTCGACCTTGAATATCCCATCAACAAGAGAGCTAAGTCGTTCCACAGTATTGGGCCTGCTTAGCCTTCATTTGCCTCGCTGTGCCAGCTGATCACCCCTTCTGGACCTCTGAGGAAGAGTATCACGGAGATGTCATCCCCAAGATCAAGGCGCTGAAGCACCCTGGCCACATTATGAGGTAATCATGCCTCCCGTTCCTAATTACCTGACATGTTAATTTATTTAACGTCGACTTTAGCTATTTTGGGGGACATTGCATGCTCCTATCCTCGGGTCAGGCCTGTAGCTATCCAATGAAGGGTACTCACGCAAAATACGGTGCCTTCGCATACAGCAGCGCATACGCATACTCTGTACCCCCAGGCCTCTTCACGCTTGAACAGTATGCCCTGGCCTCGCAACTTGGTCTCTCAGATGATGGTGGTGAGTACTGGAAGACGCGCCGGCTGTCAGTGTACGTAGGGCTCGAGCATCGTCCCTCCGGTGATTCTGCAGCTCGAAATACCCCCGTGCTTGTGTCAATATGGAAGCCGTTCCCCGACGTAACGATCCGCACCACTCTCATTCCTCCATCACAAGAGACGCCAAACTGGCATCTCCGCGCCCATAGGATTGAGAACGCGGGCTCCCGCACCCTCAAGACAGCCGATGGCTCGTTTGCGATCTCCAATGCCCGATCTCCCGACGGCCGCTACTTGGACCTGTACGACCCTGGGAAATGTGAGGGAACGCAGCCGCGAATCGTTGGGAACTACGACCTTGCTACGCCAGAGGGGTGGGCTAGCGGTGTCACAGGTGCGTTTGCTGTCTCAAAGGGTGCTGTAGGTATCAGGGCGTTGGAATCTCAGGACCAGACAGCTTCGAAAGATGCGCAGGGAGAAGGCAAGGATCGGGCGGCCATGCTCGTCAACGCTGATCCAAACTCTAATCTCGTTGAGAGTCGAACCGTGATTCCGACATTGCAAGGCACGATACGTGCGACCGAGACAGTGTGGTATATCTCGGCCATATATGCCAAGCCACCCGGTGAGGGTGTTGCTAAAGAGTCGTATCTCGATGGGTGGGAGAGTATCCCTGAGATTCCTGCTTGGTTGAAAGACGAAATGACTTCATAGGAAGGAGAATTTCTGAAAGTAATAAGAGCTCTAGCCACCGTTGGAGGGTTTGTGTAAACATGTCTCACGATATCCAAACCAACAGCGCTTCCCCATAATTACCGTCACTACCAGATACATCAAATCAAGTGAAGACCTTTAGCCTTTATGATGGACATTGACAGGATTAGAGCCACCGGATATCTTCTCGGCCTCTGTGATTGACTAGGACTTTTGCCTCTCGCTGAACTTCGCGTTCCTATTGCCGCCTCAAAAATCATTGAAGAGGTGATGGGTTATTAAGACTTGTCCAGAATCCTTAATCTTGATACTATTGGGGGCGTCTCGCAGTCAAGAATGATGCTCAAATCCTCATAACCAAGTAGGTATTATAGATATGCTAATTTACTTGAGACAACAGACGTTCTGGTGTTGTGGGTGCCGTAAAGTAGGCGTGGTGATCAAGTCTAGGTATTGAATAGCGTGTCAGACCGGTCTGTTTTGCGACATCCAAACACCTGACAGCTTCGACCTCGGGTGAGTATTAACGGGCGGGTACTCGGAACTTCACCAAGATCTCGCAATGCATCAATCTTTAGGTACATCGCATAGTCATGCCTAAGATAGACCACCTCAAGTCCGGGCGCGCTATGCAACTTGAGGCTGAGCGCCCGAGGATCTATCAGGCGGGTTGGCTCATTCCGGACAAGCAGCAGTCATGCGAACAACTTACTCAGATATTAGCGAGCAGCGCATTCAATTATTCGACGCCAAACGCGGAGATCCGGACCTTGGTTACCACTATTTGGCCCGGCCCCATTTCCGTATTCTAGGTACGGCCACGTACGCTTGGTAACGCTGGGGCCGTTTTCAACTGCCGGTTGCCAAAGGAACCTAGCCTGGGTAGTTGACCTCGGTGAAGATGGATTGGGAGGGCCCATTCCGTCGCCATATGATGGTTGCGCGCTTGGAAACCGCTGTAATAAATGTGCATATATTGGTGATCGCCTCGCGTTGTCTTACGCTTTGTGTGTATTATCACAGATAGGGCGTGCATGGTCATAGCAAGGGATAATATAAGCTGCTGGTGACTGGGGGGAAGACCAAAATCGCATTCACTTAATGCAATCGTGACGGCAGTCAGCTCCATCCACACAACGCCGCCGTCTTAACTGTCTATCTCCTGGTCTCTTAATAACCGCCTTGACAACTCCCAGTTCTCTTCACAATTCTGCCATGTACAAGGTAATATCTCAGCGAACCCGCCCCCTCCGTCGTCGAATAGTCGTCGGATACCGCAGCTAGCCCTGCTAGGGTCCTGAGGCACGGGATACCTACCTGCCTACACGGGAAAGATTGCCAGTCGTCTTGCGATTAATACCGCGCCGAAGGAAAAAGCAAAGTAATGTCCGAGAAGAAACACGCCGAGTCCTCTTCGGCCGGCACAGCGCGGCATTCGCATGCCGTGCCTGCAGCATCCTTCCGTGCGTCACTCCCCCAGGTGGCTCTCCTAGTGCCGAGATTGACTTGTCATTTGTCTCCCGCTACTCTATTCATCCGACCGCATCCATCCATCCAGCTATCCATCCAACTATCCCTCCATTCATCCCGTACTCTGCCCCTCTCGGAATTGCCCTACAGTAACACCACAGCATCAAGGACACCATACCATCTCCATATTGAACTAGCGAGGTCGTGCAACTGCATTGACACTGACACTCATGCCCCCTGGTCCATTATTATCGTCGACTAATGAGTAGCGTAGCAACGCACAATTCCCCGCGAACGTGGTTTCTGACATCCTCTCTTTCGCCCCTGGTGGTGCGTCTGATCAGGCAATTGCTTAGCCACGGTGACTACGTCGTCGCTTGTCTACCTCCGCACGAGATCGAGCATGAAGATCGCAGTGCTGAATTTCGTGAGCTCGTTAACGAATGCAAGAGCAGTCGGAAAGATAGAGAAGGGTGGAAGGACCGTATCAGGAGCATACGCTGCGATGGCCGTATCATGAGTCAGTGCGGTGCTGCCGTGGCCGAGGCGAAGCATGTCTTTGGCCGGATTGACATACTACTGTGCTGCACGTCTGAAGGTGAGCTACTTTAGTATGGAACTAGGAGATGTTGCTCGCAATATATGCTAATGTAAATTAGCTGTCGTCGGGACAGTCGAAGAGCTGTCTACATCGCTAGCGACACAGAATCTCGTCCGCGACCAATTCGAGACTATCTTCTTCTCTCAAGTGAACTTCATCAAAGCCGCTCTTCCAATGCTACGCGCCGAACATACTGGCCACATCATCATTCTTACGAGCATTGGCGGACACATTGGCACCCCGGGCATGTCAATGTACACGGCGGCAACGTGGGCGCTCGAGGGGTTTTGTGATTCGCTTGCTTATGAGGTGGCGCCCTTCAACATCAAAGTCACCATTGTGCAGCCACACAAAGAAATTCAGACATTGACTAATAAGATCATCTTCTCACCCTCGCTGCCGTGCTACGATAGTGAAAACAACCCGGCGCCAAGCGTGCGGGATATGTTGACGAACATGCTGAATCTAAATCCGGACACGAGTATTGAGCAGTCGGCGACAGATATCTTGCACAGGTATCCGAAGCTACCTAATTCTTCTACCGACCGCCTGGTCGCGGAAACGGTACATGCGCTGACGGCTATTGGTGGTCATGAAAACCCGCCGGCCCGACACATCGTCGGGTTCGAGGGCGCCGAAGCGGTCAAGGAGAAGTTGAAAACAGTAACAGAAGAATTAGAGGATTTCGTCGAGGCCAGTGTAGCTGTTGACATCTTTGAGAGCGAGTTGAAAAACGAGGCTAGGGAGGGCAAATCTAAGGCCGAAGATTATTCTGGTATGCTACGAAATTCTATAGCCCCTTGATTCTTTCACAATCGATATCAAAACTATTTCCTTACATTTAAAAGGCTGGAAAGGACGATGAAAAAAAGGGGGAGGGGGGGAGAAAAGGACAATCACTAAGTAAGCCTTGTGTATACCCAGATAGACGAAAGCTTATAATGGATCAATTCCGCCACGTCTAATTGCTGGCTTTGGGTTTGAATATTCAGGCCTCTCTCACTGTTGGGCCGGGAATCTTTCGAGACTTCAAACTTTACCTTATGATAACTTCGTGGATCGGCCCTGGTTTCATTAGACACCTCATGTCTAGAGCTGTTCCAACACTCAAGTTTATTTGGTGCTTAGATAGTAGGTAGGTAGCTGTAAGCATGGATCCTGCCTGCATGGTAACTCGAGTGAATTTTTGATTGGTTAGGTACCTCTTACCTACTTGCTACAGGGGTTAGGTACCTATAGATAGCTACCCCTAGGTCGGTAGGTTAGGTGCCTAAAGACTCCGGTTGGGGCTTATCCAGGGGACCTCTGGAGCTTTGCATCCACTAACTCGGAATGGAATGTACTTATTCTGGGGCGCTGCCGTGGACCGCGTCAGGAGATGGCACCTGAGCCCTTGATGAAGTCCAATACACATCCACCTCCTGTCGCATTCCTCGCCAAACGACTCTACGTGCACACCCCAGTCCAAGCGCAACGTGTGCACGGCTTCTGAAGCGATACCGACCGACTATTTGCGCCTTCCAGAAGCACGTCACGACTGGCGACCGCTGACTTGACCGACCTGACCGACTTGACCGTTCAAGTGGCAGGCATGCCGAGTGCTGTGCTATGTAGATCGACCTGGGGACCAATGTTAGGATGAGTCTGGATTCTCTGCTACCCGTCGCCCCGGCGAGGGTACGGGCCTTGGTGCTGCCCATCGGCCAGATCAAACGAGAGCGCTTCCAGTCTTTTGTCCAGCGGCTTCATGAAGAACATGTTGTCCAACTCCGCGATATCAGCGCCGATGGGCGCCCAAATCGGAGTGAGTGCCTGCCTACTTCCCCACGTATAAGCGGAATAATTGCTAATGATCGATGAACAGACATGTTTTCCCCTCTCGCCTTTCCTGATGGATCAATATTCTATGATCTTATCACATACGTCCCACCGCCTTCTCACCTGGCTCTTTCGCCTTTCGACTTGTTTCGAGAGCCACTTGCCGTCATTGCTATTGCCGATGGGAAAGAGTTGAAAGATGTCACCTTCAGCAAGAGGCAATCTGCCAATGGCTATGCGCCTACCATGATCGAGAAGAATATCCGTACTCTCTATCAAGAATTGGAAGATCTAAGAGACACATACCCTAAAGTCCTTACGCACCACGTGCTCATTTTCGACCATGACCCGTCCACAGAGAACGCGATACGCCTACCAGAAGGTATCACGGCCATCCCTCCAGTTGAGCGCTCAAATCGGACAACGATGAAGACGGTCATGTGCGATATATCATCTCTCTTGCTGGCAGAGATGAACACACTCGCCAAGTCATTTGAAGCTATGACTTCTATCGATTCTCCCGGGCAGGCTCCGAGTCGGCCAGGACTTAACAGCACCACATCCTGGACTTCAGATGATGCCAACCCGGCTGCGCGGAGGAACTCCCAGTTTGCAATTTCGACTATGACAAGATCGTCGTCCACAGGTGGAACTGGGGATAGGAGCCAGGCTCGTATGTCAATGCCCCCTCTTAAATCGCTTCCTTTAGGCTCTAGCAGTTCGACACCCTCCGCAAGGCCATCCACCCCTGTCCGGAGCGGTCTCTCTAATCCACCGACTACCTTCGATGATATCTCGGCAAATGGAACTAGTTTGGGGGTTGCAAGCCCCGAGCAAAAGAACGGCTCACGCTCAGATCGTATCGAAGACAACACCAAGTCAACGAATCAGGACAAGGTCTCTATCCAAGGCTTTGGACCGGGCGGAATAAATGAGAAGTGGAGGAACAAGGCCAAGGGACGGGCCACCATCATAATAGGGTCTTTATATCTTCAAGCTGGGCGCTGGATCGATGCCTTGAAGGAACTCACCGAGGGGGCGACGGTTGCGAAGTCGATCAATGACCATCTTTGGCACGGCAAGGCGCTTGAGCTCATCTTCATTACTCTTCTTATGCTTGCTTGGGCGGGATACGAGTTTCAAGTACCAACAGTCTGTCTCTCACCCAACGAGAAGTCATCGAGTAGCTTGGCTAAAGCTCAGGACGCCGAAGAGGCAGATCCGACCCAGCCAAAACACATGCGGAACTTTCAAATTATCATTCCAGATCTACTAGATCGAATCACTGGATTATTTTCGAGAATATCTGGGGAACAGCTTCCTCCATTTCCCATGTCAGAAACTATCATCAGATTTTGTAACGCTCTCACTGCACTTCACTTGTGTGAGGGTAGACTCGGCAAAGAGTCGCTTGAGATTATGATATTTGGCAGATACCCACCAAAAATACTTAGTACCTCCCCTCGCCTTACTATTATACCTTCAAGAGGATATATCAACACACTCTTATTTAAAGCTTTCCCTTCATCTGCACCTGAATTACTCACAACTACAGATCGTTCAATTATTTTAAGTGGCATTGCTTCTCTTTTAGGCATTCTGGGATATCACAGGAAAAAGGCACTGGTGGTACGTGAATTAATATCAGTACTGATTGGAGGGCTGGTTGAAGCAAGGACTAGAGGGGCTGCTGAAGTAGGTATCCACCCAGCTGCTGGCCTGGTTGCTTTGGATGCCACGAAGGGATATGGGAAGGGTGCTGGTGCGCTCGATCTTAACGAAGGCGACATAGAGCAAGGTATCGATGCATTTCTTGGGCTACTTTGCAAGACGTATGGTGTCGTCAATTTCGAGGACACTTATATTGAGTCCGACGCCTCATCTACAACTAGTGATCTTGATGAGAATGTCATCTCGAGAATCAACCATCAATCAGCTTCAAGGCACTTCGGATTTCCTAACGTCAAGATCAATATTCTTCGCGCCTGCATTAACTTTTCTGAGGCCCTCCCTGATTTCAATGGCGTGCTTAGATTTTCCAGCGATTTGCTACGCACTGCCGGCAGCGGCGTCGCGCCAGGCCCGCGCCGTGAAAACGCTGCTCCTATGATTTCACGAGATGAGCAAATTCGGCTAGCTACTAATATATTGAAGACTTCTAGTCTGTCACAGAGGATGGGCTTGACGCACTTATCTGCTGAGTACTGGGATGAGTTCTTAATACGCGGTATCACACTCGACCCTTTGCCAGTTACTAGGCCACCAATACCACACTCTAAGAATGTCCTGCCAGGTGTGACAGCAGCGCGCACTTCACAGGACGTTAACCCCTTCATCTACAATCCCTTTCTCAGAACGGCAGATAAATCAGCATCCACGCAAACCCTTGTTGCGGACGAGCCTGCGACTTTCAGAGTTGTTATACAAAACCCATTTGAGATTGACCTAGAGATCGACAGTATAAAGCTACACAGCGAAGGTGCAGATTTTGATTCTGCAATAATATCCACAGTCATAGGGCCCTACCGCACACAAATACTGAAGATTCAAGGGACACCGCGGAGCGCAGGTTCATTGAAGATCACTGGCGCGATGGTGCGAGTGCTTGGTTGTCGAGAGAGAAGATTTCCCATCTTTTCACAACCATGGACTCCTGATCATGAACTGAAGATCAAGGGTATTGGTTTAGGCGCACTCAAGAAGAACCACGCTTTGGCTTCGCCAGGATCATCACTCAAACCAGACAATATTGAATTAAGTGTAATAGCGGCCCAGCCCATTGTGCTTATAAAATCTACATCCCTTCCTCAGTCATCGGTCATGATACTCGAGGGAGAACGTCGGACTTTCTCGGTTACTTTACATAATATATCTACAACGCCAGTAGATCTACTTCTCTTCTCGTTCCAGGATTCTACGCAAGGTTCTCTACAAGCAGCGCTGGCCAATCGAGATGCCACTGCCGCTGAATTGCATGAGTACGAGTGGCTTCTCGCTAAGAAGCAAGCACTCAGACTTTGTAAGGTCGACGACTCTAAACGGTACATCGCACCAGACTCGACAGCTATATTTGAATTCGAAATTCTTGGCAAGCCGGGACTTACCAGTGGAACTATACAAATTGACTATGCCCACCTCGGGATACCTCAATCAGAGATCAAGAACCAATTCTTTACTCGCCAGGTCTGTCTGGATCTAACAGTTACGGTAAACGCTAGTGTCGAACTTTCAAGGGTGGATATTCTTCCCATACAAGCAAACGTCCCAAAAACGATATGGAATCGTGTAGGATCACGTGAAACAAACGAATTGGCAAGGACTGACAGCCATTGCCTACTACTAATGGATCTTCGAAATGCTTGGCCTAGCGATATGCAAGTCTCACTCAAAGTTGGTAAAGAGACTACAATAGAAGAACACATATTGCCTGGAAACACCAACCGCATTGTTGTACCTGTTCCAATGATATATATTGAGGACCCGCACGCTTCTATACCCGCTCTCAATCCCGCCCGGCAACGACAATTCGTTGTCAGTAGCAGCAAGATCACACCGGAGATCGAGCGTGGGAATCGTGAGGCCTTCTGGTATCGAGAGAAGATGCTGGAAAACATATCTGGCACTTGGAAGACGTTGGCCGGGCCGATAAGAGAAGGTGCCATCCATCTACGCGGAATACGCCTAACGCCGCGTATGATTGAGGCCATCAAGATTGATGAAGTCGCCATTGATATCTCAGTCCAAAAGCCGTGCTCACAGCAACCTGCAAGCTCAGAGAGTAATATCTATGTGGATGAGTTCGTACAGATAAAAGTGCAAATCATGAATAGAATGGATAAGCCTGTGTATCCCACTGTCCGCGTCATGCCGTCGCTCTGCAACAGGCCCGTCATCGTGGCGCTCGACTTTACACGCAAGTTTGCGTGGAACGGCACTCTGCAGCAGACCCTGCCTCTACTTGACGCCAAGTCTAGCACGGAGCTGCGAATTGGCGCTACGGCACTGTGTCGCGGAGAATTCGAAATCTCAGCCTCTGTTGAGGAGACACGGCTATGGAAGAAGCCTGTTGAGAGCGAGCCAAAGACGAAGGACGGGGAACAGGAAGTGACTAGACAGAGGGATAGAGCGGATACCCAGACAATGATGGATGCTGTTCTTGGCTCTAGAGAAAGACGTATCTGGCATTCTAGGCGCCCTTGTGTTTTTGCTGTATGCGATAGACCCGAGTCAGATGAGGAATAGGAAGAAGGGCATGTACACATTGCGTGGATGTAGATAGGGGTACGAAATGTGAGATGAGTTGAATGTGAAAAAAGATCGATAGGTTAGCCAGCGAGGGAAGTCGTGTAAAATGATAGTTAATGTAATCCATAGACGGAGTATTTTTGATCTTTCTCGGTAGACGCGCGCCGGTAAAGAGAAACTATACAGGGAGTCGAACCAAGTGTGCAATCGACTACTTAAGTATGACTAGAAAGAAATCTATGGGTATCTTTATTCATCATATTATATTATCTCAATCTCATCTTCAGCAATCAGGCTTCCGGAAACTTGGTAATGAGGTGATCGTGCATCGCAGTATGAATCTGATTTACCGCTGCTCTCCTCAAAGACAGGTACCTTATTGAGCCTATTCAATGCATCCGAGTTCTAGCAAAAAGCCATGTTGACCATTCCCCCGCGCTCTCCGTTTATTGTGATATTATCTATCGCATAAGCAATCCATTAACCTCGTTAGTCGTTGAAGCCAGGGTGTTCCGGGTCCTCTATCAGGACCTGTGTAGCCGGGTGCATAGTCGAGAATTCCTCAGGCTCTCGCGTAATGGAGTTTTCTATTCACCGTAGGGCGCCTGAGTCTTGGCGAATTTTGGCAATTTCCGATCGTCCTGCTTTCTCAGTGCCTCCCTCCACAGTATGTGATCACGGTAGTCTTGAAATTCTGACGTTGTGATCAGCCCAGAGCTAAGAACAGTTGCAGCAGCCTGGAAGCATCTATCTGTGTTTCACTTCCTTTGCTCTCGCTATCATCCAAGGACTGATCTTTTATCTCCTTAGCTTCGGCCGTTTGAGCAGTAGACATAACTATATCATGCTCAGTATGCTCCGTTTCCTTAATTCGGTCTTTTACGTTGATCTCGATTGGATATGCACTGAGCATATTTGATTAAAGTTCCATCTTGTCATTTGTCTCCGGATTGTTATTTTTCGCGTCCTCAGGCACGATGGTAGAGTCTGAAGCACTGACGGCTCTGTGCCTATTGCCTTCATTCACACCAGTGTCATCGTGTGGTCGTCCCGGGATCGGCATATCCCATTTCTCCTCAAAGTCAGCGGCCACGAAATCATCGTAGAGACCCGCGACGCGCGCCCTATGCGCGGCTTGAGCTTCTCGGATCCAGTCCGGGTCATGATATCCTTTGCCCAGTCCCTCCTGATACTGCGTCACGTCGTTTCGAAAGTTATTGTTATTAAGAAGAGCACTAACGTTAGGCCGAGCTTGAGGAGTATCAGGATTGAGGATCATTGAATTATTTGGGAACTTGGAAAGGATCTGCTCTTTCTCCTCGTCTGTTAGGATATCCCACACCATTGGACTACAAAGCAACTCCTATATATTGAGTTAGCACGCCGTAGATTCTGGTCAAATATGCCCATTGTGATTTGAACTAGAAGACTAACCCGTAGCTTGGCATTAACCAAGGGTGACTTGGGATCTGTGAGCATGTCATCAGGATTGTCCCATTTAGAGCGGCTCTTACGAGAAGCTACGTGTGGCGAGGATTCATGATTAAGTCTTCGTCTCTTAGAGGCCGAGGAGAGTGATACTTCGTCTGATTCGCCATCGCCATTAATGCTGATTCCGGATTCCTGTTTCTTCACGGTGACACTTTTGTCTGATAGCGCAGAACTGGCAATCCTTTGAGAGCTGGAAGAGAACCGTTTAGATCGCCTCACTAATGGCGTAGACGCTTCCATGGTGCCCTCGTCAACATGATCGTTGGGCAAAACGGCTGTACTAGTTCTTTGCACCGAAGGTGACTGAGATACAATTATTTCGTCTAATACAACTTCCTTGTCTGATGTTGGCTGTTCAGCGTCTTGAGCCTTGGCGGGCGTGTCGCGTTCATCAGATAACCTAGCATTTGCTGAAGTGATGCTTCTGTTACGAATACGATTTGATTCCATTATGGGCTTGGGTGTGGTATTTGCCGACGAGCAGCTGTCAGCTTCAGTGAGGCTTGGAAGGAGCCTTCTTGGGTGGGATGCTCGATGTGTGGGTGAGTAATATTAATTGGGAACGGTATTATGGTGTGATGGGGTAGCCAAAGATGTTGACGACAAAGACTCTCCTCGTTCATGACCAAAATGAAGCCGGGGCATAAGAGTTGTAAGTGAGAAGGGAGAAAGGCCAATGGTGAACAGTGATAAGGAAGTTGAGGCTGAGGCTAAGGCTGGGGGCCAAGGCTAAAGCCCAGGCGGAGGCATGTTGGGAAAGGTTGTTTGACAGGACAATACACATTGGTCAGCAAACCTACTGGTGTTATCACGTCATTTAACCCAAAAGCAACGATATTAATAACATATGATGACTCAATTAAGATCATATAGAAAGATAGATGTTGCAACGTAAGAGAGAAGGAGCTAGACGTAAGTATTCTCTACCTAGATAAACAGGAACCAGAGACAAAAACGGTCGAGAAGGTCGAGAACGGTGCAGGTACCATGACGTCCCGAAAGGGCAACCACTGTAGCCCGCGCTAGAGCTGCAGGGGCCCAGACCAGATACAATGCTTTCGGAGCACTGTCAAGTAGAGTATACCAGAAGTCTCATGCATGTACTGAGTGAGAGCTACCTAAGTAAACTACAACTTCTGCTACGGTAGGTATGTACATGGTACCTAAGTATGTAGACTAAAGCGGACAGATAAAGAGCCCAGATATGAACCATTAGGTATATCTAAGATTACTTACTTAGCAAGGTAGTAGGCAGTAGAATGTGCTCTCCTTTGAACCAACGACCCCAGACAAATTAACACCCGCCGCAGCCTAAATAGCACCCTTTTTCGAGAACACATATTCCGATACTGAAGGCAATCCCACCTCCAAATAGCGAAAGGCAATTCAGAGCCACACGAGAACCTAGCTACGTCACACGCACCGACGTCATCGTCCTCCCAGCTGCATATCCTGGACTTGAAGACACGTAGGCCGCTGCGCTCCGTCTTCGCTCTTGAGCCCCTCGACAGTCCAAATACTCGATCCACCAGCCATAGGTGGCCGGAGCAGACACTTTGGTGGTCTGTCCTAGTTTGAGAGTACACAAGACGCAGAAATGATAAGATCGACACAGATAGCCCGCGTGGGCGACGGTGTGTCCCCTGTGCTCCCTCCGTGGACAGAGCACACGCAACGGCCAAGCTAACACGTTTCGGACCAGGTCTGATGCTCTGCGCATCTGTCGACGATGAGCAGAGCGAGTCCTCCCTGGCCGAAGTCAAGTCGCAGATCAAGCTGATCCTGCGGAGGCTGAACCGAAACTCAGAGCCGCAAGCCAGCATCGAAAGCGGGAACTACACATTACAGTACGGGCAGCCACCAAGAAAACGAACCAGCTTACTCTCTCGTCCGCTGTCGCAAAGACTAAAGTACCACTGACACGCTGTGCTCTTCTCGCAGTTACCTCATCGCCAATGAGATTCTATTCCTCTGCATCTGCGACCGTTCGTACCCGCGGAAGCTAGCCTTTACCTACCTCTCGGACCTGTCCGCCGAGTTCTCCAACTCGTACTCGCCCCAGCAGCTGCACAGCCCGTCGCTGCGGCCGTACGCCTTCATGGAGTTCGACACCTTCATCAGCCGCACCAAAGCCACGTACGCCGACACGCGCGCCACGCAGAACCTCGACAAGCTCAACGACGAGCTGCGCGACGTCACCAAGGTCATGACCAAGAACATCGAAGACCTGCTGTACCGAGGGGATTCCCTCGAGCGCATGGGCGAGATGAGCTCGAGGCTGAGGGACGATAGCAAGAAGTACCGTAAGGCCGCCGTCAAGATCAATTGGGATCTGCTCCTCAAGCAGTATGCGCCTATAGGTGTTTTTGGGATAATCGTATTGTTATTTATCTGGTTCCGATTCTTCTAAATCGCACGGGAGAGGCCGTGGGAGTGACAGAAGGATATAATAACAAACATCTCGAGCTGATCGGGGAAAAGGGACAACAGAATTGTCTGAACTGATAAGATCACGCTAGATACGATTGACCAAACTGTCGAACTATCTAGTTAATACATGTATATATTTGTGTGTGTGCGTATGCATGCGTACGTTAGCCATCCAAGGGTAAAGACTTGGTGATAAGTGAGTAAGCGTAGTCTACCATATTAGTGATACAGATGCATGCACATGTGTATGCATATTATACGAGAGTCGCGCGCGCAAAAATATTCGCATTCGCGGATTTTGATTTCCTTCTTCAGGCACCTTGACCCGACCAAAACGCCTTGCTGCCTATATCTCCCAATCGTCAGGCTAAGATTAATATGTACAAGGTTAAACCTAGACAGAGAGAGAGGGGAGAGAACCGTTCCAAACAACTAATCAGAAGAATGTCTCTCTCTTTCTCTCTCTCCCTCTTTCTTTTTCTTCTTCCCTCATCCAGTCTTGTTTTTTGGTGAGTAAATGAGGGAATCATGTCGTCAAAGATCGTTATCACATCATAAGCCATGCATTTTCACGGCAGGGTTTATCCCATACACAATGAGCGGGAAGGGGGGGGCGCCTACATGATCCCGCAGCTCGAAGTCTTGGGTGCAACGTTCCCTAGGAGGTTGCCGTGGGTCCATTCAAGATGCTCTTGCAGCGTGGCAACGGACTCGAATCCGCGTTCATCTTGTGTATACCGCATACGATCCATGTCATCGTCACCCTGTTCCTCATAGTAGTATTCGTCACAGAGAGGGCAGAGAAGGGAGGCCTGCCACTCGCCAAGGTCGGGTGGAAGATGGTTCGCGATGGCGACGGGCGGGAAGATGACGGTCTTCTCTTCTCCTTTCATCTCCATCTCCATCTCGGTCACTAATCTTAGCTCCCTTGTTGTTGTTTGACCTGTTGTCGTGGCCAGGAAGTTTGGATTACTTCTCCCCTCTTGGAGCTCAACATCGGAGTCTTGTCCAAAGGCAGAAGGATATTTATTAGAATGTAGGTGCGAGCGAGGGTGCGTGAACCCTGTCGCAGCCCAGTGTTCGACTAAGCTGGCAGATGAGGTCACTGGGTGCTGCCTTGTGCTTGGCATTGAGCGCAGGTTCTCCCATACTAGGAATCCATCACAGAAGTCACAGACGAAAGCGATATCCTGATTCCCGGGTCCCAGGCGCTGGAATGTGCCTGTTGAGTTGCAGGCTGCGATCTCGCCGCTGGCTATTGAGTCCGGATATGTCGCCGATGTTGCTATCCTTGTTGGAACTCTCATTTGCGGCCGTTGCTGTCTTTGTTGCCTCGGCGTGGAAGTGTCAGTTTGATCAGTAGGAGTTTGGGACGCTTGTCGTTGCTGACTGCGCCCCACAATTAAGGCGCCCAGGCACCGCGGCCGTGAGGACGAGCTTTCGAGGTCATCGTGAATACGCCGTACCGCACGGCATTGAGTACGGTGCAGCTCTCGTCTCAGCCAACGTGTCTCTGTTGACCATTCCGGTTCTATAGGCCCACCAGCCCGTACCCAGGACTTCAGATTCTGAGAGTGCTCTTGAAAGCGCGTGTACAATTCCTGTAACTCATCGAGACTGTCCTCTGTGATCCATTGTCAGTTATGAAGCTTAGAATGAGCGAGAATTGTCTTGCAACATGTAGCAAATGTCGAAAGAACTGAGATGGATACCACGAGAGGAGCGTGGTATGGACAGTCGCTTGACTGAGGGAGTGCTTCCCTGTTTTCTGTTCATAAGTGTCTAGGTGCTGTCTGCCTACGGGCGTGAGTTAAGGGAGCTAGTGTGAGTGATGGGCGACAGACACACCCGAGTTCACTCTTAAGAGGAAGAAATAAAGGCAATGCAAACATACCCTTGCGATCGTTTTCGTAGTAGAAACGCCCATTTACGAGCGCGGGGAGCTCTTGGAAGTCCCGTTTCGCCTCATCGAGCACCTCCTCGAGCAGACGCAACTGCTCGAACTCAGGCGGCCCCCATGCCCGCTTGTCGGCGAACATGAGGACGCGCAAAGCATCCTGAATAGCGTTTGCGATGACGGCTAGCAGCGATCCCACCGTGTTGACGGCGGCACTGCCGTCGCTACTCATGTCCGTGCATGCACGAGGAAGAAGAGGACCAATGGCGGCAGTAGCAGCCAGAGGGATGGATTCTTAGCACCCTCTCCTCTCTTTATCGTCTTTCCTCGTTTCGCCTATATATACAGGATTACAAAGTATAGTGAGACGTTGGCGTCGTTGCTCTTCAAGATGACCAGATGTGCACTTATCACCAACAACACCCAGAAGCGTGCCAATTGAATTAATACTCTCGCACACTAGCTCCCTGACTATCTGGCTTGAATGAGTGGGGGTCCAAGACCAGGTACGAGTCGCAGAAACAGATGGATGGACAGGACTTGGGCAAGTTAGCACGTGGGCGGGCGGCCTCAATTCTAATAATAAATGCTGGTCTCGAGTGAGTTGTTGGTCCCGTTGTATCGCGATGAATGCAGAGGGATGGGCTTGCGCTTGAAGATCTAAAGTGTAGAAGGAGAGTGTATAAGTATGTGTAGAAGATACGGGTATGGCTTGAAGCAGACTCTGAGTCGAGATACGAAGACAGATAGATGTTGATAATTTGTCTCGGTGGTTAGATAGCTACTTATTGTTTCCAAATCATTGATCAGCGTTTCTCTTGGTGATACACTGCTCCTGTAGGTACCTACTACCTTGAGCATGTACAGAACCCCTCACACCAGTGCCTGTATATACTTAAGTATACCTACATGAGAGCTAACCTTGGTACACTAGGTAGCGTGGTAGCGCGCTAAATATGTACCTATCTTAGGTATGTATTTATTCATACATACCTACATACGAAGTAGGCGACAGGCGACAGGCGACAGCCGTGAGCTGGATGCAGTACCTTACCTACATACGTAGTAGGGGTACAAGTAATGAAAGTTGTAGGGGTGCATTGCAGGGCGAGTGCTACTGTATTCCCCACCTGCTGCTTGGTCTCGCAGCTCGAGACATACATCTATTTACATCTTCATGCCCACACGTACAATTATTTAGAGCTCTAGCCCCTAAAAGCTGATATGTACAAGTAGGATAAGTGCGTGCAGAGCGTGAATATACATACATGTAAATAGGTAAGTAGGAGAATGTAGGTACAAATGGATACCTACTAGTCTGCTGCTACTAGGCAATGACGTGCGTAGGTACCGTGAACTAGAAACTGCCCATGTACATCATCCCCAGATAAGTACTTACACTAGGTACCTACTTAAGTAAGTACCTATCTATCCCTAGCTGACAGATGCTTTAGATGTGGCCAGAACCCGCTCATCCTTTTTCAAGAACTTCATATTGTGTGATGACAATGTGTATGTAGAACGAGACAATGGGTTAAATGCCGGGTCGTCGCCTTACAGTAGCATACCTACTGCACAACCGTGCATCAGTCACAATGTCAGTGAGCGAGTGTAATGTACTTAATCAGGTACATTACACCTCGGAAAACCGGCCTGGATGCCAAGCGTAGCAGAGCATTGGCATCCGGGACGCTGGACCCAACACGGCAGCGGCAGGTCCGAATCGCCTCGGCCATACTTGCATATGTAGGTAAGCACTTACGTGTTCCTGAAATGATGAGTTGAAACAACAAGGCAGATTCCCAAGCTTGCCTGGATGGTTATGAAATACGGCATCATGGGGGAGGTACAGTAGGCCCAAATCACTTGCCTGTGTCTCCCAAGTCGTGCTTGTCTTTGGTTGAATGATTGAGTGCTACGATGCCGTCCAAGACGCGTATGAGGCACATGCGTATGCGATTCAACCACCTGTCGCTCTTTGCCTGTTCCATAAGTCTACCCGGCCCCCAGATCTACCTACATACCCTTGCTTGTGCTGTGCGCATATGTAGGTAAGTATGTAGATGCAGCACATTACCTACTCGAAGAGAGAAACCATACGTAAACTATTACTATAATTGGCGGTGCTATAATAAGAGATAGCAAAGTTGTTTATTGGTCAGCTGTTCTCCCAGGGAAACATATCCAGATCTGTATCATCATAGGTAGATTATCAGATAGTACATACTGATACCTACATGTTCTCTACGGCCCGAGAAAGGCTATGCATCGTATTCCAATATCTCCAGTATTGACCATCTGCAACTAGAATTACCCAGTCATGTAGTATCCTTGGGCTGTGGGTACGTCGCCATGGCTGTCTACCTAGCTACTGTAGTCCGCCATCTTACACGCGATGCTCTTTTGCATGGCGAACCTCGTTTTTCTTCTCTCCTTCGGCGCTAGGACAGCTTGCTTCCCTACATGTAGCCCCCCCTGGTGATTGATCTAAATCGGCTCATAAAGTGTAGGACTTCTGCAGAACTACCGTACTACGGCTACACGGATAGTGATACTTGTTGTATATACAGATGACAACGCGCTTGCATATCCCTCAGTGGCACTGTGGCACGCAAATGTATCTAGAGGGTTATTGGACGCACTGCTAGAATATGGGGGAACATATCCGCACCGTAAACCAGAAGGAAAAAAGGAAAGGAATTCCAAGATGGACCACTCTTTATGGGTTGAGACTTGAGCGTACGTTCATACCTGTATCCCTACATCCGATCACGAACCAATCTGTACGACTGGATTATCCTAAGAAGAATAACAATGACAAGCTTGATTGAGTCTAAATACTCTCGAGTAGATGTTTAATAGATAGGTAGGTGATCATCATCAAGTATAATGAACAAATTGAGAGTGTGTGGGGGTGGTAAAACTCATGAATTACATGTGATATATGGCTTGTATATAAAGTTATAGAAAGTCTACTATCAATCAAGTGCCTGCAAATCAGGTGACCTGTCAGGTGATATAGTATAGTGGTTAGTACAATTCGTTGTGGCCGAATAGACCCAGGTTCGATTCCTGGTATCGCCAACCAACAACTGATGGTGTCCGTCTCTTTTTCTTTTTCTTTTTTTTCTCTTTCTCAAAAATAGACTTTCTTTCTTCCTTTTCAATCTTCTTGTTGGCCTATATAGTTGTTTATCATTTAGATTAAAGGGCACTATTGGTGTGAATAGCAATTGCTTCACCTGCAACCTTCTAAGCTCTTAGATATCAAGTCACCGTAGTAATCCACAACACCATCCTCCTCAGAAAGATTGGTTGGTTTTCTTTCCTCGTTGTTTGAAGGCAAAACACCGTTCAGTTCTCTCAACTCACAGATTAGATAGACACTCTGGTTTGCTCTTCATCGTTGTCTATCAAATTCTCATTTGTTACGCTGTGTAGCTATGCTATGTTCCTCCATAACTCCCATAAAAACCAGTCACAAAATTTGCAAATTACCGCACTCAAAAGGTTGGTTATCTTTACTCACAAAACAGTAGGTCAGGATCCTGTTTGCCCAAGCCACGCCAAGCGACTCTTATCATTACAAGCTTACATGTAGCGCTCTGTCACTACGATCTTGTTCATCATTTACATGCTATCTTTGAGTATAATCCTTGCCATTGAAGTCATGGCTGTAAAATTTCCGTTATGACGCCACGTTTCTATACACACCTGGGTATCGTCCTTTTTCACGTGTCTTCTTGTGTAGGAGTATCTGCGTTTTGCTCAGTTACACTGTTCGGCAGTCCTGTTTCGTGTTCTGGGTGATCACCATGAGGAGACCCACGGACTTCGGGATTTGCAGCGGTGGCGTTATCATTGGTGCCATCTGGTTCTGCTTGGGCTGAAGCTGCCGCGGCTGCTTGGGCTTCTCGTTGTCGTTGCCTTTCTGCGCGAGCCTCTGCCTCTACTTGGGCAATATGTCTTTCAGCCAAACCCGGGGCGAGACTAGCGATGAAGAGGATACCAGCACGCTCTAGTCGCCTTGCTTGATTCAACAGCCAGTTGGCGTTGTTCGCACGGCGTTGCTGGACTAACCTGGCTGCCGTATCAGCAGGATCTGGGCCTCTTGGTCCTGCTGGGTTCACCCCGTTTGCATCACCACCTTGGGCATCTTCGGCAACAGGAGGTTGCTGCTGGCGGCCCTGTGCGTCAGCCGCGAGGGGCATTAGGTTCTCTAATTGGCGGCGTAAGGGAACCCATATTTGCTCGGCCCAACCATTCAAAGCTCCAGTATTTACAACAAACATAAAGATGGCAAGCGAAATGACTGTGAACCATCGTGACCAACTAGACGTTGGCGATGTAAACCACCAAATAAAAACAGCAAGGCGAATTATCATCCATAAGTGTGGCCACACCTGGGCTAGTCTGATAGCTTGAATCTGAGGGTTATCCATTCCATGACCGAATTGAGCTCGGATTGGGCCTGGCACTTGCAATTCATGCGGTGGCTGTACTTGAGGTTGTTGGGCGGCTTGTGGAAGGTTGGCTTGAGCAACCGGTTGATTCCCACTAACAAATGGAGAGCGTTGAATGATCTGTGGAAGGGCGACGTGCCGAGCTTGCGCTATTAATCCGGGGGCGCTGCTGAATGCCATCGGGGGGAGAGGAGGACCCATAGGACGGAGTAGGGGGCTATAATATGTCCCTAAGTTGCCGTTGACCAAAATTGCGCGAGGGCCACTGGGAGAGGAGAGAATGAACACTTCAGGTGAGGTAGTTTGAATGCCTTGAATTCCAAGTGAACCATTAGAAGAACGACCGCTTGCTCGTAGGGGATCAGGGGTGCCGGGTGCACTCCCAGCGCGTGATGGAATAAGGGGTGTGGTAACCCCGGGGGGAATGGGTTGCTGAGCATGGTGACTAGCTAGACTCGTTAACGAAGAACTACTCGCATTTCTTCGCATGGCGTCAGCCATAGCACGCGTTGCAGGTCCTGCATCTGCTGCACGAAGAATGTTCTGAGCGTCATAGCCGCCAGCTGGTCCAGCGCTGGGTACCGATCGAACCTGAGCACTGATGGGAGTAGGTACCCGAACTGAGGCAAGAGGAGAACTAGCTCGCCCGGTTCTCTGTGACGTTGTGACGATCGGCTCGTTGACAGTAACCCGCCATCGCTGTCCATCCGGGCCAATACCTTCTCTAACGACAGTACGAGTGGCCGCCGGCTGAAACGGTGAGCCTGTTCTGCCCGGTGTCAAAGAGCCCGGGCTTCCCCAATGTTGGGTGGTATGGTGACCCATTGAGCTCGGCGCTGGGGTCTGGTTCTGACTTGAATGTCCTAAACGAGCCATCGTTTCAAATTGGGTTTGTAGAAGCTGCTGTGTTGACCTGCTAGGAGGGAGCTGAGGGCCAGTCTGATTCGGCGGATGAGCGAAACCGAAGGCAAGGTTGGGATGCGGAGAGCCACCGAAGCCCATCCTCACATGTGGCTGCCCATGATGTGGTTGGGGATGTTGGTGCCCTGGGGTTTGAGAGCGTGAGTTCGTAGATTGGTTATTGGATAGTGACGGAGTCGAACTCGACTGAGTCTCAGAAAGATCGCGTAAGACGAGATGCAGAGTTTGGTGGCCCGCTGACCGAAGCTAGATAACGAACATGTTATTATTTGCATCTCTCTAGAAAAGAGGTATCGGACCTACCTGTTCCTCGCCAAATAGCTCCAGCATGGTCTCAGAATCCCGTGTTAGGAGTCTCCCTCGATGAATGAGTCGCTGGGCATTATCTGGTGGCTTGGTGGCAATAGAACTTCGTATCCGCTCCCTTAATTGCTTTATTGTTGTTGTAACGGGAAGTTCTAGGAACAGAGGCTGAGGTACGTTGAGCGAGGGAGATAGGACCTGTAGTGTAAACTGGCTCGCCTCTATGGCCTCAGAGGCCGTTGATGCGGTTGGATCGGACATCTTTGCGGCAACGATGTACCAAAAGGAGGGGAGGGCGGTGGCTTCAAGCAACACAGTTCGGGCGTGTTGACCAACGGAAAAATCAGTAACTCAAACGTACAGTCGCGATTCACCACCAGTAGAGGGGATCCGAGGTGAAAGTGAGCATGTTAGGCAAAATGGCTGCCAGCTGGAAGTTATTCAAAGACAAAGGTCTAGGTACTCGTACAGAGACTAACGGTTGTCGGGCGCTGAAATAATAACAAGATCTTTAGACAAGAGTGTGGCACAAAAAGCGACAAGTGAAAGAAGAAGAAAAGCATGCTATTCCATCGCACATAGTCCTGATGAGTTGTTTCGTTTCATGGAGCTCTTAATAAGCTGTGGTCTTGCTTGTTGTCCTTAACAGCCTGAAGGATGTAGCGCAGGGTACCACGCCTGTGCACCTGCGCAGAGACCGACACTAGTAGGTACTCTGCGGTACACACTACTTAATCACCCCACTACTCCCAACGCAATGGTCAGACAAGTACAGTATTCAGATGGGAGCTATAGCACTTGTTTACGTAGTCAATCTAGGTAGGTGTCTATATATACACCTATGTTAAGATTAATAGACAGTAGGAAATACTAAGCTAACATCGAAGACTACATATGTACAGAGGAAGTATGGAGTACGCATACATGCTAAGTACCTAGGTAGATACCTAGATATAGGTAGTAGAATACGCTGCTAAGTTCCATAGTACTAAAATAGGCTTAGCGCTTTGCCGTCTAACCGCTGACCCGGCCATTCGGCATCTGCCCACTTACACCGCCCAGGGCCCTTGCAGGCGCTGAAGCTGCACCATCTGCGTCATGGAGGATTAGAGGGTTGAATGGTACATCACATACCTAGCTCATCCTCGTGGCTTTCTGGTGATTTATTTCCACCTAGGTAGGTAGCCTTTAGTCTTAATCTCTCAAGCGCCTACATGCCTAGAATTAAAGTATTTCTGTAGTAGAGGCTTTGAATCATAACAGAACAGCTAGTTTGCTGTCTGTGGCTGTGGACATCTCTTAACAGCGCCTGGCTTTTCGGCCATTGGCAATGGCATCTTCATCGGCAATTCTCGCTCGGGGACGAGTCCGCTTACCCTCCAGGATCGAGCCACAATGTCTTTGTTCCCAATCAACAATGTTAACTGGTATACGAGGGTCTACGCGCCATTTTGCGGCGAGTTCAAGGGCCTCCTTCCAGAATTCGAGGCGTATGTTCCAGAACCGAGAACGCTTCGGGTCAAGGCTTCGGCATGCCCTTAACGACAATAAGATTAAATGGTATCCCATACCAGTGGGGCTAGGCATAGGATTCCTGGGATTTTTACAGTTCTATAAGACGCAGGCGCGGGAAAGAGAAAGACTTGAAAGAGAAGGATCCTCTGAAGAAGGGCCACGACCCAAGAAGCGGCCGAGAGTGCGCCCAGATGGACCATGGTAAGCCGAACAAATCCCAAACCTAGAGATTGTTCCTAGCTTATACTGAATTCATGCAGGCAAGTCCAAATCATGTCCACTCTACCTCTCAAGGCCATGTCGAGATTATGGGGCAGGTTCAACGAGCTCACAATACCGTATTACCTACGGGTACCTGGCTTTAAATTATATTCCTTTATCTTTGGAGTAAACCTGGACGAAGTATCAGAGCCGGACCTTCACGTGTATCCTAATTTAGCTTCCTTCTTCTACCGAACCCTAAAGCCTGGTGTACGGCCACTAGCTTCAGACTCCAATGCACTGTTGTCCCCCTCAGACGGCCGTGTTTTACAGTTTGGAAAAATCGAAGGCAATGATATTGAACAAGTGAAGGGTATGACATACACCGTCGATGCGCTTTTAGGAAAGCACACACAAGCGTCGAGTGCGTCAAGCACGAAGCCTGGATTGAATGCCCAAAGCTCGCGACAGCGTCGTGCCGAGAAAGAGCAAAGCGGCGATGATGAACTAGTTAAGGCCGATGAAGAGTTCGCTCGTGTGAACGGCATCTCGTATACGATACCTCATCTGCTTTCGGGCGGTCCTAAAGAGAACCACGAGAATCCCAAGATTGAGGACCAAAGCGCGGTTCACTCTAGCCCGGGTGCTGTCTCCGAGGTGAGAGCCGACCTCGCACTCGCTGAAAAGCCTTGGTATGCCCCTGGCGGAAAAACTTCCCTCTATTATGCTGTCGTCTACCTCGCGCCTGGTGATTACCACCGCTTCCACTCTCCAGCCAATTGGGTCGTCGAGCGTCGCCGTCATTTTGCCGGCGAGCTTTACTCGGTGTCGCCGTACCTACAACGCACGTTGCCCGGACTCTTCACGCTGAACGAGCGAATCGTACTTCTCGGGCGTTGGCGTTGGGGCTTTTTCTCCTATACTCCGGTCGGTGCCACCAACGTTGGCTCTATCACGGTGAACTTCGATAAGGAGTTACGGACTAACTCGCTTTTGACGGACACCGCCGCTGATCGTGCGGCTGAGGAAGCTTCAGCTCGGGGCGAGCCCTACAGCGGCTTCGCTGAGGCTACGTATTCTGACGCTAGTGCCGTCCTCGGCGGCCATGCGCTGCGACGCGGGGAAGAGATGGGAGGGTTCCGGCTTGGAAGCACGATCGTGCTCGTATTCGAGGCACCGGTCGGCGATCAAGCCGGCGGCAAGCGTGGGTTCTATTGGGCTATTGAGAAGGGTCAGAGGGTCAAAATGGGCCAGGCGCTTGGTCATGTCGAAGAATAGGAACATGCGCGCCACTATTACATAGAGGCCCCCGCTGTAAATACTGTAGAACTGTTCGGGCAAGAAATGTACCAATATATACCATGTAGATTCTTTTAGACCTTCATCTCAGGTGATTTTAGCCCTCTCTCTCTCTCTCTCTCTCTCTTGCATGCCCGTGGAAGCTATGTCTAAGAACCGCAATTACTGAACCGCGCATCTACTATTCGAAAGCATTTTTCAACTTCAAGTGTCAGCACAGCAAAGCCTGGAAACTCAAGATTCACTGGTAAACAGTATTATCACTATTTAATTCAAAATAAATTATATGTCTTGTTTTTATATGTAGTATAGTTTTTCACATATGTAGTTGGGCAGCTTCAAATTTCTGTCCATGCTTATTCATCATTAACTCTACAACGAATTTCACAGAACGCTATGTAGTCCAGACCACTTGTAAAGGAAGTGTTATCGCTGGGCCACTAAAAGAATAATTCTAAGAAGGGGGGCAAGTATGTTGTAAAGTGAAGCCGTGCCAATAATCCATTCCGATTTCCAGTTCCCTATTTACTTGGGCCAATTGCCGAGGCATTCTTTGACCCTACTGAAACTGACAGGAACATCATTGTATCCGAGGTATACCGAACGCAAGAGAGAAGAAAGATTTCTGCTGGGCTCCTGTCACGTCTCTGGACTTTTCTTTCCTCTCCCTCTTTCGTCTGCCCCTAATACCTCTTGCGTAGCCCCTTTTCTCTTAACGCCACTACAACTCCATTTCCCTGGGTGCGAAAACTTGGCATCTAAAGCCTGTTCACCTTTGGGCGAATGACTAGACCATAAGGACTATGGTATTGTCAAATATGTACGGGAAACGAATGGCCTGTGAAAGCTTGCTTAAAAGCACAGCGGAGACCGAATCACGCCAGAAACATGTTTACCCGTTGCGATTGATGCCTTCGAAGAACCACCGTGAGTACGTGCGTGCGTCTGGAACATAGAGTGGTCCGCTTGGAACGATGACATCGGAGGCCGGTGAAATGTTGGGCAAATAATGCGGCAGGAAGTCATCTGCTAATGCTCATGATGGGGGTGAGAAGTGTTCAGTAATGCGAATTGAAGTAGTAGTAGCAGTAGTAGTAAAGATGTGAGAGATTCATGAACACGGAACCGACTGATGTAGGCTGCCGTGGAAAGAAAACAAGTAAATAAGGGTCTTGAACGGCGTCCTTCAATTTCTCATTTATGGTAGTAGTACAACCGAGATGAAGGATCATCGCTGGCTCTTAGATGAGCCTATTGAGCTTTGGCGCTCGTGAGGCCGGCGGTCTCTTCGATCCCCATCCTGCAGCTTAAGCGAGTCAAGCCGTTTCTGATTGTCTTCCGTCATAGAGTCAGGCTCATCGTTTGCTGTAGAAATGCCGTTCGCTTTTCTCTTGTTGGCCTGCTCTGTGATGGCTGCCCATTTCTTCTCTCTAAGAGCCTGCCTTGCCGGAGCGTTACTCTGCTGTTCATTATAATCATGAGAGCAGTCATCGAAAAGTTGAGGATTGATTTCCATGAAGAGTTTCATAGCGTTGTATACCATCCCATGAATTGTTCTTTGTCTTGTCAGTGGCGTTCACGGCATATTCAATCGAAGATCGCTCACCTGTTCCAATGTCCTTTGGAGTTCTCATATAATGGAGCAAACATAATAGGTAGAATGATCTCTACGTTGTCGCTTACCAGATTGCAGAAATATTCATTGTTCCAGAAGTAGAGCGCTCGTTCTGCTACTTGGAAATGAGGACTGGCTACTGATTTGGCAAGTTGGTGAAAGAGGGGTTCTTGAACCTTGGCAAACTCTGCCGGGTCCATCACCTCGAAAATATCCTCTACTTCGTTGAGGTACATAACCTCTTTGGTACTATTGACCTTAGGCCAATACCTCAGTAGTCCAAGAACTACATCTTCCGTCAAGGAAGCGTCCTTTTCCAGGAATTGAACAATGCAATAAGCCAGCTGAGGATGATACATGCTTAAGCTCTTGACCTTGTGTAGAGGCAATAGCGTTCGTGTAAGGAAAAGCTTGTGTTCTTCCTTTAGGGGTAAAGCGAATCCATTGATGATAGATCCTAGAATCTCAAGTAGCTCTGCAACACCATTGAATCTTTCGGTCTCGTAAGTAAACTGGAAAAAGACATTGTTGATAGAGCGTCGAATGAACGAACGGAGATTGAGGAATTTGCCATAGATACGATGCAAGGTGGTCTTAAGGAAATCCCTTTCGCGTGGATCTTCCGAATCGAATAATTCCAGTAGCTGAAGGACAAAGCTATGATCGATGTAAGCTTTGGCGATGTTGGTGTTGAAGTCTTGGCTTTCGATGAATCGAAGGAAAAATTCATATACGACCTGAATATGCGGCCAAGCGACCTCAAGTACGGGTTCATCCTCCTCTGGGTCGAATGCTTCGCCTTGAGGGTTCATTGGTGGGGGAATGGGTCGGAATAGATTTTTCGCAAACATTTCAACGACTCGTGGGTACATGGGTTCTGTGATAACCTGGCGGTTGTTGGCAACGTAGTCTAGCAATTCGTGCAGGGCTAGACGCTTGATTTCTTTTGATTTCATGTCACCACTGGCATCGTTGAAATCAAAGATGACATTGCACTGGTCAATCTTCTGCATGAACAGCTCTTGCCGGCGATTCGGTGGGACCTCATGAAACCCAGGAAGTTTCTCTAATTCCCTATGGGGATGGGGGGAAACATCAAAGCGAGAAGAATGCTGGCGCCTGGGTGTTCTGAGCCCCTCTGGGACATCCTTTGGTGTCTGGTGAAGGCGATCGAAGACCAGAGATTTTTGGCCAGCTTTGGGAGGTGCAAGATCGTGGGGCATAATTTCCGGCGCTCCAGGAGGCGGGATATGCTGTAGCACAGAGTAATTAGATTGAGGTTTGGTGTTGATCTAGTCGAGGAGGTAGACTCACCGGTGCACCACTGGGAGAAATCACAACAGTTGGAGGGAGGGAGCCGTGTCGGGATGGCGTAACCGCTCCGTTAGGTGACTGTTGAGGGCCCATCCCGCCAAATCTATCTGATGCGCCACCTGTACCTGCTGGCGTCCCGTGGGAACCTGGGTTTTGCATTGCTGCATCACTTCCAATTGAACCACTATTATTCGGAGGCAACGGTTTCATTCTAGGGTCATTGAGAGTTGATGTGGATGAGGATGGTGTTAGATTGGGAGACTGGGTTTCACGACCAGCGCTGGATGAGGGCGAGGCTGTTCCATCCTTCGGGTCCTTGTTTTTCTTGGATGACTTGCTGTCACTCTTGCCCCGCGACAGCTAAGGTAACAAGTCAGCATTCTGGGGCCTGTAACGACGACGACGCCCGTGATGAAGACTGTCCGGAAACAAATGCATACACTTACGACCCTTTGACTGAAGCGCTTCATTTTGGTAGGTCACGGCCTACGAAGTCACGGCGGGGTTGGACGCCCAAGGCACGGGCTTTGGTTGGTAGAACAACGGGATCAAAGCTGGGGGGGTCCTATTGTTGGCAGAAGTGAACAAATCGATTGTGGGTAGGAAACCCCAAAAGAGTCGGCGCCTAGACGACAAGGATGAAGATGGTGTGAGGTAGTCAAGACGTGTTTATTATTTCACGGTTGGATTCCAGGTGCGGAGCCTCGAGGGGACAGCGGCTGAAGTGCGGGATTGGGGGGCTCTGGATTTTGCCAATAGCTAAACAATAAATGGTGGCCGGCAGCACCAAGTCAATGTGGTATAACAGGCTGTGCGCTTTTCATATCTCGACCTTCGACTCCTGGCATGAAGGTCGGGCAATTCGAGAGGGAAGATCGTGTGGCTGTAGGTGTTAACCTAGCAGATGGGAAGTCAGGTAGGCTGGTCAGTGGTGGCTATTAGTTCCAGTGGGAGTGCCTGCTGTGGAGGTGGAGAAAATGAACAACTCCGTGATCCTACAGGGGGTGAGCTAAGTGGCTGCTTAGGTGGATTAGGTATACCAAGCTAGGTACGGTATCTACCCTAAGGTAGTAGACATTAGGTACCTAAGTATTTAGATGTATCACTACGCTGCGCTCCACTGTAGAGATTGCATGCGAAGAGCAACCGCGACAGTGCATCCACTACCTAACAAAAGCGAGGTAGGAGGTAGGTACTTTGGCATTCTGATACCTGCGAAGTACCTGCCTAGCTAGCCAGGTGTACAAAGAAATAGCTGTAAAGTATATACCTAGATACTTATCTGCCCAGGTGTCAATACACCTCAATAGATATAATACATTATAGGTTCTCATTATATATTTTTTATTACTTAAATAAATTTAATTAGTTATAAGTTAATATTAATATACTTAATTAATAGAAAAAAATACTTAACTAAATAGGGAAAGATAAATGCTCAAGGTAGATTAGATAACCAGTGCTACTAAAATCATTGCACTCATCATTTACAGTAAGTACCTATGTACCTAAACTAGGTGTCTACTTAGGTACTCACCACCTAGTAGTCAGATGATTCATAGGTAGGTACTGTCCTAGAAAAGACCAAATCCTGGCTCATTTTGGTTGTTTAACAAGGCTACATTCACCTGCCTAGTAGTGCCAATGGATTTTATCCACTTGTATGGACAGTACTGTATGGAGATGTAGGTAAGTACGAGGCTGTATGTAAGTTTGTACCTACTGCACCCAACATATGGTTGTTTTGAGTTGGTCCATGCATCAATCATGAGCTTTGCCAAGAAAGCTCAATCCCAAAATTCCACTGTTCTCACAAGGCTATGCCTGGTTTACTTCATTGTCAATTACCATTGCTTCGGAATCTTAAAATCTCAAAACGAACGGGAAAGTTCAAACAGAATACCTCTGTTGGTTTCCTACAGCGTAGGGCGTATGCACTATAGAAGGTACAGTGGTCTTGGTGGCACTACGGGCAGTCCCTCAAACCCGAGTTTCCAGGCTTTCAGATTAGCCAAGTATCAGAATTTCCCATGCCAATGACTGGGATAATAATTATCTCTTATATCAAAATCAGCCCGACCATAGCAGCGTGAGATCACCACAATGAGTTACAATGAAGATGATCACACATACACCGGAGCAGATATCGGGTTAAATATTCCAGACCCCGATGCTCCCAGGAGTGCTCCCACTTTCGAGGTACCCGAACGTAAAGTAGTCGCTGTTGACCATCCATGTATTGTCATCAACCTTGAAAAGGGATTGCGGTCTTTCGGACCCAGGCCGAACTTTCGCAAGGTGAGCTGCATACGATGCGACTTTGGAGCAATTACTGATGTGTTCACATCCAGCTTGTAGATGAGTTGCAGGAGCCGCAGGCTCTTCCACTGTGGTTTCGACCTGACAACCCAGCATCAAAGCCCATATTATCACATCATGCCGCCACCAACAACATATTACTGAAGATTACCGTCCCTAGGCGTACGGGGCGGAAACGGAAGCGAGGGAGTGATGAGCCGTTTTCCGGAGAGTCTGACATCCCAAATTCCACCACCCTGAACGCGCAGACCAGCACCGTTAGTTCAGTTGCCCGGCATGATCGCCCAAGAGCTATACTGCGTCGCCTTCAAGACAACCCTGACCAGTATGAAATGGAAGCTGTGGGCATGGTTCGAGATAGCCACAGGTACCGAGGATTGGCTGATTTTCAGTTCGCCAATACCAACGCTCCTTTCCTCCAAAATGTGGCAGAGCACCTGCTTCCCCTGGATTGTATGAGTTATCTTCACTGGACTTCGAGCTAGTTCGTGCTAACAACTCCCGCAGTTCAGAAGCTGCGGCAATTTAAGTTAGATGAAGGCATCGCGACAAGTCCTGGTTTGGAAATCGTTCCTCCGCCACATTTCACAGACAAGGTTATCGGGTTCAATTACAATTATGAACAGAATCCAGGAATCATCGACCAGGGGCTCGATGAAGAAGGGGAAACACGGTTGGTGAATCGCCAGGGCAGAAACAAATTTTCTTATGGGCACTTTATTCACCATGATGCATTCCCCGCCCCGAGCCGACCAGCACGGATCGACGGTGAGGCACAAAAAATACCAGATTCTTTAATGCAACAGCTTCATGACGCAATGGAAAAACGACCAATCTGGACGCGTCGTGCGATCGTCAATCAAGTCCGCGGCAATTATACCGAGTCTGTCCTGAAAATAGCATTACAGATAATGGGGTATCAATTCCGGGGTGGTCCCTTTCGCGATGCTATCGTGAAATATGGTATTGATCCTCGGCAAGACCCAAAATATCGCCAATACCAAACACTTTCCTTCAAACTAGCCAAAAATCTTGTTGGTGCTACAAAAGTCCCCTGGCAGACCATTAGAAGGGGACAAGTTAGAAGCTACTCCAAGAACGATGACCCTACCAGCCACATATGGGACGGAGAAAGCTACTCGACTGATGGGAAGCTCTGGCAAATCTGCGACATTACAGATCCATTTATTATCGATATAATCACGAACGCTCCCGTACGTTCCGAATGTGATTTAAGCGAGTCTGGCTGGTTTCTACGAGGTACCTGGCAGAAGATCAAAGCAGCCATGAAAGCTAAGATGATAGCGATCACGAAAGACAGGCTCGGGACAGAGGGGGACAATCCTCCCAAAGAAGGGTACATTTACAATATGTTCATTGCAGACAGGCTAGCGATGTATCCAGATGACTCTGATAAGCCGTTTACGGTCTCACTTGAGGGCCTTCTTCGTCCGTTGCAAGATGTGGAAAGTAGTAGGAGACGCCGTCGAGCACCACCACGAAAAGACCAAGCAACAGCGAGAGCAGACAGTTCAGTGGATCCCGAAGAGGACCAGTCCCAAGAAGACCAGAGAGACGAAACGGCTCAATGGGATTTAGATGGAGGCCACGAGGATGCGGAAATTTTCTCCCCAGGCCGTGGTTGGGACAACATGGTTGGTAGCGATATAGAAGATGACGATGCTATGGGCGAAGAGGATTAAGCATGCCAGGTTGTAGATCCAAGACAACAGGCACGGAAAAATAAGTAGAATAAGTAATAATAATAAAAAATCAGAGAAAGACATGTAACTACACACATTTTATTTTTGTAGATACTTATTGATGTCTCACCCATGAGTAATTCCACTACCTACGCTTATCAGAGGAACTCTACATGGATACCTGGATACTTAGGTAAGCAATCACTTCAGACACTTGCCGCTTTTGTTTGAAAGTCGACCTGGTCGACGAGCCTAAGGTCTGGCCTCAAGAGTTACCATAGGTACTGTAGATCTAGGTAGTAAGAGGTAGGCGAGCTCGGCAACTCTTATACTATGAGGAGGCATACTAATCCCGGCTTCTATCCGGGGCTCAGTCCGGGGTCTGACTTGCCTACTAGGTAAGATTAGACGCTACTCCCCCGTAAATGCATGGATCCCCTCTGAACCTCGGCACAACCCCAGCCGAGCTTGACTGAGACATGAGGATTCGACAATTCGACGATGACTTGCAGGAATTGTTGCTCTCTCATTAAACCTCCTTGAAGCTGCTTTCGAAAGTCCAAGATCACTTTAATAACTAATCTCGTCCTGCCTTCAACAATTAACAGTATTGAGTCGATCGTAGCAATCATGGCTGACGAAACTGCTTTGGCCGACTTCCCTTCGCTCTTCTCGTTGAAGGGCAAGGTCGCCGTCGTGACGGGCGGATCGCGAGGTTTAGGACTGAATGCAGCTTCAGCGTAAGTTCAGCTTTTCTATCCTTCAAATATCTAGTCATTTTGATGCTCTGCGCTAATGGTGTGGCTGCGATGACTGTGTGTGTCTTTGTGCAACTACCAGCCCAGTTGAAACAACTCTTGTCCTCATCTTGCTGCAAATATAGCTAGCTGACATAATTCGCTCCAACAGCTTTCTCCAGGCCGGCTGCGCTAAAGTATTCATCACGTCGCGAAAGGCGAAAGCCTGCGAGGCGGCCGTGGCGCAACTTAACAAGCTCCCCAACCTCCAGCCCGGCGCGCGCGCCATCTCTGTCCCTGCCGACAGCGCCACCCTCGTCGGCATCGAGTCGCTTGTGGCTCAGGTATCGCAGCACACGGATCACGTCGATATCCTGTTTGCCAATGCCGGCGCGACCTGGGGCGAGCAGTTCGATACCCACCCAGAGTCGGCCTTCGCAAAGGTCATGGACCTCAACGTCAAGTCGGTGTTCGTGACGGTGCAGAAGTTCGCGCCGCTTCTGCAGAAGCGTGCCACCCTTGACGATCCTTCACGTGTCATCATCACAGCCAGCACGGCGGGCTTGGGCGTCGGAACTCTAGGTCGCCAGGCTACATTCGGGTACTCGGCCTCCAAGGCCGCGGCGGTGCACCTGGGACGAAACCTCGCGGTCGAGCTCGGTCCCAGACACATCCTGGTGAACTCGATTTGCCCAGGTTTCTTCCCTACGAAGATGGCAAATGGTTTGCTGGAGATGACGGGTGGACTGGAGAAGCACGCCAAGGCGAACCCGTCACGTCGACTGGGAAGGCCAGAGGACATCGCCGGAGTCGTCGTCTATCTTTCTAGTCGGGCTGGTGCCCATGTCAATGGCGCCACCATTCAGATCGATGGCGGGTCGCTCTGGAGTTCTGGACAGCTTATCGAGGCAAAAGAACCAGAACCAAAGCTCTAACATGAGAACCTATACATTTAGACGCGAAATACGTAAAACCACTCAATTATATCGCATCACATTTGTGTACATATCACAACGGTTGGGGTTGCAATATCCCCTGCCGTCGACTTCGCCTTTTCACTTCTTTTCAAGCAAAAGCGCTAGCTAGCAAGCCTGATATCAATCTTTCTCCTCAGACGCCATACACGTGTGACATGCTTACCCAATAAAATGGATTCCAAAACGACGCCAATTCCATGCTGCAATCCCCACTTGTGATATGTATGGCCTCGACTCCTCTCCTTTCAACGATGAGGCTCTAAACTTTATCTATGCCAACTGATTCCGCAGTCTTTAAGCCCGTCGAGGCACCCGCCGTCCCTTATCCTGATCCAACTCGGGCTTGCGCGCTATCCAGTGGCTAGCGTTATATACGGTTTGCAGCATGCTTTGTGAATCCTGCACATATGGGGCCCTAAGACCTAACTCTTTCTTCTCGATAACGAAACCCATCTTCTCCACGAGCGCTACAACCTCATCATCCGTTAGCTCGAAGCTGCCGGGGTCAGCAATCCCGAGAGAGGTATTCTCGTCGTGGTCGCCATCACCGTCATAGCCGTGATGACCGGGGACATGATTCTCCCAATGCCAGAGCAGCGGGCCGACATTGATCAGCACGCCGCCCGGCCGCAGACAGTGCCGGATAACCTCGAGATACCGGATCAGATTCGGCGCTGTATCAAGGAAAAACACGGTTGCTACTGCATCATATGTATTGGCGTGCGCCTCGTCGCCATACAGACACAGGAAATCTGCCGCACACATCTCCATAGTCCCGATTTTACCCCCGGCTGCAGTTGTCTCTGTGAGCGTCCGCTGCGGGTGCACGTCTGGAATATCGTACGCTGCGAACTGGTTTGCACGGCTCTGGTGGTTGGAAAATGAATGGATCCACGGGTATATGGTGTGCTGGCCTGCACGTTCACAGGAATTCAGGATATACGACGATGCGAGGAGCTGGTGATATGATATCTCGTTGCCCTCTGTATTATAGCCTAGACGGCAGAGGTCAAACACAAGACGGCCAAGGCCAGCACCCGGGACCAACACCCGCAAGGGTGAGTTTGCCTTCGCTGATAGGTCTGGTTGTACTTGTGTCCTATCTGTGCGACTAGCTGCGCCTCCTTTCCGCTCTTTCTCAGTTTCTAAAGCCTTGAAAACGGGTCCGTAACATGCGTCTCGCTCCACGCGGCCCTCGGCAGACCAATCTCGGTAGAACTGCCGTATCGTGCTCCGGGCTTTATCCAGGTCGTTATATTTCGCAATTCCCGTCCATTCTTCTGGCATGACTGCCTCAGCATCTGAATCCACCATGCCAAATGAATGTAGCCCGAGCTTCACAATGGTACGCGCCAGCTCAGCGTTGCTCTCGATGGCATCATCTACCCGGTTAAGAGTTTGTAGGTAGTTGAATGGCGGTGCGGCAAGCATCTGCCAATGCGCCTGTGGAAGTGCATAAAACGCCTGCCTGCGAAAATGAGTGCAGTTCAGATGAGCATTTTTAGCATACTGGCTACGGGATTGTTAGTACGTTGGTGGGGTTGGCGTCTCCATTTCCATGATGGACGAGCGTTGTTTGCTGGTGGCGAGGGTGAACAGCTGAAACAGCAAGCGTATTTCGTGATGAGATAGAGGGCTTACCTGAAAGAGTCCAGGGCACAAAATATCACGCGGATCTCCTCGGGATCTTCAATGGCCTCCTCAACGCCATCCCACTCTTCCGCCATCCTCCTGCTGCTAGTAGCGAAGGCGCAATGCGGAGATGATCAAGGGGGCAGACAGATGATGCAGGTATTCTCAAATCCAGCTTTGGGGGAAATCGAGTACGGCACGTAATGGTCTTTGTAGGGCGGGAGCAAAAGTTGTATGTTTCAAAATCTCGATTAAAAATACTCTGACAGGTTGTCTACCCATGTAGAAGGGTAGATGGGTGCTGGTAAGGGTGCCGGTACGGTTAACTTCTGAGGGATTCTTAGGTAATCCGAATCCAGGAAGGTAATGTGATAATGTGGGATGAGGTGAAGGAGGGGCAGGCAGGTGAGTGAGGGCCATGAACCCCCCTAATCGGACCAGTCCGGCCTCTCAAGAACTTATCATTAACCGTACTTTGTGTGGATTTTCATAGTTTCAGTTGCATGAGAATACCAAGTACGTATATAAGCACATTAACTGTATATGATAACTAACACGTTCAGAAATCAGTTTAAGCGTGGAGTTGTCGTAACATATCTCCTTGGGTTAGGTAGGGCGGACAGCCGGAGCGATCACGGACAGCGGTCGGGGCGGGCTCTCTACAAGCAACCAACCTCCTACCTACCTCCTACCTACCTCCTACCTAAGGTATACTTATCTACCTTGGTACCTACCTCTATGTAGCTAAGCAGACCCCGGCAGTATCCTCAAGCTTGAGGTCATTTGAGTAAGTACTTACATAAGGTTCGGTTAGGTTAAGTAGGCTAGGTACCTAGGTCCGTGTAAGTACCTACGATAGCTGTAGGTACCTACCTCCTATGTACCTAGGTAGTTCTAAAGTGGTAGCAGCACCAGTGGTGTCAAAGCTGGCAGAGGACTACCTAGACTACCTACTATGTAGACTGTACCTGATTTGAGTACCTATATGTACAGTAATTACCTACATCTCACGAGTAAAACTTCATACTACATAGGTATGGACAGGTGATTCACTATCTCTTGTACTCAGCTCTTCAATCACGCCCCCAACCCTAGACTGCTCCGAGCGCAAGGTACCTTGATCATGGAAACCATGGCATCTGAGCCGATTCAAGTTTCTTTCCCCTTACCACGGGGAATGGACACCAAGATCCATATGCGCTTAACAGTTCAGTCAAAAGCTATCCTCTTGTTCGTCACCACTGTGGCGGCCGAGGACTCCGATAAGCCAGCTCCCATGGGTGCATTTGTCTACGCGTTGCCTGATGTCAGTCCGCTCGCTTTACGTCTATCCTTCTCAATCGCATACGTACTAATCGTGTTCTCTACTTAGAGATACAATCCAGCCCAGCCTTTGTCGACGACAATCTACTCAACCGAGGCAACGCTGGAGTTTACGACGCGTCTTGCCAAGTTATTGGCCAAGAAGACAAACATGCCCGTATATGTGGGAAACTCAATTAGCTTTGCTAACACCGGCCTGGGCGGTTCTATGGAAGAGGAGATGGAGGCCTTTAAACAGGTCGTCACGGTTGCGCTTGGCAAGCTGCAGCCAATCATTCAAGCTGCAAACCCCGTTTCTAATGGCGTAGAAGGCAACACAGATAAATAAATCTTGCCTACACAGCATGTATGGATGTGAGTTGTGACTGGCCGGCTAATGTGAATGATGATAGCCCCAGTTGAACAGCCGTCATTGGAACTAGCATAATTTAGTATGTAAGTAAAGCCACTTTATCAATAACGGACCCATAGCTCAGCGGTAGAGCATCTGATTCCAGCCGGAAAACTTACTACAGTTAATAGAGGATAACTGCTCATTCTTGTAGTAAAGCCTACTGCCTCCAGAAGGTCATCCGTTCAAATCGGGTTGGGTTCAATTCCTGTACTTTCATACTAGGCGCAATTCTGCTGTCCCTCCTTTTTTTTTTTTTTTTTTACAAATTTTCCTTTGTAATTACAATGGCATGGTTATCAGCTGTTAGCGGCGCTATGAAGGTGCGTATGAGGTGACAAGTCTACCATACTGATCTGCATCGCAGAGTGTATAGAATCGTTCCAGTTGCTATTTCAAGTAGTCACGTGAATACCAGCGTAAGGCGAGTATTTACAACAGCGGAAGGAATATGAGTAGGTAGGTAACTATGGCTCCAAGGTATGCTAACAATTATGAAGTAATCAAGTGCCTCCTGGACTGATTTTTGGAGTATCGTTACATTGGTCATGTGTGGTATCGTTGCGTAAGGTTTCCTTAAGACCTTTTGTTTGTGCTTAGAATATGTTTACAAGGCAGATATTCTTGTCGTAGTTTTCCCTGTTCGGGGAAGGTCGGTCTTCTCTGAGGGGCGTAGGTAAGAGGCTTTCTTTAATATTGCTTAGTTATGACGGTATCAAGTAACTGAATAACAGATATGTTCTGTACTTCATTGCTATTTCAGCCACAAAGACATTTCAGTCGAGTGTAGGTGCTCAGAAATCTGACTAGACACCATTCTAATTTGAGGTTGAATCTAGGGTCATTGCCTGGGGAGATATGCCTACCTAGGTAGGTTAATAATGAATGCTTGAAATGCTCCTTTCCATTGTCGTTATCGTTGTTGATGCATGCTTGCATACCGAGTTGAGGTATTGGGACTACCTTCCCTAATGCCCTACACAGAGAAGCCGTACCTGACCCTGACAGAGAATCTGCGCGAAGGAAGAACCTTAGTCGTATTCCAGCTTCCTTGAATTTCACATTTGCCCCCTTCCTCTTCCTAAGTACAGTAGAGCTACTTTATTTTTCATGCTGCCTGGTAGCTTTGGAATAGGCGTTTAGCCCATAGCTTCATCCATTCCATCGGCGGTTCTTATTGATCAATCTATTTTATAAAATCATAGGTATTCATCAACCCGCCATCAGTCGCGCAACACTTAAACTACCGATGCCAAATATTAAATTGTCATTTTACTCCAGCACCGCGTCGTCACACCGGATCTCAACGATTCCCAACATCTTTCAAGGCAAAATATACAAACCGAAGGAGGTCCACGCCCTTCGCTTATCGGCCAATCCTCCTTGTTGTAGTCAAGAAGCAGGAGGAAACGCGACCCTCAACGAAAACACAGCTTTTACGGCGGCTATATTGGCATCTATCCCTCCGGAATCACCTGACACTCCGGAAATGAATACCCGCTTTTGGGACTCATTTGGTGTCCAGGATTTAGAATATGTTCAACAGGAGCTGACTGACGGCATGGAAGATATCATCCGGTTATTCCTGAACCGTACCAGCCGTATACTACGTCGCTATGGCCTCCCGGTTGCCCTACTTGTCTACGAGATCCTGTTCATCGAGTGGATCGTACCTTTCACCCGGTATATTATAACCTGGCTTGGTCCCAACGCAAGCTATTTCAACATTGTAAACCGCGTAATGTCGTGTTGTGTCCGCAACCGACTTCAACCCTCATCTTATAACCGATTGTTCAATGACTGCATGAATCTTTAAGGAGAAGTAGTCAGGCGGGACAACAGAAGAAGACGGCGACGGAGAGGGGTACCGTACCGAACTCGTCTACCTAGGCTCCCTTGGTTATAACAAGGTCGAGGCAATAGTATACCATATCGACCACTTTACAATATAGTTGCAAAGCGTTTTCCAGAGCAGGACAGAAGACTGTGAGGGACATCATGGCCAATACATTGGACTAGCGATTAAGAGCAGCAGCAGCATTTTGATTCAGCTGAGCTACGAAATTACAAGCAGACACTTCTAACTTTATTAGTAATTATGCATTGTGTGAATAATTCACAATTCTCTGTTGTAACATGATGCGCCATATACCATACTACCAGCTGGACGACCTCACTCCTTTTTATCCGCTACAAATATGTAGCTGGCAATTTCGTACCGGGTATCAAGAACTTGGGATGGCCAACCTCGTTGTATGTAGAATCCCAAAAAGAACGGACTGGAGGATCTCGGTCGCTGACCATGTGAATACTCTGCTGCGTATATTATGAGTATTGAACTTGAAATTGGAGCTCATAGAGGTATAAAGTCTACACATTGCCATTCGCTATATGCTGAAAGTTACAAAATGCTTATAGCAATTTTCTCGAAGAAGCCGGAGAACGAAAGAGGGCAGTACCGTTAGGAAGAACCCGAAAAACTACGTTATCGACGTTTGCTAGACTATATGAGCAATGGATATGACAGCAGGCGAAAACTTTTCTGCTTTGGTAATTCCACACAGGCGGTACTTGAGTAACTAGGCTCCGACTTGTGCAATCTGATGCCAACCCAGTTTACTATTGAGACAACCCGGAAGTGAATAGAAATGCGGCAGTGTCATGCGAAGCAACCTTAACCGTAAGGCTAGAGGTAATCGACCCAAGGTCCTCGCCCGTCCAAACATCAAGTACCTTGTACGATCCATCAGCATCAAGACTCGGAATCTCGCCGAAATTGGCTGTCATATCACGGCTGACTGCCAGTGTATTCATCATAAGCACAAGAGTACCCTGCTGGCTTTCCCCGGACCAGAACTCTGCCGGATTTGTAGCGTTGAAGGTGAAGTCCGGGTTGGTACCCCATTTCCAGGGCTTTGCAGGGGCGCCGTAGACATTGTCTTGGTTGAAGGCCAGTAGATACTTGTTCAGGAGAATGGATTTGGCTTCGTCTGACGCAGCGTAAAGGTTGGTACCGATGAGCAATGGACTCTTCATAGCGGCCCAAAAGGCAAAGTGTGTGCGTTCTTCTGCGACACTAAGCCCGCCGTTTCCGACTTCTAGCACTATAATTTGCTGGAGTTAGTATATTACTCCTCTACATCAAACAGAAACGGGTTTCGGGAGTTATTTAGACTTCCAAGACATGCTTGCGGCTCTAATAGGAGTGGCTAGAATAGAAAGAAAAGGACTCCAGGGTTAGCATACTGTCTGCGTCGGGATGGCCCCAAAAGTCGACGTCGTTCAAGTTGAATGAGTTCATGTTGAGTATAGATGTCACATATTTAAATCCATCTGCGTGATGCGATTAGATGGTGGCTTTTCACTTATTCCTCTGCTTTCCCCCTAGGTAGAATCTTAGTCGGGATTTAACTAACCTTGGATATCGTCGCTCATTCTCCACGAGTTTCCTGTTGCGTTCCCGTATTGCTCGACTCCTGCGCTTCCCCATGAACAAAGGGCGTATTGAATTGTCCGGTTCTGCGCTTGGAGGGCATCTCTCATAATGGCATAGCGCTTGGCAGAGTTGGATCTGGTGTAGTCGTACCCGCCAGGGCAATAGTTGCCGGAGTTGACGCATGTCCCATTGACATAGTTGTTGGGGTTATTGAGATTGTAGACACATGCATTGCACGCATCCGTCCAGTTTGACGGTACGTTGCAGTTATCATATTTGAGATCTAACTTTTATCAGTTCAGCTTGGAACTTGGATAATGGGAAAGACTTACAATCAATTCCCCAGGCTGCCCAGGTAGCCGCATCGATGCTTTCGTATCCAATGCTGGCAGGGTAGCCAGCACATGTCCTTGTTCCGGCGCTGCTATATATGCCAATTTTCAAACCCAAAGCATGAATCTTGTTGGCGACTCCAGATATGCCGCTAGGGAACCTTTTAGGATCGGGGACCAGTTGCTGCGTCCTCCTATCACGGCCAGTTTTGACTGACCAGCAATCATCTATGTTGACATACTCGTAACCGGCATCCTTGTGTAATATGTTAGCACTGTACTATGACAACGAAGAGGAAAAAGAAGGTCAAGAGTACCTTGAAGCCAAATTTAACAATGGCATTAGCAGCGTCGAGAATTCGAGTCTCATTAATATCGCAATGGTAGGCATTCCATGAATTCCAACCTAGTGCAGGTAGCTTGCCTGTACCATCGGACCATTCAAGCGCTAATACAGCCGATGCTGAGACTAAAAATGCTGTTTTCAAACTCATCATCATGTTGTTTCTGCCGTTTCAACTGTGACTCAACAAATACAAGCACCAAAGGGCGACAACAAACTAGCTGGGAGCCTAGCCGTCAATTTGTAATTTGTGTTCGCGGGCTCACATGCTCGTATCGTTCGTGTTCCTGTTCCCCTCACAACGCTTTGTCGCATGTTCCGAAGCTGCTTGCAATGATGGCCTATCAATTATAGTGATCATTACTTATATAGGCGAAATACATAATTGACCTTCTGTTTTTGGTGATCTGCATTCCCTAGATGTAGCTACAACGCTGTCCTTGAGGATGAAACCATTCAGTCAGTAGTAGTTCCGTTCCCATTATAGTAGTAGAGTACCTATATAACAGGCCGACTTCTAGCTTAATGGCGTCGTTGCGTCACTGTTATATCTCAGGTACTCATGATCATGATATTGTAAATGGTAGCACCGACCTGCATGACATCGAATCAACTCCCGGATCAGATATTAAAGATGGAATTTCCCACCAATCTCCAGGGGAGTCGACAGAACCCCGCCGGTTCTGATTTCGCATGCATGGAAGACTAGCTATTTAATGTCACCCCTCGTTCAAGACATGAAGTGCATAGCAATCTCCAACTTGACGTCGATTATGTCCCGGGACAGGAAAACTAACTTAGCTCTATTGACATCCAATATAGAAATCTACTTGCGTTAACTGGCGAACTGTGTGAATGTAGAGAACATATATATTATTAACAAGACTCATGAGCTTGTTTCACGATTGCCTAAGATATTAAAAGGAATCAAGCTTGGCGCAAGCTCAATTATATTTCAAGTCGAAGTCTTGTTATTGAAAGAAACTATTGTATCGATCGAAAGCGGGCAGCAAGGGTGAAAAATATAAACAGATGTATATTATTACTACATGTAATTATGGAGGCCAAAGAGCGTGGACATCTCCTCTGGGGGCTTGCATGTTAGCTCAGTACTCCCCCCTTTCCCCCAAATCCTCATATACCAATAAATCCTGTTTATCCTGTGCATCTTGTCTATCCTATCGTTATAGCCTGATCTTCTAGTGATTCTATAGTGGTTATACCTTGGTTATAACACTAGTACTTGTCTATTGAGCAAAAGCTCAAAGCTTCGGGATAGATATAGCATAGGTATTGGTACCTATAATGAAGACGCTGACTGCACTAAGGAACATGCTGAATTGTGAGCTGTCAATACCCATCAAGATCGATATTGCCAACGTATTACACTTGGACGAAATGATGAGCTGTTGTTTTGTCGAGTTTGCAATAGCTACATCGCCAAAACACCTATATAACTGAGGTAGGTATGTCTCACAGCTCGCCCTCATGTAATTCTACTGAATGGAGTCTAAGGTAGATACGCTCTTTCTTGATTCACTTCCCATGGCCGTGATCTCTCAGTTTCGTAGTGCAGTGTAGTTAAGCTTCCTTGCACATGCCCGCCGGGTCGCTAAAATAGTGCAACCCCGCATGTTGTCTTGCCCGCATCTACCCGACCTGTGTCCGCTTTACCCGCTTTGTGTCTCATCAGAGATCTGATGCAATAACAACGCAACTATAGTTGCAGCAGAGAGTCCGCGTAATTCTCATTTTTTGGGTTGTTCTCAAGCTACCTGTGAAGCGGTATTGCCAGTCCAGTATCCCGCTAATAGCATCTCATTTCTCGCATACCAATCTGTCTGCCATGGCTGATTCTCCTATTCGTATCGGCTTCGTGCCGGAGCACTTCTCCACACCACTTCACTTCGCGCAGAAGCATTTCGGTCTCAATGCCCAGCTTATTCCGTTTCCTTCTGGAACCGGCCACATGAGGTATGTATTAAAACCAGCTGTGTCGATATCCAGCGTTGATCGAAAGATATTGTGTCTACTGGAGCTAATCGTTGTCATAGTATGTAAACCCCTGCTTTGAATATGCGGTTGCCTCTACTTGCGGAATCCATGAAAGCAACTTATAGGAACTGAGCTGACATGCTTTCGTATGTTAGTTACGGCCATTCGCGCCGGCGAAATCGACGTCGGGATTGGACTTACGGAGGCATGGGTCGCCGGCCTTGGCAAAGAGGACACCCCTGGCGACGGCGGATACCGTATCGTCGGCACCTATGTAGAGACGCCGTTATGTAAGATCTAAAAACTCCTGTTGATAACCTTGATATACCAGGATGTGATTGAATGGAGCTAATACGCATCCGCTTAGGTTGGGCGATTTCCACGGGCGCCAAGCGGCCAGAGATCACATCCGTAGAATCCCTCAAAGGCTCCAAGATTGGCATTTCTCGTCTGGGATCAGGCAGCCAGGTTATGGGCTACGTTCTCGCCGATCAAGAGGGCTGGCTTTCGCCTTCCTCGGCCCCATACTCGGATTTCGTAGTCCTTCAGAACTTCGCCAACTTGCGTAACGCCGTCAACAACGGTACGGCTGACTTCTTCATGTGGGAGCACTTCACGTCGAAGCGGTACTACGACAGCGGAGAGATTCGTCGCATTGGCGAGATCTACACGCCGTGGAGTAGCTGGAAAATTGTTGCCTCGACGGCCTTACTAGGTGGGGGAGAGACAGGAAAGATAGATCCGAGACTTATGGATTTGTTGAAGAAGTTGGACCAGGGCGTCAAGCATTTCGAGGCCCACCATGATGAGGCCGTCGAGTACATCAGCACAGCGCTCGATTATTCAGCCGAAGACGCTCGCGAGTGGCTGACGACTGTTCGGTTCTCCTCCAAGACTGAGGGTGTGGATGTCAATGTTATTTCCAAGTGCATCAATATTCTGCAGAAGGCTGGCGTACTTAAAGAGAAAGCCGGTGTGACGACCGAGGCTATTGCGGATGGAATGCTCGTTCAAGGGCTGGCAGCACAGTTCCCGGATGAAACACACTCACATCCGGTTGTATGATAGACTTCAACTCCTTTGAAATTAGTATTGCCAACTTCGCGAGACCCCTGAACTACCGGGTAGGCTGTCGCGGCCGGGGGTTGGGACGAACTAGAGCTAGCCCCACACCTGCTAGAGCATTTCCCATGCAACGCTTGGAATGACGTCCATGACAAGGTTTCTGGGCTTTTCTATGCTACCTAGTCATACTAGATCTAGTCTACGTCGGAGCCGATACAGAATTTCAATATCCAGACAGCAAAACAAGAGCTCAATCGCTAGTAATTGAAATCGACATTTCGCCTAAGCGCCAGGGACGCCACAGCGTCGTCGTAGCTTGCAGCGCAATGCCAGTCCTCGATGCGCTCTGGCAGCGGCAAGCAGCAGCCATCCTCAAGCGCACAACAGCGCGCACGCCACGACCTTCTATCCACCGCTTCAAACCTCAAGCGAAAATACGCAGTCATATACGTTTCCAATCGACCAATCCAAAACCCCCTTCCTCCTCCACCGCCCCAAACCCCTCACAACCAACAGCGCAGACGAACCGCATATCGCAAATCCTGACACGCGCCTCCCGCTTCCTCCCAAAGCGTCTCCAGACATCTCTGCACAACCTGCGCTCTGCGCCCCTCTCGCACGTCGGCGCCTTCCTCGTGCTTCACGAGATAACCGCCATCCTCCCCATCTTTGGTCTCACGTACGCCTTCCACGCTCTGGACTGGGTGCCCACGAGCTGGGTGCTCGGGCCCTTTGCCGCATGGGCCGAGGACGGATTGAAGAAGTACGTGCCTTATTTCCGGAGGAAGAATTGGTTTGGGCTGGGAGGCGAGGATAAGCACGGGAGTGCGGATGGGGAGGAGGTGCTGGAGAGCGAGTTGAGGGAGGAGGTGGAGAGGGAAAAGGAGCGCGAAAGCCGCGAGGGGAAAGGGGGTTGGTTTGGGAGATTCTCTAGGCGAGAAGATGAAAATACCCCGGTTGGCAATTCTGCGTCTAGTGCTTCGAGCGAAAGAGTTACCAGCGGGGGAGAGAGCAATACAGCGGCGGCCGTGTGGCGGAAGGTAAAGCACGCTGCTACGGTCGATAATACTGAAAAGGGCTACAAGATTGGTATTCAGATTGCAGCCGCCTATACCATTACCAAAATATTGCTGGTGCCGCGCGTAGCGCTCAGCTTATGGTTGACGCCTTGGCTTGCAAGAAGTCTTATTGGACTACGACAAGCGATACGAAGAAAACGAAGCTGAATAGGATATAGGGACTTCACATTGCATTCTATTGCGAACACCATCTCACGCGGTTTTCTAAGAGTGGATGAAGGGATATGAACTCCTCTTGTATTTGTTTTGTTTTTGCCGTATTCGCACGTTCTGTCGGGCTTAGACAATGCCTAGTAGAGTTACTACAGCACTTGTTGCTCTCTGACGTATGTGCGCAAATTTTGCTGCTGAGAGCACTTAAGGCTTCTCGTAGATCCAGCTAGCCTGGGCGCTCTTCCAGCTCTGGAGCTCGCCCTCCTTGAACCAGAGAGCAATCTCCTTTTGGGCGCTCTCGACGCTGTCGGAGCCGTGGCAGACGTTACGTCCGACATCGATGGCGAAATCACCACGGATGGTGCCAGGAAGGGAGGCGAGGGGGTTGGTGGCACCAAGGAGGGCTATTTGGATGTTAGCTCAGGTTCTTACGGCCTCATTGGTTGATATATAGCTTGAGGGTTACGTACTTCGGCCAGTCTTGACAGCATCACGGCCCTCCCAGACCATGGCGCAGATGGGGCCGCTGTTCATGTCTATAATGCCCAATGAGTTAACGCATATAGTGATAGCGGCTTGCAGACGGTCTTCACATACACTCAACAAGGCCAGCGAAGAAAGGCTTGTCCTTAAGGTCGGCATCTATGAGATTCTACTTTAGTCGGGGAGAACGATTAGGGATAGATAGGGCAATCGTACAGTGCTGCTCGAGGTGGGCCTTGCCGGGGGTGGTGAGCTTGATGGCAACAAGTTTGTAGCTGAAAACACATTGTTAGCTTGAATTATGCCTAAAATACATTTTCAAACTTACCCTCGGTTCTCGAAGCGGGAAATGATGGGGCCAACAAGGCCACGCTAGAATAGATGTTAGTGGCAGGGCTCATCAGCTCCTGTTAAGACGAAGAGATAGTACCTGGACGCCGTCAGGCTTGATAGCGATGAAACTAGAGCCGGGAGGTTAGTGGTGCCTGTACCTCTGAGTTGGGATTCAAGTCTACCCAATGCAGCTGACTACTTACGTCTGCTCGGTAGACATCTTGTCGTGAGTTATGGGAGGTGGGGTTGAAGGGGTTGTTGATGGAGGCTCTACGGGAGAGACAAGTAGGTCGGGCTCGAGGTGTGAGGAGGTAAAGAAGCCGCTGATAGCTCCTTTATAGACGTGATAGTCGTGTTTGACGCTTTGGGGAAAACTCCAGCCGGGACGATGGTGGATTTGCCAGGGAAGGAGAAAAAACAGAAAAAATATAAGCCAGACGGAGGTGAAGAAAACACAGAGCGGGGTGACGGATGCCTTGGCGGGGTTGCACTTGATGCTTTGGCGGTCGTTGATTGGCCAATGCTATGCTGGAGCGCTGTGGAGGGGTAGGACGACTGTGCTTTTTGTCCATTTCGAAGTCGAGTTCGTCTTGGGTTAGGTCGTTTTTCCAGGTTTCAAGTTTGGTACCTATGTACATATGTAGGTAGGTAGGTAGGTAGCTGGCGGGTAGCTCACTGGCGCTCTCTCTGATATTGTACTTTGTGCGAGGCAAATACGGCCTTGCTTCCAGTGTGATGTCGATGTGAAAAAGAAAGCTTCATAAACCCATCACATATCTTATATTCAACCGACCAAACGAGGGCATACCGACTTCGAAGCTCGTTGTTAGTTGTCACCAATTGGATTATAGTGGCCTGAAAACCAGCTTCGTTAAATGCCAGACCAGCCAGTTACCTACACAGTTACTCAATAAAGTACCTAGTACGACTAAAATGGATAGGTAAGTATCCTCAAGTATCTGTGGCTGCTACCCTCTCCAAATTGTGGCTTGTCAACCTACTTAGCCTAAGCATCTGGGCGCAGTAGGACAACTTCCAAATTATAGGTAGGCTTCCACTAGCCGGTACTTGCCAGGTACAGGCGCTTAGGTACTTGACAGCTTGTCAGAGCTTCCCATTTCCCAACACCCTACATCCTACACATCCTCCTCTTATTACTTTCTCCTTATAATTCTTCGCCAATTGCCCGCACCAGGCCGAAGTGATCAAGCCTCCTTTCATATAATTGCTTCAGGTGGTTGAGAACTCGATGATTTTGCTCAGCTGGCTGTAACTCGCCTTGTGTGACACCTTCGACCTTCAACTCCACCCCCAGTTTTCTGGGGGATCCCTTAAGGATTCAAGATGCGCACATCGAGCCAGCCCTTCTCGAGCTGGCTAGCTTTGTTGTGCGCATTAGGGGTCCTATTTTCATTGTTTACATCAGGAGGTACGTTGTTTTTCCCATCATCCCCTTATCCCTATCGCACCCATTACCTTGCCCTGCCTTGGATTCCTCGTTGCTAAAGTTTCTCCTCATGCAGTTGCGGTAAAGGAGAACGACTTCAAGAAATGCCATCAATCAGGATTTTGTAAACGAAACAGAGATTACGCCGACAAAGCTTTGGCACAGGGATCGTCATGGCAGGTACCATACACAATTGTTCCTACCGAAGCCTCGTTTAAAGACGGCGTATTCCATGCCACCATCCTCAAAACGATCGACGATCAGGGCACCACTGTCGAATTACCCCTGACTGTTGCTTTCCACAAGTCTGGAACTGCTCGCGTAACCGTCGATGAGAAACGACGACAGGAGAAGGACATTGAGCTTCGACACGGCAGCCAGGCGAGGAAGGAACGGTATAATGAGGCCGAGAAATGGGCAATTGTTGGTGGGATAACGGTTGATGTCGATGCCAAAATTGTCCATAATGGCAACGCCGGTATTAAGATCCAGTACGGTCCCAACTTCGCATTCGAGGCCAGTATCAGCTACAACCCTTACTCCATCGAATTCAAGCGCGATGGCTCCGCTCAACTCAAACTCAATGACCGGGGTTTGATGAATCTAGAGCATTGGCGACCCAAGGTGGAGAAGCCAGCCGCCGAGGATAGGAAGGAGGGCGAAGAAAATAACGATGAGAACAAAGAGGAACCTGTTCCGTCAGCAATTGAGGATGAGAGCACTTGGTGGGATGAGTCTTTCGGCGGAAACACTGACTCTAAACCCCGTGGCCCTGAGAGTGTTGCCCTCGACATAACCTTCTTTGGCTATGAACATGTCTATGGCATCCCGGAGCATGCTGGTCCACTGTCACTCAAGGAGACTAGGGGCGGTGACGGGGCTTACGCCGAGCCGTATAGGCTGTATAACTCAGATGTTTTTGAATACATCCTAGACAGTCCTATGACCCTATACGGAGCTATTCCTTTAATGCAGGCTCACAAAAAAGACTCCACCGTTGCAGTATTTTGGCTCAATGCAGCAGAGACCTGGATTGATATCACGAAATCCAAGGGATCGACGAACCCGCTAGCTCTCGGGAAAGGGGCTAAGACTAACACCGAAACCCATTGGATTTCTGAATCAGGTCTGATGGATCTTTTCGTCTTCTTGGGCCCTACGCCTGGGGAAATAAATAAAGCTTTTGGAGAGCTTACGGGTACGACTGCGATGCCTCAGGAGTTCTCCATAGGGTACCACCAATGTCGCTGGAATTACGTATCCGATGATGACGTGAAGGAAGTTGACCGGAAGATGGATCGTCATCAAATCCCTTATGATGTCATCTGGCTTGACATTGAATACACCGATGAAAAGAAGTATTTCACGTGGGATAAAGACATGTTCAAGGATCCGATATCGATGGGACAGCAGCTAGATGCCCACGGGAGAAAATTGGTCGTCATCATTGACCCTCATATCAAGAACACGGGTAGCTATTCCGTGGTTGACGAACTCAAAGCAAACGGCCTGGCCGTCAAGAATAAGGAGGGCAAGGACTTTGATGGCTGGTGTTGGCCTGGCTCGTCTATGTGGGTCGACTGCTTCAATCCATCTGCTATCAAATGGTGGAAATCTCTATTTAAATATGACAAGTTCAAGGGGACCATGGAAAACACATGGCTATGGAATGACATGAACGAGCCATCAGTGTTCAATGGCCCGGAGGTGACAATGCCTAAAGACAATCTACACTTTGGTTCTTGGGAACACCGGGACGTTCACAACATCAACGGTATGACGTTTCACAATGCCACCTATGAAGCTCTTGTGTCCCGTAAGAAGGGAGAACTTCGTCGCCCGTTTGCTCTCACTCGGTCCTTCTACGCAGGTTCACAGCGCGTGGGCGCTATGTGGACTGGTGATAATCAAGCAAACTGGGAACACTTAGGAGCCTCGATCCCTATGATTTTAAACCAGGGCGTATCAGGATTCCCCTTTGCTGGAGCTGATGTAGGCGGATTTTTCGGCAACCCTGAAGCCGAGTTACAGAGTCGTTGGTACCAGGCCGGTGCTTTCTATCCATTTTTCCGCGGTCATGCGCACATTGATGCCAGACGCCGAGAGCCTTACCTGCTTCCAGAGCCGTATCGAGCTATTGTCACGTCAGCGCTTCGTCTTCGTTATAGCTTGATACCATCTTGGTATACTGCCTTCCATCAAGCACATCAGGATGGCAGTCCGATCATACGACCAATGTACTGGACGCATCCTAACAACGAAGGCAGTTTTGGCGTTGACAACCAGTTCTTTGTAGGTTCAACTGGAATCCTTGTTAAGCCTGTGGTTGAGAAGGGTAAGATCACCGAAGACATTTATATCCCGGATGACGAGGTCTATTATAACTACTTCTCGTACCAAAAGCTACCCACAGCGAAGGGGAAGACGCTTACGATAGATGCTCCTATCGAGAGCATCCCTGTCTTGATGCAGGGTGGTCACATATTCCCTCGTCGAGACATTCCTCGTCGTTCTGTTCAACTGATGAGATTTGACGATTACACGCTAGTGGTGGCAGTTGGCAAGGACGGCACAGCTGAGGGTCAACTATACATTGACGACGGTGATTCATTCGATTATCAAAAAGGTCAATACATCCATCGTACTTTCAAGTTGGAGGGGTCTAGAATTACCTCGACTGAAATCGATGGCCGTGATACGGATAGCGTAAAAGAGGGCGACTGGCTGAAGAATATGCACGATGTCGCCGTCGACAAGATTATTATAGTTGGCGCCCCTTCGTCTTGGGCCAACAAAAAGGAGGTGCAACTAGAAACTGAAGGAAAACAGTCTACAGTGAATTTGGAGTACTTCAAAGGCGATGCCACCCGAGGTGCCTTTGCCATTATTGGACGCGTTGGAGCCAGAGTTGGGGCCGATTGGACCATCGACCTAGCTTAGATGAGATAACACAGCAGTTTTGCAGGCGAACATGATTTAGAGCTGATGGCATTGTCGTATATTGGTGATTCATATTGTGTCTGGAAAAGCGATTGATAGATGTGCATAGAATGAACAGAAGCTTGTCCGAAATCTAGCATCTCCATGGCTCGATTACGAATTAAATGAGACCGGCTAAACGATTCAATTACCAGCTCTGAATAGGATCAAGCTGCTAACAAGCCAGTACTGAGCCTCACGATTTCCGCCGCCAATGCTTCGGGTCTGCTCAGGAACGGCATATGGCCCGTATCTAGATTAGTGACATCCCATTCCACCTTTGACTTTTCAAGCCAAACATCCTGCAGCCACAAGGGATTGCATAAGTCTTTGACAGTACGTATGTAAGCTCTTTTCCCCTCGAAGCCACTGTCTGCCCATCCTGGCGCCAGAGCAGGGGAATTAAAGGCCAGAAGAGCGTGAGGGCTCATATGTTTAGATAACTAGGGCTCAAGGACTAGGTCACAATCGTTATATAGAGTTTCCATCACCGGTTCAATAACCGAAAGACCCTTGGCTGGCTGATTATTAAGCATACGCGCGTTAGTTGATTCCGGGTTTAGTTATGACTGGGCAGACGATCTTACCTTGTCTATCTTTATGAATGGCGGTAAAGAACCTCCCACTGCCTGCAATACCGTCTCTCCCTCTAGTGAAATGATACCGGCAAGGTATATCAGTCCGATTATGCTGGCGGCCTTACCCTCTTTCTTACGGGTATCCTTGTCAAGATTCTTGATCGCACTACCGGCTACTGTGCCCCCGTAGGAGTGAGCGAAGACGACGATGTCCTCACCCTTAGCTAGCAGAGGTACAAGGACTTCATTTCGCAGAGATGTACTATCGGCTTCGCAGGTTGCGACAGTTGGGTCGGCTGGATCACAGCTGGGAATCGGCCCTAGATGGGTTGTGAATCCAGCTGCCTTCAAGTATGTTAAGAGAGAATCGAATATGTCCGGCTTGCAAAATGCGCCAGGAACGATAACAATAGTCGGTAGACCTATAGCGGGCATGGTAAAAGATGTTGGACGACAAGATTGACAACCCGAAACTAACAGTCAACTGCTTACTATCAAATGGAAACTCTTGCTTATATATATACTTGTTTTTCCATCTGTGTCCGCACTTGTCATTCGAAGAGATATTCCCGTGATGTCTAATTTGGTCGGGCGTTGAGTTAGCCGACGTCTGATTTGGTATCTATTAGATTATTCATCGAGTGAAGTAAGTACAGCCAAGCGTACAAATATCAACGACGTGGGCCACCGCGGAAGTTCCGTTCTCGTCGTCACCTCACCATCTTAATAATAACGATGGAGAGGTTGGGGTTAAATCTCCGCACAAATTTTAGGTAGGGAGCCATAGAATAATAAGTAAAATAGTATTACTTGTCATTATCAAACTAATTTGCTAGTATACTTTGGACACCTAACGGCTAATGCTCAACTTTGCAGCAACCAGATCTCGCCTCTTCTACAAGCAACCACTTCGAATTTCTCTCATCTCGCCTTACAATGGCCCGTCAATCTCCTGCTCTTTCTCGCGCAACTCGCTCGCATCCAACAAGCCAAGAGCTTCCCGCCGGGTCGGGGCGGAAGGGTCAAAGAACGGCTTCTCGGCGAGCGAGGTGACACGTGTTCCGTGCCTCGGGTGGCGACCACCGTAGTCCCAGCTGGCATTGTGAATGGTGATTCTGAACCAGGCAGTCCTCGTCAGTCACAATGAAAGTTTTCTCGCAGACAGCACACATTTACGAAGGGTAGTCTCACCTGTTATCCCACAGAGCACTCGTTCCAGGTGTCCATTTGAACCGGAGCTGGATATCGACATTGGTCTCGTACACATGGTACAGGTAATTCAGAATGGCGTCGCTTTCCGGACGGTCCAATCCCACAATCCGATCCGTCATCGCACGGTTGACCCAGAGCGCTTTCCAGCCTGTAGCCGGATGGACACGGACGAGCGGGTGAACGCGCTCGATGTACTTTGGACCGGCTTCCGGGTCGTTGCGGTCAAGATAGGCGTGTGCGGACCTGTATACAGCGTATTTGCCGTCGATGATCTTGCGGAAACCTGGAGACAGCTTCTCGTACGCAGCGTAGCCGCTTGCCCAGAGCGTGTCACCGCCGACGGGTGGAACTGTATCATTGTGTAGGTGAGTTATCCCCGCTGGTTGTAGCTCATGAACTAGGTCAGTGTGCCAACGCGATGCACCACCGGGGTTGCGGAAGCTGTGAAAAGTTTAAGTCAGTAACCACTGCAATGGCATAAACGACCCAAAGTCATATTCTGTGACTCTAGAAAGCAAGAGCGGCGTAATCTAGCAGCTTATGCTCTCCAAGTTCAAAGAATAAGACGAGTTGTGAGACTCTATTTCACTCACTTAGCAGATCGTTCCGTTGCCTGTAGATCTGGCCAGATCACTGTTATACCAAGCTCACCCGGCACCTGCGTAACTTGAGGCTAACGAATTGAATCCATGAGTTAGTTGTGGCATTGTCTAGAGTGAGAAAGATCATGTCTTACATGGATCTCAGGCACGCCGTAGTATTTCCCTAATTCGAGTTGTTGCTGAGGGGATATATCCTGGTTACGGAAAAAGACTACACTTCGCTCAGCAATCAGGAGCCCAAGTTCGTCCTTTTGCTGGTCTGTGAGGTCTTTAAGCTGAAGTCCTTCGATCTCGGTGCCGATATGTGTCGTGAGATCTGTGACTTTGGTCGCGGCTGAGAACAGAGCCGACTTTGACTTGTCGGCCCGAGCTCCAGCATCGTTATGGACCCATTCCTTGTTCCGAATTTCGAGGACATCTTGCAAGTAAAGTGGTCTAGATGGTCGGTATGGATACCCCTGGGAAAGGTCGACACCGCCTTTCTTAAGTCGTAAAGCAGCAGTCTCCGGGAGCCCTAGAGTATCCTTGATGGGCTCGGCCACGTCAATAATCCGGTCATCGATCGGTGCAGGCGCCATGATTTGAAACAAGATTAATGAAGAAATATGACTAGAACGCGGATTATGCCAAGAGAGTGTCTCTTTGGATTGTAGATGATGCTGTTCATTAGGTACTATCTTTAAGCCACTCGGAGATCTGTTCTCTCTTATACATGTTATCGGTGCCTCACACGCTCATCGTCCAGCGATGCCGGGATAATGTCGCTGAATAATCAAACTATTGAGAAGGAAATCTTTTTCCAATCATGCGTGAGGCCCCCAACTTCGCACTGCGGATAATGCGTGTCGTCTCGTGCCTTCCATCACTACGATCGCCTGATAAACCGATGGCGCAACCAAAACGGCGCCGACGCCGGTGTTTCGGGCCCATGATTGGCCCCCCGCATCATTCGTGATATATATTCAACATGATGCGACCACACACCCCACCTTCGCGTGTGTTACTATACGGGTTTGCGTTAATCTCCAAGGTCTGGCCCGGATTATCAACCGATTCTTGGGTGAAGAGACAATGACGCGATGTAGATAAAACTGGTGTCATTGACAAAACGGCGCCACAACCAATCATCTGTAGCTAAGGCATGATACGAACGGAACATCCATCCTTGATCAAGGCTACCATTTCTGGAGCTCACAAGGAAAGCCGTTCTCATTCAAACTTGAGAGGGCTCTTTGTGCCCGGGAGTTACCGGGTCAAGATACCTCAATGTCATGGGCCGATCATGTCAGTAGTGGGCGTCTAACTCCATAACCGACAGTACTGGCATTAGCTTCGAGCTCACGAATTGACATGGGCTTATGACGAAATCGAGCTGCATAATAGATATGACTTCCGTATCGTCTTTAACTCCCTCAATGTTGATCCTCAGTTGCGAAAGAAGATCACCTTTAAAGGTGATTCAGACAACACCCAAGCAAAATGAGCGGCACGAAACCTCACCCTTCGTACAACACCATGGACGCTGATACTAAAACTGCAGCTACTGAGAATGATGGTGGAAAGTCCACGGATGGAAGTGTACACGAAGAAGCAACTCTCATAGCTACCAATCCAAAGAGGACATGGCGGTCTTATATCTGGGACACATTCGACAAGTCACCGGAAGAGCGACGTTTTCTCACCAAGTTGTCAGTCTCCGTAGAATTATCTATTCCCCGTTCGTCATATTTCGGAGCTCATCATACTGCGTGTCTCCGAGAGATGAGGCGAACTCTTACTTCATCTAGTATTTTCGCTAACACTATAATTTTGTAAACAGAGATGCCATCGTTCTGACTCTTGCCTCCCTCGGGTATTTCATCAAATATCTTGATCAAGTCAACATCAATAGTGCCTTCGTTTCCGGCATGAAAGAAGATTTAGGACTAAATGGGAATGAGCTCAATTACATAACAACAGCCTGGACTGTAGGCTATGTTGTCGGGGAAATACCAAGGTAGGAGATCCGTAATATGTCTGAGAGTCCCTGCTAACGAACTAAGTAACCTGGTCTTGACAAAGATCCGTCCATCAATTTGGATCCCTTCTCTTGAGGTACTATGGTCTGTCCTTACGATTCTGCTGGCCAAGTGTACAACAGCTACCCAGATATATGTTTTGAGATTCTTTATTGGTCTAGCCGAGAGCGCATTCTATCCCGGAATGCAGTATGTCATCGGAAGCTGGTACCGGAAGGATGAATTGGCCAAACGCTCTTGCATTTTTCACTCAAGTGGTGCTATTGGGACTATGTTTTCTGGCTACCTGATTGCAGCTGTGTATCGTCTTGAAGGCGTAGGCGGATTTCACGGCTGGCAGTGGCTGTTCATCATCAACACGGTGATCTCACTGCCAATAGCCATTTCTGGCTTCTTTCTATTCCCAGACGTCCCAGAGATTACCAAGTCATGGTGGCTAACAAAAGAAGACATCGTCATGGCTAATAAGAGGATGGCGTTAGAAGGGCGCGCAAAAAGGGGCAAACTAACGAAGGCAAAGTTCAAGAAGATCTTCTCATCATGGCATATCTACGCACTCGTTCTCCTCTACATTTTTTTCAACAACGGAACTGGCTATGGCAGTCAGCCAGCCTTTGCATTATGGCTAAAATCAGAGGGTTATCCTATTACAGCCGTCAACGTCTATCCCACTATTGCCTCAGCGGTTGCCGTGGTTTTCACATACATCTACGCCTGGACCTCAGACTCAGTATTCAGGGGGGCGAGATGGCCCCCTATGCTTTTTGCCGGGCTTGTCAACATTGCAACCGGGACAAGTCTTGCCGTATGGAACATCCCAAACGGCTGGAAGTGGGGGTCCTACATCCTTGGGAACATCAGCGGCGGAATTAGCGGCTTGACGTTCGCATGGGCTCACGAAATTTGCAGCGAAGACAACGAGGAGCGAGCCTTCGTGACAGCGTCCATGAACCAGTTCGCGTATGTGGTGCAAGCATGGTTGCCTCTTATCGTTTGGCAGCAAGTTGAGGCGCCCCGATACCAAAAAGGCTTCATCACCCAGGTATTCCTTGCGGCTGGCCTTATAGTTACTGCATTCACTATTCGGTTCCTTCACCATCGCGAGAGAGCTAAGAAACGGACAACGGCTACGGTTTCGCCAGCATCTGACTAAATACTCACCTTATTGAGCTTAGTCGTAACGATGGCTAGTATAGATCTGTTTGATCTAAAAGTAACAGAGGGATTTGTAGGTATACCGTAGAGATCATCAGTCTTTATGCTCCAGACCCTTTCAGAAGAATCGAGAAAAATTGGTATTAAGAAACAACGCATACTGTTCTTCGAAGATAAGACTCTAACATCTTATATATCTATTATAATGCGTCATCAACGCCAATTGGTCATTATAGGCTACGGTAGATAGATATTTTAAAGCACTCTCCGCTGACTCAGCATGGTAGTGTGGTGCAAATGGTGGATCGGTTAATTGGCTGTATCACTCCGCGACTTGACTCCGTTTCCGAAGACAGCGGTGCCTAAAGTTGAAAGGCTCAATCAACTCCCGCCTCCTTCTGTTCTGAATGATGCTATTTGTACTCATCCTATACACTTTGTCCCTTGCTTTCAAAGCTCTAACACCTCAACCAGTCATGCCGCTGAACCTCCGCTACATGTGCTGAGGAACCAGAGTTCTCTTCGCAAGCTCGCCGCTTGATATATAACCTTGTGGCGACAAGCATTTTCATGTCTTGTCTATTCAATGCTCTGGTATATCTATAATTACTCGCTATCATTTCCATCCTTTGAACAAATAGACTGCTAGTTCCAGTGGCTAATGAGTCATCTTTCCTGCTATCCGAAAAGCATCTATAGAAACCAGGAGTCCTAGCCTATTCGTGAAAATAGATATTCTGCGAATCTTGTACGAAAACGCTTTTAGTTGCGTTATTCATAGATTTCAACTTATCTATAGCATTTCACTCTGGCCCCTTTGCTGTCTGTTCCTTGAGTGCTTGGTCTAAGCAGCCAGCACTGGCTGCTATAAAGCCGAGATAAGGTGGCTGTCTTGTATGTTAGCACCAGATTTCATCTAGCCCATTAAAAAGTAGTGAACATACGCTGCCTGAAAGGACCCGACTCTGATATTCAGCATGGAATTGGGTTCCTATCTCAATGGTCAGCCTGAGATCCCAATTGGATCGGTTTGTCTCTGGTACTTGCCAATAAAGAATGGATGATCCTGCAGCTCGAATATCTCCATGCGTTGGCCAGTTGTGTCTTTGCCAACAAAGTGTAAACCCATAGATTGAAGCTTTTCTACATATTGGGGGTTGACTTCATATCGATGACGGTGTCGTTCATGCGCCCTATTACTTCCGCCGTAGAGTGCACGAATTTTAGACGCTTCGCTTCCTGGTTGGAAAACGGTGTCATGGAGACCAAGGCGCATGGTGGCCCCCATCCTTTCCCTATCCACTATAATAAGGGTCAGACATTGATATTGCAATGAATGCATAGAGGTTTCAAGATATGAATATATGATGAATCGGGGTCTTGATATATGTGTGGATATATTTGCAAAGTGCGTGAAAACTGTCTTCAGACATACCTTCAGGCATATGAATAATGATTGGTTCCCTTGAGTCTGGGCGGAATTCTTCCGAGTCAGCCTCTTTCATGGACAACATGTCTCTAGCGAACTGCATAACAGCAACTCTATAAGTAGTCAGTAAACAGCCTGTAATAATAGTTCGACTCAAGTGACAGTGTGTCGCGAACACACCGGCGCGATTAAGCCGGATCAAGAGAAGAAAGATTTCGGGGTTCGTACTGGAAGCCCAAGCAAATTCCTAAATAAGGTCGTTTCTGTTCTCTGGAAGGAGAATTAGCAGTTGCAGCGAGCGATAGTGAAAAGTATAAGTGCTTAGGGGTATGGAAGTAAAGAAATCCACTGCTAGGGGAGAGAGAGAGGCGACCTATGAACGTACCTTGCCCACCGGGATGCTAACATCATGCCCAAAACGCCTACCAAAGATGTACGAGTCAGTAATTGCCATTAACAATGAAACCTTCGTGTCCCCGAAGGCCAAGGTGGTGCGGTTTCTGAACCTTACCTCGTTTTCCAAAACCTCCGGGGATAATTAGCCCTGAAGCAGAGGCAAGAGAGTCCCACGCGGAACGATACGTGTCAGGGTCCTGAGATTCGGCCTCAGGCTCTAGGTCCTCCGCGTTGATTAGGAGAAGTTTGAGATTGTATCGATAATGCATAGCCGCGTGTTCGAGTCTAACATCATGTCGTGTCAGTCGTAAATTTATTTTCCCGGTTGTCCAGGGTGTAACCGCCATTGAACAGTAGCAGGTACTTACTACAAGAGAGATTAGTAACCCACCATGGCTTTCAAATCATTCCAGAAGATGAATTTTACATACCGCTTTTACTACACTCATGTAAGCATCGAGATTGCGAACATATTTGCCGACTAGAGCTATCTTCAAGTCGGCCTGACTCTTGGGTAGGGTTAGGTTCATCCAACTCTCCCATTTCGCAGCACCTTTTGCCGCAAGAGACTTGCATGGTGAAGGAAGGTCCATCTTAGACAACAGAAGCGGAACTAAACCCTGTTCGTGAAGGAGATCTATAACAACCATCAGTGTTGATCTAAGTGATTGTGTATGCCCAAAAGGCACTCTGAGAGAAATATAACGGAAAAGGAAATGACCCCTAGAATTACATACGTGGGACTTGGTAGATTGTAGGCATATCTCTCACGACAACGACTTGATCCAATCCCACCTGACAATGCAACGAAATCTAACAGAAATCTATTAGTCTCACTTGGAGGTAGTTTCGAAGTTTATTCTAGGCTCACCTTTGAAATAGTGCTCTCTTCGAGTGGCTTTTCGCAACGACAGGCAATCTTTCCTCATGTCAGCTGCGCAAAAACTGTAGAGTAACTGGCTAACGTACCACGTCGGGTATCAAGCCCTCACTACGAATAGCTTTGACGCTATATACAAATGTCAGTGCTTACAGCCCGTGGTAAAAATGCCACTTATCGTCAAAGGTTTCGTTCTCTTACCAATGCTGAGTGGGCTTGGTCTTCTCTAGTGGATTAAATATACCGTATTAGTTCCCCATTCTGATTTCAAATAATCCAATTTAAGGGGTAGATTGGTCAGCTAAGACAATTACTTACGTTCTCCATGAACAGTGGCAACATAACTGACCATGATGGTGGAAAAGTTTTTGCTACCAACTTCATGGCGTACTATTATCCATTCCACGTTAGTATTTATTACACTCAGCTGTCTGATGGCTGCCCTGTGTTGGCCCATTGATGACGAGTTGGAGGAGAATTGAAGAATCGAGGGTCGACAAAGAACTTACACTTCGTTAGAGCGTAAAGAAAGGGTGCCTATTTAAGTTAGTTATAGACGAAATCCTGGTCTACAATAACCGTAATGGGATGTTGATAATCAAGAATGGAGTGGCATGCATACGCTTTCCATGTCGCCCACCGTTCCTCTGAAACCTATTAGTGTCATTGTCCTTGGAGTCAAGATAAAGGGGCGTACCCAAGCTCGATGATGCAAATATCAGGCTCCTCCCCGGAGCCATCAACAGGTATCTTGGCTACACGTTCAATCCATTCCTGGATGCAGTCTGTTAAGTGAGGAACAACTAAAAAAATATTGTTGTCAGTGATTACTGTCTGTTGTGGGGTTTCGGCTCATGCCAAAGTGTTTCAGGGAAAACAGGAGTAGATGGAATGTTCCAACGAAACAAAACGGAAAAGACTCTAGGGTTCATACTCTGTACTGTTTTGCCCAGGTAGTGCCCCTTGCGCTCGAGGTCATGAACCCTCTTGTGCATCTTACCCAAGGTGATATTGTTATCACCGGACAAGGTTACAGATAGGTACCGCTCATAGTTTCCTAGATCTAGGTCGACCTCTATACGAAATATTAGTTAGTGGATAGGAAGTCAGAATTCAGGGCACGAACCGCCGCCAGAAGAGAGGACAAAGCACTCGCCGTGCTCAGCTGGGGCCATGAGGCCCTGGAAAAGTCAGAGTCAGTAACTTTGAGATATAGGAAGCAAGTTTGGAAAGTAGCAAGCGCTGAGGATACATGCTGCTGAAGAGCGAGCGGTGGGTGTCACTTACGGCATCGACGTTTAGGTATGGGTCCACCTGTTGCCGGTATCAGCTGGTCTAAATCTCGTATCGGCCATTACAAGAGGCTGTACCTTGATGCAGCTCACGCGGTAGCCGAGGGTTTGAAGCAGCTGGATCCCGAGTTAGCAGGGGGATGAAATGGAAGGGTTCCGAATACATACCAAGCCGGTGGAAGACTGTAAGAGCTGGGGTTAGCGATCACACCTCAAGAAATATGGCAGGCTTCCCAGGGATTACATACGGCAATGATGCCCTTTCCAACGCCTAGAGGGGACATCAGCAACCAAGAGGCAGTCGTGGAAGGCGACGGGAACAAATACCGGAAATGACGCCGCCTGCCACGAGAATGTAATGCATCGTGACTCTGAGTTGAATGTCTGATTAGCGTTGAAAGACACTTTAGATCTCGAAGTCAACGAGCAGGAAGAAGAATGCGGAATGCCACATATGTTGGCTGTGAAAAAGTTGGTCTATGTTATTTTTTTTTCCTACTGTGACACAATGGAACGGAGCGAAACCCTGCAAGCGCAAAAGACGCGTTAAGTGCTGAAAGTACCGAGACACTCAGACTGGGCTGCCGGGTACAAGGCGAGCATAGAAGTTCCTTATCTGAAGGTAGCTTATCAGGCCTAATATGGCTTAGTGAGGGGCATTTCCCAACCCCACCTCGTCGGCGCCCGCAGTCGCAGTCTCGCTGCTGTGAAAAATCCCTGCGTCGGGACCCAAAAGCACGTGCAAATGAATCAGCGTGTTTGCTTCCACGCCACAAGACAAGCAATCGTTTGTTTCTGAAATGTGCTAATGCAAGTATATCAAACCTAAGTATGGGAACCCTACATAACAATACCTAGGTAGCATGTTCACTATTGTAAGGATCCTGATCTTGTTTAGCATAGCGATGAATTGTGGGCCGTCCGTACGTAGTACTAAACGCACAATTATCACTGTCTTGGCATACTTTTACGGAATACTACCGGTATGCACGCTGCGGCCTTGATTTCCATAGAGCAAATACATATCAATTCGCAAATGCGTGACACAAAGAGCACTCGGCGCGGAGGAGTTTCCTGTATTATCGGCTCTCTATTTTTAACAGATTGTCTTGTTACGGAAGCCAGGCCCTGACTCGACCAGAGCACATAGTACCAAGAAAAGGGGTGAAAAGGGATGAAAAAATTAGAGAGAGGAGGGGAGAGAAATGTGCCCTGATACGCTGACATACATGTTGTCTTCCATAACTGATAAGGCTGACTTGACTAGGTGCTATAGAACTTGATATTACATCTTGTAGCGTTAGGTACAATACCTAAACCATAGATAATACGCGACTGCCATCAATATCACTAATCAAGATCCAATCAACTGCCCTTGCTTTCATCTAACGTCTAGAAAATGCCGTGGTTCTAGCAGGCCGTCCTATGATTCCTTCGAGGCTCAAGGGTACATCATATATACACCAACATCTACGCCCATGATTCCAACTAGCCCTGGGAGGGGCCAAAAGCTCGCAGCTATACATTAGGTTACTCTCATTTCTCATGGAGCAGAGCAACTCGTATGGGATTATAGATCTCACCGACACTAAGATGTGCTACACGCATGTGCGTCCAAACATGCAGCTCGCTTACGGCTACGAGCGTAATACCATTTGATGGTGACCTTCGAGAGACATGCGAACAATTTTACTGTGAGATTATAGAGACTTCGCTTCATGAAAAGATCACTGAGACCTAGACGGTCAGGACTAACAGGCCAATTATATAGAGAGCCAAAGCCAGCCACCAATGCCAGGAAAGAGTTGGTTGGCCGAGGACTTTTGCAGCCCTAGTAAATCATTATACGGTGAATGCTTGGCATCAGTTTCAAGCAGCCCAGACCTCTGCCCTTATTATACCATAGGACAACTAATTCATCACGTTCCCGGAAAACCACGATTCAAGTAATATTATTTTCGTAGAGTAAGGCGCACAAATACTACTCTTGACAAGAACCCCAGGCGCCCCAGGGGTATCCGGCCACTGGTACAAAATCAACTTAGTATTTGCGCAATATCATGACATGCTGGAGCAAGGGATTGGTAGCAACCGTAACACACCCCTGTTTTCATGTCCTGTTACATAGATTTTATGACCTGCAAATCTAATTCAACATGTACGTCTCTTAGTCGGTTTACTAACTCTAAAAGGTTATGTTAAGCTCGACGTCGTGATTTGACGGTGTTTATGAGATGCAGCGCTTAGCACATACTTAAAGAGTCGATGTTGTCTGAATAAGTGGGTGGTGACAAAATAGTGCCTACTACCGGTACTACGTAGGACAATTACCATGCGGTCAGCCCTACTCGATACCCTGGACTGGAAGGGTTTAAGGCTGTTACAGTATGGCGAAACTAACGGAGACAAGTCACTCTCCTAGCCCAATGCAAAATGAAAGTAACACGATTTTGTATCCACCAGCCTCCGGCCTTGAGGCTTCCCTATACAGTCTTGGCCATTAGCTACGTGAAGTTGGTTATTCTCACCTATTACTGGCCTGGTTTACAGGCGGAAACACTCCCAACTCTTCAGAAACATTTGTACATACTGTAAGTTAAACTCAATTGCTATTACGCAAAAGAAAAATCCATATTGCAACAAGTACCTATGTAGGTCATTGAACACCTAGTTATGCTTACATGTTGCAGTAGGATCAACTACGCTATTTCAGTGGCGAATTAGCCCTCGACGTTAAGGTCCGCCATTCTTAGGTAAGAATTCATCGGGTCGTGTTCGAGCAATAACCGAAGGCTCGATACGCATCACATTACGGCCAGAAATTGACTAGCTGGGAACTGGGCTTAATAGCCGCGGGTCTGCGCGGGAAAGCTATTGATGATTTCAGGGGTCGAAATACTGGGATGACTTACTTACTCTCCAGTATGTAAGACTTATAGCCGAATAGAGCAAGCTGAAGAGCAGGGGCCAGCATATTCCAGCTCTTCCTACGCTCATACCTAGGTAGTATGCTAGGGTACTTAGTGTAGGTAGGTGGAAAACCTATAGGCCGACGGGGACGCATCGAGAATACGACCTTTGATGATTACATTTCACTGGCATGCAAGCGTCTGACTTGCGCCGTGTAGAGCCAGTGTAAAGTCCTCAAGGAGTCGGTTAATGTTCCGGGTTCGAAAAAGCAATATTCACATGTTCCCGGTAAGCCGCCATCAATACCCTTAAATAACCATGCGCTGATGTAAGGCTATTCTAGGACAGGAAGGCGGCTGGTCACTCTAGGTACAATAGGACAAAGGCGAACATATGATCCGCTGACGACAGCCAAAACTATGCTTTATTTCGCTCGGGTGCATTTTTGCCCAAAGTCCTCAAGCCTGGAGTTTACATCACTGATCGGTATACCACTTGCTAGTCGGGGATTGGGTATGAAGCAAAAGTATGAGTAATACCCCACTGGACTCGTTCAGGATGGGCTAGGTGCTCTTGTCACGAAGAACTACACGTGTAGATGTCTACAGGACTTAGTCGCTGATGTCCTTCCCAAAATGTCCAAGGCCTCTGAATCCCATTGCAACATATGTTTTCTTCTGCTGTGGTACTACGCGACATGTTTGTGTATATATAGTCCTCTCTTATGCCCAGTCTAGAACCTCTTCTGTTGATCGCTACCGTTTCTCAATAAGCCCATCAACTCAACTTCCCTTCAACTTTCTCTCATCATGCGTTCCGTAACCTATCTTCCTCTACTAGCCGGTCTAGCAGCTGCGTGCTCTGTGACTGGCAATGTGAAGACCACCTTCTACGGAGTGCCGGACAATGACCCAGCTGGATCCGACGCTATCGCATTCAGCTGCTCCTCTCGTGGCTTCCACGCGGGTGGCACAGGAACATTCAGTGACCCGCTTACGTTTGCGTCGAAGCAAGGAGGCGCCTACAGTCAATGTGAAATCGTCTACTCACCCTATCTGAGGAAGTATATCCGCAATGAGGACATCTGCGCAGGCTGCAGTGAGTACTCGACACCTAGCTCATACCTAATAGGCCCGAGAGTATTATGAAAGAACAGTATTATTGACTACTTATCCTCTTTACAGCTAACCCCGAATGGATCGATGTGTTCACCGGCAACTCAGCAAACGGCGGAAATGCTCAGGTCAACTGTGAGAACCAACTCACACCCAATGCGGCACAGAGCGTCATTAGGAGTCCGCCTACAAACTTGCAGGTTGATAGTAAGTCTACATGACTTCATTTTCTTTGAAGACAACATCGCTCTGACGCCGACTAACCTTTCCCGTAGCCACACCACTCTGGAAGTCGGGCACTTGCAACACTGGACATGTCTATCCCAACTACGACGCTCCCAGTCTCTGCAATGGCGGCAACGCCCCTACGTGCCAGACTGGCTGCTCTTGGGCTGGCCACTGTATAGGTACGATATATATACATATGCCTTTAGATTTAAGCGATAGTTAACATCGTTTTTAGGTTGCGCATGCACTACTTTCGACGACTGCTCAGATGACTACATTTGTACAAATGGTGCATGTGCTAAGCCCTAAGTTTTGTTCTGTTTGTGCCTCTCCATGTGATAGCTCTTGTCGAAATCTCAAAGGAGGAGTTACTCGAGATGGTATATTTACTGAGCTACGGCAGATGCATGTTATAACGAATAGGTAGAATTAGTATTAACAAAATACTAGCGGATCTTTCAACTTGTACTGTAATTCTGTGTATGAGCCATGCTATACCCATATCTTATGCTTGGAGGTAACTTCGTTGTACGCATCAATCTTGAATCCTCACAATCCCTTCCCACCTTGGGACCTGAGCACCCACCTGTCCCAGGGAATCGATAGAAGCCTACAATTCCATATACATCTTTGTCTTTCATTGTCAGTATTTAATACTTTCCCGTAGTTCATAGTGTCGGCGCGGTAAAGTACTCCTCCAGTAGTGTCTCGATTTGCTTAATAGCAAGTTAGTATGTGCCCAGCTAATCCGTGAATCATTGATCTGCTCAGTGGGAGATGACTCCAGCAAAGCTGTTGGCCCTAATCAATCCGTGGTACTTAAATAGCTGGATTTAGCAAGTTGGAACTAGAACTACCCTATGGTAGGCAACAGCAACCATACCTCTTCGTGGTTAGTTTAGGCACGCTAAAGCTTGATACTTTCGAAGATAATAGGAAACTAACGTTTTGCAGCAAGTAATTCAAACGATGAATAGGAGATGTTGATACCAAGGGCTCTCAGGGGTGCCGCATTGCAGTCTGCACTGCAAAGACCAACGTGTAACTGTAAGAATCACCAGTGGGAGTGCAATAAACACTGGTAGTACTGAAGTAATAGCTTCAATTGAAATAGTCATTTCCTAGGCCAATTTTAGATGCCTCTCGACCTCACAAGATGATATAGAGCTGTTTGGAGTTATACCTAGATGTATTAGGTGAAACGCAATTATGACTCCAACCGTTAGCGATAAAGAATAACCACCCGAACCTGAGCCAATAACCCAGTCGCCAAATTCTCCAACTGGGTACTACCATAAAGAATGATCAAGTAGGAGGGAGTTACGCCGATCAAATATGCATGGTATAAATCCGTCCCCGAGAGAAAGAATTGAGGGACCCAGTTTATCCAACTTGACACCTATTATATCTAAGATGAATCCACATCATCCAACAACTACGAAGACGGCATTGCATCCTTTACCAGTGAGGATGATTTAAGCCGTTGAGGCAAGCAATGTTCGGGAAAGCTGCTATTTTCTTATTTTATATTTCGATAGGTGAAGTGGAAAAGGAGAGACCAAGGAATCGAATAACAGCGCTATCCCAGATTCCGCAGTATTTGTGGCATGCGACATAGGATGAAGATGCCTATAAGAATTATGACTCCAGCATTAAGCTTGTGCAAGTTCAGTTCTGGGCGATCCTGATATACTCAAAAATGAGTTTGACCGGGGTAGCCATGCCTCAACTCTGATGATAGTTCCTCCAGCTGGCAAATAAAGAGATATAAAGAACAAGTAACAACCAGTCAAGGCGCCTTCATTTCATCAAGACTTGTAGTGAAGATGTCGAAATCACTAATACCCTAAAGTCGCTCAAAGCGCACACCCCAATGATCCAGATTAGGTCAAACCTCGTAACCGGCGCTTACTTGCTTAGTCGCCTCCAGCACGGTCTGAACTTGGTCTATCCCTAGCGCCACATTCTGCTGCGCGGCAAGGAGCGTGGCTATCTTGACTACATTCTTTATCTGACGCCCATTCAACGGCAGCTTCGCAAGATGCTTGAGATAATCATCTGACAACTTATTCTCGAACTGCGACTGGCGGGTAAACTGTCTCCAGATGTGTTCCCTCGCGGTTGGCTCCAGGTCTGGGTAGTGAAGAGTCAGGTGGATTCTACTGTGGAACGCCCTGTCGATCGTCTCGGCGCGGTTGGACGTCATGAACAAGATACCGCGATAATACTCGAGAAGGCTTGGAATGTTATGAGCAATAGTTATAATAACAACACTCGGGAAGTAAGGGAGTTTGCCCTTACCGTAGAAACACTGCGACGATCTCGTTATGCGCCAAGTCCCTTGTTGTTCGCTCTTGTATAAAGACATCACACTCGTCAAAGAGCAGAATAGCATTCCACTTTTCGGTGAGGGTCAAGACTGATCGCAACCGGTCTTCGACGTCTTCCGCATCTTGGCCCAGTTCGCCTGCGCTCAGAATGTAAAGGGGTTTCCTAACTTTATCAGCAATTGCCTCAGCGGTCAGCGTCTTGCCTGTGCCTGGGTTCCCGACTAGCATCATGATGATGCCTTGTCCTTTCCCCTCGATTACATCATCAAAGGAGACCTTATTCAAAGATTGCCCTTCTACGAACGTCAATATTAGATCCTTTAGGCCTTTGGGCAAGATCAGACTAGGGAAGGCGGCATCATTCCAGGTAATATCATATACATCCTCTACCCTAAACTCGAACCAGTTCTTCAACTTGAGGGAATAGCCTCGGACGTATGGATTACAGAGGAGTAGTTGTTCTTGGGTGAGATCAGCAACTGCAAAGGCATAGTCAGTTGATCTCGGCCCTTTTGACCGTAGCTCTGTCTTTGCTAGCATCGGGTTCTCACCTGTCTCTCTCTTTTGCGTAGTTGGTAACGGCAATTCTCCGGTTTGGAGCTTTCTTTTCCGGACTTCGCGCAGAATATGCTGGTCGTTCATCCCGCTAGGCCGTGATCCTCCAGGGTATGGGATAGGTGCACCTGGAAGGTTAGACTGGAGATGTGTCTCATCGGCGACTTGTATTTTGGGCATGACTGGATCATTGTTCAAAGGAGCTAGCACAAGCCTCTTGGATGGATTGGCGTGGAAAAATGAAACAGCGTCTATAATAATGCGTCCGTCAACCTAAACGTTATATTTAGCATCATATAGCAGATTACTAACTGAGAGATCGACTCACCTTGCGTTTGCCGAGCTTGTGCTCAACATATCCCGAGTGTGCCATGTAATGAAACTCACGAAGGGCTTGGAATTTGGCGCCTCGCCTGATCGCTACTGCTTCGATCTCTTCTCTCGACAAGAGGAATTGCGCTGGGAACAGTTCCAGTTCAGTAATGTTCCGCGTGCCATTGAATCCACGGATTTCCAGAAACTGAGTAGCGTATCCAAAATGATGTGAGTCCCAATCAACAAATTTAGCTGCTAATATCATGCAACCTTCTTCTTTGTAACTGCAACTTTCGAAGATATAGAAGCGCTTTTCTCCCTGGCAATCTTGAACAACGAGTTTACCAGGCTCAAAGAGGGCCCAGAGCAGCGGATAGGTGATGACGCGGTGCTCAATGAGGTCTCGGATTTCTGTCATGGTATCGTGCAGCTCGGCGTAGAGTACATCATACAGTAGCTGAGAAACTGCCGCAGAGGCTGGGTCCTCTTTCTTTTGGCGCTCTAAGACTTGTCCAAAGCGTTGCCAGCGGGAGTAGAAAGGGCGAAATGGCGATTTGAAAACTACCTTCTTGAGAGATGCTGTAATGCCGCTGTAGCCTTGAAAGACCTCTCCTAATGTTTCCTTCAGTGATGGGCTTTGGATGACCACAGAATCCAAGACTAGAGGCTTGCCGTCCCCGTGGTTCTTCCGCATGCGCACAACGAGAGCCTTCAGTTTGACATCCGGCTGCTCCTCGAGGGCAATACGAAGATCATCAGGATACTCTTCAACCCAATTCTTACAGCATGGGCACTTTGGGGGGCCCTCGTATAGAACTTTTACTTCACATTCGTGGTCTCCAAACGGAGTCGATGCTCGTATCGACCCGGTAGAAACTGACCTGATAGAAACCGAGCTGGTGGAAGCGGAAAGTGACTCAGATGAGTCGGGCGAACCATGACGCTCAATGGGCGATTCTTCTATCGTGTTTGATAACGAGGGGTCATCTCCCGCTATAAGCGCGCCCGGTCCTGTGTCAGCAATCTCTTGTGTAGCCATCCTCAGATTTGGGTGACAATTGCACTGAAGCCGATTCTTTGTGAAATCAAGCCAAACAATCTGGGTCAATACGGGGGATATAGCAAACTCTTATATCATGCTTGAAATGGGTCAGAGATAGCATGATCACAGTTTGCGATCCGGTTCGCCTACTTGAACCCCCAGGCCTTTATTTGGTACGTCTCTTTGGTGCCTAACATAAAATGTAACACCGCCTCCAAATTCCTACGAAGCACAGCATGATCTATGTATTCCGAAATGGCAGGGCTGTGTGCAATTGGATCGTTACTGGTTGGGCCTAGAGGAAAGGATGCTGAATGAGAACTTGGCATTCATGTCCATGACGAAGAAAGGGCTCAACGACTCGATGCCACCTTCCAAAAACACACAGCACGTAGCCTGCATGGAATTGAGTACCTACGTATCGTTTTACACAAGGCTCGCAGCAAGGAGAAAAGGTCAGTCGATCATGCTTTCTTAGAGCACAATGTGCCCCAGCTCTTCTATATTTCAAGCAACGCGTTTCTAGGACTATTATAAAAAGGTCAACTCTCATTAACCCGTATTGCAAGCTGATTAGATGCAGTCGCTCAAGTGTATCACTATATACCATATTGCCGATGACTTCTGTTCTCACACATGCCCTGAAGGTGTTATATTCTTTTCCGTGGCGCTATTAAGCTCGTAAACTCTTCTAGCAGTAGGTTGCAAAACAATTATGTGGCCAATGAACAGCAAACAGTAGGCGACAGTGTAGCCAATTTGTTATGATGTGTCTCCATGCTACCACATTAGCCCTTCTACTCCCTTGATCATCATCTCATCTTTCGTCCATCTGCTTTCAGTTCAAATAATTCCAAGGTGTTTATACTTATGCATCTATTCGATGCTAGCTAGTGACTACTTCCAGCCAGGAACCGAAATGTTGTGAGACCCTAACGTACGTGTCTACACGATCAATGATGATCTTATCATATGACACAACCCAGCATGAAGGAACCAAGAACCATCTCAACATCCCCTTCGGCAGAAGGCATCAATAAAAAGGGATATCCCATTAGGTCAAATTACTTCCAATCCTACACATACACCTTCCATACCCTTATGTCCGTCCCCAACGGACTCCCGGGCTAGGCGGTCCAGGAAAACTCATATTGATCTGTTGGGATTCAACCGGACTGCCACTGTTGCTAACCCTTCTCTTTCCCGGACTAGACGGGACTCGGATACGCTCCAGAGCGCCCGCAGCCCTCGGCTTCAGAATGGCGGTCTCGCGCTGCGGCACCTCCCATATAGGAGACATGGAGTCTGGGTTCTGTTTTTCCCAGAGCCGACTTATCAGGGGGCTCGCTGTCGACGCCGACGTAGGGCTTGTATACGACCCATCGATAGAGCTACCTATATGCGGCGAAGACACGCCGTATTCAGCCGGGTTGTAGACTCGCAGCGGTAAGAGGTTCGCTGTGCTTCCCGTACTCGTTGTGCTGACGGGCGTCTCTTCATGGGGAGAGAACCAGGCTGCTTTTGGTGAGGTGGAATGGTGGACACTATCTGGTACAGTGGGTGCCGCAGTCGATATGTTATGCAGCGACTGTCGAGCGGCTAGTGGGCGAGATTGTACTGGGGCAGTGACTCGGGGCTGCCAATGTGCTGGCGGTGTCCTTGATGTTACCTTTTCGGGAGTGACGCGGTGGGATCCCAGCGCGAGGCTTGGGTTCGAGCAGTATTTTTCCTCGTCTTCGATCTGAATGTGCGATTGACTTGGGAAGAAAACGGGAGATCGCGGAGTTCGAGCTTGGCAACGGAAGGAAAGAGGGGATGTAGTGCGGCGATGGCTTCGTCGGGAGCTGCTTCTCTCACCACCCTCAAGGATGAGGCGTCGATTTCGCCGTTTCCGATAGCAGATGAAGAACAAGCCGGCAATCAATAAGGCAACGACTGAGGCACCGACAGCGATCCCAACAATTGTGGCTGTTGGGACAGCGGCTTGGTCATCCTCGGCATCTTTTGAGGAAGACTTGGTAGCACTGATCGTAGTAGGAGCAAAGACCGTATCGGTCAGTCCTATTGCTGTTCCGGCTTTCGGTCGCTGATTACAGCCCGCCTCGAGTGCAACTAGGTCTACATTATGCATTAGGATATTGAATTGACACAATCCAGACGTATACTCCAACTTACAGTTAACTAGAAAGCCTTGATCCTCAGAGGCACTGACGCAAGAGGCGCACTTTTCGAGTGAAGAGCTGGTTATGGCTCCGCCGTCAACGTCGCAGAACGAGTAGTCCAGTGAGTTAGGATTTAGACCGTCTTGGGTCAAGGCATTCTCCAATGCTCCGCAGGCTGTGGACGTGGAGCATGGGGTGGACGGAATGCCTACTGCATGAGGGAAGCCAAATATACAATTGTCAAAGGTATATCTGAGGTTATCTAGTTAGGCGTTAGAGTGAGTCGGTCAGACAAATGAATAGAGTTATCCTACAAAAAAACCAGAGTTGGTCAGTCTCTTTCCCCTGAGAGAACGTGCTGTCCTGCAGACAGCTTATACACCTTTGGAACTTCTGGCCCACGGGTGAGGATATGTACTTCGAATCGTAACATGTTATATCTTTATTCGTTGTAGTCGAGGAATTGGGATCAGAGACATCGTCACCTTCGGAGTCAATGCAGAATGAAGCGCAAGGGGAATTAGGCGTGACTTGTAAGGCAAGGGAATACGGGATAAGGAGTCCAAGAAGGCACGAAAACCGAGAGAGCTCCATTATGTAATTCGGTATTTGATTGGCCTTAAGTAATGCAGGGACACGCGATGGGAAGAGTAATGAGTGACGTAACAGTATTAGAATTAGTGATGATGCATAACATGACCTCCAGCCAGCTGGAAATCGAATGTCTTTAGAAGTTGGTATCAAGGTAATGACCGACCAAAGGGGGATCCCCAAACGACAGAATTGAGCAAAAACACAACAGGAACAAGAAGAGTTGACAGACGGAGACTTGCACGGCCAGGGAAGACATTGAGCACACAATTATATGAGTCCCATACCTACGGTACCGGCCTACCTATCCATTTCCATGCGCGAACATACGAGATGCTCCCAAGACATGAGGTGACATCGCAGAGCTCTCCTCGCCCGTACCGCCCAGCACCGGCGCCGGTTGCTGATGATATCCCCAACGCCTAACGCACCTAGCAGTAAGTGTACAAGCAGGAACACCAGATCACGGGGCTAGTGCATCGCTGGAGGCGACAGAAGGTGAGATATCACAGGAGAAAGGGCCAATGGGGGAGGCTGTCGCGACTATAACTTATCATTTGTCGGGTCTGGAAGAAGAAGCTTAATCCTGTGGGCCGTATGCAGGTCACAGGCGGCAAGATGCGGCCACTGACAGCTCAAGACGGGCACCCCCCTTGTTCGTCCGTTAGGAGAACGGCTCTGTTCCTGGATCTCGCCTAGCTACAACGGGACATCATCATCTACATGTAGTTTGTCGGCTTCGTTCTCGAAGCGCACGTACGGCAGGCTTGGTGACTGGCCAGTCGTCCATGTCGCAAACGCTACTTAGTTCGCTGACTTGAGTAGCCTAGGCAGTTATCAACATAACTGATTGTCCTGAATGGGTGGGTGTGATGCGCGAGAGCAGCATTGATGTAAGCACACTATAGCACATGGTCAGTATACATACCTGTTAGCAAAAATGTCACCGTGATGACAGCCTGCACATGCAGATGGATCGAGTTCGCTCCCCTACGAGGCGCTTATTTGAGGATCCCAATGGCATCTTAACTGAAGCACTATCGCATCCTAAGCGGGTACCGAATCCTGGCTAATGACTCTCGGCATATTGGATGGCGTGCAGAGTAGGCCTCGAATGGTTGCCCAACGACTTGGATCTACTACCTGCCATCTTTCTCCCGAGAGAGTGATTCTGTCAATTGGAATTAAATCTATCCCAGAACAAGGGCAAGCCTTTTCCCCCCTGCTCTCTACTTGAATCGTTGTAGGAAAGGTTGGCTCGTTTATCTATCTTGAAAGATCTTCACCTCAGTCTCTTATATACATTCGCATTCTTCATAACAAGCCATACTCCGTGCATTACGAGGCTCTATGACAAGACTCGAAGACTACAATGCAGTGACGGCTGCCGCATTGTTTTCTCGTTAGGGTTGAATCAACCAATTATTGCAGTCAATAGCATACTATATAGTACTTGTTTAAAGCGTCATTCGACTAGACACTGCATCGACCTTCCATCCTAGAAATGATCAATACATGCTGCTATATACTCAGTCAAGGGATGATTCAGTCCCCCGCGTTTTCGACATTCATTATTTCATAAAGCAAATTTCCGGAACGCCTTTTCCAAAGCCTGTAGACTGTACAATACAGTAAAACGCCGTACACGCGGATATGTGACGAAAGCTGGCGAGCTGCCAGTAGAGGTGGTATCAACCGAAGTAATTCGTGAATTAGTGCCCCGCCTAACACCTCATTCCGAGTCAGAATCGTCCTTCTTCCCGAGCGACGCACGCTTGGACGCCTTGGCCGCTTTCTTCTCTGCCTTCCTCCGCTTGCGCTCGGCTTTCTCTTCGGGCGACTCTCCTTCGTGCTTCTTCCGCTTCTTCTTGTCGTCATCTGCGGCAGGAGTCTCCTCTCCATTTGTAGTAGCCTCCGCGGTGACTATAGTTTCAGCAGGTGCTTCTGACATGGTAACATCCACAGCAGCTGTAGCAGTAGACTCAGCAGGCGCTGTGTAGTCCTTGTACTCGGCAGTCCACTTCGCGGGTGTTTGCTCGTTGGCCCTGCCAAATTTATCAAGCTTGCCGGATGCCTTGAGCTTCTTCTTCTCAGTGGCTGTGGGGCCAAGACCCCATCTTCTCGGGTACAGGTCTCGCTCCATGATGCAACGTTTCACCTTGGCAACAACGCCGTGGTCGCAGGATGACATCTCAACTGTGCTCATCATCGCGATACCTAGAGCGATAGCCTCTCCCTTGGTGGTCATGAGAACAACTTCTTCATGGGCTTCGATGCCAGCTTCGTATCGTAACAGGCCAGGAATCATCAACTAGATTGAAGTCAGCATACTCTAGACAAGGAATGAGATCCACGGCTTACCTTAGCTCCATAGCAGATAGCGTTGACCTAGAAGTTTCATATTAGTAAATGACGTATCGGTAGAGTTGGTCAGCGCAATGACTCACAGTGCTATCCTTTACGACAATACGCTTGTAAGATGTAAGGAGAGTTTCAAGAGGCGAGATAACCTTGCGTAGGTAAGACTCATCTCTGGTGTTGTCGTACATCCATTGCGCGTCGAGAACGTCGTGTAGAGTGACCAGGTCCTTTGTCTCATCCATTGCTCCGGATCTGTTCAATTTGATGTTAGCATTACATATTGGAAAGCTACGCATTTTAGATGCCGTTGAGAATGTGAGGGAGAAACATCGTACCGCACACGACGGAGCTCCTGCATATGTCCGCCAACACCCAAAAGAAGGCCCAAATGGACACAGAGAGTTCGAATATATGTTCCTGCTTCACAGCTCACCCAGAAAATACCCAAGTGGCGATCATTGTCAAATTCGATAACTCGGCTTTCGTGGATAGTACGGATACGAAGTTGGCGCTTGACTGCGGAAATTAGGGGCGGCCTCTGGAAGAGAGCACCGGTCAATGTCTCGAGGGCACGTGCAAATTGCGCCTCACCACCAGGAAGCTTGTCGTGGAGACGAATCTAACCATGCCGCATAATCAGCATCGAGTTAAAAATGAATACATCATCTGGCACTCAGCAGATACTTACCACAGCAACATACTCCTTTCCGGCGCCTTGCTGCGATTTGACAAGTCGAGTTGCCCGATCGATACAGACAATCAAACATCCAGTCACTATCCGGTCATACTCGTTAGCAATTGTCTTTGCAGAACCTGTTTAGTGTACCACTGATAAGATGCACAGGTGAGGGAATGTCGAGCAAGTCTAACCTTTAGGATCGAGAGTACCAGAGTGACCAGTCTTCTCCGTGCTATAATACGTCAATTAGTAATTGTCCAACATCACACGTCATTCGCGCATCCGGATTCGTACCGCAAAATGCGCTTCACCCAAGCAACCACTTCGTGCGAGCTAGGGTTCGATGGTCTATTTGTCAGGTTAGAGAAAGCTCCTCGAAGCCATACAACGAGAGTATCCTACTTGTCAAGATCTACGCGTCAAGGTCAGCAAGCGCGTCCAGGAATAGAATTTTAAAATAATAGAAGGAAACATGGGAAGATTCGCTACTTACTGATGACACCTGAAGCAATGTAGTTCTTGAGATCTCGGCTCAACGGCGCGCTGCCATTAGGAATGGGTGTAAAGTGGCCCGCTATGCGCATGTCAATATCCCGCACTTCCCTGATCTACATTTCGGGGTAGGACACTAACTTCGAACGAGGAGCTTGTCGTAGTTCTTTAACAGCAAGGGCCAATTGCTCGTGTCAACGGCGGGCGTGACCGCGGTGGGCTTGATGGCGTACTCGGCCTCGGCAAGGTTTTTGTCGGTTTGTGTAGCCATTGTCAACCGCCAATATATCTATACGTGGGAAAAGATGGATATATCGATGGCGGTGATCTTCGCGAGAAGCGGCGTCGTTCTGGAAATTCGCGAGTGCAGAATTCCGCTGTAGAGATTTCACTGCCGTAGCTTGAGTTAGCAGGTAAAAAAAATCCCAATCCGAGCTCCAAAAAATTCTGCCGCTTGAGAAAGCTGTGGGGAATCCAAGGCGGGAGCTCCAGCCACAGAGACCAAGCTAGATACAGTTACTCTATTGTAGGTACATCATTACCAAGTGGCGCAGCACAAACAGTGCTCCCATACACTCGCAACCTCAGCCACAATGTAGGTACCGTGCCTCCAGTCACGCCTACATTCAAGCAGACTGGATATGTTCAAGGTAGGTATTAAGTCATTTGTATGAGATTTTTCTTCCATAAAAACAGGCAAGCTGTGCTGCAGCGAGATCAAGAGTACAGTGATAAGTAATCGCCTAATGAAAAGACCTCCCCACCCTTGATCTGCTTGGTATAAAGGTATATATCATAACGATTTCAGAGACCCCGAAGTTTGAGATCGAAGTCTCAAGTCATACATGCGCCCCAACTCCAAGCTTATGAGATATGCAGAATAAAATGTAGAAGATGGGTAAACCCGACCGTTCAAAACTCTCCCCTGAATAGCAAGCAAGTTCTAAAACATTTGATTATGATGGTGATGGTGTCCGCCGTGCCTGACCTTGCCTGCCATAACCGGGGTGATTGAGTACTGGCGCTGTAGATGGAATCGGAGGTGGTGGTGGAACCTGGAAGCCGTAGCCTCCCGCGCTGTTAACACCCTCTTGCAGCTCGTAGCCATCAACGCTTGCATCCGCCTTTTCCTTGCCCTTCCTATCGCCCCATGGCGACTCTGCATGATCGTGATCTGGACTCAAAGCCACGCCAATACTCTGTGCTTTCTCAATTGGCCATGCCGGCTGTCCATAACCGTCGACGGAGCTTATTGGGCTGTCGAATTGCGTAGTATAAGGCGAGAAATAACGAGGATATTGGTAATGACCCTCGGATGTAACAGCGCTCACAGGAGAGTCTCCCCATCCGCCCCGCAGAGGTTTCTGGCTAAGAGGCGTCTCGAACATGTCCCCCGCCGCCTGAGGGCTCGGCCAGTTTTTCGCTTGTTCTTCACGGCGGCGTAAGTAGTTTTTTCTACGGCGCTTCCCATTGATTACAACGCCGCAACCGAGGAGGACCAATATGAATGCAACACCACCAATGACAACGCCCGCAAGTGCGCCGTAACTCAGGGGCCCAACTTTGTTATGAACTTGGACAGTAGCTGTTGCTGTGGGCTTGGTGACGTTGGCCATCTCCAGGGAGAATATGTCACCTTCTAATGGGATAATGCTCGGGGGCTCGACCTTTAATTCACATGCCCCCGACAGGATGGATACAACTGTGAGTGGTCAGTTGGAGGCTAATCATATCAGATATTGGTTAAAGCATACAATTTCGAACATAAGCCTGATCACCTGCTTGCAAGCAGTTTGTGCACTTGGAGAGGTCATAGTCGCTCCAAAGGCTGCAATACCCATAAGGGCTTACGTCTGTAGAGAAATTACCGTACTCCAGTGCACCTCGCAAGCGCTTGCAAGAGAAACTAGACTATATCAGCATCGAGACACTCCGTTTACCTAGACTATTTAGACTCACTCAGTACTGCACGGCCCCCCATCCTTATAGAATATGCACTGAGCCGCTGTATATCTCATGTTGACTATTCGCATCATTCATTAGCACCGCGAAGTAGCGATAAAAGTTCGGTCTGAAGACGTACAGAGCATAGCTTGCAAGTCCGATGCAGGTTGATTCTGACCGGTAACTGTGTATGTACTTCTTGATTCGCAAGTCACACAAGACTGCAGGACCTTTCCCGCCGACGTACCGTAATCTGCATCATTGCAGACGATCTGGTCTTGTGTGGTACTATCGAGAACATTGCCGCAGCTCGATTCGCAAGGAGAGTGCTGCGCAACAAGAACTGCACATGCCCTATGTGCGAGCGCACTCAGCGCGACGACAACGTGGCTGCGACGCATGGCGGTGAAAAATCTGAATGGCAATCGTGAGAGAGGCAAATTGCGGGCGCCGCTGTCAATCAGTCAACGTGAGCGCATTACCGTATCCGCATCAAGCGACAATTGCCGAGTATATGGGGGAAGTTGACAGTAGAGACGCTTGGTATCAATGGGAGTAGCTATTTGCTTGGTGCGAATGAGTTGTGGCAATTGATATAGAACCAAGCTTCGGCTGGCCCGTGGCACAAGAACCGCTGGTCAAGGCTGTTGGTTACGGAATCGCAACAAGGGAGAAGAACCATGTATAAACTCAGCGGTCGCGCCACACAGCTGAGAAGTCGGCGGCTGAAGCAGGGGCCTCTCTGCCTATATAGAATATATTCCTACCTGTTCGTACTAGATTCCTATGAAGCGCCGTCGCCACTGTGACATGTGGGCAGGACCAGTACGCAGTAGTGAGTGGGATATGATCGAGCTCATGGATATGGAAAAGGAACCAGATCCAGAACTACTCAATGCGGGACTTCTCACTATACTGAGCATGCAACCACTTGGCATATCAGGAGGGACGAGCGAATGGGAACCGAGATGGCCCTGGACTTCACATTGTGACTTGCCAAAAGGTGAATAGCACAGGGGTCCCTTTTTGACCATCAACTGCAGTATGCTGAGGCGTAAGCGAGCAGCATTGGGGATCGGGGGTTGGGGTTGGGGGCCTGGGGCTGCTCCGATGTCTTCCTAGTGTGCTTTCTCACTAGCTTTTCCTGCTCACCGGCGAACGACGGGCCGTCACTGGCTATAGTTGCTTGCACTAAGAGGTGACGGAAGCAGGGGGGAGCTGCATGCCATCTCACGATGAGCCACTCAGAATCCTCAGTTCCAAGCCGGCTGCAAGGTGCTGGCTCGACCCCCTGCAGTTGCGGCCACCACCCGGCCAGTCACGGGTCCAGCCGTCCTGATTGGGCGACCGCACACTATCCAGTAAGCCGAAATGGAAGAGGGATTCCTTCGTTCATAGCACAGCGTCGGCTCGAGGAGGATTCGCCCTTCGTCAGCAAACCCTCGCGTGGTCTGACGGCCGTGGAACGATTCTGTTGCTTCCATACATGCGAAGTAGTCCAGGCGCGAGAGATCGGGCGCGAGATGGGCCGGCTGGGGCCGAACGAACGGTATTGCAGTCCTCCACTGCCAGGTGCAACCCCGTTCACTACATAATAAGTGCACTTTTGCCGCCGATAATTGATAGCCATACTCCGAAATAAACATTACATACAGACTGATGAACTAACCATGATTGCAGCATTGCCTGAGAATATTAATATCGCGGCAACGACGATTCTATGCTGCCAGCGTCATAGTGTACAGTAGAGCGCACACAGGTTTCCCTCCCCCGAGCTCACTAGCGACTTACAGTAGGTACGCTTGCCTGAAGGTAGTACCCGAGCTTTTGGAACCCCGGTCCCACGGCGCTTAGATATCGATATTTCCAATTTCTCGTCTTCACACCCAGTCCGGGGTCTTGGATCGCTTAAAACGCGAGTAGCTGTCACAGTACCATATAGCTGGGTGTAGATTCCCGGGGTCTTGGCCTGGTAACGTCGTTTCTATCTTTTGCAGATAGCGTAGCTGTCTTGTGCAAGCTTTAATGTTAGCTTGCTATTTCCCCCATATCCTATCAGCTTTGATATATTGTCTGAGTCCTAATTATGTCTTAGCTATGTCTTCATTATAGCCTACTTATGCGTTGATTATGTAGTGGTTATGTAGTGATTATACCTTGATTATAACTCTGCTACTGTTACGAACCAGAATAAGAGTGTATCGCTAGTCCTTGAGATTCCACGTGACGCCATCGTAGGTATAACAAGGGCAGAAAACTGGACTTGGAATTGATGCTATTCATAACATAATGAGCAATCCTTGACCAACCAGTTCCATCTTGGCCTTGGTGGTTTGACTCGACTCTATATACAACTGGTCTGCCAACCCAGACCGCCTAGGTCTCAAGAGCTTGTTTCGAGAAGAAGTCTGTATAACTTCACTTTCCAATATTGCCTGCACGTCTTTGAATGACCATGAACAGCCTGCAGTGGCCTTTCGTACGGCTAAAGTGCAAGGCGAACTGCGTATTCAGCTTATATAGCTTGTACGCGTGTAACAGTAGCGGACTATGGTCTTATTCAAGGATCAAAATCCTCCAGATACTCTTCATACTCTTGACAAAATTTCTCGGGGTCGAAGGAGAGGCCCTCATTCGAGATGATCTCGTGCGCGGTGCTAAGATATGCTGATTTCCAAGCCTGATATAAATGAGTGCTTCTGACGGGATGCGGGAGATACAGTTGGTTTTGTTGCAGGACCATTGACCCCTTTAATGACTGGAATACCTCCTCCGGGTCTGCCTCCATATCGACAGTTTCACATTGGCCAAAGTCCAGGAGATATAAATGGATAGCCCGATGTTGAAAGTCGCTATTAGCGGTTGTCGAAATAGTCGAAGTACCAAGGACAAACTCGACGTCGTCTCCAGTAATCCTAGCAGCCCAATGCATGATCGCGTACGCATTGCCGATCATGGCAGCGAAGTGGCCCATTTCCAAACCCAGCTCAGCCATTATTTCTAGCGTTAGTGGAATATTTCGTAAGGTAAAGTTCTCTTTGGGCAGTGTAATCGTTTTCTTTCCTAGGTAAATGCGGGCTAGACAATGCTTGTTTGCCGTGTTATCCAATAATTGAGTCACGAGATGCTCATCGTTGCAACCACCGGGATAGAGTTTTCGAATCATTGCTTTTCGCACCACCTTAGGGAGTGGTAGGATCCTTTCCATTGTCACTATGTCGCTGGGATATTGGTCAAATTTAGGCATTCGAGAAAGAAGCTCCGGCGATATAAGATTCTTCGAAAAGAACTTATATGGTTTTGGCACGTGAACATCATTGCTGAACCTGCTATACTTGGCAAACGCCTCCCATACTCTTCGATGAATTTCAAATTCGGCTTGTAGACGGCGACCAGAGTTTTGTGGTAGTTCTTTCTTGTTCACATGCGTACAACCCAATCGTTCGTATACAATTCCCTGTAGACCTGCACCGATGTTCTGGTACTTTTGTGTGTTAACCCGACCGTCCACCTTCACACGCTGTGACCTAGCTGCAAAAGAAGAATTTGTAATAATGATTGACTGGACAGTCAAAGAGTGTTGAAGGACTTCACTCGACGCAACATCTTCCAATTCGGCGGCCTGCATCGATAATTTTTGAACGACTGTTGGTAATATTTCCAATATTGGACAGTCTAGATTATAAACAACCGGCCGGATGAACGTTTATGAGTTTCTGAATCGCCGATTAAGTGTCGGATAACCGCCGATTAACTACTGTTCCGTGTGTTTAGAGTGGTGAAACGTTGGGAAAGATACTTGAGTGATAATTAGTTGAATGTTCACTGGCCTGGGCTGGTCGTAGTATGAGTGGAATCTAAAGACGTTTTGGGGAAGTTTGGATGTGTACCGTCGGCAGATACGCACTCTATGTATAATTGCTATGACTCACCTATCCCTTCATTTCCTGGTTACCGTATCGGCAGTGTGTGGTACTTTAAGGTTATCCCAGGTGTATACAGGCTACAGTTAAGGTTTGTAAAAAAAACATGGCAATGAGCTAAAGCTGTATGACTTGCATGGTATCCTGCATTTAGGTGTAAGCCAGCTAGGTTCTTAAAGCCAGATTAAACACACTGGGATGATCGCTCTGCTGTGCTAGTCGTTGTTATAGCATGGGATGTGTACACTCTCCCTACCATTGCCGTCAAGTACATGTATCCAGGACCAAGGATAAGGGTATTCGTCTTGTTTCAATTCGAGTTTGGTTCGCGTTATGCTTGCGAAATGCCGAGCATCTCCATGCTCAGGGTCGGCGAGTCAGCCCGTGGTCGTAAATCCATAGGTACCTTCAGCAGAGAATCAGATAAGAATCCATTGGGTGATCTATCTGTCATGTCACTGAGAGCCTTGATTAGGCTGATCGTCTCATTGTCCCCCTGAGTCGGAACATGCGAGCCACTTGTCTTCATGCTGTGGCTGCTAGCTCTTGACAGTGTTCGACCGTCGACATTATAGGGTATGATTGGCAAATTATCCATGGTCTCAGGAAGAAATAATTTGGGACACATTTTCTGCGTTGTGCGACATGGTTGAGCTGAAGTAAAGATCGTATTAGTCTTGGTGGGATGCGAAGGTGTCTGCACCGGGGTGATGGTTCGATAGCAGAGGGCCCGGGGTGGTTCCTCAGAAGACATTGGGCCTTGCGTAGAGATGAGACTTCTGTCACTTTTCGCTCTGATTAAAAAGAGCGATGCTGTACCGTAGCGTTGTGTTATACCGAGGGCTGTTGCTCCCTGCGCCCCCCGGCCGAACTCTGTGTCTCGGCTAGAACGCGTCTTATGACTAGAGTATGACGGTTTGTTAGAGTATGATTGACAGCTTGATTGGAATTCTTGGCTGACTAGTGAACTGGGGCTATCGATGGAACTGGCCCCTTCTCGTAGTGCTTGATTCTGGGCAGCACTGTTTTGAACTGTCCCCTCGGAGTGACTGTTCGACGCTTGTTGCGTAGATACCGAATTTTCCGAGGCAGTATGATCATGGCCCCTCTCGTTTGTTTCCTCAGGGACAGAAGATGATTCTGGCATAGGCACCGTCGTCGAACCTGAATTGTCAGGGGAATACACCAACTTAGCAATTGGAGGTGTCTCCGTGTCTACAACGAGAAGCTCTTCTTCTCCGCGGCCAAGGAGTCCGTATACGTTAACTTCGCCATCTTTGATTCCAATGACAGTGCTTGTTCCCGCATAGACAGTGTCCCTCTCTATGCCGGCGCGATTGCAAAAAATAACAATAACCTCTTCCTCGTTCTCGGAACGGATGATCGGCTCTAGCCGAGCCATCCAATAAGTCAAGGTATCCATATCCGGTTCCTTAGGCACGCTGCTGAACAGGCTTGCGTCTTCACGGGTCATCCAAGCCATCGTCACGATAACAAGATTGGCCTCAACTTCCAGGCAGTGGAAGGCAAACTCAAATGCATGCCACGGTGCCTCGAATTTATATGGGCTACGACAAGTTAGCATTCGACCCGACATATTTAGGAATAAAACCTACTTGATATCCATGCCTAAGAGATTTAATCAGCCAGTCAGGTCAGTATGATGCTCGTAAAGAGGGAGACTTACAAATGCCCATAGCCGTGGTACCGAGTTGAGGTATTACACCGCCGTAAAAGCCCTCTGATCCTTCTAAAGCCCAGGTTTCATCTGTGTAGTACAAGAATGTCTTCCTGTAGTTTGCAATAGTCTCACCATCAGGATTCACGACAAGAACAGAGTTGTAGTACTCGGGCGAGGTGGGCCACTTTGCCTCGAGATCCTCCTTTTCGGGGTAACCGACAGTAACTATACAGTTCAGTTTGAGTGCGAGTGTTTGAGCCCAAAGTGCGCTGATCCCAGAACCTCGAAGCTCTAAAAAGGGGCTTATCTCCTGAAGAGACTTGAAATTGTACCCTTAAGGCAAGCCCAGCGTTAGTAAAGAGTATCAGTGTATGACAGCTACACATGAAATGGACCATCATACCGGTGAAAGCAAGTTCGGGGAGAACAAGAAGGTCAAGATTTTCAGGGTCCGCTTTGCTCAACACAGCGTCGGCGCGACTGATATTATTGTCAAGATCGCCTACTTGGGGAGCAAACTGAAGGCAGCCTATCCTCATCTTGTTGCTCGGGCTTCTCGCCTCGCTGGACAAGATAGAACTAGTCGATCATTCAACTTCAAAGATTCTCAAGACGAAAAAGGAAGAATGACAGATCCCAAAACTAAAGATGATATCAGAATAGAGAGAGAGGCTGATCAGTCCTATCTAGAAAACGGCAAAGAGTGGGGAGCGACGAGGATTATCGGGGTGTAGAGAACTGGAAGGTGTCTGGAATGCCAAGGAACCTATATGTGCTACATATAAGTAGGTACCCAACCTGCCTAGACACACTGCCCGGGGAAGGAGTTGTCGACATTGGAGGAACAAATGCCCTAAGTGAGCAACCTAGGACAGCCCAGAATTGGCCGGGCGTACATTGTTCAACCCCGAACCCAGTGCTAGCATGCGTACCTAATGTATTTGGTACTTACTGGCAGGCTGGCTGCTTGTGACCACTATTAGCCTCCCACTTACGAATTGCATGTATATCTATTATGTATGTAGGCACATACATAGTAGCTATTAACCGAGAGTCCCTACCTCCAAGGGTACAAGAGAAGTGCGACAGATTACGTCAGCATATAGGGGTAGCCAGTATTGGAAAGCGAACAAGTCTGGAGAGAAGGGCCAGACCAGATACCGGTAGCCCTTCAATTCCGCACACATGCGGCAATTACACTGAAAGCGCGGGTGTAGGACATGGCAGCAGTCTGCAGTGCAAATCACGACATTGTTTCGTAGCGGTGTGACACGTGCGAGCAAATGGGTATAGCGCCTACTTACCTGACTTAGCGGCTAATTAGCACCGTAATAGGTGAGTTATCTGATTCATGTCACAGCTCACATGCAAGTCAAGGCTTTGGGGTTTGAAATCGCCTTTTTCTTAAGGAAAAAAGGAAGAAGGAGAAAAAAACAGAAGGCATGTCGTCTCGTAATAACCGGGGCAGCTATCGAAGTGACCCAGTGACCAAGTGATCCAAGCGCCTGGGTAGGGATTCAAGAAAGACTTGCTGTGCCATCCATCGGCATCAGCCGAAAGGCCATATGCCGCCTTGGCTTTTATTACCCCGTATGGACCTCTAATCGATAACAAAGCATTAGGTTAGGTAGTAACTCGCGTCCCACCTCGGGGGAAGCTCATAGCTACCTAGGTTATGTACCTAATTCATAACAGCAGTCAGGTTGAAAGGCGACGATGATGAGTATCCGCTGATGATACCAAGAAGACTGCCCAGGTGAGTTTACACCTAGTCATCTACTGGAATGCCATTGTATTATCTGTAGTCATTAGACCCGTTACATATTTAGGAGGCATTCCTGGATCAGCACCTACTTCAGCTTGCAGATACTGACACCTAAACTGTTCACAGTCTCCAATCCCCATTCTCCACGTGGTTCATATAAGCGGATGAAGTAGACAGGCTGGCCTCGAATGGAAGGGAGAAAAAAAAAAAAAACTTCTCAGCTAGCTAGTAGAGCCCTTGGTGGTCTTAGGCCGATCTTCATTGCCCAAAAGAGAAAGGGTGAGAGATAGGCTTGCTATGGTTTGTCTAGGTTTGGTAATTGCGGAAATGGTGGTAGTAAGACATCTCCGATTCGTGGTACAGTAATGCCGCGGCCAAAACCTGTGAAGTTGGTATGATAGGTCGCGGAATGTTTCACTTGCTTGCTTCTTGGCTGCGGGGTAGATATTAGTGATGGTTGCTTCGAACGCAAGTATATACTACTGCGTACTTAGTTTGTGGGATCAGAGTAGTGGCCAGCTAGAATACCTACGTCTACAGACTGTGAAGTGAGCTAGATGTTGAAATCATAGAGCACTTGAGCTCTGACACCCTTCACTCCCACACTAGACGAAATATTACAAATATTCTCAAAAGGCTTTTCCAGTAATGGCGAACAACCTACATTCCTATTGGCCGAAAGGGTTTCAAGGCATTGCTAACCATCGAGCTACGATATCAGAAAGAAAACCACTAGGTACACTATCAGTGTAGCCTTAATGCAATGAACGAAAAGTAGGGATATCTACTAGTAGGATTGTAGACCTCAGGCCTTGATACAAGATATCTCGGGTTCGCATCTCGCAGGTATAGTTTTTGTAAATAAATACAACAAAGCTTCCCCCGAATACCAGCCTCAACTGCTGTGTAGAGTACTAAAGTATATTTGAAGTGTCACATACCGTAGTTCCACAGGGTCTTCAGCCGCCAACTCCTAACCTTCTAAAATATTGGAAACCCAGCTGGACACCATACCGATTGGTTTTGTTTGTGGCGATATGATTTGAATATAACAAGAACGATTTATAGATTTTGAAGAAGAAAATAGGGAGATTAAGGCATCCGACGGTAAAACTCAAGTCTATAGACAATCCACACATCGAGATATTTGGTCAATGAAGGACATAAATCGAGAGAGATCAAGCCAAACAATGCTTAGCAATCATTAAGAAGATGTCTAGGGAGCGAGCTGACATGGAATGGAGTTATGCGATTCGTTTCACATCACGATACCTAGTCGGCACGGGAGGAGCTGAATCTACCTACCAAGAACTGCACGGTGCTCCAGTCAGACTGTCAGCAGATGGTGCAGACTAGAGCTGGCATTCTGCACATACAAGGATCGAAGTGGAAAATCAGCCAACTTTTACATGCACTATGCACGATGCAGCTTGATCACACACCTATCACATCATCTAGTCGGCTGCCTCGCTTGTTGGCCCCGGCGTGTCCATTCAATTGCCGCGCTAGCGCCAGCAGATTGGGCAGTTCAGTCCGCGTCCCATCTGAGGGGTGGATCTGAGGGTGTGAACGAAGGCGAGCGACGGGCATCGTCTGCGCTTATTCAAACTGCTCCAAGGGTTTGCCTAGCCGAGGTGCAGCAGCTAATCAAGATGAGGTCTACACTACCTCCAGTTCTTGTTCTTATTCTTATTGGATATGGCGGAGAGGTGAAATAGAGCTTAGTCTGCCTAATACTTAGACAGTAGGTTGTATAAGCTGGGAAGATGGTATTGTCCACAAATACGCACTTGATCTACTTACTTACATAGGTCACCGGGTGAGTCTCTGCGGTGGTATGGGTATGAGTGTATTACGAAGTAGTGATCTTGAGCCCAGGCTTCCGCCCAGTCCCCTCACCCTACCTAGGTATCATATGTACGCCCACAGGCATGACTGTTGTCATCTCTCATCTCTGTACTTCTCTCGCTACACACTCGCTTGCTACAGGATGCATATCATCGCCATTGGCCTGGCGAGTCATTTGTGGGGTAAAAGATGGTTGCGTCGGCGCTTATTAGTAGGCAGACAGTAGGTAAGTACATAGTAACTCTGCTGCAGGTCAGAATCCACGTCCACCTCCCCCTGCAAGCCAAGCGCCGGCCGGCCCACGTCCTTCACCAATCCCAACGATGAACCTCTCCTGCAGCCAAGTCCTTGTCGGGGCGCCGTGCGTCGGCGGACACTGGCGCGGACTGTCCCTCTCCAACCTCTGTCCAACCACCGCTGCCGCTTCGACATCCTTTCGTTCGCCAGATCTTTCCTCGATTCGTCCATTGGGCGACAAGAAGCGGAAAGCCGCTGTCGTGTGTACGCGACTGTTTCCCTTGGAGTGCTCCCATTGGCCATCTGGACCTACCTACACGCTTCATACAGCAACACGCTCCATCAGTACTTCGCTCTGAGCTCTCTCTGACTAGGGACCCTGTCCAGGACCATGTCTGTAGACGCCATCCGAGATCTCCATACCATTATGGGGCTCCCTATAGGACAAGATCTTTATTGCAGATTAGGCAAGTGCCTTTGCTGCCGTAGTATGGGAGTGTCTTGATGTTGAGTCGTTATGCAGCATTGAAATATAGACGACTTAGCTCCTCACAGATTCTGCTGCTCTCCTTATTACTCTCTCGTGGATGGATATGTTTGTGGTAGTCTGGAACTGAGCCCTTACAACATACGGGCACGGGTCTGTGCTAATTTCTATCTGCTGTCTGTCATGCTGGGGAGGTAGTTAATCTCGTCGCCCTTTTTTCTAATTTCCATTTCAATCCCTCCCATAGCCCTCTCCAGTATGACGCCTTTTGTGATCTTATTCCTTTTATCCATCTGCTTTCTCTCAGATGTGACCGCACTACAAGTCACTCCTGGATCATCGTGTGCCGCTTTATGTCTGGACAACCCGGAGAGTGACCCGTTAAACCCGGGTTCCTCGACCACGACGCCCAAGGACATTTCATGTACCGATGACAGTTACGACAATTCAGCCACCGGTATCAAATTCAAGAACTGCCTCGACTGCCTACAGAAGAGTAATGCGACTACCGATACCGAGAGTGATGTTTCATGGTTTCTGTGTATGAAAAACGACATCTACTTGTAATCGTTGCCTCGCTAATGATGCTGGTAGATAATATCCGCTATTCGGTGGATGTCTGCCTGTTCGGTTTTCCCAATACTACGAAACAGTCGGAAGGAATTTCATCCCCCTGCACTATCAACTGGGGGTGCCAACCTTTGAAAAAGGCACTCGAAGCGGGCAGCTTGGATGATACTAGGGACCAATTGGAATATTGTACAGCGGACGGCGATTTCGCAAGCTCACATAATGTCAATGACTGCATCAAGTGCTTTGCATCAAGCCCTAATCAGGGGCACATGTCAAATTGTACGGGATTCTATTTCCTCAACTCGTCAGGCCGGCATCACTGACTGTTTTGTAGTCATAACAGCCCTGAAAGCAGGCTGTGAGCAACGGCCAGGGCCGGGTGAACTGATTGGACTTAGCGACTCTCTCTTTAACGGTACATTGGTCAACATCACTACCCCAGTCAACGAGACAATGCCCGAGGGTGGGGATGACGCGTTCGGAATCACGTCTACCGGAGCTATTGTTGGTATCTCGATTGGGGCTGCTTTGCTATTACTTGGCGGTTTAGCGTTGTTCTGGATTTACCGCCGTCGTCAGAAGCGTCTTTTCATGGGAACAGTCGGATCCCACAATGATCCTCGAACCGGAAACAGATCCACTACACCTCTCGTCGGCGCTGGATTATCAGACAGTGAGAAGCGGACTGGGTCACAAATGAGTGATTATGATAGCCGCACGCAAACTCATTATGCGAACAATGCCGAGTACTACAAGATGCTGGAGAGGGGAATCTATTCGAACGGGCCACATTACACTGTCGACCCAAGCAACCCAAGGCCTATCCCTCCAAGTGTCCTGCGTACGCACCCAGCTTATCTCCCGCAAACTCATAGTCGGCAGGGGTCACGAGAGCGATCACCCCCGAGGCCAACCAAATCGAACAAGCCCGATTCTTACGCTCTCCAGACGTATTTGACGGCGGCAGGGGATGCCGGAGGAGCCGGCTTGTTACCACCACCACCTCCAGGACGCCCGCCAGTTGCAGCGATAGGTGACCCATTAAGAAGTCACGGACCGTCATCTAACCAGTATGCCCATACTCGGAATTCTTCTGTGGAACGCCGTGGGCCCTCCCCTGACCGACAGCCGCTGATAAATTCGAATATGGTTCCTACTTCCGCCACACCAAACGTGCCACCACCACCACCACCTCCTCCTCCGGCTCGAACAACCAAGGTCCCGTTCCTCGCATTCCCATCAGTCCCTCGCATTCGCGTGCCTAAAAAGTATACACCACCAACGATCGCAGTTCAGGGCGGCGCTCCGGCCGATGAGCCTTCAGCCCAGCCCTCGTCGAGTTTAGAAAACTATGCCGTAGCCGATATATCTATTGGCCTCGACACCAGTAACACTATAACTCCCACTGAGCCTAGCCACAAGCAAAGCCCTTGGGAAAGGCGCAGACCACCACCTCCATCTCTTAGCATCCAGACAGGAGCGGCTGACAGTGGCAAACGCCCTTGGGTTGCGGCCGCTGATGGTATATAAAAATCAGAGCGAAAGGTGCAAAGCCCCTTTTACAGTAAAGCATGTCGCGTTTGTACGAGTATCTATCTAATGCATTGATAATGGCGCATACGGAGGGATTATACCATACTTGGATTCTTGGAGGGATTGGCATTTTGCAGCGGGTTACAATGGGTCTATTCTATGTATAATGAATATCAGGGGATTGGGACTACACAACTTTGAAGTACTCTTGTGCCTGAACTCATTATCCTGGCTTATATATAAGATCGATTGACTGATCTATTGCAATGAGATGACATATGTCAATCCTTTCCACTACTTAGTGTTTTCATTTCGGATTTGAATCAGCGGGCTTGCTTCTAAACTGAATGCGCATTGATTGTTAAATTAACATAGCGAAAGTGCGGGAACTACCTTAGCTTTCATCGTTCGAATTGGGAACTGCCAGGTACTTGAAACTTTCCATGGTGACGTGATAATAGTCACGTCGTTTGAGGGCAGGCTAAAACAGGCTGCTTCCAGACAGATAATAGTTCACGTCTCAATATGTTGGATTTAGTAATGCAACATTATCATTATTTGGTTCTGTTACTATTTCTCCACAGCGCTTAACCGAGGCGTCTCCCTGGTCCTTTGCTTCTCCATGAATCTGGCAAGGGACCACCCCGTCCACTGGAACCGGATCGAGGTGTGATTGATGTGCCATAACCCATATTCGTCATCCGCGGAGTAGCCAGGATCCAAGATATGAACCCAGGAGTTGGGATCAAGTTTACACCATGACCAAATTCAGGGTAGATTCGCGTCAAAAAGTCGTGCAAATGGGCAGCAAAGATCCCGGTGAGACCCAATAAAAATGAACCCCAACCAGCAAACAGAAGCTGGGCCAAGAGCATGCACCAAGGCATGAGTTGAGCAGGAACAGTCACTACATAAAAATGTGCTTGCATCCCCCGTTGATCTTGGGTCGCAGTGTAGCAGATTGCTATAAGCAAGCCATGCAGATAGAGGACAGCTCCAGTGAAAAGTTGATTGACCAACTAGTGCCGCTGTTAGCAACTCTATGGCAATCTCCATATTTGGAGGTTGAATACAAAATGAGAACACAAAGAATCAATAAAAAATATGTAGGGCGCTAAAAACCACCCGAGCAAACTGTCAAAGACATTACTCGAGTCATCCATATAGACATCCCACCGTGCCCAAACTCCGGACTGGCCCTAATGAGGTTTGCGAATGACGGACCAGCCAGAGAGTGGGGGTAATCTTCCTCAGTTCCAGGAACCGCTATAGCAGTAGAGGCACAACACTATGCGGGCAGATATATGAGGGATATTTGTGATTGCAGGATGGAGACGCAGAAGATCAGACAGTTAAGCAAATAAAAAGGACCTACAATGATGACGCCACTGACGAACATGAGGTACCATATCAAATCCGCCTTTTTGGAGAATTTGGCATTGCCCTTTTCCAGTTGGCTGAGGTAGTTATACACTGATATATACTTCATTAGGGTCCGCATAGCATCATGGACGCATCATGCATACCGAAATACGTGTCAAAGAGCACACCCAAGTCTTTCGACGTGATAAGGAAGCTCGTTACCAAACGGTGAATCGCTGGCGGGAACTTGAGGAGCATCGAATAATGGAAGAAGAAGCCATATATGGATAGCATCCCTGTGTAGACACCGACGGAAGCGACGAACACGGCTGTAGCCACAGTCCTATGAAACAAGCATTAGCGATGAGGTCGTGCACAGGACGGGGGAATGAAGACAAACCTCGCGACCGGCGGAGTCGAGAAATAGAGCGTTGTAACGTCCGACATTGCAGAAGATATCTGTTGGAACTATTACACGAGCCGTTGGTGGTTGTTGACCTCTGTGTGCAGTGATGGCGAGAAGCCCTTCAATGACTTCAATCTGTAGCCCTGCACTTGCAAGAACAAGAACACGTTTTCAAAGTAGCCTCAGGGCGAAGATGACAATGACACAGTAGGCAAGCAAGTAGCCAACTGCGCCGCACGTCGCATATTGCTCGGCTGCTCGGCCAATCGGACACCTTGACTCAAGGACGTATGATAACGTTGGTTCCTGGGAGTGGAAAGTGAGAGAAAGGAAGAGGTCTTGGTTTCGTGTCAATTTCTGCAAACAGATAGGTAAGCTAAGGAGCTTGGGCCAGCTCCCGTCTTAGGCGCCAACCAAGCCTCACCTTGCCCTAATTTAGGTTGGTGTGGCTTACCGTACTGCCAGAGCCAGCCTCTCGTTTGGATTAGGGAGGTACTTAGGTACTTGCCTACTCACTCATGAGGCCCAACACGTCTATGTGTACCTCTTACACACGAACATGACCACGAACATGACCAAGTTTCTTGAAGGTAGATGGCTGTGAGTTTGGCTGGACTGCTTCAAAACACTTCTTGAATATCTTGAAATTATTGACGCTAGCTTGAACTGTTCAGGTCGACATTGGCGTCAAGGAGATCAACACATAAGCCCTTTCGGAGCGCTTGCCAGCCGATATTAGTCAGTAGATGCGACTTTGATTGTTACGCCGACTAGAAGGTTGAAATGCCCTTGACCAATTGAATCAATAAGTCTGAATTGCTAGCTATCAGCTAAGAGTTCAATGCATCAACCCTTCGATCAAATGTAGCAGCTGCCTATCAATGTTCTTCATTATCGTGGGGTATGATACACCATGAATACGAAGGAATATACACATCCACCTATACGATATTTGATTGTATCTATCACAATCACCAAGCTCCTCTGTGGCTCTTGGGTTAGAATCAAGCTGGCTAATGCAGGAAGTCTAGTATCAGCGGGGTACTATCTAACACTGTTAAGACGCCTAAAAAACAGCCTTTCTTCGTTTCTTAAGTCCGGTAGGCTTGCATTATAGAGACAGAGATACGTATCGCTTCATGAGAGAATAATGACACGTTTTCGCTTTCATTTCTCGATTGAGCAGTCAATCTCACTAATAGACGTCTGCTCCAAGTCTGGGTCCCCTTTTAAATAGGGTCCAGAACGAGAGGAAAATAACGGCATCACAGACAGTGGTCTCACTGATGTTTTAAAAATTAAAGGACGTGATTTCACTACGATCTAATATGAGGAGGCAAACTTGCGAATCTTTTCAAAATCTATGGCTGTTTTACCTCTAGCTAAATACGCACACTCAATCTATCCAGGACGTGTCCGTGAAATATCATGTCCGATAGTCGCCGTTTATAGTGACATATTCATGGCTCAAATCGCACGTCCAGTGCGTAGCTTCATGTGACCCTGTCCCTAAACTAATAACGAACTCGACGTTTTCGTTTTGTAAGATGGACGCAGCGCGCGACTCATCAACCACCTCCGGCCTGCCATCCACCAGTAGCTTCAGCTCAGCGCTGCCGTCGGCGGGAACAAGTGAGACGCACATCCTATCCACGTCGATATCGGGCGCGTCGTCAACCTGTGCTTGTCCGGGGCGTACGAACGCTGAACCGGCAGAAGCTACGATGCGGCCCCAGTTCGCATCTTTACCATACATCGCAGTCTTGAAGAGCGAAGATTGGGCAACGGTCGCCGCAATTTGGCGGGCCCCAGCTTCGCTGAGCGCATCGGTGACGCGGATGGTGATGAACTTAGTAGCACCCTCGCCGTCCTGGACTATGAGTTTTGCTAGGTCGACTGATAAGTCGGTGAGTACGGCCTTAAAGGTCTCAAAGTCCTCTTTTTTCTCTGCCGTCACTTCTGATCCACCTGCGGCACCATTCGCGAGCACCGCCACTATGTCGTTTGTAGACATGTCATTGTCAATGCTAATGCTGTTGAACGACTTATCCGTCGCAGCTCGGAGAGCCGCCTGCAATGCCGGGGTAGCAATTGGCGCATCTGTGGCGACGACGCCGAGTAATGTGGCCATATTGGGACATATCATACCGGCACCCTTAGTCATACCAGCAATACGATATTCGATGGAGGGAGAGGAAGGGAGGGTGAAGGTCCTGAACCGTAACTTTGGAAATGTATCGGTAGTACAGATGGCTGTTGCACACTCCATCCAATGCATCTCTGAATCACCCAGAGCTTCATGCGCAGCTGGTATGCCGTCTAGGATCCTCTTGATGGGCAACCTCTGTCCTATAACCCCTGTACTCATGACCAAGGCGGAGTTCTCAGCACCCAGGTATTGGTCAGCTGTCTTGGACATAGCCAAGGCATCTTCCAGGCCGCCGGAACCTGTTACAGCATTGGCATTGCCCGAGTTGATGATGACACCCCGAATGTTGGAGCCATGTGACTCGAGCAGTTTGCGGCTGACGGTGATGGGCGCGGCCTGGAATTTAGTTTTGGTGACAACGGCGGCAGCAGAACATGGTGATTGTGAAGTGATGAAAGCAAGATCGAGCTTCGTAGTGTTGTTAGGCTTTACACCGACGATCGTGCCCGAAACCTTGAAGCCCTTTGGGGGCTTGTATATAGTGGCTGCCCGACTGGTCGCCTTTGCCACATCTTTCTGCCAAGAACTCTTGAAGACCTTGGATAGCATGCTGAACTGCTGGAAGCTCTTATTGATCCGACCAAGCTATCCCAAGAGTTTCCTATGATCGTTTGAGGAACCACAGAATCAGCCGGATTGAAAAAGGATCAATGGGTCTAGGTCCGCTGCCAAACCGACCAGGCTCTATTCACCAACCCCAAAGGGAAACAGTCCCGTCAGTGTAAGGGCGTAATGAGCACAGACCAATTGGAGTCTCCAAGATGGCACGAAAATGAAAGAGAAACCGATTGGTTTGGTGTAGGTGGTTTAATGAAAAAAGACCGGAATCTTCCTGTGTAAGAGTTTTGGTGGTTTCACACTAGACGTTTGGAGCTATCGACCTGTGATACGTTGGGTACCTAACTCATATATGATATACCTACCTCCTTGACAAAACACCACTCTACTACTAGGTCGCTCGTGCAGTCAGCTATCAAAATGACTCAGAACTACTTGGATCTGCATTAGTGAAGCTTAACAGCTAATCTACATATGTGAAAGTGACAAGGTTGCAACAATACCAACCATGTCTTTTTACCCTGTACCTGATACTAGGTTAGACGGCTGTGGTCTAAGGTTCACATGAGGTATTCATTCAGCTGGCGATATCGGAGGGGGAATGAATGCTGAGATGCTAGCTTTCGAAACGGCACTTGGTCTCCATTTGTATCTTTACACACTGCCCCAAGCTATTAATTACAATCCTCATTGAATCTTCGAGTGGCCGATACTGGTACAACTATGCCAAATTGGACATCAGGTAGGGTCAAAATGTTCAAAAAAGGAAAACTTTCATGGCTTTGGAGTAGCCGGCTAAGAGCGGCACCTGACATTAGGTAAGCCCGGTAGGTACGTACTTTAGGTTGCAATTGGGGGGGTAGAGAAGCTATGGGGGCCTGTAATCAGTGCACTAAGAACTAAGACGCGCCTCAGCTTCCAGACGCGTAAAGTGATTTTTTATGAGAAGCTTCAGCTTCCCATGGTCTAGTTTGCAGCTATAATTCGACAACCACACACACACACAAGTAAACAAGATGCCAGCAGCGAAAACAGTCGAGGAGAAAGGCGAGTCGTCAACATCTGCCGCTAAGCAGGCGCTCACCGCTACGACGAGCAGTTCAGCTACCTACGAGCTCCCTTGGGTGGAGAAATACCGACCAGTTTTCCTCGACGATGTAGTCGGCAATACAGAGACGATCGAGCGACTGAAGATCATAGCAAAAGATGGCAACATGCCGCACGTTATCATCTCTGGCATGCCAGGTATTGGCAAGACTACCAGTGTATTGTGTCTGGCTCGACAACTGTTGGGAGACGCATACAAGGAAGCTGTATTAGAGTTGAATGCTAGTGATGAACGCGGTAAGATCAATTGGAACCCATCGATTCTCTGAGAGATCTTAAGTAGCCTAACTTGACTGACCCCTTGCTTTGTGTATCAGGCATCGACGTCGTGCGCAACAGAATCAAGGGCTTTGCGCAAAAGAAAGTTACTCTTCCGCCTGGGCGCCACAAGCTAGTAATTCTCGACGAAGCCGACAGCATGACATCAGGTGCACAGCAGGCCCTTCGCCGTACAATGGAGATCTATTCGAACACGACCCGCTTCGCCTTCGCCTGTAACCAGTCGAACAAGATCATTGAGCCGCTACAGTCGCGCTGCGCTATCTTAAGATACGGACGGCTGACTGACGCGCAAGTGGTGAAGCGACTATTGCAAATCATCGAGGCTGAGAAAGTCGAGTACAACGACGAGGGAATGGCAGCCTTGGTGTTCAGCGCAGAGGGTGATATGCGACAGGCCATCAATAATTTGCAGAGTACGCACACCGGCTTTGGCTTTGTAAGCGGCGACAATGTATTCAAGGTCGTCGACTCGCCGCATCCTATCAAGGTACAGGCGATGCTTAAGGCGTGCCACGAGGGCAATATTGAAAGCGCCCTCGATACTCTGAAGGACCTATGGGACCTTGGATACTCATGCCACGACATCATAAGCACAATGTTCAAGGTCACTAAGACTATCCCTACATTGAGTGAGCATTCCAAACTCGAGTTTATTCGAGAGATAGGCTTTACACACATGAAGATCCTCGAGGGCGTGCAGACGTTACTTCAGCTCAGTGGGTGTGTCGCCAGATTATGCAAGATCAACATGGATCCCAAGAAGTTCGAGACTAAATTGAAATAATTGTAAGGCTCACGATATACCGGAAAATGAGGGTGAAAAGATAATTTGCATAGCACGGCGTTCACGAGACATAAGGGGAAATCTCAGACGAGTTCCTGGGCGGAATTGGCAGAGCTAAATATTTACACGGATTGATTTGCTTTTATACAAGATTGTAGACAGTGAAGTTATGAAAGACTAGCATCGGTGCCGCCTCTTCATTTCTTTGAGGCTGATGTCCCCATAGGTGTAGTGCGCAACTCGTCGTCCTCGTCGTCCACTAAATCTTTCCACATCGCCCGATCTCGAGCTATCATACGCTGCATACGTACTTGGTGCTCGAAGCGGCGCATCCTCGAGTCCGCCTCGATCATCCCACCTAATATCATGCTGGACATCTGGAGATAACTACATGTTATGGTCAGCCTGTCTTCAGGATTGAAGATGATCTAGGTCATCGCAAAGGGGCTGTTTCTGCTCTTGAATCACAATTGGGATTGTAGCTATAAACAATCAATTGAATCACATCTGTCCTACGAAACCCGTTTACACAATTGACTGTAAATAAAGCTGTAAGACGGTAGAAGAGGAAAGGAAACGTACATACACCTTGAACTGGATTGTTAAACCGCGGTACATGGGTGACGTCGCATACCCAATGCCGCCGAAAAAGGCCGCCGCAGCACCCCATTTGAGAGCTCCCCAGCCCGCGCCGCGGACGGCTTCCATCTGCGCTTCCTTCGCCTCCTCATTGTCTAGGGCGTTACGCGGCATTGTGTTGGCTTGTTAACAAGCGCACCGGTTTATAGAAACCGGGGATCCGGATTTGCTTGCGAACTTATGCAGGAGAATATAGATATAGAGATTGGTGCGAATCAATTAGACGTTGGCTTGGACACTTGTAATCTTAGCCTGCGTCGGCCAATTGCTACAACCCTGCTTTTGGCGCTTTGTTGAGCTTTGCCGTGGATGTCTTGTAGGTCCATAGCTTGATGACGATGCGCAGGTATCTACGAAAGAGGTATTCACGCTCGTGCTTGTTTAGTGGGGCCGGAGCAAACCAATGCGTCACAGGGGTTTTTCTTCGCGCTGGTTATTCACCCACTTACTGGTCGACAATGCGATCTTTTCTTATTTGCTACTGTCATAATGACTGAACCAACGCAGCTGGGGGTTGCGTTGAAACCAAAAAGAGATTGAATTCTTCTTAAGTTGAATGAGATTTCAATATTGAAGGTTTGTTTGGCTGAACAACTATTTGCGTTGAGTCGCGGTAGTTGGTAGTTCGGAAGACAAGAATGTACCAACGGTCTATTAGACTAATCACATTATGTTGGCCGCAGAATCCTTAGGCCATTCAACTTCTATCGTGAAGTTGGACTCTAGGTAGAGCTTGCCCTCTCTCACAATTCCACCAAGCTTGTAACCATTAAGGCAAAACTCAATGTCCGCATCCCTCTAGCCATTTGAAATTTCGCTGTTCCGTCGCGATGGCTTCAGATTTCCACCAAGCAAGGCGCACATGGACTTTCGAGATCGACAGGGAAGAAAGCTGGCGTGTGGCGTGTGGAATCAGTGTACAAGCACCAAGTGCGAGAATTGAGACAGATCAAGTGCCCGTTTGCTTTGGCAGCGCAGTTTGATGGGGTCGTAGGACACGGTATATCGGGTGTTGTCGTCGCCGTCGGAATCTCGCTGGACGTGGTATCTTGCCGTGGGAGAATAGCTGCGAAAGCAGTTGTGGCCGGCAGCAATATGAGCATGAATTGAGCCCGCATCATGAGTCTGTGTGACAATTGACCTAGTATAGAACAGAAGTCGTTGGTGAATAACTCGGCCGGGAGAATAGCTGGGCGGGCTTGTATAAAGTGATAATGGTGGACATGTGCTTTCTAGCGAGGGGCCAGCGAGAGAAGCTTTATAGCAGTTGAAGCACACATCTATCCTTAGGTATATCTACTAGCTTGACATCTTACAAACCTCATCAGTTCCACCAAGTACTCAGAAGGGCTATAGCAAGCATCGGGCCCTCGCATGCAACCGGAGATCGATCGCAAGACGCGAAGGTCGGGCCATGTACGACCCAAATCATTGGATAGCCTTAGAGACGGGAAGCGAAAATACGAGAATTCCGCCTTCGTGCCAGAGGGTGGAGAGATGCAATTGGATTGCCGTGATCACACACGATTCTCGTACCATGTCTCTTCATTTTGTTATCCGAGCTGCAACCCGGCTGATATCAGTCGTCTACGGTGTCTTTGATAAGCCGATCGCGGTCGAGATCCAATATAGATACGGAGGAGCGACAGTGCATCATGCAAGTGCGCTGTGGTATGCGACCTCAATGGCTTGCCTTATGTTGACATGCACACATCGACTGCAAGTCATCGAGCTGGACCTAATACTATTATGAGAGCTTAAGAGCTTAGCGAGCCCGTTTATTGGCTGCAATGGAACACAAAGGAACATTATCCATTTGCAAATTGAAAAAGGGTCCTATGTAGACTTTATCAGGCTATACAGTAGGACATCATATATCATTTATAGCGATGTGTTGCATGTGTTATACATGCAGGGTTATTATCGAACCGTTAGGACCCGCGTGACATTGATGCAGGGACCAGCCTCTAGATAACGACCTGGCAGCACCCTAATGCCGTTATTGTTAGCCATTCATAACCAAGGGTTCTCGATAGACTCGTATCTACTTAAGATAGATTTATGTTGTGTCTTTGTGAGAAGTTCGAACGTGTTAGATATTACCCAGGCGACCTCACAGTCCCCAGCAGGTTCCGGCTCAATGCCTACAGAGATTGTATAACCCTTCCATAATCGTAGATAGCGCTTCTCTATTGCTATCAATGTAAGCGCGGGAAATTCATTGAGCAAGTATGGATACATAGCAGTTGAAGAGGCTCGACGCCACATAGGTAAGACAAAACCATCTCTTCTACAGTTCAAGCGGGGCAAATGTATGGATGGCCCTCTTCCTCTACGTCACAACCGGAGCTTTCTCCGAGCTCTTTACCCCAGATGAACTACCGATCTTAACTGAACCCCAGATTGAGACTGGGTCAAAATATCTTCTTTCTACAATACGTACGTATGTGCTTATTTATCTAGTAACTAAAGTGAACGACGTCATGACTTTCCTTCATGACAGCTCCGCAAACAATAGTTCTAGGGAATGTAGTTAAGACTCCAAACAGCGGCTTAAGTATGAGGCTCTATATATTGCAAGCGCCTAGTCCATGAAACCCAAAACTTCATATGTCTTATTAGGTTGAAGACATATAATGCTTAAATCGCAACCGCTAGGACGAAACGTGTTCTCTCGACTGTGCTCTATTCCAGATCCTCGACGTCATCGCCCCTCACTCCCAGCCTATACATATTTGAGCAATCGCACAGAATTGCCATCATTGTCATCCTCATTTGCCCGGCCGTGCTCGAACTATCACCACGTGCCCAATAGAAAAATCGACAGCGCTGGATCCCGCGACAGTAGGCTATTCCACGCAATGCCAGAGAAGTCAAACAGACCCGAAGTTGGCGATGGAACCGGGCATCTAGAGGATATGCCTGCGAAGCAGGACAATGACGATTGGAAAAATCGGCCACCCTATTGCACTACAGACAAAACCGAAAAGTTTCATAAGAGACATACGGCGCATTGCCACTGCGGGAGGGTCAAGTATTGGTTGAGTCGGGAAAAGCCGTTGGCAGCAAAATTCTGCCACTGCGTTGACTGTCAGGCACTAGTAAGCATTTCTTGCGGTCATCTCCTCTGTAAAGGCTTCTCGTTGAGTACACTCAAAATTGACAGTTACTGACTCCACTGGTTATAGCATGGTATATATGCCTTTCTCATGCTCGAAATGTATAGACAAGTAGCCGTTGTTGATAAATGTGATGTTTCTAGGAGCGCCATTTCAATGGGCAGCCATATTCCATAAGGAGGATTTGCATTTCGAGAACGGAGCTGAGGGCCTCGCCTTTTATCACTCACCGACGAAGGGAACGCATTATGAGCTGCCTGTCAAAGTGAGCTGTTCATATTGTCATGCCCCCATCATGGACGAGGGGCGGAAGAGTGAGTTATTTGCGATTATTCTCTTGTTTTAATGACCAATAGTGTCAGAAAGTTTTGGGTCATAATTTTCACAACTAATCTGGTATATTGCAGTGGTTCTCATGTTTCCGGGTATCATTAAGTTCAATACCCCGGAGGACAAGAAGGCCTTCGATCCTCAGTAAGTCATCATTCAATGCCACCAAAGACGCTAGACGCGTATCCGATTGCGATATATTAGCGAGACAAGTATCACTGATTCTGCCCTTTTAGGTGCCACATATTCTACAGCCAACGAGTGGTAGACTTACCGGATGGGAAACCGAAGTGGGTAGGGTTGGATAATGGAAGTGAGCTTATGAAGGATGTGCAGCCACGCGAGGCAGAGACTGTTGTGGGTGAGCGCAGGATAGAAACCACCCATAAATAGATAAGTGTGATGATTATCTATCGTTGTACCGGAGCCGATCGTGCTCAGTTATGATCATAACATTAGTGTTGTGGATCATACAATATCCTCAAGTATTCCTTCAAGTTCTTCCTTTCGAAAAGGCACACTGAGCATTTCGGTGCCTAGTATGTCTTTACGACTTGTTATCATCTGGTGATCGTGGAATCTGAGATCAAGTCAGTTTAGAATCATTCTTGGAAGATCAAAGTGCTCACTCACTCTTTCAATAACGTTCGGAACGCCATTTCCGAACTACATATGAATTCCTCAACCGCCTTATTATATATCATTCTGTACTCTATTCCTGGGTTCTCACTCGACAGGTCGGCCTCATCATCCATGGCAACGAGTACTTCGCCTATTAGAAGGCGGTATAAGTTCCGTGCGTTCTCAGTTAGACTACGCAAAACATATGTCACGCCTTCTTTTCCACCCACGCGTCTAGCCTTCCTTCCCAGGAGTTCGTGAACATCATCTACTACTTCCAACTCAGTCGTGAAAGGGATGAATGTTGTACAATCATGGAAGACGAAGCTAAATGAAGACCGCAAGCTGCTATCCCAGAGCAGCGTGAAGTCGGGCGTGTCAGCTGAACAGATAAACTGGATTTGGGAATGTGCAGCCAGCTGGGCCAGTATCGGTTGAAAACCTGGACGTCGCAGAGGGGCAGCGTCTATAGAATTTAAGACAACTGTAATCGTAATATCGTGGGAAGACAGTAGACTCTTCAAGTTTTCCATCATCACTGATGGTCCACCCGCCGCGAGCTTGTGTTTTGAGTCAATAGCCCCGGCAACTACAGATAAAATATCCCGTAGAGAACTCATGTTCGCGCGCACATAACCGTTAACAATTACAATGCGATGCTTGCCATGATCTGAAATTGTACTGTATATATATTTCGCGTATTTGTGTAGGAGTGCACGTTTTGAACCATATCCATACAAGCAGACACTGAAGCCGTGTGAAAGCTCAAAAGCCCACTGAGGGAAAGACTGCACGTGAATAGAGTCGAGAAACTCGACATCATCCTGATGGGGCTCTTCGTAATCGCGAAGAAGGGAGAAATATTCTTCATGGGTAAGGAGTTTGAGAGATGCGAGAGTATTATTCGATGTTTTTGCGGCGCCGGGTCGGTTTTGCGCGAAGTAAAGTTCGTGAGGAGGCAGGTCTCGAGGTGGCGTTGGAGATTTCTTGCGTGCTCTTGTTCCTTTCTTAGCCGTCGTGCGGCCGCGAGACTTCCTGGACGGCGTTGAGGGCTCGTCTCCTATTTCATTTGTGTCTTCGTCACCATGGTGCCTATTTATGACGCCGTCCTCGACTTCGTCGTCTTCACTCGATTCATATATTTCTCGAGCGATGTCCTCATCAACCTCCTCGTCACTAGAGACGCCAGTAATGACCTTCTCAATCAAAGCTCTAGCGCTCTTCTTCCTTGCAGATCGATCATTGCGCTGTCGCCGCGGTGTTTCTCCATGGACAATACCTCGGGTTTTAGATGGGGTCACAACATTGATCCCTTTGCTCTTACGGCCGCGGGGTGTAGATGCTTCCCCATTTGCCTGAGGTGTTTTGGTTGCTGAAGGCCTCCCTCGCTTTCTTGGTGTATCCTCCCCTGTTGCCTTGGGCTTTTTATCGTCGTCTGAAGGAAAATCGTATTCCGAGCGAGAACTATTAGCACCTGCAATAGTTGCAGGCCGTCTGCCCCTTCGTTTCGAGGGCGTGCTCTCTTCTGCTCTGTCGACCTGTTCTATGGCGCGTTTGTACGAGCTGCTCCTCGTGGTTGTTTCAGCAGCATTCGGCTGCTGTCGCTTCGTGCGTACCATTGTACGCTATTGAATGGCGTTGCTATGTATCATAGCAGAGAAGGGAACAATGTAACGTATTGGGGGAGAAATTGCTGTGTTTGAATTTAAAGCAGCGGTAGAAACCAGGAAATGTCCATGGCTTTGGATATCAACGCGTCAAGTGTCGCGATACTAAATTCACTGGGCCGGAGTTAGCTAGGTAAGTACCTACCAGGTACCTACCTACCTAGGTATCTAAGGCACTAATCAACCTACTGCTATGCCCTGTCCACTGCACTATAAATTAGGTACCTACCTACCTACGAAGTAGGTAGGTATACTAATAACGAGTACCTACCCTGAATTGCTAGCTACATAGTGCCTGTTCATAGCCCACCCACCGGCTAAGAAGACTTCATGTCTAACCTGAGAAGGTTGCGAGCCTCTCCGAGAGAGGTATAACGATTTGCTACAATGAATCTCAATCTCTCGGGCTTCCTAAACGTGTTCAAATTGGTAACGAAGCCCTCATTATGTCTTCCACACGCCACAGTGTCGACATTCAATGACCTCCCCAGCCCTCTCGACAGAGCCTTCGAGGCACAGGGGAAGAAGTGTGATATCAAAGCAGTCGTACTCGACAAAGACGACTGCTTTGCATACCCAGATACAAATGAGATATATCCCGCTTATAGAGTATGCGAAATTGTGGCACTCTAGCTAGGCTACTGCTCTCCATGTCTTGTACAACCTTTCTTACTGATCAAAACTTTGCAGACGCGCTTCCAGCAGCTGCGCGAAGAATATCCTGGCCATCGGCTGCTGATTGTATCGAACACAGCTGGCGCCACTACTTATGACCGCGATAGACGGCTAGCCAAAGATCTTGAATCGGCCACGGGCGTTTCAGTGCTCAGTCATCGAGTCAAGAAACCAGGCTGCAAAGATGAGATCATGGCACATTTTGAAAAACACCCCGAGACTGGAGTGACACACCCAAGCCAGGTCGTTGTTATTGGAGACCGTCTCATGACTGATATGATGCTAGCCAACATGATGGGCAGTTGGGGGATTTGGATTAAAGACGGGGTCAAGCCCGTAAGCCAGAAAAGCATTGTAAGACGCTTCCGTTCCTCATTCAAATCAAGTAAATAGTTGGTGATCCATCGCTCATCTCTTCTAGTTCTCCAAGTTCGAGCAACGTCTAGGGCCAATGTTGATAGCACGTGGCGTGCACGCTCCAGATCCAAGAAGCCCTTTCGAATAAAATGGCCTTGGCCGATCACAAGAAGCCCTCATTGAGAAAAACTAGACCGCCTTTGAAGCATTTGCCGGTAACCCTCATGCTTTTCGCCCTTCTCCTTCACCAATCTGACCTGCTCAATACATGTTCAAGTTGTAGAAATTAACAAACACTTCATTGATGTTGACTAAGGCCACCTTCCACAAAACAAACATGACGTTAAAAGCGCATAGCATTGGCTGCGTTCCTCAGAACTCACATCACAACCGCTCTAGATTCTCGTAGCGAGCCCTCCCATGCCTCAAAGGTCAGACAGCCAGGTTCCGTTAGCGTTTGGATGGGATACTGCAGGCAATAGCTCTAGGTGGAAAATGGAGTTTGACGTTAATATCCACTCGACGCCTAGGTATATCCAAAGGTGTATGTACCAACGCCCCGCCTCTCGGTGGCTAAGAAAATACTGAAAACTCCTCGATTCTTCACTGAAGCCAATATCCTATGGGTTGCCCCCCTGTGTCAACGAATATGCAGTTAGTGTACAGGCATTTTCATGCATCGACTCGTATTAGAAGTGCGGGGTGGCTGGGCCAATTAGTAATGGTCCTATGTGACCAAGCCTGGGTCTATTACATCTGGTTGCAAATCAAGGAAGCAATAAGAACCGGAGAACATATTACAAACCAAGATCTCAAACCCAAAAGTCCGTCGCAGAGCTACTAGCGCCTCTCCTCCCGGAAAATCGAAATCACCATTAATTAGCTAGTTAGTCTCTTGTATAGAGCTGAGAGGCTATGGCGCAATCTAATCACCAAAAGTTGAACGGTTCATGCTTTCTAAGCAACCACCAGGAACACGTGATTCTACTTGACCCCTGTAACATCATGATGCCTCATACTACTGGAGTTCAAGTTGGTATAAAAGCTCGGATATCCGCAGCGATTTCGACTTCAGATGATCGGTACAACACTTGAACCACTCATTCCAAAGCTACAATACTTTCTTACCATCCTATCTCACCCCCTTTTTGCACATCCAAAAACTATGTCAGTAGCCTTGATCATTGGCGCAGGCGAGGCAGTGGGCCGGGCAAGCGCCGAGAAGTTTGCTGCCGCGGGGTATGAGGTTGCCGTCGCCTCCAGGAGTCAGAAACTCGATCCAGCCAAGTTTCCCTTCTTCAAGTTCGACGCTACCGACCCGACGCAAATCGTTTCTCTATTTGAGAAAGTTCATAAAGAGGTTGGCGTACCCAGCGTTGTTATATATAATGGTATGTTACATGTCGGAATAACATGAATTAGACTTCACCGAGACCCCGAAGGTCACTCGGGAGTTATTGGTCTTATTAGACGAACAATTTTCGCACCACACAATATTCTGCAAGTCTAACTCATGAGAGCCTCAAGTTACTGACATGGAAGGATAGCAGCCGCAGTTGGAAAAGCTGGTCAAGTAACGCCGTTCGACTTCGATACCGCCGAGGCATTTCAAAAAGGTATGAACGTGAATGCCATAAGTCCAGCGGTCGCGGCCCGTGAAGCTGTAAAGGGGTTCCTGGAGCTAGAGGCTCAAGGAAAGCTCGGTTCTGGGGGTGGAACATACCTTTTCACGGGCAATGCCCTCAACGACAAGCCGCTTCCCGGCCTTTTCACCCTAGGCGTCGGTAAAAACACCACGGCGGCAACGGTAGAGTATCTCGCACGTACCGCCTACAATGATAAACCCTTCAGGTTCGTTCCTGTCACCTTTTCTCCTGCCTCTTGTAGACAAACCGAAACTTCGAAAGAGATCGGAAACTTACACTGTTCCAGCTTTTATTATGTTGACGAACGAGGGTCGAATGGTCGTCCGATGTATGAGGGGGTCAACGGTGATGCTCATGCTGACGTGTTCCTCCAACTTGCTCAAGATCCTAAGCAGGGTCCTTGGCAGTATACCTTTTCGCGAGACAATGGGTATTCTGCCTTTCCGAAGGACTTCCCTTCGAAGGACTCCCCTTGAGGAAATATTGGACTTTGTAAGCAGGAAAGAATCTAATAAAAGCAATGCTGAGCCGCATACTTAATTCAAACTTGATTGCATTAATTACTACCTTGCTGAAGTATCATTTCTGATGAGAAGGCGGAGCGATAGATCTCTTGTGGCTGGAAACTTCCTTCTGCAGCCTTTGACTTGATATTCTCATGCTCTAGCCTCAAGGTTATCTTAGCTGAGCTAGTATGCCTTGCACTTCTTGAGGGTTGATGTGCTCGCTGTCATTTCCATGGAGGCAGGCCGAGTGAAGATAGACAGAGTCGGCTTGTGTTTTCAACTCAAGTTGTTGTGTGATTCGCCCAATATTAGCTGTCCTCACCCCACCGCCAATTATGATTTCAATCCGCAGCGTCCTTGCTTTCTTTATAACTTGTTCTAGCGTCTTCATATTGTCAACCGCCCTTCCTAATCCACCAGATGTTAGGATGCCATCGAACCCACAATCCGCTACAGCTTCAAGACCCGTCTCCCATACCCGGTGAACAAAGCTGTCAGAAGTAGCATTATCACAGCTGATAATCTCATCGAAAGCGCGGTGAAAAACACACTTCAGCGGTTGCGCAGCCTGCACAAGACGGGCGCATCTTTCTGTATCGATCTGACACCACAGCCTTCTTGCGCATTCTTCACCTTCACCATTCTCATATTCCTTCAAGATTCCAAACACAAAACCATCACCTCGATCCGCACTCAGTAATCCCATGTTGGTGAATTTTTTGATACTTGCTTCCATTTCTTCGAATTCCTCGTCAGTGTATAGGAAATCCCTTCGACTCACCCCATTAGCTTCGAATGTTATAGACGAACTAGGAGGGCCCCGTGGCCGAATCATGATCCGAAGCGGTGGGCTCTGATCAGCTGTAGACGTGAATTGTTTCAGATCCTCAGGGGAGGGCGTCAAGCCACCCTCTCCGTATGACCCCAGGGCGTTCAACTCGATCCGAGTAGCTCCGAGAGCGACGGCGCTGAGGGCGGCTGAAGCACCGAAAGCAGGGATTTCGAGGCCGAGATGAGGCATCGCCATAGCATATAAGTGTTAAAGATAGTATGAGCTTCAGTTCACAGGACTTTACGACTGTTGACGTATGAAACGTCAAACGTCTGTTGAAGCTCAAATGTGCTTGTTGTTGATGTTTGGAAAGAGGGGCTCCGAAAGAGGGGTTATTTGGACGGACGGAAGAAATTACGTGGGTGGAAGCAGTTGGGTAATTCACACTAAATCATGAGTAGAAAACGATGTGCTCGGCCCAGCTTTTAGACATCTTATAGGACTACAGAAAACAATCTAGGTAACCATCTCCTATAGGCTTTCTACATGCTCGACGCTCCCAGTCTCGAAAAATACCTTCAATTTCCCATCCAACCATTTTACGTCCTCTTTGCTATCACCAGGCCCACCTGCCCTGCTCCGCCATTAGCGGTAGCTCGAACGAATTGCGAAAACAAGCAACAACACCTACCAATGGCCCCATATGGAAGGATATGCGATGCGTTTTCCAATTCCTGGAGACATGTGCGCGACCTCGATATCGGAGTCCTCGGGAGGGAAATACAAATCTGTTTGACTTGGCAATACGAGAGTCTTCGCTTTAATGCTCTTCATGGCGAGCTCAAAATCTATCAGTCAACTATCAGTCCATGATATGATGAGTTAGCTCGATATACTTCGCTCACCCCCTTTGTAGCGAGCTTGTTTGGAGCAATCTGCGGATTGCCATGTGCCCAGCATTGTCATCATATTCTCAGGGTCTTTGAATATAGTCAGCCAAGCACCGATCGCGATATAGCTAGAGAACGCCTACCCTTCGATAACGCCCACTACAGCTCTCGGTGTCAGCTCCCGTTTTTTTTTTAATTGAGTCTGATCCTCAGAGATCTCCGATACAGTTGAAATCTTTCTGAAGAACTACTTCACATCCTTTAAGATCTCCGTCTTTCCAAGCTAATAGTTAAACGAGATGCAAATGGCTCTAGGTTCACTCACAGCTTCCCAGAACCCAACCATAAAACTATCAAGGTCTTTGAAACCAAGATGAGTCTCATAGACTTTCTCACGGTAGAATGTCTGGCTGAATCCCCAACCTGCATACACCCTTCCAAGCGCCTTCAGTCCGATCTCGCGCTCCTCGGCAGTCCAGTTGCGGTACTGCGACACGTCCGTCGCCTCAATCTTGCCGGTGCCGCCAGAAACAGCCCCTTTTGCCGCAACGAGCGCGCTTTTCACCCCCTCAAGGAAGACTTGGTTGTGCAAGCTACATCTTGCAGCTCCACAAAAAGGGATCGCAAGATCCATGAAATCAGGGTATTGCGTGATCCATTGGAATGTTTGAGCTGCCCCTATTTCTGATTATCAGAGTGGATTTGTTCTGACATCGCAAACCCATATTGAACTTTTGCTAGCAGATTGAGGGCAAAATGATCTGAGGGTGGCTCACCCATGCTCCAGCCAAGGACCGCTTTCAAGTGTGTCACTCCTAATTTCTCCGTTACGAGTCGGTACTGCGCCGTGACATTGTCTAACATGGTAATACTAGGAAATGGGCGAGGTTCCGGGGTATTCGACGGGCTCGTGGATTGTGAGTTGCCGAAGAGCGCGGGGATGATAATGAAGTATTTCTTTGGATTCAATGTTTTGTCTTCGCCTATGAGCCACTCATTGTCCGAGATCAACCCGCTGTACCATGTCGGATACACGATTGCTGGATTGCTTGCGTCACCGACTGTTTTGTAGGCAATGAATGCGTCTCGCAACGTAAAACCGGATTGAAGGCCAAAGTCGCCTAGATTGAAAATTTCAAACTCCGCCATGCTGATTGTCGTACGAGTCTAGTACTGATGATGGTTTAGCCGTCGACTTGCCCACTCAGTCTTATATCAGGAGAGAAAGCACGGGAGTGCACAGCAAAATTGAATGGAGCAAGTTAAAAGGATGTACATCTAGTATTGATGTGGGGTTATACTCGTTGTGTAGATGCTTACTCCAAGCCGAGATACAACTCTCTGCTTCCTAGTGCCAATAATTTAAACGTGAGCGGCTGGAATCGGCTAAGTAGCCCCCTATGGCCTGCCATGTGATCGTCATATAGACCACACCTCACATTCACTCTTCTCGTTGGACCGCAAGCCCATTTTGGGACTGTTATAGAAACCCGACTCGTCCTCAGTAACTATCACAGGATCACATTTCAAAGACCAGTAGTACCTAAACTTATGCACTGAAGCGTGAAGCGCGACGCAAATTGAATTGCAATGCCGATCAAACTCGAAAGTATGTTGTGTTTGTGTTGCATTTTCTGACAAGTGGTCTATGCTGACCGTGAGACCTCGTACACCTTGACATCAAACCAGTCAGATTTTGGGCAGAAGAGCACACCTTTGGAGAGATTGTAACCATGCCGTAAACCGCCCAACCACTTCTTCCCACCTCATTCGGGTGTCATGCTTAATGCCTGGGTCTCCAGGTCAAATGCAAGGCTCCTGGATCGTCGATTTGTTTAGTGCCTCTATTTTCCTCCATGCGATCTACAAGAACAGCACTGCCCACTGCTCTGGACATCAGACCGTGCACCTGTTAGGCGAGCTTTAATACATGAGATTTGGCCGTTGGATGGAGGATGTTCAGTCGGGATCGACTCGAAAGAGGAGGAAGTATTTTTCATAAGAAAGACGCGTGCTCTTGTCGTAGTAAAGGGCATCGATAAAATAGACGCCGGGATCAACTAGGTAGCACACCTCATCATAGATGACTGTCTGATTGATGAAGGTGAATTCCACCAGCAAATCCATCACCAGGTCTCTAGTCTCCCAGTTCACAATCCGTAGCTTGCAGTGACTAGCTTCGTGGTCGCGTTTAGGATTACTTTCGACTTGTAGAGTGAACGGCTGGCCTGCTTTCAGCCCATTCAAGGATATTCCGCCTTCGCGCGCAACCAAGGGCCTAGCGGGTGGTCTGTTCGACATATCTGACCGCTTATATCGATATAGTCGAGATGAGGACGGAGCCAGGACTTGCAATGAGAGCTCAGGTCGTAGTCGTTGAAGATTAGACAGTATGTGAGAGCGAACTAGAATCACCTCGAAATCACAAATGCATTTTGTAGGAAATTCACTCCCTTGCTTCGTGGTCACAATAGCTGACAATTTTTCTGTCATTTGTTTGTTTGTCAACAGGAAATGGGCTGACGTTTGTGCTATTATTCCGTTTTAATAGGAGTCCGTCACACATTGTGGCGCTGTGGCACACCATGCAGGCCAGGCGCAAAGTGTGTCAGGGAAAGACCACCCTACTGCAAGTGTCTCAGGTCTGTTGAACGATATTTCGGTTTCCAACCTTATTATTACGTGGCGAAATCAATGACAAAAGCGGTAAATGCATCATCGATCACAGGACATGAACACAAAATCTTTTCCCGTGTGTCGGCGAATGTTATTTCACTTTATCTGAAGCTTTTCCGTTGGGAAACTCACAAACCTGTATATGAGTAGTTATAACCCATCGCAGTCGATACTAGACTCATCAGCTCCTCAAGGGAGTGAGGAGTAGAGGAATATGGGTTCGTCAAGGGCGTAACTCTACCGCTAACCCCCGAATAGTTAAACGAGGATACATCATCTTTCAATTATATACTATGAAATGGATGTAGATTTCTGCGTACATTAGTAGACTCGGCGTGGGAATGTACTAGGGTGAGGTACCTGGAATACGAAGTAGTAAATCCTAGGGCATTTTCATGTACTTGGAGAGTATACTTCTAGTTGCGTATTTCCGGCTCAATGCTGCAAATAGCTGTACATACAAAATGCTATGGTGTTATTTCAACTAGATTCTCAGCGAACAAGTTTGGAGTCTTAACATTGTTAAACACTATTGACTGCTTTTTCCTCGGATGAGGGACATTGAATTACATATCTTTCTTGTTTGATTTGACAGAGACAAGAAGGATCTATGCATAGAAAAGTCTATGCATGTACACAGGGATAAAGGTTTGTGGGACAAAGAGCATAAGTATATATAGACCTGGAGGAAAATAGGTAGCTAGAGATAGATCTGAATAAATCATCTCGCTCCTCACTTCACGTTCAAGTATATCTACGGCTAATTGTGTATTCAAAGCACCATATGTGGTAGAATAGCTCTCAATTTCATCAAAGTGTCATCTGAAAAGCTGCTGAAGTTCAACTACAAAGTATAAGTCGATGGTTGGGTATGTCATTATGCTACATGAATGAAGATGATTTGAGCAATAGCCGGCCGTCATTAAACCAGCATCAGAGAGAATGGAGACCTAGTACTAGCAGGCATCATGTATTTCCTGGGTTTTAGGTTTATCCTATCCCTCAACTACTCTGAAAAGATAGCGCACTGAAGATTCATTGGGGGAAAATTCGTAGTCGAGACTTTACATTCATATAATCTGTACCTGAAGCGTAGTCAAGAGTTGAGCCACTGTGAAATCCAAAAGGTCAGATAACTAAACTAGATGAAAGTATATTTAATAGTCATATATTTCATATATCACAAATGCTCATCTTTCCTGGCGCATGTAAAGTTTCCCCATTGTTGGCTTGTCACGGATCACCACCAATTCCTCAACTTTCAGCAAGTAGCAAGTGCATACATTAAAGTTACTATCGAAATCCGAGTTACTGAATAGTGTTATGCTTTACCTAATGTAAACACTTCATTCATTCAGTTGAACAGTATCTAAAGGATAGAATTCCTTGATCATATGTGGAGTTTGCATGTAATCGCTTTTTACTCGTGTTAATACTCGTGCTGTCATGAGTTGGTGATGTGTAACAACATACTTACATACATAATAAGTAGGTGCATAAGGTACTTATTTACAATTACGGAATGGCACTGGAAACAGTACCTACGATAATGCCCTATTTACAGTGCTATTTACTCTCCCTAAGTACTTACCTAGGTACGTACCTAGGCACCCCCAGCCAGTGCCCGAATGCGGACAATCGTGTAAATGAGCTGCCTAAACTGTCGATCTAATTGATATACTGCGTCAGCGTGCCCACAACATGCTATCCACGGGCATTCCTCCATAACAAACGGCAAAGCCGAGGCATCATGATGGTTCGAGAGAAGAAATGCACCTTGCTGCCACCGCCGCGTGCTGCCGCTACCCAATCGCGATGGCGATCTCTTGGGGCTCTCCTGCTGCACGCTATCGCCGCTGTTGCGTTGTTGAAGACTGCATTCGAGCTGTATCAACACTTCACTGCCGGTGAAGATCCATCGGCGTCTCTGGCAAAATGCCTCCAAGTAGATCCTCTCGTCCCGAGCCAGCAGAGCCCCGCGCTATCTGAGATGGAGGAATACCTCCGCACTGACAAGTTCCGCGATGAGACTGTTGAGCGCCTTGCTGGCGCTGTTCACATCCCGACGCAGACATTCGATGATCTCGGGCCCGTTGGCGACGACTCTCGATGGGACACCATGTTCGAGCTTGCTGATTATCTGAAATCAACTTTCCCGCTTGTACACAGTTCTCTGGCTCTTGAGAAGGTGAATACGCATGGCCTTTTGTATACCTGGAAGGGGACCGACTCCGGCCTGCGCCCAACAGTTTTGATGGCACACCAAGATGTTGTCCCCGTTGCAGAATCAACTGTCGACCAATGGACACATCCACCTTTCAGCGGATTCTACGATGGTAAATATGTCTGGGGCCGCGGTTCATCCGATTGCAAGAACACCCTTATCGGCATCCTGGAATCCATTGAGCTGCTTATTGAGGCTGGATTTGAGCCTAAGAGAACCGTTGTCTTGTCGTTCGGCTTCGATGAGGAGGTACAGGGGAGTGAAGGTGCTGGCCACCTTTCTCAAGTGCTTGTTGATCGCTATGGGAAAGACGGTGCTGCTGTTCTCGTTGATGAGGGAGGGAGTTTTGCCGATAGCTGGGGAACCACCTTCGCTCTGCCTGGCGTTGCAGAGAAAGGGGCTATAAATGTTGAGATTATTGTAAGGATGCCTGGTGGTCACTCATCGATTCCTCCCGCGCACAGCGGAATTGGGGTTGCGTCGGAGCTGGTAACGCTGATTGAGGCCAACCCCTATGAGCCCCGGTTTCACGCTGAGAACCCGTTCCTCGGACTACTCGAGTGTGCAAATGCATACAGTCCCGAATTTCCACCAAGCTTGAAGAAACATCTTCCCTGGAAAGAACCTTCTTGTCCAGCTAAGAAGGATAAGCTTGCCATTGAAGCAGCTAAGTACGGGGATTCTATCAAGTATCTCTTCACGACTTCCTTAGCCGTGGATATCATTGATGGCGGAGTCAAGACGAACGCGCTCCCAGAGCGTACGCGTGTCGTTGTGAACCACCGGGTAAATGTAGGTGAAAAAGTCTCAACGGTGCAAACAAAGATAGCACATCTGGCTTACAAAGTGGCGACAAAACACAATCTTACCCTCCAGCCGTTCACGGACGAACCTGAAATTCCAAGCTCCATCAAGCTCATCGCCAAAGAAACTTTGGAGCCGGCGCCTGTAACGCCAACGATGGTGGATGGTGTCACTCCGTATGGTGTTCTCTCGGGCACTACCCGCGCTTTATACGGCGAGTCCATGCTAATGGCACCGGCACTCATGACTGGAAATACAGATACCAGATTCTACTGGGATCTAACAAAACATATTTTTCGATATGGTCCCGGCTACGACCCTGAGCTGGGCTTTGATCTCGGTGGGATTCACACGGTGAATGAAAAGGTCAGTGTCATTGCGCACACAAGACTCGTCCAGTGGTACTCGTTGTTTATCAGAAACATGGATGAGGCCGAACTAGCTTGAACCGCGGGCAGGACCTACACATCATGTACGTAACCAACTTGGAAGAACACATTGTTGAGGATACATATCATTGGGAGCTTAACTTATGAAAGCGCTACGCCCAGCATGAGGAGAATTGGTGCCATTGCTTGAGTGTTTGCACTGTAGCATCTACCAGATAACCATAATATAGTGCATTATTCCCTGTGAGGAAATCTCAGCAGGCTGATCTTCCGCGGCCGGGTCACTTATGGTTAGAACTTTTGTCGCAGCCGAATAGATCTCACGCATGCGTTGAACCTAAATACCTATTGCGGTAGCAGTGCCGGTCTGGTTGATGCATAGCGCATATATTCAGGGCTAGACCAGGTCTCTCTACCATGCCCACAAGATTTGCAGTACATTTTTCAGATTCTACTGTGGTGGGTAGACTTCCCGTTCATGGTTATCCTATCTCCGTCGTTGGGATCACCCCATTCGTATGATAAGGGGAAGATATCGCCCCATGATTACAATAGGTACTGGCGTTGTGGAATCTATCCTTTTGGTATACCGAGTTGTTGGATGACCCTGCTAGTAATGTGTTGTTAATCAGGCTTTCGGATGAAGGATTATTCGGGAACCATATTAAGAAAGGTGACCGAGTCGTGATTAGGCCCGATAAAAGCTTGATGCGTGGACGGATTTCCCGCTCCGTACCACTCAAGAAACATCCTGTACTCCTCGGTGTAATGGTCGAGGGAGACGTGCTTCACGGCCGAAGCCAAACCACTCTGAACTGACCTCGCCTTATATCGAGGACTTTATAGTGAACCATTTCAAGACTTATTCATGAGGTATTTAAATACACACCACCTAACACTTAGCACCAAATTCCATCGCAGTGACACCCCGCTCAAAAGTAGCCTCTTTTAACGGGAAGCCTTGGTACTGGTATGGCCGGGCCTAGACTAGTCCCACCTCCAACACTATGATTCTAGAGATATGCGGTCTGTAGCCCGTTCGCCTTTGCAGACCTTTGGTTGCAGAGCAGCACTACTGTACACTACTACGGCGTTCCCCCGGGATCCTGCGTTCGAAATCCGATAGCGCTAGACTGCAGGTGCAGTAAGCTTCCAATAGTGTATGAGACGATCGAGAGCTAACAGATCCCACAAGACCCAATTTCGAGGCGCCGTGTTTCCGTCAGTGAGAGATACGCCGCCGTATATAGGCTTTCACTAGGTACTCTACTGTGCATTTGAATATACGGCTATAATGAGATGTTGACTAGCCACGTATAGCTTCTGTATCTCACATCAATGTGAGATATCAAGGACTTGTAAATCGAGCTATTAGTGAAGTTATTCTCATTAATCTGCTATGGATGCCAAGGCCACATGGTCCATTCGGATCCCTTCGTGCCCTTGGTGGCTGACCTTGAAACTGTACAATTGGGCTGGCCTTGTGAGAAACGTCAGCATGTATCAAATAAGCGAGGGCTGGATTAGTTCTACTTCAATACGACCAGGATTCTGTTTCTATTGGTTTTACGACCACAGCTCGTAGGCGACTTGCATAATGTAGGTATATAGCCGTAACGGTCAGTACGTGTAACATGGGACTCAAACAAATCATTCCGATCAGAGTGTCACGATATTCTTGACGAAACCTGCTGTATTGACTTACAAGTCACGAATTTGGAAGCGCGGCTTTAGATCATGCTATTATATTCAAGGATGGTATATACAAAGGTCTCGTTTATAGTCTAAAATCTATGCTTTGGCCGTTTCTCTTCTCTCTATCTCGTTTCTCTAATAGAGATCTAGCTCTCTCGGAGCAATGGACCCCTCTTATATGGTTCTATGACCTTGAAATCTAATCTTTCCGGCAGTTCATCTTGGGTCCAGTAGGTCATGGCCTCTCTCAACCAGTGCGCGTATGTGCCGGGAACGTAATCAGAGCCGTCGTGTTTCCTCCACAGGGAGCCGAGTGTGTCACCGAAGACTTGCACGATGTAACCGTGCGCCAACTTGAAACTATAACTCTTGCTCAGACACGCCTCTACGATCTCCCGCGCCTTTTTCTGATCATCGCTCTCATCTTCGCCGTCTTCGGGCAGGGAGAGCGAAAGTAGCCGGAACGCCTCCTTGCCGTTCCAGTTCGTGTATTGCTGGATGAGCTGAGATCCAACCATGTAGTCGATGGCGTAGATGTGCTCGGCGCAGTATGTCGGGCCGTCCCATCCATCTTCGTCGTCGATTAGACCCATCGCCAGAGTCAGACAGTAGCCTTGGATGATGTAATCCGTAAGCTTCTTGCGGATTTCCTCGGAGAACCGCTGGCCGATGAGTTTAGGTCCCTTGAGTAGCGGGCTTGCGTGCATACCCTCAGTGCTTAGCTTGCCGCCATCAGCGTTCCACAGGGCCAACAACAGCTTGTGCGCACGCAAGAAGAGCGGGTTGTTTGGCCGCGAGGCGTAGAAGTAGTTGGCGAGATCGCGGTGGTCGATAGGACCTAGGTTGTAAGAGATGATGTCGTACGGGGAGTCAGGGTTTCCAAGCGTCTGTTCCCACAAACGGTTCAGGTCACCAATCTGGAGCTGACCCACGTCTGTATAGATGCCACCGTATTTCATCAGCAGCGGCCAGCGCACCAGGTCCGATGTATGTTGTGGTGCGAAATCGCCGCCGATTCTGCCGTCCAAGAACGCCTTCGGGAATAACTCCGGGTCGGTCACGTCGACAAAGTTCACAATGTTTAGTGGTGAGCCCTCAACTCGGTTTATTACATAGATGTTCCAACCAAACTTGGCCAGTCGGCGGTAATGGGCGCGAACATTGCGCTTTGTGTATGGGTGCACTGTGGTACATTTAGTCAGATATACGCTCTTATATCATCGCCAGGCTTGTGAAAGATGCCATGGGCATTCGAAATTTTTATCAGACTCATGAAAGAAAACAGAAAACCTTTCAGGAGTGGCAAGGCGCAAAACAAGTATGGGTTACTAACTAAACTCATAGCCACTGTGCCAGAAGAAGAATATGTTTTTCTGGTAGTCTGTCGAAATGGGCCTTGGGTTCGCTAATGACTGATCGATTTCGGCATCTGACCGAAGATCTAGTTCCTCCGCTGGGATAGCATGGCATCCAGCTGGGATCGGGTACGCCAGTAAGGGCAACGTCTGTACTTGGGCTTCCTTGCTAGACGCCGGAATGGCAGCTCCGCCAATAAGCACCGGGTCGCTGACGATACTCATATTGAGAGAATGTGTTGAGTCTGCTATCCAGCAACAACCCTAGGCAAGGATAAATTGGCACAGGGAGGTAATCGGCTCAGCGGTGTCGGTTGATTCAGCTGCGATTGTATATTTCATCCAACTTCTCTTAGCTCACAACGTGTCAATGTCGAAAGAGCCCGCCATGGTGAACCCGCCACGGCACCTAGCCCTATTATATACAGACAGGTCCTCTACATCATCGTGAATCTACGGCAAGGTAGTGTCCTAGATCCTTGGGCAGTGCCCTTGGAGATAGCGGGACCATGACATTTGTGCAGCAATCCCGTCATTTCGCAACATTTCGCGTCATCCTCACCGCTGACTTTTGCTCCCCACTTGACTCCATTGGCAGCGTTTGTCTGTGTGATTTATGACATGGATTTGTTATTCCCTTGCCGGGCCGTTTACATGCTGACTACAGCGGCAATAGCGAGGTGAGACTGAGGGGGATCTAGACATCTCCAGACAGCCATCTTTGATGGAGGGCAAGCCACCCTAATTCTTAGACAAGTCTATGGCTCCCTGTCTTGCACTACTGTAAGAGGGGATTATCTAATTTTAGTATGGGCCCCGTCTACCGAGATTGAGCATGAGACATTGCTAACCACATTGGTCTTCTCCGATAGCGTCGATATCGTGTAAGGATCTGGTTGGTATCGGAAACAGCTTTTACAAGGTTGAACGTAAAGAGAAAACCATAGGTACGTTTCGTGGATGTGTTATCTGAATGGCACTTTGTTGAACTAGAAGTTGAGAATTCTACCAAGTCAAGGGTTCTAGACACCTAACCCCCTTTGATATAAGCTCCTAGTAAAGACTGAGTCTAAAAAAAGACAGCACACACTACTACCTACGCAGCTACAATGATGCTCCGCTAAACAGAGTGAGAAGGATCACAGATATCTGTAATTTACTTTGTGTGCGTATTATCCTCACCATCTGTACCTCGAAAGACAATATTGCAAGTATGTGGCGTATGATTAGCGAAATGGTCGTCGAGTGAGGTCTCAAATGTACAAGATCCAAGCACCTCCCCGGCTCTTCGGCTTATTCCTTGCTCACAAAAGCATATCGTTAGTGGGTCTCTCACATCGAGACTTTCCGCTCTTTTGTGCCTAGCCCACCACAAAGGCTTACTAAAGAGGCAAAGAATAGTGCTGTGATCTAAACATTAATAGGTATCCGTTTACGCAGGCCCATATATATTAAGACTTAAGTAGCATGTGATTGTTGACCAAGATGCTGGCGTTTGGTACCGGAGGGTGGCGGAGGGTGCCGAGCAGAGGTTTTGAACATCTCCTGAGTAAGTGCCGCTCTCGCCGCTATCACTTTTGCAATGCACACTCTTTACATACTAGTTTCGACCATAGACTTCAGATAGCCGCCCACAAATGGTCTCTGGCACCATCTGTTTCTCGCTACCTGCTCGATCGTCTCCATACTTACAGAAAGCAGACTCACGTCCAAGCCCCACGTGTTATTTGGGCTGTTGGGACAGAATAACTCCGAGGTGTGCTGCTTATTCTTGGCTTAAGTAGAACCAATGAGATGCTCATCACAGACTTCTATGGGAATTCCTCCATTCCATCAGTAATGTACACGTACTAGGGTGATCTGGGGAGCTATGGAGGCTCTGATTCTTGTACTCTCAAGCCATCCCAGTGCTCGCAAAAGAGCAAGAAGGAATCGTTCTTAAACTCCAAGCGCAACCGTTGCGCGATAGGTCCGCCCATTTAAACTTCCTACCCGTAGTAGGTAGTGGTCATTTTATATCCACCCCAAACGCCATAACCATGCATGTGATTCATAACATAATGCTTATTTGAAAATTCGACGACCACCAGCTCGCACCGCAAACCTCTCTGCGCCGTTCTGTGTTTGTTGATTCCAAACCATTAAACTACCTAACGCACCACCATTCTCTGCAGACGCTTTGCGTCGACGGTATGCTTCTCTGAGATGATCTGGTCGTAAAGGAGCTTGTCGGCGGTACTTGGAAAGCTCATTCGACGGCTCGAGGTTGTCGTCCTCTAGATCTGTCTGCTTCTCTCCCAAGTCTATCCATTCTTGTTGGATGTCGCGCGCTGCTTCTACTATATCACCCAGGTACATCTTGCAGACCACCTGCATCATTTGATGCACGTTTGTAGGACAAGATTGAGATGTCACACTGTTGATATGCTGCAAGAAAGAGGTTAGAGGCTGACATCGCCAATGAATTTGCGGATGATCTTTCACCTACCCGCTTGACATCTTGTGGTTTGATAGATTGTCTGTGCCATACTTCATATCGATCGAACTGAACCTCGTCCATCTGGGATTTCAGAAGCGCAACCAGCTCCTTTTCCTCCTCAATCTGTTCCTTAGTCCGAGCAGCAGAGCGACTAGCCATGTTCTCAGGTAACTCAAAGGAACCATCGTTATCAACATCTCTACCTCCATCACCATCTCCTTCTTTCCCTAAAGTGCCACTAGCATTGCTCACTATTGTCGCTGCTCGACCGCCGACGAGGCTTGGGGTTCCATCCCGGAGTGCAGCAGCGGCAGCTTCGTTGGCAAGGTCTATCTTAGATTTCCGGCCACGCTTTTTCTTCGCGGGAGCAGCGCTCACTTGGCTTCCACTAACAAGACTCATGGTATCAACGCTTGGCGAACGCCGGTAGGATGGCGAGTAGTCGCGGCCTAGAGTTTCATCTGGTGGAAAGGAGGTTTGTCGCAGAGGGTGAGCTGACCCAGCAGAGGCAATAGACATGGTCGATGCTTTGCGCCGTTTCAGAGAAGGGGGCTGGATGGAGAGTTCGGTAGCTATCGAGGATCGCTTTTTGGATGGTAGCTGAGAGTGGGGGGGATATGGCGGAGAACCGGCCGGCGAGTAATTTTGCGGTGGCGAAGCCATCTTCGAAAAGACCGTCAGTGTTTGGGTATCATGCGCGTAGAAGCTGTAATTCGTAGCGCGTCGTTCGTTGCTTGAGCAGACGATCGAGGCACAAATTGTCCCTGGTCACGGCGGCGCGTATCGTGCCGGCTGGCTTCCTCATGCGACACCAGAGGTGCAGGGGGATGACGGCGTGGACATCAATCAAGCCTGTCGCCCGAGTGAGATCAGTCGTGTAGGCGGAAGATGGAGATGGATTGCGAGAATTAGAGTGAGATGGTGATGGGACGGCAGTGATGTCAGCCAGGTCCGAAATGTGATATGTGATAACTACCTACGAAGTATGGCACTTGTCGCAAGACTCGAGCCGCGAAGCTCGGGCTTAGGTAAGCGTACTAAATAAGGTTAAGTACTATGTAAATGTACCTTACATGTAGCTACCTCCTAGGTACCTATTGTGCAAACGGGCACTAGGGTATAAAAGAATAGCAGGCTGGTTAGGGCCCTGGCCACCTAAGCCTTCATTTCTATAGGTAGCTGGCTACACGTAAGTACAGCACTCGTTGGTCGAGATATTCAATAAAGCCACTCACTCTCCTTCAGTGTGTAGGGTACCTACATACATACCTAGGCGCTTAACTTGACTTTGCAGTATTATTCATACACTACTCCGTTCTAAGTAGAAAATGCAGTGTACATGCAGCGACTGTTTGAGTCTGTCACAATAATAGCTGGTTATGAGATTACCTAATAATAATCACTCACATTTGTATGCAGCCAGCTTAGGTTGACCAGAAGAAGTCTTAGGTGTGATACTACTAGGAGTGTGACGAGTGGAGTTGATAGCCGATTAGATAGCAGATAAGATAGGCAAGAAGGGCAGTAATCTGGCCGAAGGCTAGATTACCCAATCTAACCACTCTAACCACTCTAGATGAGCTCGCACTGTTGTACCCATTACCTACTACCGCATACACTTAAAAAACTTGAATAATACTAATAGCGCCACCATATATACAAGTAGAATAATTATTATATTGGGCCTATTTAAATTTAACTGAACTAAAGTTATTTTAACCTCCTTTTAAGTGTAATAATTGCTTTTTTTAACTTAATATAAGTAGAACTTTAATTTAACTTAATCTTTTTTATATTAACTTTACTTCTATTATTATAATACTTATATTACTTACTTTTATCTACTTTTATTACTATTTAAATGCTTTAAATTTATTATTAAAAATACTTACCTTTAAAGTATTAATAAAAATAACTTATAAATTACTTTTAATTTTACTTTATTATTAAAGTTAATTAAATAATTTTAATTAATTTATTCTTTGACCCTTTAAGGTTAATTTTTATATTTAATAAAACCTATATCTTTAAACTTTATTAACCTTATTATATTAATATAAAGTATAACTTTAATTAATAATAAATTATATAATTAAAGTTTAAAATTATATTAATAATATTTACTTTAATTAATCTTTAATTTTAAAGGAATATATTATACTTTATAGCTTAAGGTTTATTTTATTAATTTTTTTATAAGTTATAAAACCTTTTAAATATTATAATTAATAATAATATAAATAGTTTTAAAGTTATTTTAATAATAAACTTTATAAAGAATTTAAATATATAATTAAAGTAAAAGATTAAAGTTAAAGTTAATAAGGAAATAAAAGAATAAAAGGTAAAGGTTTATAATAGTTATAAAAAGGGTTATTTTTAATATTTTAAAATAAAGTAAATTAATTAATATATATTTTTTATATTTAAATTAAATAATTAAAGTAAAAGTAATAATATTTTTATTTTAATAATAATTTTTATATAAAATATAATATATATATTTAAATAAATTAAAAAAAATTTAAAGGGTAAAAATTTATATAATAATTAATTTTTTTAAAAGTTTAATATTAATAACCTTTATATTATAATATTAAAGTATAAGTAATTATTATATAAAAAAATATAATTTAATATATTTTTAATATATTTATTATAAAATAACCATTATATAAATATTAAATAACTTTTATTATTATTTTATATTATATAAAAATTATAGGTTAATAGAAGTAGTTAAAAAGGAAGGATTATTACTGGATAGTTAAATAAGGAATAGGAAGGGTAGGTTAATAAATATAGCAATTAAACTAGTATTAAAGGTAATTAAAACAACCTTTAACTATAGGGGTACTATATCCCTCCTTTAATTAAACATTATTAAAGCTTTTAATATAATTAATAAAGAAAGAATAATTTATATCCTTTAATAAAAAGGCTACCTATTATAAATAATATTATAAGTTTATTTATTTATCTTTAAAAAATTAATATAACTTTATTTTAATAGTATAACTTTTTAATTAATCTTCTTTAAAGTAAAGGTCCTTTAAAGCTCCTTTCTTTTATCTTTATTATTCCTTTTATATATATTAACATTATATAATAACCTTATAATATATTAAAAGATAATTATAATAAGGTTTATAAATAATATAAACCTTTTTATAATTAACCTTTAAATAAAATAGAATTATAAAATTTTAAAAATAATATAATAAATATATAAAATTTAAATATTAAGGTATAAAATAAAATTTACCCCTTAAAAAAGTAAACTTATATACTTCTTTAAAAGTTAAAAAGTGTTTAAATAAAAAGTTAAATTTAAATAAATAATAATATAACTAATAAATAATATAAGGTTTTTAAAGGTATAATTAAATAGGAACTTTAAATAAAAATAATACTTAATTAAACTTAAAAAGAAGTTAAATATTTAAATATATATAATAATTAAATTATAAAACTTAATATAAAGTAATAATATAATAAAGGTTAAATAGGTTTATTTTATAATAATATAAAATACTTTAATATATAAAGTAATTATATAATATAAATAACTTAAGGAAAATAAATTAAAACATATAGTTAATTCCTTTAAAGGCATTTAAAACGTTTATATTAAATATATTATAAAAGCTTTTAAAGCTATATTAATATATTAATTTAAAATAAAATTAAATATACCTTTTATTAACCTATATTTAAATAGTAAAGCAATAATAAATAAAGATTAATTAAAAAACTTAATATATTATAAAGTATTAATAAAGGTTATAATAAAGGTTAACTAATTTATATAAGTATTTTAAAAATGGTAAGCTAAAAGGTAAATTAAAGGAAAACTTATAAATAATATAAGGAATTAATTATAAAGTAATTTAACTATAAACTTAAACTATTAATAAAATAAATAAATAAAGGAGAAAAAATTAAATAATACTTTAATTAAAAAGTAAAGGGAAAAATAAAGCTATATTAAAATAAGATATAATTACTTTATAATAATAAAGTAAAAGCTTAATAAAAAAAGAGTATTATAAAAGTTTTATAGATTTTTAAAGTATAAAGCAGCTTTAATAATATAAATATAAATTAAAAAAATAAAACTTAAAGCCTTTTTATATAAAAGAAAGGTTTTAAAGTTTTTAACCCCTTTTTATAAATATAAAAGGTAAAAAAACTTTATAATATATAATTTTATAATATAAGTTATTAAAAGATAAAAGGAAAACCTTAATTAAAAAACTAGTTAAAATATAATTATAAATTAATAAAAACCTATAAATAATAATAAAAAGCTTAATAAAAATAAAAGTAATTATAAAGTAATTATTAAGCATTAAAAAAATAATTATATATAATAAAGTTAAGGGGATTAAGGGGTTTAAAGAAGGAGAAATGTAAAGAAAAAGAACTTAAATAGGAAGGTTAAAAGGACCCCTTTAAAGGTTTTTAAAGAAAAGGAAAAAGCCTTCCTTTCCTTTTTAAATAATTAAAGAATATAAAAAAAGTAAAAAAGTTTAAGCTTTTACTTTCCCTTTTCCTACTATATAGTTAAATAATATATATTAATTTATATAGGATTAAAAAGTAATAAAGTAATAGTTAAAAGTTATATAGGATTTTTATTTAATTATTATATAGTTTTACTTATAATTATATAAATAAAAGGATTATATTATATAAATAATATAATAAATATATAATAATAATAATATTATATTATATAATTATTAAAAATAATACTTTTATATTTATTTTTATAAAATTAACTTTAATTTTTTTTATATTATAATATTAAAGTATAAATAATTATTATATAAAAATATATAATTTTATATATTTTTTAATATATTTATTATAAAATAAGCATTATATAAATATTAAATAGCTTTTATTACTATTTTATATTATATAATTATTAAAAATAATATTTTTATATTTATATAATAAAATAAAAGTAAAGTTTATTTTTAAAGATATTATTTTAATATATTTTATATATAATTTATATCTTTTAATTATTTAATTAAATTTACTTTTATTTTATTATTAAATAAGCTTTAAAAATAATATTTTTCCTTTAATTTTACTACTTTAAATTATTTATAGCTATTTTTTAATTAAGCTATTTCTTTTTCTTTAATATTTATATATTTATAATTTAAATTATTAATTATTTTATTAATCTTTTTAAGCTTTATTTTAACCTTTTAATTTAAATATTAATAATAATTATTAAGAATTAATTAATTAAAATTAATACTTTTAATATTAATTTTAAAATTATTATAACTATTTAAATAAATTAAAATATTAATATTTATAAAAAGTTTTATTATTATTTTATAATTAAATAAAATAAAGGTTTATTTTTATATATTTATAATAATATAAATAATTATTATTTATTTTTTATTAATTATTTACTTTTTAAATAACTTCCCTTTTTTTTAATTTATTTATATATAGATTTATTTTTTTTTAAAGTTAAATCTTAAAAGGATTATTAAAATTAATATTTAAAAGCTATAAACAAGCTATAAAACCTAGTAAAATTATTATAATAATAATATTAACCTTATAAAAAACTACTTTAACTTTATTTATTTTATAAAAGATAATTATATTAATAATTAATAAATTAAATTTTCTTTTAATATAAATAGTTAAATTATTATTAATTTAATTTTTAAATAAATTATTATTATTATATACCTTTTTATTAAATAATATATTAATACCTTTATAATATAATAGCTTTTTTTTATTCATTTTAAAGCTTTTATTATAAAAAATGATAATTAATTTTAACTTTTTAATATATTTCCTATTTATAATAATTATTAATATTAATATTATTTATTATTTTTTTAATTACTTTTATTTAACTTTTTATTAATAAATATATTATTTTTATAATTATATATATAACTTATTAAAAACTTAAATAATATTAAAGTTTTATTTAAATTAATAATTTAATAATAAGGAAATTTATTAAAAAAAAGCCCTTTAATAAAATTATTTATTAATATTATACTTTTTTAAATTTAATTATTTTATAAAACTTTTTTAATAAATTATAAAAAGTTATTTATATATTTAACTATTTTTATAAATATTTAAATTAAAGTATAAATTATTTATTAATAATTAATTTAATAATATTAAAGGAAGTTATAAAATTATTTATTTAAAAAGATAAAGACTATTAAATAAATTAAATAATAATTATTAAAGATTATAATAGCCTTTTATTTAAATTAATAAATATTAATTAACTTTTTTATTTTTTTAATTATATAAAATGCTTTTTA